TAGTTGGGCATGTCAATGGAGCTTACATAGCGTACTGTCGAACACGTACTGTCAGTGGGTAGTGGAGCAGGAGTGGATGGAGACGATGAGTCAATGCCATGAACTTGTTTAGGCTTCCATTGATTACGACCAGAGTTACTACCGCGATTGTTACTTTGGGATCGGCATTTCTTGGTTAAATGACCAATAGCGTTGCAATGGCCACAAATAGGTTGACCATCTTCAGCCCAACGACGCATTGGGTCTTGATCTTTACCCTGGTTGGTACTGCGTTGATGTTGGATGGCATCGATATCCATAGGCGTGGGTTCCGAAGGGCCAGTTTCAGCAGGAGCGGTGAAATGTGGAGCTCCGAGAAAATGATCGTTACCAAGATGTAGGACAGATTCACGAATAGCAGCTGCAGTAGCCAGAGTCTTCCAAGTATCTTCCGGAGCAATTATAGACATCAACGCGTTACGGAGTTCAACTCGAAGATTGGCAAAAAAAATATGTCTTAAGACATCATCCGGTAAAGTGTGAGATTCAGGGAAGTCCTCAACAATGGTTTCAAAGTTCATGCGGTATTCAGCTACGCGGCGGGTACCTTGTTTAAGAGCTTCAAGTTTTCGACGGCACAATGTCTTTTGTAGCAGAGGGTCGATACCATAGACACTTTCAAGCTTAGAACGAACATCCTTAGCGCTAGTCAAGTTGGCAACGCGTAACAACCAGTCGGTGGCTTCTTGAGGTAAATATTTCAACAATTGCATGTTGCGGCTTCCTTCATTGTTCATACCAAGAGCTTTAGCAGCCAGATGGAATTGTTTGATCCAAGCAGTAATATCTTGGCCGGGTTGGAAAGGAGGAACAAGTGCAGTATTATTGACACGTTGTTCGGCCATCATGGATGCGAATGCATGGACGTCTTGATTGGCTGCAAGCGGATCTGCAGGAACAGGAGTAGGAGTAGGAATAGGAGTAGTCATATGGGGACTGAGAGAGCGATGTATAAGGTAAATACAGAGAGTTAGAGATCAGAGATAGTTAGATAGTTAGATATAGGCAGCGGCGCAGGAAGAGAGCAGCTACTCCACCATAAAATAAGTATGAAGTCGGTAGTCGAATAGAGTGCCGGAAGTGAGGCTTAGAGTTTAAGAGATATAATAAATATAAGGGAATTATATTTATTACAATAAACAGGAACTAGACTTTTTGAGATAAGAATAAGATAATGTTTATTAAGAGAAAATAGTGGGTTATATTTATAGTAATTGAGTTTTCTAGTTGTTACAGTCTGAATGTCATGGTGAAGAATTGTTAGTCATATTATCACATTGTATAATGTTAGTCATAATGGTTGTGTGAATATTATAACACCGATGAGTGAACCGATGACATCGACGTTTCACGACAACTATTTGCCAAAAATTGGCCGTCTCTGGGATTTTGCGGTGAAATGTATGTTGGTAAAAATGGGATGAAATAATAGTAGCTTCTTGATTTGAGTTAAGTTGAAAAGTAAAATAATAAGAAAAAAAGAGAATAATGATGGGCAAAATAAAAGGGGATAAGTAATGATTTACTGTATATATATTTCTGGTATGGCAAGTGGTACAAGAAGGTACATGAGAGAAGACAACAAACAAGAAAAAATGCCAAAAAAGAAGTCACCACAAATCACAACCCCAAATAAAATGGAGGAGATCAAAATTATGCTTATGCTGTTATCAATGATACCTTTAAGGTTCAATTTAACGAAAATTCCAGAACATGAGTCGTTTTGAATTTATTAAAACGAAATGTTGTGCAGTTACTCCTGCAATCAAGTGAATGACATTTATCGATAGAATATATTTACTGACAGAGAAATCATCATTTAGGGGACATGTATTTCTTTCACTATTTATCACAAGCCGTTATGGTTATTTGCATAAATCAAATGGAATGCTACCATAGCGATACCATAGCTATTGACTGATGGGTCCTCCGGGAACCACGCAGTTTTACCGAAACGTAACTAGCGTAGGTCAAAAACTATGCGGTCGGAGGTCCTGTTAAGCCTGCAAAAAAATGGGATCAGCAACCCCATTTTTCTTTCGTTCTGATGCTACATTTTAGTTGATTTGTATCCCAGCTGAACGTTCAAGCCGGCAGACAACCTGAGTAATCGCTAATCACTTCTTGAAAGTGATCTTGTTTCTATGGCGTGGGTTAACGCAATTAAATTGGGTATAAAGCTGAGTACACTTGCAGACCTTAAACAAACAAATGTGACAGGTTTATGCTGAATGCTGTAAAAGAAAGCCTTGCGCCATTTGGTTATTTAGTACCTTACTTCTGCTTCTTTTCTTTTTCTTTTTTTTTTGCTCGAGTCTTGAGTTGACGCATCGGTTACTTTCAGTATTTACAATAAAAGGTTCCAAGTAGAAAACCCGATGTAAGGTAAAATTGGCTCTAGTCTTACTATTTTTTAAAGGGTACTGATTAAGCCTTGACAAAAGACTTCAGGACTATTGCAATTTTAAAGGGAGCCGAATAACAAAACAGAGACCTCTTTGCATGAACGACTAACATAACCAAGTTCAGGAGTAATTACTTCGTACTGAACAAGGCGGTGCATCTCACGAAAAGAAGGATCCTTTAACAAAGATCCAAGACTGGAATCTAACATCGTCCTTGACCCTTGAATCTGAACCTCATCTGACAAAAACGCTCATTCACTGATACAAAAGTGGACCATACATTTCTAGGAGGAGGTACTCTCAAACATTAGGACGACATCGCCAGACCACTTTATTCGCAAAAACCAGTAAGACAGACCAAATGATGATTTTGATAAAAAGCGGGTGTAAGTTCAGCAATGGCGAGTGGTCAAGAAGAAGAAATTACATATCAGCCAAACGGTTGTGTATTAGTGGATTTTCCAGGTAAGGCATATTTCGCTTTTGATGTTCTCTTAAACGCACAAGATTTAAACGAAAAGAGTGACTACAGCTGATTATTATTATAGTTGGAAGAATTGAACGGAAATGAAATGACTCTATTTTGTAAACAACCGTAATAAAAGCTGAGATAATTGATCAAGCTGATATGTCTATTCATTGGTTATTGGATTGGTCCTTGTATGCTTATATCCCAAAACTATGATCGAAAACAAAAATGACTAGATCGAGGCTTAATCCTACCCCCACGAGGCTAGAAAGGGTATTTCTCGTTGAGTAAAGAACCGATATTGGCTGCTTGATGACATGAAAATTAAAAGTCTAACAGATTAAGATAACGGGGTAGTGTTATAATGGAAGGATTCCTCAAATGTACCGAGTTGGGCGGGGGTGAATAGCAGTAAATCGTTCCATGAAATAAAATGCTACATGAGTCACAACAGTATAAGTTGTTTTTTAAAAAAACTGATGAAAAAACAGCGGAGAAGATTAGTGTAGTGTTTGTACTAGGCGTTTTTTTTTAAAAGCGCATGGCACGAGATATGTAATAGTAATTAAACATTTGTTTACTTTTATGGATGGATCATACCTCCCCGTATATCGCTTAATATTGTCTATCATACATCATTTAAAAATACATTTCGAAAATTAGTATAGATAGATTCGTAGCGCCACATAAGTTAATACCCTATCGTCCAACATAAAATATTGGTGTACTAATCATTCTGTATCAAATTAACGCTCAACAGCTATCATTCTGATGCAAGTAGCAGTAGCTAATTTTATTTTGAGACCATAATCATATGCTTATATTGGAAGTCACCAATAATCTAAAAGGTAATAGACAAATTCTTAATTGCAAAACTTCTTTACTGATCAATGCTGAAAAAAGGCATAAAGAATTAATATGTTGCACGTATTTCTCAAGAAAAATCAGGTGTCCCCTACCAATCATTCAAAACCAGTGTTGCTTGTATGTCAGTCGTTGCCGTGTATGCTATGAATATACTTTTGTTCATTTCATTTTAATACGCTCCGGTTAAAATCAAATTCGGTTGATTGCATTGTCCTACTTGCTCAGAAGTCAGCTTGAAGATTTTTGAGTCAAAAAAAAAAAAAAAAAAAATTAACACGATGTCAGGAACTAGTTTTAAATGTCAAAGACAAGCAGTAATGGGTATTGTCAAAAAATTTAGAGCTTAACATTGAAAAGACTTTCCTATTGTTCACTTTAAATCTTACACATATTATTGATTTGCATGAAAAAACAAAATAGAGATACCCGAGATATTAAAACGGCGCTGTTCAATAAACATTAATGTCAGGAACAAAGCTCATATCCATAACAGTTAGGAAACTTGACAGTTTTATTTGACTTAGAAGACAGGCACATGATGCCTCTCCATAATTTTTAATACGGTGTGACATAGTAATTCATTAGTAGACGACCAAGATTATGTGCGACTATTCTTCTGCAATTTGTAAAGGGTATGCGTCGACAGATTCATATATGCGGCCTATTTAATCCTTGAAAATCCTTATAATAGCAAGTTTTATGTGAACTCATGATGATCTCAGGTAGCAATCATAGTTTATCCAATGATGATGATAAACTTTTACACGTATAATTGATAAAATAAACTGATTCTGGAGCTGTCTGTGACATGGCCACTCATATCTTAAACTAACCTAATATTTAGATATTGAGAATACTCATAGCATTTTGTTATTGATTGAAATAGATGATTTACGAGATTCAGAGAAATATTTAGAATTCTCCCTAAGAAAAGATTTAATAAATGGTTATGAATCATAGTAAATCAACCGTTGTTAAGGGAATGTTTATAGGTGTGATTCAATATTTGTGTTGCGGGGATATAGCGTTATATCCTCAATAATCAATCAATTGAAAGGTAAGACTTATAAGGGTTGCAGAAAATCTAACATAATTATAAGTAAGGAAACAGATAAAGAATCCTGACTCGTGCTCAATTCCTTAAGCATTTATACGAAAAAAAAAAAAAAAAAAAAAAAAAAAAGTAACCAAACAAAGCTTCGTAACAATTAGCACTTATCTATTTTTAAATAAGGTACCGTCTTTTCAAATAATAATAAAAAAAAACTTCCCTAATATGTAGTAGTTTTATTAAACACAAGCTCTTGTTACTTTGGAATAACGACAACAATATCAGAAGACGATATGGATCCATATGACGATTATTTTTTAAAAAATAAATAAATAAGGGATCGTCAACTGGAAATACTTGGAACATCAATGGAAGTAGTGGCATTTTTAACCTTTTCGTCAATAAATCCAAAAACAAAAAAAGTTGTCATATACGCTAACTATGGTGGTGCCAATATCAAATTTTAGAAACTCATATTCAATCATGCAGCTGGTGTTAAACCAAACGGAAGACACGTGTGGAACGTTCCATTTTTTTTTAAAAAAATAAAAAGATGGAGGTCGAAATGCACTAGACATTTTACTATTGTATAGCAAAAGATCCAACTGTTTTGTATTAATAGGTATTTGCTTGTAGATTTTACTGATACAGACATCAATATTATACAAATGCCATGGATGATAAAAGACGAGGTGAGATCGGCAGAATTCAATATTTTGGTTGGTGACACAAAGAAATGAACCTGCTTTTTTTGTGTGAGGGCCTTTTTATTTTTCAAAGACATTACCCCCTTCATGAGAAGGGTAGAGCTCGATGGATTCACAGTCCAGTATTGTGTCTTTGTTATACTTGTGGAGTCGCTTCTGTCTTGGGTCTTTGAATGTAGACGTTAGCAAGTTCCTGCATCAAGAATAACAACATCTCTCAAGGTCATTGTCATGGACAAGAAAGACGACGGACAGTAACAAGAAAGAAGTTGTTACCTAAGCTAAAGTCAGTGTACGTCCTTGTTGTATACATTTTGACGAGGGAGCGGTGCTAGTTAAACAATGGTGACAACTAAAAAAAAAAACTAAGCGTCACGAGGGTTCTTATTCACCAGTAGTCTGTAGGCTAATTAAATATTGTAGGCAGTGTAGTGAACTAAAGGGGAGAAACACCAATGCGGACAAATGCTAAAAAAAAAAAAATTGGCCTTCCGTAATATTTGGCCCATGGATAAACCGAAAGCCTAAAATTAGCCGGAAAGAATAACCCCTATTATTAACCACTTTTATGACCACAGTTAGTAATAAATAGTAGAGTGGGGGGAACAGAGAAGGGTTCCTGAAAATCTGGGAAAAGAAAACGTGCGATTTAATCTGAAAATACAAACAAACAGAAAAAAAAAAAAAAAAAAATCCGGTTTTTATAGGCATGTAAAAGAACAAGGTGGTTTTTGTTTCATTGAAAAAGTTAAATTAAATTGTCGGTTCATAAAAATAAGCTTTTTTCGTAGAATAAAAAAAAAAAAATCTCTTTTAAAATCCAAAGGGTATAAATAGACTTAGAACTGTTCTATGAGTTTTATTTCATTTTTACTGAAAAAGGTCATTATATTTACATTACAAATAAATAATAAATAGCTCACTGTGAAATAGACTGATAATTCAACCCACTCTTTTAATTTCAACTCAGCAAGACCTGCCTTTTTTTTTTTTTTGTTGATTTCTGAAATAAAATCAGCCCACAAAGATTCCACCCCGAAGTGGTAAAGATCTTTTGTGTAAAAAAAAAAAAAAACTTTCTTTTTTTTTCTTCTTGTTTTTTCTTTAAATAACAAACTAATAGATAACACAATTTATACGATGGAGGCATTTTCAAGACCTCCACCCAATACGAACACAGCAAAGAATGAAGAACAGTCTGAATCATACCAATCATTATCTCAATTTGATGAAGAGTTACAGCAACAAGCGTTAATAGCCATGGAACAAGAAATCGAAGCCTGGAAAGACTTTGAAAACTACATGCCTCCTGATCCCAACTTTTTTTATAATAACAATAGACAACTTAATAATGATCCGCGATACACCAATGCACAATCACCCATGATAAATACAGAGCTTGTTGATTTGGTTTCCAATACCGGCTTACCGTCTACTCAAATGCGTCAAAATAGCACTTATCTTTGGCCAACTCAGGAGCCCAATTCGAAACAGACAACATTGTCCGCTGAGACTACAGCTAGTGTGAGTCCATCGCTTCATCACCCATCACCATTTGGAAGCCCAGACTCCATGTTTCATGATTCAGATACATTGGATCATTCACCTAGTCTCTATCAACAACATTCATCTCCCATATCTGCTTATCAAACACCTTCTGAAACCCCAACACATTCACCCAAAATTGATTTATTTACTGCGCCTAACAATTTTCGTGTTCAACAACCTCCAAATAAGCTTTTACCCATACAACCCTATACAGGTAAATTACATTTCTTTTTTTTTATATTATTGATCACTTTATAAATTGAATCCCCTCCTTCCCCATTTTTAGGTACTGATAAACCCGCGCACCAAAAATCACCGTCGATCACAACAAACCCACCACCTTTTGTACCCCAACAAAAAAAGAAGAAGGCCCATAATGCCATTGAACGTCGCTATCGTAATAATATCAATGATCGTATCACCGAATTAAAGAATGCGGTACCTGCGCTTTTACATGCCAGAGTAAAATCAAACACCAAACGATCCCATCATCATCAAGAAGACGACGAGGATGATGAAGAAGATTGTGAAGACTACATTGATGGTGTTGCCATTGCTACCAAATTAAACAAGGCTACCATCTTGCGTAAAGCCACTGAATATATCTTACATTTGAAACGCACGAGTGATGATTTACGTCTTGAAAATGAGAATTTGCAGCATTTATTAAGTCAATTACCTGGCGGACATGATATTCTTGGTAGATACCGAGTGCAAAAGACACACCGAGAACAAGAAATCAAGCGACAAGAACTTCAAGATCAAGCTGTGGAAAAACACCGACAAAGAAAAGAACAAGCGAATAGTAAAAAACGGTCAAGACATGATGCAGATGAATCTGGTACTTCTTCAGGTTCTTGTGAATTATCTACACCCGTACCCATTCGACAAAAACTTTATCACTCTCCAAAAATCGTTATTCCTACTCCTCCTCCTCCTGCTGCTGCTGGTACATCCATGACAAATCGTGTTTTTATGGCCTTATTTATGGCCATCAGTTTTTTTTCAGCATCGCCTCTGTCTGCAGGTCCTACATCCAAAGAACAATTTGAAAGTCATAATCATATCTCTCGTACAGCAGAAGAATTAGGTTATTCCAATAGCAGCTCACCCACTTCCTACCTCGGCTCTCTCTTTCCTCTCTCCGATGGATGGTAAGTCTTACAAAGCATATTTTAATTATTACTTTTTTTTTGTATTAATCACTCATCCATTTAGGTCTGCATTCAGAACCACTGTGTTTGCCATCTGCCTTGTCCAATTGATGTTTCCCATGTTAAAATTCTGGTTTTCGTTCAGTTTTATCAAGGTGAAGAAAGTCAATAAGAAATCACGTACGAGAGCGGACTCTCGATCTTCCTTGAACGGCAATATTGCGTCTCATCTGACTCCACTTACTCCGGGCGATCAAAAATGCATGCAAATCTATACCATTCTTGTCAAATCATTAGAGAATGAACAACATACCTATTCAAACACCATTCTTCCCCAAAAACACTATAACGCCTTTGGTTTCTTTTATGTGTTGGGTAAAGAAATCGTACGTTTTGTATCTCGGCATTGGCTTGGTTATGAAATTCTGTACGACGACCAAAATTTGACCCCACAAGAACAATGGGTACAAGTATGTAAATGGATAAAGTTGAATGAAGTCGAATGTCTTGGTGGAAACCCTCAAGTGACTCGGTGTTCTATGCTCTACTCTTGCCTTCACATGCTCAACTTGATTGAACTAATGGAAGATGATGAAAATGAATACGTGGAACAATCCCGTTCTCGTGTCTATGCTACAGCTGCTATGCAAATGGCGCTTGTGATTCCTCATCACGGACTTTCTGAGATGCTCTCACGTTACTTTTGGCGACTCTCCATGTATGAATCCGGACTGGAAGATGATCCCTTGATGCGTGCCCTTATTTTCGATTGTCATGAAGATAACGGTGAAGATCGTATGGAAGTCATGTTAAAGTCGCGTGCATGGAACGAAACCTTGGAGGTAATGAATCAACAGCTGGAACATTTTGGTAAAGCAGAAACATCTGGTCTTTCGCTCTCTATGACAGCGCCTGTTTTATTACCTGTCGGTATCTTGTCTACGTTACATTTGTTGGATAATTTACAAACCCAGTTTGGTCGACTGATTATATCTGTTACTGCTAAACCCTTGACAACAAGTCAGGTCGAATCTGATTTCAATGAGACGGCGTTTGCTCAGTTACTAGACATCACAGACCCACAAGATGTAAATGAAAAGGTGGATGATTACCATCGATTAGCTCATTGGTTAGCAGCCGTGGGCGGTACGGTCGAAGCCTTATGGAAGAGTGATACAGAAACAGCCAACAAATTGATCAAGACACTTGTTCAAAAAGTGCCACGTTCATTGGTTTCACGCGAATTTATTGGTGGTGGCGATAGTCGGGATTTGGTTGGCCATAAGGATCGCATGAACAGGTTAGACGAATTAACCAAGAAAAGCATGATACATACCCTTGTTGGTGCTACCTTGCTGAAAAAAGGTGCTGAACAACAACGTCAAGGTGTGCAAGAACTTTGGAAAGCAGAACAGATAAAAACTTCCATCAAGAAATTAATGACCAAGAATGGATCCAAATGCCTTCAACACGACGACCAAGAGGATCTTGAAAGTTCTGTGCTGGCTCTAGCAGAATTCGTTACTGCCGTTACTGGTTTAGAGGCTTGGATCTCTGCATGGCGATTAGCACCTGTGTTGGCCGATGCACAACGTGATGCATGGGAAAACAGTATGACGGAACAGGTGCGTCATGCCAGTCTGAATTTACGTCGTATGATAAAACGTCATTCACTGGATGGTCTTCGAACAAATCAAGCTATCGTAGAGCGTCTAAGTCGATTGGGTGCCTTTGTATCGAGTCAGATTGATGAAATTGATTCTGCTTGTGATTGTTCTGAAGACGAACAATATGATTCTGATGATCCAGATGATAATCATGTATTATTGCGTCGTTCAGAAAAAGCACTTGAAATCCTTCGTGGTATTTCATAACCAAAATGTATAACCCCCCCTTACCCCCACCCTTCCCTTGTCAATAGTTATTTACCCAAACCCTCGTTTCTTTATTATTTATTTATAATTTCCTATTTTTCCTTTGTTGTCACTTAATAAACCTTTTTTTTTGTTTATACACACATAAAATGAAAGCAAGTCATAGATAGTGATAGTTTTTTATTATTATTATTGCAAATGTATGAAAAGGATGTTTTGTATGTACAAGTTATTATATAAAGCTGAGGTATGGTGGGGATATTTTATTGTACATTGTGAAGCTTTTGAATTCTTTGATGATAATCCTGTACTTCTTCCTTTAACTGATTCAAGTGTTGATTGACGCGGTTCATTTTATTATCAATCCATTGAGAGTCAGTGTGGGTTGTAAGATGTTTCTGTTGCTGTACTAAATCGAGTGTATTGGTGATACGCTTCAAACGTAAAGCTAATAAACAATGGGTCACTAACACCAGAAAGAAACCAAAATAAACAAACCCGATTAAACGAGTGGATCCGACCCAATCCATAGCATACGAAATCCATCCTTGACCTGCATACTTTTTCGTCGATGACCTGCTCTTGCTGCTGTTGCTGTTGCTGTTGGGACGATTGGCCAAATTTAAATCTTGTAAAAGTTGTTGATCATTGACCAATTCCTTGATTAATTCAGGTTTGTTTAAAATTGAATTTAAATGACTGTAGAGTCTTAATTGATCATCGGCTGCGTTTTTTTCAATGATAGCTGATATATATATATATATATAAAAAAAATTGTTTAGTTGAATGTGATAGAGGAATAGAAGATGGAAAGACTTACAACTGACAAGGCCGGTTTTGGAAAAGACGACTTGAAATGTAACCAGGACATGGACCTTGTCTTTACTCACGCGAGTGATACAGGTTCGTGATTGAATCGAGTACACAGCACCCATCGGCATATCTGGCATTGATTTTTTAGCAGTGATACAAGTATAGTAAGGTATTTTTCGATGAATTCTACGTTCTTCGAATAATGTTTTCACAACGCGTGTGCCTAATTCAAAAAAAAAAAAAAATAACATGAGAACCAAATATTTAGTAAAGACAATGTATATTACCTGTGGTAGAACTCTTGATACGTCGTTGACCAATAACCTGGCGTTTTCCATGCTTCCATGCACTTGATTGAACATGTTCGAAATTCTCATACCGTTCAAGAAATCCTGGAAAGAAATTACTATCAAACAATAAACGAAACATGGCTTGAACAGATCCCTTATAAGTTTCATTGAGGGCAATATGAGGATACTGTTCTCCATTGACAGTACAAGGACAAACCCTTGTCTTTTTAATGGTGGGTGTCATCACCGTCTGTTGACGTAAGGGAGAGACTTTTGGTTCGGGTATCGTGACAGCAGTTGTTGATGTTGCTGATGCTGTTGATCTTGGCTTATAATTGGAATCTGAAACTGATCTGGGACGTTGTTTGGCGATCGTAGGAGAAAGTCTAGCCGATTTCTCCGGTGTTTGATTAGCGTCAGCAGCAGCAGCAGCAGCGGCTGAATTTGATGAAGAGGCAGCGGGAGGGGAAGGAGAGGGTGAGGCGGAAGGCGGCTTATTTGATTCCGCTTTTGGTGTCTTTAGAACGACAGCAGAATCGGCAGATGATATATCCTCCTCATCTTCTTCGGTATCTCCTTCCTCGTACAATGAATCATCATCCTCCGTTCCGTTGTCGTCGTCGTCGTCAATAGGTAGAGGTATTGGTATCACAGAATTGATTTTTTTACGAAGGTCCCAGATTTTCACAATTTGGTCATACGCTAGATCACGCGAAAGAAAGGAGGCAAATGTGTGCTAGATTTATTGTGTTAGGAGCCGTTTAGCGATATTTTCTCTGTTTATGTATAAATCAATCTGCTTACCCTGGAAGTGCTTGTGGATATAGTAATTCCGTTGGGAATAATTCTTGCCGTCATTTTCTTTTCAACACCAATGATTTCTTCAAAGTTAATTACCAACTAAAATATAAGACGAGTTAAGTTATCAGACTAAAAAAAAAAAAGTGACAAGTAGAAATATTTACATTGGTGACCCAACCAAAGATATTTGATTTGAAACAAACATGATGTTCAGATATAAAGAGGTGTCCTTGTAAAAGAATATCTTTCTGAAGTGCACACTTGTAATCTATGATAATAAAGATAAAATTGATTGATGAATTGCTTGTTTTTCATGATATAAACTTTTTTGTTGGTGTTGTTTACCTTGAATTAACATGTCGTTTTCTTGTACGCTCTTGAAAAGCGCGTGAAATTCTTCATTTTTCTTTTCGTTGGCCAATCGGAGATCGCAGGCAGTGGCAAAACTCCCGGGCCTGCCAGTTCCAGAAAGCACATCAGCTTCAGCAGCCGCAGCTGCGTTCAAAGGAGGTTGTTCACTTGCGCACTCCGATTCATCGGCGTTCGTAGGTGATTTAGTAGATGAGGAAGAAAATGAGGATAGAGAGGAATCTATGCTATTGTTTCCCTTTTTGATTGTGAAGGGTCTTCGGATAGGTAGACTGTAATGCTTTTTTCGAGAAGATAGAGTGTCACTGTGTGAGTCGTCAATGAATTGATCATGGTGGTGGGATACGCTTGATGGCATTCTTAGTTTTTCAACCGAGTTGAGAGAGGCTGAACTATCCAAGGAGGGTACATTATTGTTGTGGGTGTCCCCTATCGAGCGTTTGGAGTCAAGACTATGTCTCTTTTCCAAAACATCATGAACTAAAGATTTTGTAGAATCCTTTGCTTTCGCTAACATTTTAGTGGCTGAAAATCTTCGTTTGAGTAAGGTGCTAGAGTAGAAGGAATCACTATTGGAATTACTTCTTGGTCGATGGAAGAAATGAGAAGAAAACGTTGAATTTTTGTCCGACATTTTTTTTTTTTTTTTTTTTTTTTATTGTAGTATAAAGTTTGAGTCTTTATGACGTAGTGGTGAGATATAGAGAAAAAAAAATTAAAAAAAAAAAAAGAGATACTAAAAAAGCTTTCAAGTGTTTTTCATTTTATATAATTTCTAAAAGGCTATTTTGAATATCCGAATATTTTGATTTTGTTTACAGTTCAAAAAAGTTAATTTAATCTTATGCGTGTTTACTTTATGTTTTCCTTACCGTGCATTATTTAGAGGAGGCATGTGTGTGGGAGCATGCGAGTAAATACACTCCCATTATTTCGTATTGTCATTTTTTGAATTGACTTTTCTATGGTAACACACAAGATTTTAAAATTCTGGGTTGTTTGCCCGTCATGATGTAAGGAAATAAACAGAAAGAAAAAACGTGTCAATGATACAATGCCACGGTACTTGGTTAAATAAAATTCCCGTCACACAGCCTCTCCCATCAACACATTCATCTACCGCGACTTTAAAAGAGAAAGGATAAATGCTTTTTGCTTTAATAATAAAATGGGGATAAACTGTGTACAAGTGTGATAATATTTAAGAGAGAAAGAGAGAGAATGCAAGGGTTGCTTTTCTAGAATAAGCCAATCTTTGCTTTACCTTCCTTCATCAAAGGAGAGATATAAGTGCCGAGAAATTTGAAAAGATCAGTTCGAACCTCTTGGATATCAAAGATATTAAACTTTTTGGGGTTTCTCTCGGTATCAATCACCACCAATTCCAATTGATCCAACTTCAAATGTCCTCCTTCAACAAGTGCTTGAAGACGGTTGGGTGTTCCGATACCCATATGAATAGCTTCATGCTCTAAAAAGTAAACTTGATCTTCAATCTTGAAATGTTTAGCGAATAACTTGGCAACCTTGGCAGTTTCACTGAATTCTTTCAATGCACTATAAAAACACAATTTAGTTCCCATTGCCTTTCCCTTTTCTTCTTCTATCGCAACTGCTTACCGGCCAAGATCAACTGCACGAACAGCGGAGTGTGTAATGATTAAAGCAACAGGGCTTGCAAGCACAGTAGGTTTCTTTCCTAATTTCTTGTGACCTGCAACACCAAACTTGATGAAATTGGGTAAAGCATCTAAGACGTGTTCTTGTTTAAAGTTTTCGTTATTGACAAGAGCTGATTCAGGTAACTGTTGTTCTTCTAATTCAACAGCAGACAACTTGGGTAAAGCAATCTTTTGGCGATCCTCTAAATAAGCAGCTTGAATTTCAGGTGTTTCGTCCCAAATATTAATCGTATCGAAAGGATTGTTCGAGATCTTCTTCTTCTTTTGTTGCTTCTTCTTCTTTTTGACAGGTTCCTCAGATTCCGGTGCTTTACGCTTTACAGCAGGTGTTTCCTCATCCTCGATCGCAGGTTCGTTATCAGAGAAAACGGCTTCCTCCTCTTGGAAATCATCTTCAAAGTCATCAGCAGAGACTTGCTTCTTTTTCGTTTCAACTTCAGCCATGTTGTTTTATAAATAATAATAATAAAAACTATGCAAAAATAAAGAGAGAGAGAAAAATTAGTTGAAAATTCTGGCATATGTCAGATTTAGAAAAAACTTTTGATAAGCCACAGTAAAAAAAAGTGCACTGTTGCTTATGTAATATGTGCATGATCAAAGCGGGGTTTCTTAAAAGAATAACCTTTCAAGCGATTTCATAATATGCACAATGAAATCGATACACAAGATGTTTGTAGAAAGGTTCTAGCTGATTATGACTTAGTTCTCAATGATTTAAACAATGCTCAATTGCGTATGCCACACGTATCATTTTTGTCAGTAACATAATTCATTCTCAGGCATTAAGCTAAAAATGGTCCATGACGTCAATTTGCATTGCAATTCATATTGCAACTCTCAGTGGCATTCCCCGCCGGTTTTTGCTTTGAGGTCTGTGCTTTTTTTTTAAAAAATGACATATATGCAAACATGACCTGCTTGCTTTTTATCTATTTGAAGAATACACATTTCACTACAATTATAATGAGGGATTTTCGGCAGAAGCTTGAAGGCTAGAAATCGTGAAAAAATCGTTGTACATTTCCTTTGATCTGGATAACTTTTAATATAAATGCAGCAGCTACTGTCACTGTAAATATAGCGGAATTCCCTCAAAACGACATGGTCTAGGATTTCAAAAATAGGCGTACTTGCTTGTGAAGGACTCTAGACAAAGACAAAAAACCAAGAGAATGTAAATTCTATTAGTACAAAAGGAATCAAGAGGATATATAGTCATCGCTCGTCATGATCACAGTACGTTTGGCCAGTTTTTTCTTCTTTCTGTGTCTTACAAACGACCTTGAATACACAAAATGTAAAGAGATGCCTTGAGGTTCTTATGTTGGATGCTGCATACATAGCAATTGCTTTTACGTTTATCTTTTCACCGGTGCTAGTGGTGCAAGCGATGTCAGTGACAGAAAAAAGAATGGATTGCATGCTTTGTGTCGGACTGTAGATAAAACTAAAGAGACTAGCAAATAATGCTTTGAGACATTGAAGAAGCAGGTAAAATGAGTGTCTTTTCATTAGACATATAAAGAGACTTAAATAACGTATACTTATATGTTTTAATTCAAAATTTTACAGCTGAAGAAAATAGGTTGCCACAAAAAAAAAAAAAAAATTGATCCATTTCAGAAAACATTTAGGACACCAATTTTGAACATTCGGTCCTAAAATCAACGGCTTTTTTTTTCTTCTTCTATTACTTTATATCGATATTCTTATTGTCGATGCAGCGGTATCGTCTTTGGTCATAGGAAGATTATTCTCATTCTTCACGTTCCCATGGTGAATGGTGATGGCAGAAGGTCATGGAAATCAGTTATTGAATAAAGAGCTAGATATGCACTCCTTTCTAGGACTTTTTTTTTTTCAATGTATCAAACTTTGCAATGAATGAACAGCATTTTTTTTTTCGGTCTTTCTTGAAGTATATTAGACATTGACTTACGAAGCTATAAATAGTCGGGCCTGGTGTATGATGAAAAGTACACAGCAATTATTTAAAGGTGATCGAGTATTCTATAGAAATCATTTTATCAAAACAAATAGGAACGCTACGAATGAATACATCTATTCCAAGTATCGACTTTGGACAATTTATCACATACAAAAGAGCTAAGTATCAACGGAAACTGGCCATTAATAATTGGAAATGTCTAGACCTCACCTAGATTTGGGATTTATCTTGTAATTGATACTTATTAATTAGTATTTTCTCCGCTTTTTATTTCTGTTTGTTGTCCATTGTAATTATATGTACAATCACTACACCTTCTTACATAAACCCGTCGTAAACCCTTTACTGTTTTGGATCTTAAAACTATATTACCTTCTCATCTCTCACTGTATTCTTATCGATTTACATTTATCCGTCTTATTTACATATTATATCGTCTAAAATCACTTCAGAAATATTCTTAATATATAATAAAACCAAGTTGAAAACTAAAAGTCTGATGCTCATTATCACAATTGTTATATAATGATAATTGCCCCTTTTTAATCTAGCGCAATATCAATATCTCGATTATCTTAAGCCTAATACATCATTCATCAAGCCTTCCGACTAGGCTGTTTCCTAAGAATATCTTTAATTATTGATTTAAAAGCCCTCTTAATAAAACCCTTAATTTAAACTACTGGAGAGGTTCTTAGATCACCTTTTTGATTTTAATTAGCTACCAATTAATGCTTTGAGGTTATTTTTCCTTACTGACAAGAACAAATCTATCTTTTGCCTGTTTGAACATTAGGTAATAAGAGAGAAGTCACAGTGACTGTGAATCCTAGAGTAAAAAGTGGCGTTCATGTCTGGTAACTGGCATTTAATTCATGTAGAGAATAGAAAAAAGGCATATTTCCAACAGTTTCTTTTCCCTTGTAACTTATTTTTAGAGCAATGTCCACCACTGTAGATAAAGAAGCGAAGCCCGCTGTTGACATGGAATTACTTTCCAAGAAGACATTGGAAGAGACTACCTTTGCTGATCTTGTAAGCATTTTTTATTGAATAAAAAGAAAAAGAAAAAGTGAGGTCCATATAATTTAGATCTAACCATTAACATGTAGGGTGTCTCTCCTCAATTATGTGAAGCTATTGAAAAAATGAAGTTCACACATCCTACCGAGATTCAAAAGGAGTCCATTCCTTGGGCTATTGAAGGTCGTGATATTATTGGTCTTGCCCAGACAGGTTCTGGTAAAACCGCAGCTTTTGCTATCCCCATTATTCAAAGACTTTGGGATAACCCTCAAGCATTCTATGCTTGTGTCTTGGCTCCTACCAGGTAAAATAGATAAACTAATATGAACTAATTGAAACTGGATTATTAAAACAAGGTATCTTTAGAGAATTGGCTTACCAAATCGCAGAAACTTTTGAGTCCCTCGGTACAGTGATTGGCGTTCGTTCAGCAGTTATTGTGGGTGGCATGGATATGATGTCTCAATCCATTGCACTTTCCAAGCGTCCTCATATCCTTGTGTGTACACCCGGTCGTCTTCAAGATCATTTAGAAAACACCAAAGGTTTCAGTTTAAAGAGTTTGAAGTACCTTGTTATGGATGAAGCAGATCGTTTATTAGATATGGATTTTGGACCCAAGATTGATCAGATTCTCAAGGTGATTCCTCGTGAGCGTAACACATTCTTGTTCTCTGCTACTATGACGACCAAGGTTGCAAAGCTTCAAAGAGCCAGTTTAAACAAGCCTGTCAAGGTGGAAGTTGCCAGCAAATATTCTACTGTCAAGACACTTTTACAATACTATCTCTTCTTCCCTCTCAAGCATAAGGATTGTTACATGGTCTATCTTTTGAATGAGCTTGCCGGCAATTCTACAATTATTTTCACACGTACATGTCACGATACTCAAAAGATTGCCATCATGTTGAGAAATCTTGGTTTTGGAGCTGTGCCTCTTCATGGTCAATTGCCTCAAGCTAAGCGTTTGGGTGCCCTTAATAAATTTAAGGCCGGTACACGTAATATCTTGGTTGCCACCGATGTTGCAAGTAGAGGTATCGATATTCCCATGGTCGATGTCGTAATTAATTACGATGTGCCTCAATCATCCAAAGATTATATCCATCGTGTCGGCCGTACTGCAAGAGCAGGTCGATCCGGAAAGTCCGTTACCTTTGTCACCCAGTATGATGTCGAATTAATTCAACGTATCGAAAAGGATTTGGATCACAAGTTAGATGTGTTCCCCGTTGAAAAGGATGAAGTGATGATGTTACAGGAACGTGTTGATGAAGCTCAACGTATCGCCACAATCGAATTAAGAGAGACTGATAACGGTAAAAAGTCCAAGCGTGGATCTCGCAAGGACGATGACGATGACGATGATCTCGATAAGGAAGAAAGAACTGGTGCTCAAGCAAAGAGAAAATATAAGGGAGATAACAAGAAAGGTGGAAATACCAACAACAATAATAAAGGAGGCAACAAGAGACGCCAATAATAATTTTGACATTAATAAAAAAAATAGAATTTGTATAGTATTATGGGGGATATAAATGGATGTTTATATTTTTAGCTGTAAAAAAATTATAAGCGTAAGTGGCGGTGGGAGGGGGGGGGGAGGAGGGAGGGAGGGAAATGAAATATTACAATAGAGATTCTGGATGCGGTTTGATGTTTAATGAAGGGGATATAATCTGCGGAGACACAGATGAGGATGTCCAAAGACTAGTGGGTAAATTGCAATCGCCTAGTTTTCGAATACATTGCAGCACAACTTCTTTTGTCACTGGTTTGCTCAATGTCATGTCAAAAATACCTTCAGATTGATTATTGCATTCGTACGCTGTTACTGCTACCATGGTTGTATTCTTATTGATATTATTAGTGGACCGAATCATGCGTGCTGCTGCTTGTCCATCAACTACAATTTTTATAAGTATGATTATTATTATTTTTTTTAAAAAAAAAAGAAATGACTTACTAATAGGCATGCGAATATCCATAAAGATTAAATCGAATTGGACTTTATCACTGATAGCGCACCGAAGTGCTTGGGCACCATTTCGAACAATCACACACCGACACTGTAACAAATTCAAAATGGTTTCCAATATTTTGCAACTGATCGGGTTATCATCTGCAATTAAACAATTCAGCACTCTGTCAACACCGGATCGGGAAGAAGAGCTTAAATCATCCGCTCTTTCAATATCAAGAGGATGTGCATGCATTTGAAGTGGAAGAGGGATTAATCCTGGATTCTGTGCACTTGAACTACTGCTACTATTGCTGCTACTACTGGTATAATTAGAAAAGGCAGAAGAAGATCCTACTGATGTGGATAAAACTGCTACACGATTACCGGGCGAGGAAACAGACCGAACACGTTGAGGTGCATCATCTTCTTTCCGAAGCCTATCAATATGGCTCAAAGGGTGATTGATTGCATCGATAGAGCGACGGTATTGAGTAGACGCAGTAGGTGTGGTTGAACAAGAGGGCGATAATGCACGCGGTGGAGTACAGGGTAAAGACGTAGAAACAGGAGGAAGAGGAGGAGGAGGCGAAGAGGCATGTGATGGGATAATATTGGTCACGGAACTCCTTGAACTAAAAGTATCCGCAATAGAACTTCTTTTTCTTCTGGAAATTGCAGGCAGTGAGCGATGCAAAGAAGCTCTGTCTGATGAAGTGGAGGACGAAATTACAGACGAGGAGGAGGTATTGGCTACAATACGTTCATGACGGATTTTCTTGATGGCATCTTCATTGGCTTTTTCTAAAACAGGCAAATTCTTGTAAACAAACGTTCCAAAATCTGCATCATCCGAGGTTTGAAAATCTTCTGAATCAATAAGTGAAATTTTATCCGGATTTTGCTCGTTAATAATGGCTTTTGCACGCTTGATCTCTTCCATCACCAGGTTTTGAATACTATCTTCTTCCATCATGGTTGCACCACGTGTATCAAAATAATCTGTATCTTCTTTACCCATGGGTTGTGGGACAAAAGAAGGGGATTCTGTTAATAACTTATCCCAATCTAAATCTTTAAAGAAAGCATGTTGTCGCACTTCTTCAGGCCCATTGCGACCAAGACGTTTCTCGGGATCCAAGGTCAATAGTCTTTCCATAAAATCATAGGCTTCATCTGGTAAATTCATTTCATCTTTATGCCAGTCAATATTTCTGGATAAAATATTCTCAAAGACCTTATCAGGTGTCTCTGCATGAAACGGTGGATATCCGTACAAGAATTCATAACAAATGACGCCTAGAGCCCACCAATCTACCATCGAGTCCTGGCCTGTGCCTAAAATACTTTCAGGAGCAAGGTAATCCGGTGTACCTACCGCTTGTTCCTGTCGCATCATCCCGCTGTCCTCATTACTTTCGGGTACAGATGCATGAACAAAAGCAGGCGTTGTTAATCCCGAAGGTAATAAACCCGAACTCGTGCGTTGTCTATGAGGCTTTGTCGTAGCGCTGGTATTAAGCTCTTCATGAATGTGAGATGGTAAAGCTGGCACACTACTGCTGCTACCACCCACCAAAGGTTCATTAATAGGTATATCACCACCCGATGTAGAACTAGTCATAGACCCTCGTCTATTTCTGTCTCGGTCAAAGAGTAGACTAAAATATGAATGTTTATAGAACTTTCCGTTGGATAAGGCTGCAGGTACTAACGGGGATTGAGGTGGCGTGCCAGATCGAGAAGGTGCAGGTGATGTAGGTAACAATGAAAATGGATCACTGCTGAGCTCGTCACGGACTCTACGGTCTAAAAATCCAATTCTTGATAATCCAAAATCGGTCAATTTTAAATGACCATTTTGATCAATTAATAAATTATCAGGCTTAAGATCTCTACCATATATTTAAAAAAAAATTTTAGTTCCAAAAATCATAACCTGTTGTATAAATATCTCCTTTCGTCTTACCGGTGGATAATGTGCTTATTATGAAGATAAGATAAGCCTAAAGTAACTTCTGCAAGATAATTACGAGCCCAATCACAGGGCAAATTGCCAAGCGCTTTGATCAAGGAAGAACAATCACCGCCATTTAAATACTCTAGTACTAAATATAGATAATCCTTGGACTGAAAAGTGTAATATAGTTTTGTTACATAAGGACTATCCGTCTGAGTCATTAAAATCATTCTTTCAGCCTTGACATTTGTCACTTGGTTCTTGGCAATCATGTCTGACTTCTTTAAAAACTTAATGGCATAATAATCGCCTGTCACTCTTTTTTTGGCAAGGAAAACAGAACCAAATGCACCTTTACTGATTGGCTTAATAATATCAAAGTCTTTGATACTAGGCGGAACAGGCCGTGCTGACATGATGGGTGCAGGTAATGGAGATAATGGAGATTTGCCAAGAGAAGGCGTGCTACTACCAGATGATTGTATTCTTCCAGTGAGACTACTTTTTCTTGGCTGTGGTGGCTGCGGGTTCGTATTTGCTGGAAATCTTGGTGATGCTGCAGGTGTATCAATAGTTTCCATTTCAATAATACGAGGTGCAGTAGAAGGTGTTGTAGACACAGTAGGTACGGTAGAAACAGGTGGAGGAATTGAAGCTCCATTTTTACGTCTCGCACGTTTGGAACGTGAACCATTACCACTGCGTCTTGCACTGATTTTCCAGTCCTTGATCTTTTCAAAGAGGTTCTGTTTTTTGATCTCACTATTTTCTTCCAAGGAGCTTTTCTCGGACTCTAACATGGGAGTTTTCACTTTTTCTACCTCAACTGAGTTGCTAGTGGCCTTAACATCGGTAGGAACAACAGCAGCCTCGACTTTTTCTGGTACAAATTCAGACCATTCATTGTCACCAATGACGTTATGTTGAAAGTTGTTTCGAATACGCTCATTGTAATCCAAACAATCCTGCATTCGATTGACAGCATCAACCTTAGCTTTAGTAATGAATTCGATGTTATTGATCAGTGATTCAGTATCTGCATCGTCTGCCAATGGGGCTCTCCAGTAGAGAATTTGAACAATTTTAGATTTAGAGACGGCTGACTGCTTCGTATGAGAGCAATTGAGTCGATCGGGTGTCTCTTTTAAATCAGCTTCATCATCTGGACTGCCTGGTGTAGCGATAGACAATGCTACATTCATAATATCCAACATGGTTGTATATTTTTCGAGTTCAGATCTTCTTTTCTCCAAAGGGAGTACGTGATCTTTTTCCAAAGGCAAACCTTCTCCAAAAATTGAGTCATCATCACTATTGATACTGGTGAGATCATCTTCCTCTTCAAGAATTGTAGCTTGTGGATTAGTTTCCAATTTTTGGACTTCATACGTGGTAATATCGTACAAGCCTTGTACATAATGCTTCAATTCTGATAGACTATCATTGCAAGTACTCACATCCATTTCAGCACGATGAATTTCGACGCATAATTCAGAATGTTGCTCAAAGAAGGCAGCAACAACCCATCTTTCACATATATTACAAAGTGCAGGAGCGATGGTAAGTAAATGTGTGGTAGCATCTAGGCTGTTAGCAACCGGAACACCACCTTGTGAAACAGCTCTTCGCATGGCAGAGGCCTGAATATTTCTAATAGTTGAAGATATTGGCAAATTAGGACTATTAAACAAAGGATGTGTTTCTGTGTTCGGTGCAGTATCATCAATGATGATTGTATCACTTGCGATTTCTGTAGTGCTAATGGGCCACCTTCTTACGGACGGTTTCAACACCCACATGGTATGACTGGGATATCCTGTGACTCTGTTGTACATTAGCATGCCCTTGCCTTCCAATTCAAAAGGTGTCTTGACATCATCTGTAATTACACCAAAAGTCACTTCGATAGTTTTTAAATTATCTGCAAGCATTTCGTCGGTTGCCTGAGAAAATACTTGTTTATTTTCATGTACAAGCAATTCAGATATATTAAGACCGATCATGGATTGAGGTCTAGTACTATATTATATAATGTAAACAAGAAGAGGTAAGACATGTGTAAATGATATTAATGAAAAAAAAAAAAAAAAAAAAAAAAAAAAAGCTGAAGAATTTAGCTAGTGATGCATACCCTATCACATCGTGCCAAACAGGACTTAAGTACTGAACAAGGGATGGTTTGAGAGATAATTCCATGACAATGGTGCTGCTTTGACCGATTTCCGCTTCCTCTTGAAACTGGCATGCTTCTTCATTGTCATTTTGCATAAAAGTTGACATGACACTGTTATCTCGTGTTCGTGGCACTCGTGTAGTACGAGACTCATCAATAGGATCATTCATCATCATAGCGCCCAAGTTAAATTGATCAGGTAAGTCAGAAGTTACTTTGAGAGGTTTAAATAAGGGAGTAACAGTGGTAGTTGTACTGGCTGAATTTGTGGTTGGGGTAATGATGGAAGAAGGGGTAGCCCAATATTTTCGTTCGGCTTGCCACCATTCTACAACTCGATTAAACGCCGCAACGCCAAGCACAAGTCGGACATACCATTTTTTGCATGGCCATTCCTTATAATACTCCCAATTACCGCCCACAGATTGGATATTTGAAACTGTATCAGCACCAATACCTGGGTTTTCTAAAAATACTTCTAGATCTGTATCTAGAACACTCTGTGCTAAACAGATCAGGTTTTGTAGTGTGAGTATAAAAGGTGTGGTTATATCATCATCTTCGGATATCATTGTAACAATATCTTGGATGGGTTTTAAGTCCTTGTCATCCCAATCCAATAAACTAGTATCATGTTGTAAGTCGTATACAGGAAAGTCTTGTTTATATTGATCCTCCTCAGACTCGTGATTCAATATATCATCTGGCGTTTCAAAATAAAGCAAATCTTTTTCAACATATTCATTTAATCCATCAATGATTTCGCGTAGCTCTAAATTACACGCATCTTTAGCCCATTGTAATCTTGATTTGATTGTGTGTCGTGGGCAATTCGCACCATTGTTTTTAGGTTTTTCACGAGGGGAAGTAAATGAGTCGTAATTATCGCCGAAATGGGAAAATGGATTTTTGTTAGGATTATTGAATCTATAACCAATATTGCCTGTAACAGCAACTGAAGGAGCATTAGCTGGCGGAAAAGAGGAACGGAATGTTGATCTAGTAGGGGTTGATTTTAACACTGGAAGCACTGCAGCTGGTGTAACGCAATCCGATAGTGATTCCTCATCAGACTGATAGTCCTGTTTATGAAGAGGGAACTGGTATTGAGAATCATGTAAATCAAGCGACAGACGTTGTGCATTAAAGCAGTCTTCTTGTGGTGGTTGGATAGAGTTCCACCAATGAGTAATTTTAGGATCAACCACGTCTGATTCATCCATCCAATTTATCCATTTTGGAACAGAGTCATGGTAAAGTGACCATTTTCTCATTTTGGTTGAACGTGATTCTTTTAATCGGCTGGCGTACGAGTTGTCTATAGGCAGAGATAATGGCTTACGTCTAATAGGCACACTTTTCGATTCTATAAAAAGATGATTAAAACACGTTTTTATAAACATGTATTTTAGTGTCTTACCTTGACAAGGATATCGACATAAACTGAAATAGTCCGTTTCTTCAGCTTCATAGACTGAAGTGTTTGTATGAAAATGATGATCGTCTTCCTCTAGATCATTGTTATCCATATCGTTCAAGAATACGGCTGGGTACACTGGAGATTGATAACTTTGGCTGATATCATCGGATAAAGGGAAATGAGCAGTATTTCTTTCTTCGTCAAGTGTCATCGCTATCACGTCTTTATCTGCGTCAATCGCCGCTGTTGTGGTTGATAACTGACGCTTTGTGAAATTCTGAATGGATTGCTTATACAAGTATTCGGGTAAAGCATCTGTAGAGGTATTTTTTAAAATACTTCCAGATGTAGACTTGCGTCTCTGCTGCTTATGATTGACTAGATAACAAAAATATATATATATGTGAGTATGCTGAATGCATAGAGATAAACAGATGTTTTTTTTGTTACATTTGATTGAATCATTATCATTGGACGAATCGTAATCTTCAGAAGAAAGGATGCTAATGTTATCAGTCAAAATGGAAGATATGGAAGAGTTTCGATGATGAATTCTGGTATCTTCATCGAATATTTTGGGCGAGGAAGGCAATCTATTTTCACGTAATTTGAATATGGAGCCAGACTTATCGTCCAGCCTTTTATCGATGGCGATAACGGAACTCTTTCTGCTTCTTGTCAATTTGATGGTCTCCGGTAAACTAATAGGTGTTGAGGGAGTCGACTCAGATGGAGTCCAACTTGTTCTGTTTGTTTTTTTCATGAATTTACCACCACTTCCAGCGGGTGGACTATGATAGCGTAAAGGGTTTCTTGAAAAGACGTCGGATTCACTACCAGGACTGGAAGCATATTCGTCACTGCTATTATTTTGAAAAATCATTTTTTTCTTGTCATTTGATGGAGGTAATTGTGAAGGAATAGTATCCTCGATCGACGACATGGAGGAGCGACTTTGGGGTCTCTTTTGCTGTGCTCTTTCTATTTTAGTTATTTCGGCACAAGTGGTAATAGGACTGACAGTAACAAACGCGGGGTTAGAACGGTTATGAGTTGATTTGGAAAAAGGTTTGACAAAACTACTTTCTATCATGGTGACGTCGTCGGTCCGAGAGGATGTTACTGGTTCCATCTTTTCATTGAAAGAAAGAAAGAAAGAAGTACATAAAATAAAAAAAATAATAATCAAAAAATAAGGCCAAAGCGACAAGAAAAAAAAAATATAGAAATAGTTTGCGTCACGCTTCATTGCTTCTAATTGGTTCGAACTATTTTGCATAAGAAAGTGAGAAGGGAGGTGTGCGTCTATTTTATTTGAGTAACCTATCGAAATAGCGTGTGTTTGTTGTTTAACTCTTTTTCATTATAATGTGACCATATGCTTTCTTTTTAATTAAGTAATAGCTGGGAATTTTTTCTTTTTTGTATATTACATCATTCAATAAAGGAGTTCCCATAATATTCTACATGTGGTATGAAATAAAACTGTAGTTTTAATGACAACAGCTGAAAAAATTGTTTGTTTTTAAATCGCCACGCATACCGTAAACGGCACTTTAAAAAACATCGTTCAACTTGTATTCCTTCCATATCCAACGGCGCATATTTGCTAGTCTATGTTTATATGTCCAAAATGCACAGTAGCGTAATAAACGCACATCATTTTAGCGATAATATTTGAAGCCCAGGTCGTTGCACCTATCAGCCTCAAAAATTAATTTATTTTTAACTTTTTTCTCTCTCTCATATTTTTTTTTTCTCTTCTTCTTAAACAATGTCGAAGCCGAGAATTATTGGTGAATTAGTTATTGTCGCTTATAAAGCTGTAAGTCATACTTATTGTGCTTGTACTAAAGAGAACAGTGTTAACGGGTTTCTTTTCTTTAGAGACATCTTCCTGAACGCGAGGTAATGAAGCAAAGTTTATATTTATTCTCTCATCTCTAAACAATTTTCTCATTGCTGAAACAGCTTGTCGGTAAACAAGACCCATTTGTTGTGTTCCGCTTGGGCGAAGTTACCAAAAAGACTAAAACCGATCTTAGAGGTGGACAGCATCCAACTTGGGATGATCAGGTACCGTTTAAACCCGATAAAGAGAGAGAGAGCGAAAAAAAAAAAGTCTAATTTTATTGATCTAAAAAAAATCAGGTCAACTTGCCCGTGCCTGAAAAGAAAAAAGTTGTGATCGTTCAATTATTTGATGAAGACGCGAAAAGACAAGAATTGATTTCTGAGTGTGAATTGGACATTACAAAGGCTTTGGAAGAAGGAGAAGATGATGGTAAATCTTGGAAATCTTTTTTTTTTTCAATAGAGTGTGTTGTTTACGGTTTTATTTTAGATTGGTATCAGTTGCATTATAAGGGCAGAGAAGCAGGCCAAATTTACTTGGAGTTGACATTTTATGCAGCCGTAAGTGCATATCAATTTACGCCCGAATACCTTAATAAAATTTTTTCTTTTCTTTTCTATAGCAACCTCCACCAAAGCGCCAACCTACGAGATACGGTGGTAAACATCCTAAACCAACTGGTTATGCACCTCAACAAACACCGCAACAACAAAGACCTTATCCTACCTCCCCTCAATATCCTCCTCAACCTTCCTACGCTGGAACTCCAATTGCACCTACGCCTAGTGAATCACATTCTACACCAATGTATCGCCCAACTCAACCGCAATATGGTGCCCCCAATTCTTTCCCTTACCCTCCCACTGCTCCTCCACCTTCAAACTCGTATGATCCCAACCGTGTCATGTGGAATAAAGAGCATCCCCGTCCTACTAATGAGGGTATCCCTATCAGATATGGAACACCAGATTCTACTAGCAGACCTACTTCACCACCCGGTCCAGGAAGTTATGGCAGCAATAACTCCGCTTCCCTTTTATCCTCTTCCTACAATCCTCGTCCTAACAACTATGGTGGCGGTGGTGGCTATCCTCAAACCAACCCTAATCCTAATAGAAACAGCTTTCCTAGCAATTATGGTGCTAGTCCATACCCACAACATAGTGGTGGCGGAGGGTTCCCTGAGCCTCAACAATTCGCAGGCGGATATAATCCTCATGCCGATCCTTTAGGTACACCTTTTGCTGCTCATCAAGGTAGCTTCAATACTGGACCACCTCAACCTCAATATGGAACTCCTCAGCATTCTGGCTATCCCCCTAACCAGAATTATCCTCCTCGTCCACAGTATCAACAAGGCTTCCCTCCCAACGGTGGTTACAATGGAGCCCCTTATCCACCTTATTAATGATTAGAGAAATTATTTATTATGATTATATATTAAAAAACAGAGAAAGTGAGAGCTATAGGGAAAATGTAATAACAATAATAAAAAAGAGAAAATTTAAATTCTTCCACTGTTAGGTGTTTGGCCCAACCATTCTTGTGGATGATCGTTTGTTCTAGCTCTTGTGGGAGTAGCTAAATAATCATAGGTATTTTCTTCTAATAAAGGATCGAACCTAAAATCATTGGGATTGCTAATGGCACCACTCATTGTTTGCATGGGATAATCTTGTGTTCGAGCACCGCTTGTTCCAGACATGGGCGACACCGATCTTTCGTAAGACTCTCTACCAGCAACACTTGCTGGTTGATTGTATCGTTTACCCGAGACACTCTTGGGATCCATCATGGTGAAGTTGATGGGTGAATTGGTATAAGGATCATCAACTGCAATACTGCGTGAGAAATTGGTCTTTTCTGCGGTTGGAGAACTTGGAGAAAATTGATGCGTGGGAGTGAATGTTCTCGATGTACCGGATGTTCCGGTGGGATAGTCTACCTCCACAGGTCCCATAGGGCGTAAGAAACTACCAGATCTACTGTTTTGAAGCTCTTCGCTGGAGGGATTGTATTTATCATTAAACCGAGCTGCTGTTGCTGCTGCAGCATTCTTGTTTTCTATGAAATTTGTGATACGTTGGCTTAGTCGCTGATCATTTACTTTATTACCCTCTGTAAATGACGAACCATGTTTAAACTTGTTAGAATGACTCGATTCAATATCCATGTTTCCACGAGACATTGTAACTGCAGTGCGACTCATCCCGTTTGAATTAGCGCTTGTAGTTTCGTCATCGTTGGAACGACGAGGATGGAAAATTGAAAACTAGATGGACGATTTTTTAAGGTTAATTGCTTGCATATGATAATCCTCTTAAAATCACACTTACACCGACAAGCCACATTAAAATAGCGGCAGTGTTACAGTTTGCAATTAACAAATCAGCTGCAAACTTGTTGGAATTAATTGTCTTGGCTACAGTTAGGCCATCAACACAAAGGATAGATAAGCATACACCGTACATGAACAAAACAAATGTAAGGTAAATGTTCATGTCTTTGAAATATGTAAGCTTCTCAATAACGACACCACTGTTTTTCAAGTTGCCGGATAATTTTAAAATTCGCTTGAATCTTAAATCAGAACGGATGCCTAAAGCAGAGGTGATAATCACTGTAAAAAGCATGTGGGTTAATAGATAAATTAAAAAAACAAATAGCCAGTTTCATAAGAGTGTACATACTTTCAACAGCAAATGCTAATTGGGGTACAGTTTCTCTCAATCCAGGATCCTCTCGGAAATACCATTGTAAGACAGGAAAAATGGCTACACTGCCAAGGGCCCTGTTACAAATTTAAAAAAATAAATTACTGTTAAAATGTCTGTGCGCAAAAGAAAAAAAAAAAAGAGACACAATACCAGAAAATATAAAACTTGAATTCGCGAGAACTCATGAAGGATTTCTTAGCAACAGAGTTTGAAAGATAATTCCAGAAACATTGAAGCAAAAAGAATACACTGACTTGCATCGATAAGTTGACACATTCGACATAATCCATAGCCTGCAATGATAATAATAAAAGTTGAATACAATGGTTGCTCAAATAAATTGAATGATTGTACCTGAGCGATTTGTTGATGTTGTGAAGTCCAAGCTGCGAAAGGTTTATTGATGATATGCCCTGTCGATGGGATAACGTAAAATTTCTCTTCGTATTTGATCCATGTAGATATCATATCTATTATATTAATCGGTTAAAGTACTGTGATTGTTGCAGCGTTGTTACACGTTATTACCCCACGCCATTTGCATTATTAGCATCATTATATATAGCACTGTAATGACACTTCTTAATTCGCCCTTAAAAACTCTCTTTGGTTGAAGACATTTCATCCTGTCATTGGAGTATATTCTATAAAAAAGGAAAAGACCAATATATACTTCGATAGCACATCTTTCTATTAAGGAAATTAGAATTTGTCTTTGTATGATATTTGTTCGACGACATACGGATATACGAAAAATCACTATGAGGTACATTAGTTTACATTGTTTATTTGCTTTAAAGTATTTCATCGTACCTCAAATGAGTCATTACTGCTAAAGTTTATTTGGGTATAAATTTCGAACTAAAAAGAAAAAAAAAATACACAAGAACAAAAAGAAAGAAGTTTCTTATTTTTTAATAAAGTGCTTTTACCGAAAATGCGGAGACAGTAATTTTTTTTTTCCTGGTCCTTCCAACAGAAAATCTGAATCGTTTTACCAGTGTTTAACTGGAGCGTTATAAAAGTTGCTGGTATTTTGCTTAATTTGGATGTTTGTGAATAATTTTTGAAGTGTAACTGCTTCTAGCTGGGTAGCTCTGCATGGCTCTTTTAAGATCAAAGTTACGCAAGATTGCTGAGTTCAAGTTTACAATGTTAAACTCAGAACTTTGTTAAGGTACACAAGTGTTTATAGATCCTTTTTATTCCCACTGACAATAAAGAAAAACTCGGGTGATTATCATTTGTTACATGTAACTTCTTTTGTTTGTTTATGGCAATTGCACATAATCTGACTGACCAGTAACCCTCAAACTCTAACATTATCCAATCGATTTTTTGGATTGTGTATTGTAGGACAAAATAACGCTGCGTTCCCATGAAAATTAATTTTTCATATATTTACAAATTACGTTTGGTATATTTTTGTTATAAGATCAATGCACTTTGCGTAGATTTATTATAACAATAAACTAATTTTTCTATAGACCCTGAACTAAAACCGTTTTTTTTTAGGCTTTAGCTATAAATGGGGTTCTAACGGTTTTCGATTGAATGCAAAAAATTAAAGTATTACACCAAATTGACTACCAGTCAGACATTACACTGAAGGGAATTACGGGAAAGCCAAAAGTGAAAGCGAGCGAGATTTTCGACATGTATATATGTTGATAAGAGCAATGTGGAATTACTTGCAACAGTACAGTGTTAGTCTAGACATACTTCATAAGAGATACTTTCTGTTACACACCTTACGGATTAAGCACCAATATAGCTAAAATACTTAATATCATCAGGATAGCAATAGTATATCACCCGTGCTAAAAAAAGGAAAGGAAAGTATTGGTATCCAATGTGAGAGAGGCTCTGAATCCCCAGACTTGTTAGATAATTAAAAGGTTCAAGTTTTTAAACTGAATTGATCTTTGATGAAAATAGATTTGCGAGCTTTTGCACGGACGACATTTGTGTTACATGAAACACCTCCAATCAATTACTGCAGCACATATTCTTTTTTTAGAAAGACCTTAAAATATTGCTTGTTCCATGTAGGCGATTCATCAACAATTTTCTTTTCAATTGTTGAGTTTGTCGGAAATATATCTTTTATTACCGCTATTTATTTATTTATATAAGTCTCATCATGTTTTATTCTCTTTCAGTTGCGAGAGTATTTGGAGGGGCACCGCCTTTAACGAGCCCCAATCCATGATTTAATTAGGTTTTCCAGTTTTTCCCCCAATATATGTACAATGCCGTTTAATATCATATAGAAATAAGGACAGTCATTCTTGTGAAATACAGCAATTTGGCTAAGTTATAATGACAAGGATGGAAGTGCCGGATTTATATATTTAGTTTCAATTGCCGAGTATTTTTTGATCGTGGAGGTAATAGGCGTTAAGAATTGGGCAAAAGGCAATTATATTCAGCATGATGGAATACCAAATCATGTAGTTCATCCGAAAAAAAAGGGGCCAAAAAGTTTCCAATCTAAAAGTTGAAGTATGGTCTATAAAACTGACTATTGTTTAGCCGTGATACTGTGTGTATAAACCCTTGACATTTCCATGCTGACTATAAAGCAATTGACATCCATTGAGCAATCGATTGAATACACGATTTTTTGTAGTCATGGATCGTAGCACCCCAAACGCCCCCACATTTTTTTTTCGGCATAATCCCATAAAAAATACTTTTTATTCTTAAATCATCTTTTTTTTATAAGTAACGATACATTTTGCAGCTTGTAACCAGTAGATGGCAAATTCTCCTTCGATAATTGGCTTTTTCCGACCGATGACAATTAACTGGCTTGCACAGTGTCACCTCATAGGAAATAAAAACCCAGTGGCGTACATACAGTGTACTCGCCACTAGTAGCAGGAGTTTTTTCGAAGCAAATGTTAGTGTGCCATTGCCGAATCTTCGTCCTTGATTAATTTGAAGTGTTACCTGAAGCTAAAAGCTTGCTTTAAGGTCCCAAAATGTAATCGCGCTTACCAGAAACGTAATTTATGTCCCGTGGTATTTGAGCATAACTCCCCGCTCTAGAAAGCTGCCGAGCATAGCTGTACATTGACTTCGTGTTTATTCTAGTAAGATCATCTTTGATCCCGAAAGCATTAACCGAGACTAAATTGTTTGCAATGAAAAAAAAAAAAAAAAAAAAAAAAAAAAAAAATAGAGTTTCTTGAAATTGTACAGATTCCACAATGTTGCCACAAAAGAAAAAAAAAAGTAAAGACGATTGCTGAAGTCATTCAATTCATAAATGAGTGGAAAAACAAAAAACATTTATTGATAAAGCGAGACAGAGCAAAACCCAAAATTATCACGATCCATAAATTTTGGCGCGAGAGACATGTCTGGGGGGACAATCACTCGGAAAATTGAGTCACCGGATCAACCGGACCAACCGACGTAGCCAGACTGGCTTGTTGGTATTTATTTGATAAGTCATACCTTTTAAACGAAATGATGTTAGTATCTGTACAATTATATGTGTTTGCCGTCGCCATACTTATGTGTATTATAAAAGGTACGCCTAAATGGCGGAAGCGGCTGAGCATCGATCGAGACTATGGAAGAAAAACCAATTAACCCAATGTTTTTTGCACCGTTTTGATCACGGTTAATGGTTGTTGATTTTGAAGAGATTCTTCTTGGGCACTTCGAGTTGTTGCAAACTACTGCCCCTTTGAGCCTTTTGATTTTGCCGTTTCTCCTGACAAGTTGCTTACTTGTGCAAGAAAAACATGAGCTGCATGTCACTGTTGACTTGTACTCATCAACCACCGCAAAACTGTCCAATTCTACACTTTTTAGTTGTGTTATAAAAGGGTCTAAGCTTCTTCTAGTATGACCCTTTATGTAAGTCGAAACACCAGACCAGTTTCCCAGAAATGATATGACGCTACGGTTTTTACCAGAGTTACCTAAAAGTCGGAACAGTTTCTGCCTATATGAGGAATGCAGATGCTGGTAATATCTTTTCAGACGAATACTCCTAGTGACTTGACGCTGGTTTAGATACGACGGTGTAAGCTCCTTTTTGTTTTTAATTTTTCTTTGTCTCTGTATCATGTGCTTGGTGTCTAGTATAGCGCTATTTACTCGCTTTGCCGTCAGTTCAAAGGTCACTTCATTTTCGACATCGTGGTCACAATTTTCCAGACTTTCCAGTGCGCTATACCTATTAATACTTTGAAACATAGAAGAAGATTTGGTTGCACTGATTGAAGCAGTTGTTACAACACCTGGATCTAAGCCTTGAATAATTGCTTGGCCTGATATGATGCTATTTTGTGATTTTTCAGAAAGACATATACCAGCTGTTGGGGTTGGTTCATTCTGATTATGTATCCCTTTGTTTAAGTAATACATTTCTGAGCTCTTGGTCTTGATTGATTTATTCAGAGAAAGAAGTTGACTGTATACTGCGTTACATTCCTTGCGGATGGTCTTCAAGTTTCGATAGAGGTTTGAATCACAAGTCATTGTACGTAGCTTTTGGTTTTTTCTAAAGGTCTGGCCAAGATCCATTCTAGTATTTTCTATTTCACGAACGTTTTTACTCAGACGGACTTGCAATGCTTTTTCTTCTTTAATTTCTTTGTGAAGACGTTCGACCTTCAGTTTCCTATTTTCTGTATTACTGTCCATGGAGGTGAAACTACTTGTAGAAATAACGTGCGGCACTTCTTCCTTTTGCAAGTTTTTATACCCAAGAAAGTTTAGGCTGTACTTATGACAAAACTTAAATGAATACATTGGGGTTAGTTTTTGTTCCTGGATAATTCTTTCAATCATGTTTAAATTGAAAAAGTTTGAAAAAACCGCCCTCTTGTCCTCTATGGACTTGATTGTTGCCGAACTCGTAAACATATTTACACCATCGAGCTTAAAAATGTTGTACTCTTTAGCAAATAAAAGATATAAGGTCCTGGCATCAACATTGATAGACATCTTTTGCTTTTCTTCGACCTTCTTTGGAAACATTCGATTCTCCTTAAATCTTGTACCCGTCGGACCAACAAACTTGACCAGTGAGTTTCTGATTTTGCGCATCTGAAAAAATCTGAAAGCGTTTTTCTCATCTTTTTTACAACTTATTAGTCGTAACTCGTTGACTATTCTAGCAGAAGTGTCTAATGCATGGGCGGGTATAGATTCTTGCTTATCGTAATAAAGTTGCTTTTTGATATAGGCTGCGTCTACATTTTCTTCGATGGAAGGGGACGTAATCAACATTGTGCATACTGCACACAAAGCTTTAATCTCTTTGGCTGACAGGTCTTTGACATCGTTATCATTGGTATCTAACTCAGTAACATTATCAATTATTACTAAATCTTCGTCATTCTCATTAAAATCTTCGGCGTCTTCTTTGTGTAAAAATTATAAAAACGAAGATTTTTAAAAACAATACGTATGACTGTGTCCCATTAATTATTACCTTCAAATTCGTTGGAATTATCATCTTTATTTACAGGTGGTTCCAAATCTGAACGGCCCCTCTCACAAGAATTGAAAACACCGTCGATAAGTTTCTCCACAACATGTATTTTGTTCAGCTTTCCTGCGTTATATTTTGCAATCGCGTCAAACAAATCTATCATGACCCTTTTTTGGTGTCGCTTTTTAACTGTTTTGAGGGATTTTTGTGAATTTTGTTTCTGCTTCTTTGATGCATGTGGATGGTTCAGACGATGGGATTTCTTCGGACAAAGATGCAAGCGTAAAATAAGGGTAAGTGTGACTCTCAAATCAGAAACAAATCTTTGATAGGTCCACATGTTTGAAAAATTGGTAAAGAACTGTTTACACGCAGAAACTAAAGTTGGTGTGGTTGTAAAGTCACAATAGTTTTCGCTTGATATTTTTCTTGATACGTAGTCAATCACCCTATATGACGAGTAAAATAAGTTAGGAATCACTGCTCTCAATATAATAATTAAGCATATCTACTTACGGGTGTTTATACTCGTGTGGTTTTTTTCTACCTACTGAACTGGAAAGCAATTTCCAAAAGCCTTTAAACGTAAATATATCACTTTGTTTTAAAAATGTTTCATCACTGTCATCTATAATCGCGATTTTCTCTTCGCCAGTTTCAATTTTGAGTGAGGGCAAATCAATGAATTGAAAATCAAAAAAGGTGCGCTCTCTAGAAGGAAAGATATCACCTGATGTAATACCGTCAACCAAAATTTCCGTTGCTTTCGAAAGGCCCGAACAGCATTTATCACAGATCTCTTGCAGATCTTCGAGCTTTTTCAAAAAGATACCATAGTCCAAGTCTTTATTAATTACTCGTTTTAGGCTTCTACTGACTGTTCTGTAATCAATATCTTCTAAATCTTGGTCGTCATTCTCATCGATTACCGTATCTGTATCCTCAGGCGCACTATCTTGTATTGATGATTCTGAGTTTAAACCCATTATAAAGTCACTGATACATTTATCGATGCTGATTTTGCCATTTTGTTTGAGTCGATTAATTTTTTGTTGCACCCACAATGCTGACGTTGGTATATCTTCGAGCTTAACGGTCGGGAAGTGATTTTGCCTGATCAACTGCTCAACCTTTGTTTTTACAATACCAGCAGAGCCTGTTGGAAACTGTTTGGTTGATAAAGTTGATGAAAATCTTTGTATATTTTCAGATAAGGTTTTGTGCTTGTCAATTTTGAACTTGGACCATTTCTTTTGATATAATGTGTTCGTTTCTTCAACAAGCAGCCTAATTATTTCATCATCTATAACAGAGGAGACGCTTTGTCTCTTTGCTCTAGGTTTTTTGTCGTCTGAGGCTCGTTTTTTAGCTACGATATTCTTGGGAATTTCATTGGTGGGGGTGGTATCATCTGACATGTCTTTGGGTCTGTTTTTGAGTTCCAATCCAAACCATTCAATAGTACCAGTATACGAATTAATTGATTTTAATACACCTAAGTACGGTAAAGAGCGGTCTTGACGGTGCTTGTTGTTGGGATGAATTATTGCTGGTTTGGACCTACTTGAAAAGCAGTAGATTGTATACCCATAGACTTGACTAAAAGCGTAAAGCAATAGCATGTCTTTTGGAATAACAGTGAGATTTGGATGCCTATCTGAATGCAACACAAACTTATTCTCCAATTTTCCATTAAGAACCCCAACCAAGTATTGTATGGGTGAAGTAACCATCATTATGTTGATATTTTCGTCCATTTTTTTACGAACTACATGTATTTTATGTTTCTTCAGAAACTTGACAGTGCTCTTAATACTTTCATTAAAACTATGCGTATAGTTGTTCATTGCATTAAGAATTATATCACGAAAACTGTTATCAATAGGTATGGTAGGAGAAGTAATGTTTATGTCAACATCTTGGCAAGAAAAACGAAGCAGCTGCTCATCTAGTTGCCCTAATCATAGACGCATTATGAAAAACAGAAAATTATAGGTAAATGAAAATTTTATGTACCTTCTCTACCCTTTCTCTTGTCCAACCGCTTTGTTACGGAGGATGCTTTAATTGTTTTAGGTCAGTCATCTATTGCTTTACTAGGAGCTAGTATCTACTTACGTTCTCCTGTGCTATTGTCGGATGGTGAATGTTTACGCTTCATTAACGAGAAGAGCACGAAAGAGAAACAATACATTGGCAACTTAGGGTTTTTTCATTAAAAAAAACCAGTCTCCATTATTCATTTTATTGGTTCATACGAATGAATCTTTCCATCAGTATCAGTATCATAGCCAATCGTAAAATGTTATATTTTTTATATTATTACGATGCCTTTGTACAAATTACCAGATATACACATGTATAAAAATACGGGAAAACGTATGTGTGGTAAATCGCATATGGATTAGATACAAAAAACAAATTCATATCTCGATATAGTTGATAACCGCATATAACTATTATCAAGCCCATAGGAAACTGCTAAAATACGGTCAGTAATTTAGGGTTTCACTGTAAAAGAGCAACCCGGGTAGATGAGGACTATATGTCATTGGCATCATTAGGCAGCCAAGGGTAAATATAACAACTATATATTATGCGAATCATTTCATCAATCAAAGCTACTGGCTAGACACCTTCATTTAATGACTCGAATACAACACTTCCAAAAAACGCTTCACCACCTTTTACGTGATCCGAATAAAGCGCAATTGTCATTTCATATCCATAATCATCTTTTGGCTATCTAAATTTCTGGTAGGAGTGTTTCTAATACTGAAAATTTTCGTTTCTCTTCTTGTATTCAGAAAGCAGATATTCAGGTTCAATTGTATCATGATGAAGTACGTGAAGCTCGCGAAGTATCTTTTGAACTCTCTCTGGACCAAGTTTCAGAAGGTCTGCAAATACTTTTGACACTCTTCCTCAGTAAAGAAGAACAACATAAACTCAACTTAAATTCAAGAGGGAGCTGTCCAATGATTTCTGGATCATGTGCATTATATGAAGCATCACATTTCGAGTCACAGCATCTATATTGCATTGATTTATAAAGCTAAAACAACTAGCATTTCAAATAAAAGAAGGGGGGGGGGCGATTTAGCATACACAAGGTATAAAAAACCTTTTCCTGCAACACCTGAACATATCCACAATTCTTCGAGCGTGAGGCTTTTTATTGTAGCCTTTTGTTCCAAGCTTCTTAATACAATTGTTTCTAAAACATCAATCCTCCCAAACCTTTGCGGGTAATCCAAAGAAATACTCGTGGTCTACATAAATAATTATATTTTTTCTTCAGAAAAGAAAAAACGACACCAGCCCTATCCAAAAAATACCATTGTTTTATTCAGAAGAATATCGTTCGTTTATTAAACTTTGAAAGATCTCAAGATACTCGATCAGTACACTGTTGTCAGCCATCTTCCCCCGGTTGAATCTTTATATGAAGCCTCAACTAGATTCTTGACTAAATCTTCAATCAATTCATCGACTGGTTCTTAGACCAAATGTGACAGTGACATTCTTAAATTTTTTTTCAACTACGAACTATTCCATATTTCTCGAAAAATTAAGAGCACTTAGGCAACTGGATTTGTACTTATGATTGCGTCGTTTAAACTGTTGACAATTCTGTTTAATGTGGGTTTTTTTCTGTCAAATCGTTTTGCGGAAAAGAAACTTCGAGGCTTTGTAGGTTTTTCCAACTTTTCGCTTGGCCATTTAAAATTATTTTAGAGGAATCGACATTTAGTAAAAGTGTAAAACACCAGGAGTTTTTTATATAAAAGCCGGTAATTTCACTGTATCAATTATATTGTTTTTTTACTAGCGAAGCAGTCCCCCCAGACATGTCTCTCGCGCCTAAATTTTTATTTCAGTGGATGAAAAGCTGCATAAACTAACAAATTATATCTTTGCTTCGATATTACGACTCCACGGTACGATCATACTTTGATGTCTTACTTATACGGATTAGCATGTATTAAATTAAAATAACTCTCTGTAAAAATTTACCTTGTGATTGCCAAAATTTCACCTTGCTCATTCCAAATTTCACCGTCAATTTCGAACCGTCCGTTGATAATGTGTTTGGTTATTAAATGGGCAGTAATTTTTTGACCCGTTGGTTTTCTTTTGAACTGGACCTCCATTTGAATGGTAGCACACCAAACAGGACCACCCGTCATAGCAGGACCGATCAGGGCAGCAGAAGAAATAATCATATCACACCAATAAGGGATACTTTTAAAGTCAGTAGGTCTTCCGTCTTTAAAGGTCATGACTTGTGTTTGTTCCGGTTTACCGACATCCTTTTCATCCTTTGCAAAGCTGCTTGTATCAAATAAACAGTCCACAAAATCTGCCATATAAGGGTAGGTATATGGTTCAAGGGTATCCAAAGGGTGTTGCAAAGGGTTTTTGTAAATATAAGTAACACCTTTTTCAGAATCCATATTTTTCATAGTAAATATACTATGTACCTTGTCAATCCATTCAAATGGGTTATAAGACTCCGTACTTTCCAAACGCTTTAAATCTTTGGTTTGTTTGAGAATTGCTCTAGCATAACATATGCCTTTTTTACTTATTTTAAGCTCTTCAATTTCTATAATAAGATTGCTCGTAATGGTTTTGGCAAGAAAAAAGCAGTTGAGTGCAATGGGATCTGACTGATATCTATCTGAAAAGTGCTGAAGAACGGTATCAGTAATTAGAGACATAACATAGCCTAAATAAAATGATTAACCACTGCATTGCAAATATTTGGGCACTTTGATAATACCACCCTAATAGATAAATTATAAATTATTAGTCTTCTGAAAAAAAAAAAAAAAAAAAAAAAAAAAAAAAAAAAAAACGAGATAAACTTACATGGGCAGTTTCACCAACTGTCCATTCCTGAAAGTTAGAAGATGAGTTACACAGTATTGATAAATTTAAATTACACTTACAGAATCAGCAACGGCTGTAAATATAAACGAGTTTCTGCTTGTTTTCCCCAGATACGACGTATTTGTTACCCGGTCAAACTGATAAGCAGGAATACCAGTAATATCAGTCATAATATCAGAAGAAATGAAAAAATTACGTTAAAAAACAAAAAAGAGCCTTTTTAAAAATGTTCTTTTATTTATTTGACGGGACTCATTCCTAACATCACGATGTTGTGTTTTCTAAACCTATTTTTACTTGAAATAATATACCAGCCTAATAAAATCGATGGATTCAGTACTGATACACATAATAACAATTTACATACAATATATTTTAGCCTTTTATAATTCAATGTAAAAATCAATGTTCATATTAGCCTGTTTGTAACTGATTGATATTTGATCATTTGTTTGTTGTCATGCGCGATGAAAAGCATCTTAAGTTTATCATGCAAGATCCAATTTAGGTAAGGCATCGATTTTCAGTATTTTTTTGTTTGTAGCTACCGTAACAAGTGTTAATTTTACCGGCAAGGTAAACAATAGCGAGGCATACAGCATTAATTAAACGAAAAAAAAGAGACAAAATTGACAGCCAACATTGTAATTTTATCATAAGGCATTTCCGCTTTAATTGTCTGTTCCGAACTTTATTTTAAGTCTGTTTTTTTAAAACAAACATATATGTATCCTGTAATTATCAATCGATGCGCATTCCGTTCAGTATTTTTTTTAAAAATGAATGACTATTATGAATTTTGTATTTTTATATAATAGGTGGCATAAGCTAGAAAAGAAAAGTACCTTCCCACTATTAAAAATTATTTGATACATACTTTGGTTATGTCAAGTAACTTTTTTTTCATGACGGTCCCTAATTATTCTTGTATAACATGTTTAACTTAGACTGTTCGATCATATTCTGCAAGAATAACATCAAAGCATAAAAGCTATTCCTCATTTCCATAATTTCCGTAATATGAGAACACAGTCAATTACAATTTTTCTTTTTAACATTGATGGAATGGATAACTTGCAATATCATAAATGCATGTTATTATGTACTAGCTATTTTGCAGTAGAGCGGAATAGATTTTTTAGGGCCATTATAAACGTAAAGAAATGACGTTTTAAAGTGCATAATGTCTGTTGGTTCTAATTTATAAATGCACTCACAGCCTGGATTATACATAAGTCCATTTGGAGATCATCTAAATTTAAACGTCATTATTATGAACATTGACCTAGTTGCTGGACCCATTCACTCCTTAAGTTTTATTTGAACTTTGATATACTACATGCATTCAATATGTAGTGGTGTCTAATTATATTACAGCTGGCATTTAACTATTTGGGTCACAGTACCGACAAATGTTTTTATCAAGAAATCGTAATGTGAGTACATACGAAACATTTTTCTAAGATTGCGGCCAAAAAATAAACAATTATTCATCTCATGTCGATATCAAAATCAAAACTTCAAGTTAGATGATGCAATGTTTGAAATGATATTACTCTATAATTTTAGCAGCCAAATATAAAAGCGGCAAGGTCCCGGTTTCAGATAACTTCATAAGGAAAGGCAAAAATGATGTTCATAATATTCATTTTTCACTAAATTTTTCTCACTCTTATTTGAACTAAGGAACATCAAAAGAGACTTCCGTAGAATTTGTGAGACCAGAAACCAAGTAAATCTTAGCCAAAACGTTAATGGCAAGATACATCAGACCGTGGCACCAAGCGGCTTAAACTGATTTCATTAAAGAATAATATAAAAAAAAACATTAATTGTCCAGAATGTATGAGCTTTTCTATCCCCTGTACTAAAAAGTGGGGACTGTCAAGGTTTTGCTTGTTATGGAATCACTGGTGCTGGACACTGTCAATACCCTCCTCATGGATACCTTTCAAATTGTATGTAAATACCCCTTGATAGTTTTGTAGAACTATCTCTATCTCTTTTTAAATAAAAATTAGAGACGACTTAGTCGTAACAGTACTTGCCCTTTCCCTTCTACTTATCTACAACAACATTGGTTGACCAGTTTATTGGTAGTATACATGAGAAATTCGAGAGATAAAACAACGAATTAAGAATAAAAATAAGAAATTTGACGAAGTAAAATTATCAAACTTCAAAAATAAACTAACGTCTTTATTATGCAATAAATCGGGCTCTTTATATACATATTCAGGGCTGGCTAAATATTAATCATTAGAGTGAAACCTGTCAAATATACAATAGGAGGATTGTCAATTAAAGATCGAGCATCTCATGGTACCTTCGAGAGTCTTGTTATTGACGAGCGATCATATCATTGGATTGTATTATCTGGAGTAAATGAATGACTATTGTTTTCTATTATATTGATGAGTAATCAATGCGTAGTAAATAGAGTGTAATAGCATGTATTTAATTTAAAGAGTAATGCAATAATAATTTATAGAAAGATTATCAAAGAAGAAAGAAAGAATTGATGATAGAGTTATATCTGTATATAAGCTCCATCACAACAATACAGCCGGATCAAATTAATTCCCCTCACAGCCTCAGGTGGTAGAGCTTCAAATGTTGTTTTAATGAAATAATTTAACGTTTTCCTTGGTTATAGTACCTCGAGCCATAGTGTTTGAATCGACTGCAAATTTGACACCATCTCTTTGTCTCATGATTTCAATCTAGCTGTGGACTTTAAATAAGTACCATAGCTAGGTCAACTTGATATGCCTGATCGGATCATTGGAAAAGCCAAAACATATTGCAAAAGCATGAACAGGCGGTAGCTGCCAGAAATCACCAGGTAAAAGCACACGTTTTTCACAAAAAGGTTTGTCATTACGAAAGACTTCTTTAAGTCTCTGATCAATCCACACTTTTGACTTCAGCTTATCTTGCTTTATTCATCTAGAATTATAACCTGCAGATCAGCCAGATCGACGGATAGTTATGGAGTTGGCTACATTGGCTGACAAACTTCGAATATCATCACGGTTGATTGGTAAACGAAAAAGTGATGGAATAGTTTGACCTTTAATACCAAAGGCGGCTTTGCCTTTCTCATAAATTTATCTAGTAATAAATCAATAGCTCTGTCATTTAATGGATAAACGATAATGACCTAGAGAGTGCTGGATGTGAGTCACTTTGCTCCTTGTATTTATGTCACAATAAGCTATGTTTCATACGTAACTGATTTCTAAATCAAATTATACCTGTTATGGGTAAACAGTTCATTTGATCTAAGCAGGAGAAATAGTGAAGTAATACAATGGTGAAGATTATAGTTACATGATGAATAAACACTTTTATTTATTGTAAAGTTTGGATGTTATGCATAATAAACAAGTGGTATCTATAAGCAGCTCTTCTTCTTAAGGTTATTTTACACGACTTGCAATAGAAATTGGGATCATAGACATCGGGTACAATAAGTGGATTGACTTTAGCTTTTCCTTTTACAGGCTCTGTTCTTCCATTTTTATGGATCTTTTTCATGTGCCTTCGGTAATGATCTACATCACTGTATTTTGTCTTGCAGTAGATGCAAAAGATATTCTTTGGATCGTTAACGTCAATTTCGATGTCACGGTGAACCTCGGGCATTCGACAGTCTCGTAATCTCAAGAAATGAATACGCTGCAGATGATCCCTATAGTTTTTCCTTCCCCGGTAGTTGCGCTGACATGATTTACAATGGAAATTTGGGTCATCGGGATCGGGCTGAACTTTTGTATAGGATGTTAAAGGTGGCAAATTCATTCCATGAAACTTTTGTAAATGCGTTCTGTATGTCCTGTTATTTCGGTAGGTTCGATCACATACACAACAATAGTTATATGGGTCTGTGATATCAGGGCATCTATGCGGATTAAATACGTTTAACGACGCAGAATCTGCTAAAATAAGAAAAGTGTCAGTTATCATCATCCACCCATATATTTTACTTAACTGCATTACCGGTATTGGACACGTCGGGTGGCTCTACTGTCTCGTTTTCGTCTCTAACACACCTGTCACTTAATTTCTGCGCTATTTCTTTGCGAACAGTTTTATTCATTTTGCAAAGAGTTTTTCTTTCTTCGACTGTTGACTGTGTTGTAAATCTAGGCAATATTATATGAGTTCGGCCTCCAACATCGATCTTGTTAACATTCAAGGGCAAATCTACCAAGAAGGTCGTCATGATTGGTAAATTTACGTCAGTCGGCGGAACTCTATCGTTCATGGGTAACCTGCTGTCCTTGGGCTGGCTATTATTAATGCTGGGTGGTACTACATTTTTGAGAGGCGATAGTATATTGTCATTGGACAATAAGGTGCTGTCAATGGGTGGCAAGCAACTGTTCATGAGCGGTAAACTATTGTTCTCGAGCGGTAAACTATTGTCAATGGCTGATAAACTATTACTCATGAGCGGTAAATTATTGTCAATGGCGGGTGGTTCATCAGCATTAGGTTGCAACGGTAAGCTTTTGTTTTTGACTTCGTTCCCTGGGTCTGTGTTGCAAGGCTTCCGGGTCAGGACACCATAGTTTTGCTGGTTGAGTGGCGTTTTAAACTTCAGTTTCATTTTGGAGAGTGTAGAAAAAGCTTTTTTAGCTCCGAGGTTTATGAAGCTATATAAAAACGCGTTTATTTATTTTTCACCTTCCTTGATTTCTTTGCGGCTGTTGTTCTTTAAATGTATTAGCCCTTTTTTTTTGACATGACGTGCAACTGTGCAATTGATAGAAATCATGCAAAACTCAGTTTCGATTTTTATATCGGACTTTTCAAAAAAAAAAAAAAAAAAAAGAAAGGCTGTAATATTTAATTGTCTTGATCATTGACGTAAGTACTCATTTGATCCTGAAAATTCAGTTACATATCATTTGAGTCAAGTGTCAGAATAAATAATTTTAGGGCAAAGATCTTACGTCAAACTTTACAGTGCAGGAACTGCTGTCAATATATGCTCATTATGTTGAAGCTTTCTAATTCATGTCTCTCCAGTATATTGAATACAAGATGTGCTACTAAATCTCAGTGCTGCAAGAAAAAAATAGGTCTTTTTTACAACACAACAATCACCTTTTGGACCATTCTTGCGGCGGAGGCAAATTTTATTTTTCAAGTCAGCGCTTGATATGTGACTTTGGATTCCATCCTGGGCCTTTAAAGAGAAGGAACGACTCTCTAATTTTTTCCATGTCTTTCTAATCAATTCATTTTATTTTTTACAATGGGTAATCCTCGCGTGTAAGTTCATACTTGAAGACCGTAAGCTTTTTCCCTATCTAATAGTATGGCCATAGTTTCTTTGATGTTTCCATCGGCGGTAAGCCCGAAGGACGTATCGTTTTCGAACTTGTAAAGTATCGCCCTTTTATGTGAATAAAACACGAAAAATAGAAGGACTAATTTCAACAATAGTTCAAAGACGTTGTTCCCAAGACTGCTGAGAATTTCCGTGCTCTCTGTACTGGTATGTTTACATATTTAATACTGATATTTGCCAAATCTACTTTGCATATTCATAAAGTGTCATAGGTGAAAAGGGTATCGGTGCTAGTGGAAAGCCTTTGTCCTACAAGGGAAGTATCTTTCATCGTATTATCAAGGTAAAACACAAAGTCTATGCCCTTTTTTTTTATTTTGCCGTGCCCATTTTTTAATATTCGAATGTGTAGAACTTCATGCTTCAAGGTGGTGATTTCACAGCTGGTAACGGTACTGGTGGAGAATCCATTTATGGTGAAAAGTTTGAAGGTAAAGCATAAAAAAAGTTTACAACTATGAAGGACGTTGGATAGTAACAAATGTGACATGTATAATAATAGATGAAAACTTTGTTTTAAAGCACGAAAAGCCCTTCTTGTTATCAATGGCCAATGCTGGACCTGGCACCAACGGCTCTCAGTTCTTCATCACTACAGTACCTACACCTCATTTGGACGGTAAGCATGTTGTCTTTGGTAAAGTCTTGAAGGGCAAGGCTGTGTGCCGTACTCTTGAATTTTTGGAAACCAACAACGACAAGCCTCTTAAGGATGCTGTTATCACCAACTGTGGTGAATTAGCTGAAGGTGAGGATGATGGTATCCCCGTGAGTGATGATGGTGATGATTTTGAAGAATTCCCTGATGATTATGAGGGTCCTAAGGAACCCACTGACATTGTCGAAATTGCTAGCAAGCTTAAGGATATTGGTAACAGTTACTTTAAAAAGGGGGACTATGAAAAGGCCTCTAGAAAGTATCTCAAGGCAATTCGTTATTTGAACGATAAGCCTGCATTTGATGAAGAGGATCCTGAGGAGCTTCGTGTTAAATTCGCCTCTGTGAAGATCCCTTGTTTCCTTAACAGAGCTATGTGTGGTATCAAATTAGGTGAAAACTCAGATTGTATCAAGGTCACCACCATGGTTTTAGAATACGATGCTAAATACTTGAAGAAGGCTGATATTACCAAGGCTTATTACCGCCGTGGTATGGCCAAGGTCAATAGCAAAGACTTGGAGGGAGCTATTGAAGATTTCGAAAAGGCTCATGAAAATGATCCTGAGGATGCTGGTATTAAAAAGGAACTTGCCAGTACAAAGGCAAAGTTAGCTGCCAAAAAGCAAAAGCAAAAGGAAGCCTACTCCAAGTTGTTTGCTTAAAGAAATAAATCATTTATTTTACAATTTACTCTTTAAATACTCTTTCCATTGATCAAGTTCCCAACCGGATGAAATACTATCATCTTTGAGTCCATCCAATAAGACAGTAGGACTAACATGAATACCATTTTGGCGACCAATACGAATAAATAATTTCAAATCATTGGTAACCTTGTTGCCAGCGTTTTTGGCTTCACCTGTGCCATTGACCAAAAGCTCAAGTACCTTGTCAGATGAAACACCGACCTTTTCAGCTAATTTAGATAATTCTTGGGCTACTTCCCTACGTGTCTTGTTTTCCAAAGCCTCGTCAAAGTATCTAATATATCAAAAAAAGCATTAATATAATAACCTTTTGTGTTATATCGTATCACCCTTACTCGCGTTGGTTTTCGAACAAGACGTCCGAAAACTCAAAAAATTTCTTGTCGTCAATTTTTTCAACAGCAATGGCAGCCTCATGGACTACAGTTGAAGAAGCGTGCCAAGGTTGAACTTGCTGACGAAAGATAAGTTGAAATTTGTCTGGGTAGGTGTCTTGAATGTAGGGCCAAACTTCTTGACGGATTTTCTTGTAGATTTTGGCTGAGAAAGGACACTATGTTGGGTATCTCTTGTAAGCAAACCTTATTCTTATATGAAAATTATGATTTACTCACGACATAGTCTAAATAGACCTCGAGTGTATGAGGAGCAAAGACAGATCCCATACGGTGTCCGACAAATTGAGGTGCTAAGGCCATTTTTCTTTTGGATATTTGTGAGAAGAATAGATAAGAAAAAGAGAGAAAAACGCCCCAAAAATATATTTCGCGCTTTTACATGTATGTACGAAATTACGTCATTTATCAATTTTATAAGAAATCTGAACTTTGTTTCTTGACGCCTTTGCATCCTCTGTTCCAAGCAGTGTACAAGCTTTCAGGAAAAGCTGTGCCTTATATGTGCATTGAGTGATATAGAGTAGTCGCTGTGCTGTGCCTGTATTTCATACAGACAACATTTTCTTTGCGACTCATAGTGTGCAATGGCCACCGTCCAATTTATCCCGGGATGATAAACATAAACTTTTGGATGAATGGCCTTGATGACACTTTCAAGATTTGCTTGACAAACGCAGGAATAGTGATGCATGTTTGGAACACGCACGCACGCGCACCATGTATTAAGGGAGTCACGATAATATATTTTAGTAAGATAAGATAAAGATGTTTTATTAAGATCTGTGGTTCATCTAATTATATATAAATAATATTGTGTAACTATATACTTGATACGACAACCATTGCGCCGTTTCAATCGCTTGATTTGCATCTCCTTATATACCCGAATAAAAAAAGAATGACGTCAGAGTTTTCCTTTGGCTTTTACATGCGGAATGACCTTACTTGGTAGAGATACAAAAGACCGAACAGTGTTGAAACCGCGGCTATAGAAACATTTCTAAGTTTCCTTGTAATTTGCATCGTCTTGAGCTAGCTGTAATACAAATTTCGCGTTAGTATGAACATAAACAGATGTGATAGAGAAAAAAGTTATATCACTTACCAATTAATCAGATAACACCCACTGGACACTGGGGGAACAGCTCCAATAGGCTATACATCATGAAGTAATGCTTTAAAATGATAAAATAAATTGTAAGACTGACTTTTTGCATAGAAAATATATAAAAATTATCATACCTGTGGCAGTGTAAGACACTGTTTGTAACGGAAACCAAATTCTAGACTGCCTTCTTCCTCCGATAGATAAATCTTGTATTGGTACCAACCCCGGCATCAGTAAAAACCTTTTGCCTCCATTAAAAAAAACCTTTCATGAGGAAAAAATTGGGCAGTACAAAAGGAAAAGATAACCAAAGGTCAGCACGATCAGCTCAAAAGTAAACAACCACATTTTGATACGTATTTTGTCTACAAAATTAAATAAAATAGATTAAGTATCATTTATACTTGCTTATTTTTACAATACTTCCGTCTTCTTTTCCCCTTTCTTTTGGTGAACAAAGGAATAAAGAAAGAAAGAAAAAATCTCAAGAGGCTTTTTTATAAGTTGAAAAATAATAATATATCAAATCAAATGTTGTTAGAGACGTCATTTTGTATAATAAGGGGTTTCGACGACAAGTTGAGATAAATAGTTTTTCTACCTTGTGATGGTGGGAACCAGGTTTATGATTTTGATTTGATGTGTATGTTTTACATGGCTCTAAAGGAGGTGTTTGTAAATATATCACTATCAGGATCAATTCAGGTTTTAGGTTTTAAGTTATATTTAGTTTTTGTTTGTAGAAGAAAAAAACTCTCTGTCTTAAGCTTCCAGGTTCTTACTAATGGTATCATATAATTGTAGGATAACGTAAACATGAGACTGTGAATTTTGACTGAAAATCGAAATATCTTACAGATTAAGTGGGTGATTTTCGGCTTGAAATAAAGAAGCTGTCTGAGAATCGAAAACTCTTACAAATTAAGTGAGAGATTGACCGGGAGTAAGTGGCATATGTAAAGTTTTTATTGGACACTCAAGTTTATTTGGGGACCAAAGGCTCATCCAAAAGACCTAAAAATTAGATGGCGTTTGTTCTAACGCGAGAATAAATGTAGTCATCAGCTTCAAAAACCGGTTTAGAAGCTCCATGGTTACTTTGCCCATCAAAAATCTGTAGCCTGTTCCCCTCTTGTTTTTTTTATTTTTGAAGTGTCATATTTTTATGGATTTATTAAGAGATATTCTATATTAAAAAAAAAAGAACCCGATATCTTAAGCCAAAGTAAATACTCTTGAAATATAGTAACGAACACTGTATGGCATCGAAACTGCGAGAAATGATTCTGCTGGTAGAAGTGGTTATGATATTTCTTCTTTCTCAACTTCTTGTGTAAGTTATGATGTTGTGGTGGACAATCTACAAATGATCACTTGCAGCTGCCCTGACTTCCGCCTTGACAATATCCCATGCAAACACATGTATTTGTTGAAGTGTGATATGTCTTGGTTGTCTGTATTTGAAGGTAAAGATAAATACTATTGAATTCTTTACGGCTTCATTTCTTTACCAACCTTAAATTGAATAGTTTCTTTCGATCTCACTTTCTCAACCATTCCCCAAAGCTCGCCTGATAGCTCAGCTCTTCTTACTCCAACTGAACAAGCTCCTCTCACCGCTCCAAGCAATTCTTCAATAGATTTTGACACTCTGCTTTCCAACATCCATAAACTTAAGCGCCAGTAATATACTTTGACCGAAACTGAGCTCGAAGAATTAACGGCTTCAATCACTGGTTTCTCTCTCGTATAAATTCTACAAACATTCCTTCCAATTCTAATTTTACTATACAAAGATAACAAAAAAAAAGTTAATAATAAACGCTCTGTCTAAAAATCAAAAGCAAAGCGGTCCTCTACTTTTAAAAACCGCTCAAAAATTCGGGTATATAAAGTAAATCGCTTGATTTATACACGTCATCATTCACCTTAAATAAAAAATTCGATGGCAGTTACGCGTCAAGCAAAAGTTGTGTTCTCTCTCTTTTTTTTTTTATATATATATATCTTCCATTACCAAATAAATATACACTCATCATGGTAAGTCTTTATGCCTGTCATATAAAGAGCTCAAATGAGCATAATGAAAAAAAGAAAGAGGACTGGCCAGAATTTAACTCGTTGTCCTTTTTTTTTCTAAAAAAAATTAGTCGATTATGCAATATAACGGTGGCTCCGTAGTAGCTATGGTCGGTAAAGATTGTGTTGCTATTGCAGCCGACAAACGTTTAGGTGCTCAATTCATGACCGTTTCAACCGAATTCCAAAAGATTTTCAAAGCTTCTGAAAAAACCTTCATCGGTTTACCCGGTTTAGCTTCTGATGTATTGACATTGTGAGTGTGTAAAGAACCCACGAACGATATTATGTATTAAACCCAATCGTTATTCCTTCTCTTTTTTTACCTACCATCTAGATCAGATCGTTTCCGTTTCAAGACAAACATGTACAAGATGCGCGAAGAAAGAGAAATGGAACCTAAAACACTTGCCCACATGATTTCTTCAACTTTATATGAAAAGAGGTAAAGAAGCGAATTCATAAGAGACAACACGTATTCACTCACTCTTTTGTAGATTTGGACCTTATTTCGTTGAGCCAGTTGTTGCAGGTTTAGGAAAAGACGGCAAGCCTTTTATTTGTGCTATGGATTTAATTGGATGTATCAATTTTGCTAAAGATTTCGTTGTAAGCGGTACTGCAGGACCAAATTTGTACGGTATGTGTGAATCTCTTTGGGAACCCAATCTTGAACCTGAGGATCTTTTCGAGACTATCTCCCAAGCATTGTTGAATGCACAAGACAGAGATGCTTTATCTGGTTGGGGTGCTGTTGTTCATGTCATGTAAGTTGAGTATCTTTTTATATGTTCTTGGAGTCATCCTTAAATCCGTCTTTATTTAGTACACCAAACGAAATTATTACGCGTACTCTCAAATCTCGTCAGGTAAAATAAATTCGAAAGATCCATCTTCCATGGTGTATGTAGACTAACTTCTTTTTTATTTACAGGATTAAACGTTCAAAAAATACTGACAAAAAAAAATAAAATTCGCATGTATAAACCGAACAAACTTCGCTTCTTACTTTTTTTTTTTAAGAAAAAAAGCAGATCTTTATTTTGTTTATGAAATAGTTTATAGTCAATTGATGAATGGATGTGAGATATATAAGGGAGGTTTTGGATTTGGTGGAAGCATGTCATATCAATTGTGTAGATGCAGATCATACATTTGCTCAGTCTAAGTAATATACCAAGCATGTTTATATATCTCTGATCAATGGTCTGTTCGCCTTGATCTTAACAGTGATCATTAACAATACCCGAAATCCCATCAGATATTTCTATTTTCGATTTGTTAAATAATCTCGTAATTTGGCCATGATATCAAAGTGGGAAGAAAACACTGTCATCGTCAATATCTGATTACTATAAATCATATTGTAGTTAAGTTAAACAACTATGTTGATGGTAGAATTCAGGAACCAGGACAGAGCTCAAAAAGTTAGATACGATGTAATGTATTCTTTAAAACATTTTCGCAACTTGTTGGCCTCTGCATGTAAATTTTACAAAAGAAATATGCTATACTTTCTAGTCGTTTGACTATATTCACAAGTACATCCTTGGTTTGTGGTGTTTTAACCAAGAGCTCCGGAACCAGGAGAAATCAGTATTTTCTTGTATTCAAGATGGACAATTGTCTAATATGCGAATGATCAACTCACGATTTGCAAGAGGGAAAAAATGCGTCAGACTTCTTTACGTAATGAAAAGCATGATGACACATAATGAGAGTTGTTATGTTCAACCCAACTTTTTTATTTTCTATTTGTACTGATTATTGTCTTAGTAGCGTTATCCAACTAAAAAACCTATTACACTTCTGATAATGATATTATGGCGCTCTCATTGCCTTTCAAATCCGAAGAGCTTTGAAAAGCGTGAACGATTTAGACAATGTTATCGGCGATGATCTCAATGATATTTCGGAGTTGAACCTTTAGAAATTTTAGCTACTCCTTCCCAACTTGAGTTTACTCATGACACAACTCTCGAAAAGTATGTGCTGGGCCACAGCAAAGAGAACAGTTTCCTTATTTCTTTGGATCTGTTTTTTTTTTACTACCTTAAAGAAAGTCTTGAGGTGTTTAATTTTAAATGCAAACGCAGTATCAAGAGCAGTAACGAACTAGCTTGTAAAGGACTGTAGAATTAAATACTAGACGTACGTATTGTCCTTTTGAGTGGCTTCTCGGTCCCAATATGACAAAAAGAGTAGAGTGTTTATGCTGAATAACTCAAACAATAGCGTGACAAAACATGAAGCTGTTGATTTCCTTGCTTCCCACTCTATCATTTTTTGTCTGTAGCGTTTTTTTAAAAGATTAAACACAAACAACTATCATATTTGGCATCACATCTATATCTTTTTCAGCCACGGGAAAAAATTGCGTGCTTCTCTTCATGTGAAAAAAAAAAAGATTTATGCATTATGACATCAGATAAAAAATGAAGTGTAGCTTTTGATCCTTACAAGCATAAGTTTATTCTTAATGATGAAAAGCCTATATTTACGATATACTTGTGTAGTTTTCTTTTACATGGATAGCGCTTTCATGTGTAAAGGATGTTCATTTTAAATTGAAAATAAAATCGCCATTATTTATGTTTACATTATGTAATTATGAACCAATATCTGTGTAAATGTTTCCATTATAAGTAAAGACTCAAACAAAAGGTAAATTAATCAATTAAATCATCCTGACATAAGCCAGCCCTTGTTTATCAGTTTATATTCACCCACTTTTTTCTTTCCGTTTTATTTTCCTTTTCTTTCCAATTTATAACATTATATTCATGGCAGGAAACGTTCAATTTAGTATAAAGGTTAGTTAATGATGACTTCTGCTTCTTAATAAAACGCTAAATTAAGACCTGTTTTTGCTATAGATGAAAAAAAAATACATTCCAATTCTTGTGGGATATCAGTGATACCACGGCTGCGGCTTGTCTTTCCTAAATGATGGGAACCTTTCATGGAACTACTGTAAGTTACATACATTATACGTTCATTTTCACGTATGTTAATAAAACCCACGTAGATATACATCGTTTCAACGGCCACTACACAACACTAGGAAATAATCGCAAAAGGCGTCTTCAGCTAGAAGATAAATTGAGGGGGTGAAAATAATCATCCCCCTTATTAATGCGATCGAAGTATATTATTGTTTCAAAACTCTTGTTATCCATTATCAGTGTCTTCCTGCCTATAGTCATGTTGTCACTCCAATAGTCAATTCCAGCTACAAAAATCTGCTGTCTATACTCATTATCAAAACCTAACACAGTAGGAAACTGACTACCCGGACAACAATATTAAATGCACTGATATTATCAAGTATTCGACTGGACACAAACATAAAACCAAACGTTAGTCTACCCACTCTGTACTTCTTTCCATCAAGCAAAACGAAGTTGTTTTTATCCAAATATTCAACCGGTTGAGCCGACAGCATTTTGTCAAAAAAAAATACATTCTTACTATCTGCTCTTATTCCTGCTGCTCGCATACGCCAAATAAGCTTGAAATTACCCATCGGACATAACTTTGAAGGCTAGAGGGCTCAGTGTTTACAAGGTCTAAATTACACAAGTGAAAATCGCCATAACTTGTAGCCAACATGCTAGGTTGGCTGCTGTAAGCACATAATTTTGATTTTGATGAACTGATGTAAAGGTGATATGACATTTACTAACCTGAAACACCTTAGTGCTCCGGACAAAAATCAAAACACTGGAGCGATCTACGACCGATGTTCGTTCAATTATTGTTCAGATAAAAAATTGGTGCATGCTCTAACTGGTGCAAGCTCAGCCCAGGATTTAAATTTCCTAAATCAGGATCCGGTATATACGAAGGTTATGGCTGTCGGTGGAATCTTGGGATAAATCTACTTTTGTTTTTCCCAATGGAAAAAAAGATGAAGTAGATGTACCAAATTTTGGTTTTATGCTTCCGTCCGGTCTAATGCTTGAAACAACCAAATTATTATACTTCATCATCCCAATATTCCAAGGATGTCATCTTTCTTTGACTGGTAGTTGCTATTGATGTGAGTGAAAATAGTCAAAAATTGTAAAAAATGGTTGCTTGCAAACATAGAGTGAAACCTTGCGTAAATAAACGTACTCTTGAAATTGAACCCCGATCTTAGCTGTCGAAGATGAGCCGCAGGATCGAGTGTTGAATCAAGGTTCGGGCGCTTGTCTGCCAATATTCTGCTGGCTTTCTTTGCGGAGTCTTCCGACACGTATACTTTGGTTTTTCCGGATGGGAAAAATGAAAAGGTCGAGGGACCAACTTCAGGCTTGATAGCCCCATCCAATCTAATACTAGACACAACCAGAGCATTAAACTTGGTGGTCCCAATCACCAGTTTGCGGCTGCTGTCATTATTCATTATAACCGTAGAGAGCAAATTTTGTAAGTCGAGGTAACAGTTGGAGTAGAGACTTGATCCTGAGGGGAGAAGCGCTCGTAGTAGACGTCTAAACTTTTATACCGACTGTATACCTCGACTAAATTTAGCAGTAGCAGTTGATCGTCATCGACCAAGATGGCACCAACAAGAAGTGGGCACAAAACATTGGCATGTAAGGCCGGCCTCTCCAATGGCTATTTAGTGATTCTAATTGAGACTCACTAATCTCTTCAAAATGGCCGGCAATAAGAACATTCCTGTACTGATTGTTTTCAATTGCATTATTGATATAAGTCGTGGGTTCGATATCTTGGCATTTACAGTCATCATCCTTGAGCTGGTCAGGATGAACTGGCTCAAACTTTAGAATCTTTGCCGCAGAGTCATCATTTTCTTTCAAGAGGCGCTTGAGCTCCCCCTTAGTTGTTGACAAGACCCCACATTCGACATTGTTTGCATATGTAATTACGGGCACAAGATTCAGACTTGAAACCACTCTACAAAACATTTATGTGGTGTATTTGATTCGGCTCAGTCTATCATTCATTGGATCACCTGGCCAAAAAGGTTCCCTGATAAAGGTTCCCTCAAGAAGGTTCCCACAAGAAGGTTTCCTGTCCTTATTTGGAATCTAAAAGCACCTCTATCTGCGGAAGATTCCATTCAATGTTTGTGAAGACCACATGGTCCAACTCTCAACGATATTCACGCATGCTAGCAGCAGTTCACAGTCAAGTACTGAGGATATCCTTGGTGCTAAGGTCTTTTAGCATCCGATTGAAGCATTGTACTAAGAGGATGAAAACTTATCTCCAGTTATTCATATTAACCAAAAGTCAGTTATCGGAGATAGTCAAGAGGTGCAAAAACCAAAAATCCGGATAGTCTTGGAGAAGAGAAGTCGGTGTTTTTGAGTCTTCGTTCTTTGTTAGAATGATTGTGGAGATATGAGTAGTGTTGGCCTACGGTGGATTCGCAGGTGGATATAAAGTATAACTCTTTAGGATAGACAGCTTATTGACGTTGATTTTGTCGTTATTTTTAATAAAGCTCGTAAAGAATGGCCTTCAGTATGGCTATTTTATAATATTCGATTAGTAATCTCATATTACTGGGTATACTCTTGTTACAGATCATCTATTGGGAATTATATAATTATTGGTTGTCCATGACACTTTAATATATCACCAAAGTATTAGCTAATGAGAATTCTTTAATCAATTAAGATATTGATTGACATAAGACAATGTAATTCTAACTTTTATGTTCCAGGAGATAGCGATGACTCTCTCTTCCTAACATTAATAAAGCATAAACAGAGACTCACTTCTTTTATTTCTTTTTTAATCTGTTTTGATCTATTCTATCTTAAAATATCCCAGATTTCACCAATCAGTCTCTAGCGATGTGTTAAAGCAGGTGGTGTATTGGTTACGTTTATTGAGATCATTATTGGGTTATTAAAGATTTTTGATCTACAAAGAGAGAGAGAAAAAAGTGGGGAAGCAACAATGTAAATATATAAAATTATCATGGAGTTTTATTGTTCCATGAATTTGACACACCGAGATTGACGCTTTGGCTTTTTTTCTGCCTTGTTCACTAAGATACTTGTTACAGATGATGATTTAGATTCTGTATACACTGCATTTATAGTTGGTAGCGAAGGGAGTGGTTTATCTTGTTCTTCTAGCTCTTTTTCCCTGACAAGACCTTGCAGTAACTCAAAACTGCCACTTTTCCTGTTACCTTCCAAGATAGATTCTGCAGAGACTGTGTGTCGGCGATCATGCCATGAAGGGAACAAACTTTGTTGAATTGATTTCCCTGTAGGAACAGAAGCTTGGTATGGATGCTGCATTCTACTAAAAAAAAAAAAAAAAAAAAAAAAAAAAAAAAAAAAAAAAGAGAGGAGATAATGTAAATAGTCATGAATAAAATTATAGAACTATCACTGAAACCGGTGGTTTCATAATTTTTTTATTTTTTTTTTCTTCTTTATCTTGTGTTTGTTAACTAGTCATAATATTCATCCTCATCATCATCATCTTCTTCTTCTTCCTCTTCGTCATCGTCGTCATCATCTTCGACAATAACCTTTTTCATTTTTGGTGGTGGTGGTGGCATCTTTTTGACAACGTTATGATATGATGGCATAGGCAACTTTCCGCTCATTTTTTGACGATGATAAAAGTTTGGTAAGGCCCCTCCTGGGCATTCTCTTTCAAGCGCAGCGTCAAATACTTTCTATAGAATCTTTTAGTAAAAGAAAAAAAAAATTACGCGATCTATTTTCGCTTTACCTGCATCTCATCAGCATCTTCATAGACGTAAGAACCTTCCTCATTGAATTTGCGTGCATTATCAAACATCAGGTGGAAGTCTTGCTCAAATTGAAGTAAAGATTCGTAATAATTAGAGTGGATGCGTTTTTTGATGATATTCATGGAGATTGGGTTTTTGATCAATGTATAATATATGGGGTATTCTTTTTTACTGACAAGATCCATGAATAATTCACAGCGCTGACGGTATATGACTTCTTCTTCGTCATCATCTTCCTCCGGTTCTTCTTCTACTGTGGCTTCTTCTACAGCCTTGTAACATGCCTCGAAAATTCGTGTCAATTGCTGTCTAATTTCCGGCACCAAAACATCATAATGCTTATTACGCTTTCGATTCGACTATATATCAACGATAAAAAAGGACGTTAGAATTGGATTTTACTATGCATAATGTCATCCTAACCTCCTCCTGTTGCTCAATTATTCTCTTCTTGGATTGTTCGTTTGTATTACCACGTTTTCTAGAACGATTCATTTCCATTTCTGCTTCCTCCTCTTCTCTTTCAATAGCCTGGGAAAAAAATATTTAATAACGTAAATTATGGCGCAACCTTCGACATGACTTACATCTAGCCATTCTTCTTCTGTTAATCCGTCGTCATATCTCACTTCATCTCTTGCTCGACGACCTCTTCCAAAGTCAATAGTTGAATCGTGCTGTATGATAAGTTGTTCTTCTTGGGTAAAGACATCAGGCAACTCATCTTCTTGAATAAGTCTGTCTAATCGCTTATTATAGCCTCTACGTCTGTACATTTCTGTTTCTGATCGTTCACGCTCTGCGTCCATTTTTCTAAATACGACCATTTCATCTTCTGATCTTTGTAACATCTCATTTAATTCTTCATCTTCGTTAGCTTCCTCATCCGGTTCATCCTCGTCGTCGATTTTATCTTCAAGCAAGGTTCTCTGCATTTAAAATAAAAGGATTAAAAAACTGAGATTTTATGATCTGTACACATATAAACATACCAAGAAAGCCTCACGATCTTCTTCTGTACTTCTGTTATCAAATTTACCCGCTTGGATGACCTTGCCGTCAATATCTAACTTATAATTTGCTCTTGCCAGGATACTTTCTTCAATTGAATTTGAGGTGATTAATCGAAAGATACGCACTTCTTTTGTTTGTCCAATACGATGTGCACGATCTTGAGCTTGTAAATCTTGATGAGGATTCCAATCCGAGTCAAAGATAATGACAGTATCTGCGGTTTGTAAATTCAGACCAAGACCACCTGCACGTGTACTTAATAAAAAGATGAAGTAAGGCGAATTGGGTTGATTGAATTGATGTAACAAAGATGAACGATCATCCGATTTGGTAGAACCATCCAGTCTTAAATAGGGGTAATTTCTCCAGTTTAAATAATCCTCCATAATGCTCATGATACGTGTCATTTGGAAGAAGATCAAGACACGATGGCCTGTATTACGTAATTTGGGTAACATACGATCAAGTAGTTCGAATTTACCACAGCTTCGATACAAGAGCTCGTTGGATTTTCCGCTGGGATTTAGTGTCGTTTCGACGCCCTCAAATACAAAGGGATGGTTACATACTTTACGAAGTTGCATGATGGTATTATTTAAACCCTTGACAGAAGCATTGCTAGCATTAATAAAGGTTAGTTTATCCTCGAAATATTGACTATAGCTTTTGACTTACGACTCATTGTTGACATAGAGCGCATTGCTCTTTTTCAATTGTTGGTATATCTTGAGTTGCAACGTAGATAAGCGACATTTAACGACATGTTCTACTTTATCGGGTAGTTCAGATTCAACGTCCTTCTTTAATCTTCTTAATAAAAATGGTCGAAGGACTTTGTGTAAACGTTTGATAATCAGCAATTGTTCCTCTTCATTTAAGTCTACTTTGTCTTGTACACCTTGGTTTGAGAATGGGGTATTGAACCATTCTTCGAAACTCTTTACACTCTTAAAAATCTTTGGCAGGATGAAATTCAACAATGCCCATAATTCTGGTAAATTATTCTATCGATAATAAAAAATGAGGTGAGCTATTTCCCACAATAATAAACATGGTTGTACCTGAAGTGGGGTACCAGTAAGAATCAATCGATAACGTGTCTTGTAAGATTGTCGCAAGCACACATTGAGCTTGGAATTGGCATTTTTCATACGATGACCCTCATCCATTATTAAATGCAACCATTTAACACGGCTCAAGACAGGTCTGTCACGAATAATATACTCAAAAGTGGTCAACAATACTTGAAAACCGCCCGATCGAACCACACCGGCCAAGTGGCGTCGTACTGTTGGATTTCCCTTGTAAATCACTTTGGATACAGAAGGTGCCCATTTATCAAATTCCAATGTCCAATTTGTCAAGGTTCTAATGAAAAAAAATTCAAATCAGTTCGCTGGTACCGCTTTATAACTTACATACACACTTACGACAGTGGTACAATAATGAGAAATGGTCCGTTTTGTCTCTTCATTTCAATTAGGTATGTGATTAAACTAATAGTCTGGATAGTCTTTCCGAGGCCCATTTCATCCGCCAGAATACCATTCAAGTTGTTATTATATAAGGAAACCATCCACTGCAATCCCTTCACTTGGTAATCTTTTAATTTACCACCGACCATAATACTTGGTTGACAAACTTCTTCGCGGACACGATGAGTAATTTGATAATAATCAGCAGATGCAGCTGCTTCTGTATCATTTTCCTATAAGAATGAAACAAAAAAAAAATGAGTAAAAACATGGTGGATTAAGAAGCATGGAAAGTACCTCTAGATCTGCCATTTGAATATCCATTTTACTTCGCATGTTTTTACTATCATTTTGTTGATCCACTACTGATTTTGTAAGCGATTCCAAGAACTGGCCGGTTTGTTTTAATAGGTGAGTTAAACGGGTGTCTTTTGCCTCATCCAATAACTTTAGATAAGCTTCCTCATCATCATTCTTTAATGCGAGAATACGCTCCTTGGCGATTCTTTCTACTCTCTTCTGCTCTTCCTTTTCGATGTGAGTGTGATACTGAATGACTGATTTACCTAGTTTACTCATTCTGGTCTCGTTTGTCTTATGATATGCCACCAAATGTATACCATGTTCGCAGATCTCATTTAAGCGATTTTGTTGAGCTTGTCGCAATGTCTGATCTCTGTTATTACGTTGTTGTCGTTCCATGGTTTCAACATGACGAGAATCTTTCAAGGTGATCTTCTTCATACGTCGATAGGAAGTTCTATCATTTGAGGTAGCCAACACGGTTGATTTTGAAATCGCAGAGACAATATCATTACGAAGCTAATGTTTGGTTATTAATTTTACGTTGAGCGCTTTTGATATTTATATTTGCTTTTACCTTTTGTTGTTTCTCGCGCAATTTCAATGCTTTGATGTGAATGACTTTTTTCATACTGTTCTCATCGTTGGGTTGATGTGAATGAATTCGATGTTGCATGCGAGCTACAATTCTTTCCTCACGTTGAGATATGATATGATGGGTATCTAATCCAGCAGGAGTCAAACTGGGTACGAGTAATCTCTGCTGTCTAGATGCATGCACATACGAAGTGATAGGTTTGGGTAATAATTGGCTAGGAACTACATAGGCGTTATAAGGTGGTCTGGTAGGTATTTTTGTTTGTGGTATTGATCGTAAAGGAGATTGTGGCTTGTTGATGGGTTTCTTGGTTTGTTTGATAGTGGGTGTTGTGGGGGATTCAACGGAGAGGCCGTTAAAAGGAGCCAAGACTGCTTGTTGAAGGTTTAATGGTAGTGGTGTATCTTTGGATAAGAGTTTGTACGCCATGATTTGATATTTCAAGGCTGTCAACTGAGTCTGTGAGAACACCGTATGACCTACAATACATGAGTTTTTATGGGATAGGATGGGTATTGGGTGTACCTTACCTTCGGTAGCTTGCATTTTTATTCTCTGTTGTGGTTGTGGTGGTTGCATTGGCATGGCATTGCTTGGACGACGCACATTCTGCATAAGCTTCAGTTGGTGTGATATTTGAGCAAGTTCCATGCTATTCTCTTCGGTAGCTCCATGAGATTGAAGATAAGCAGCACGCTAAAGTGTGTGGTTAAGTTAACAACAGCCTTTATTTTTTCGTGTTTACGGCTCTCCTTACCTGTAAAAGAACAGATATGTTATCTTTGTTTCCAGGAACAGAGCTATAACCAACAAGATTATGTTGCGAAATGGAGCTCATTTTTCTTTTTAAAAAATAAGTCCCCCTTAAAATAAAGTTGTGTATGAAACTGTTAAAAGGACGTTTTTTTTTTTCGCTGCACAAAGAGAAAAGTTGTTATTTTTCGCAGGCGTCACGTGGTAAAACGTTACATACACCACGTTTCTGCAAACAGGATTTGCCTATTTTCACTGATATGATTTATTCTTTATTTAATTTTTGCTTTGCAACTTTATTCTTGGTAATATGATATATGACGCGCTACAAAGATAGTTGGATCACGTACTAACGTTTATTCTTTCAAAAATAGTATTTTATTTCCACTAGACGTTTGTAAAGATTTCAAATAAAAATGACTAGTTCAAATTCAGTAGCTGATGTGGATGCGTGGATTACTCAGCTTCAAGATTGTAAACAACTTTCTGAAGGAGATATCAAAAGACTTTGTGAAAAGGTAAGAACAAGTTTTAACGTTCAAGGATGATTGCTCATTGCCATGTTTTTAGGCGCGTGAAATTCTTATAGAAGAGTCTAATGTACAGCCTGTGAAATGTCCAGTAACTGTTTGTGGTAAAAAAAAATCATAGACTGAAATGAAACAGGCAAAAAAAATGGTGTGTTAACAAGTGTCCTTAGGTGATATTCACGGTCAATTTCATGATTTACAAGAGTTATTCCGTATTGGCGGTAACTCTCCCGATACCAACTATTTATTCATGGGTGATTATGTCGATCGTGGCTATTATTCTGTTGAGACTGTTACTTTATTGGTGTCTCTTAAAGTAAGATATAAAGATCGTGTCACCATTCTTCGTGGTAACCATGAATCCCGTCAAATTACCCAAGTCTATGGTTTCTATGATGAATGTTTAAGAAAATACGGAAACGCGAATGTTTGGAAAATGTTTACCGACCTATTCGACTTTTTACCATTGACAGCTTTGATCGAAGACCAAGTAAGTAGTATAAGTTCCTTTATTTATTTATTTTCCCGGGAACTTAATGGTTGTCTAGATTTTTTGCTTACACGGTGGTTTGTCCCCTTCTATTGACTCGCTTGATCAAATCCGTTCCTTGGACAGAATTCAAGAAGTTCCTCATGAAGGTCCTATGTGTGATCTTTTATGGTCAGATCCCGATGAAAGAAGTGGTTGGGGTATTTCCCCTCGTGGTGCTGGTTATACATTTGGTCAGGACATTTCAGAGACATTCAATCATAATAATGGTTTGACATTAGTTGCAAGAGCTCATCAATTGGTGATGGAGGTACGTGTCTATAACAGTGGTTTTTGTCAATTTACTCATTCCTCCTTTTTTTCTGCTATAGGGTTATAATTGGTGTCACGATCGCAACGTTGTAACTATTTTCAGTGCACCAAACTACTGTTATCGTTGCGGTAACCAAGCTGCTATCATGGAAATTGATGAGCATATGAAATACACATTGTAAGCCTCTTATTTATTTTTGTGATGTATCAACCTATTTTAACTCTTTTATAATTCTTATAGCTTACAATTTGATCCTGCACCCAGAAAAGGTGAACCTCATGTTACCCGACGCACACCCGACTATTTCTTGTAATTAAATAAAGCATGTGTAGTGTCCTGTCATGCATCTTCCTTTATCTGTTGTTATTACAATGGGGACCCTTGGGCTGATTAATTTTTTTTTAAGGTAGCAAAGGTTGACCCTGTACCACCTATCAATTTAATAGCATTCAATACTTCCATACGAAGAAGTTAGAAGTTTCAACAAGATGTTACATAACTAGGTATTATGTACTACACAAATGTTTCTTTTTTCGCGGATAAACAAAGCCACTGCATTGACAAGTGTTAAATTACTACATGCCATTACATAACTCTTCCTCTCACATCCATCAAAAACTCACGCCATGGTCTAATCATGATCCGAAAGGCAAAACGCGTGCTTTTATTGATATATCCGACGATGAATGTCTTGTGTAATATTTTCAGTCTTTTGTCAATTTCTCGTGATTGGAGGAAATAGAAATACATGTAAACATGCAATCACTCTTTTTCTTGCCCTTTTTCTTTTCTTTTCTTTTCCATTCCTGCTGTATCTACTACTATAAAATATAATATACAATGGAACAATATAGTGATCCTCGTAAGTATACATTGGAAAAACAAATTACTATCTCATATTTAAGCTTTTTAATTTTATTTTTTCCTTTTTTTATTGTTATTCTTTACTTATTAGAAGACGGCCAATTAAGCTCAATGGAAACAGATCAAGCTTCAACGGGTCCGACTTCAGTAAATACCGAAAACAGTGATAATAATAAAATGCCTTGTTTGTCATTAATTGTTTACTTGTAATTTGGCTTTAGTGGATCAACTGGTTTTGCTCGAGTAGAGAACATAAATATTATACCGAGGTCGATGAAAGTTTTATTGAAGATCCATTTAACCTCATCGGACTCAACGCACATATTCAATTATACAAGGAAACGCTGGAAATCATTCTGGATTTGGAACCTGTAGATGAAATGTATAATCGTGTTCCGGATTTAAGTTTATTAGAACCATCTGCTGAACTTTTATATGGCTTGATTCACCAAAGATACATTCTCACAAAGCAAGGCATGTTCCAAATGGTATGCTGTCAAAAGAATACTAGCATTATTTTATAACTGACGTTCTCGGAATAGTACGAGAAATACGAGTCCGGGCATTTCGGAAAATGCCCACGATTCTACTGTAATGATTGCCACCTTTTGCCTTGCGGACAGCATGATCTGCCCAAAACTAGTCAAGTGCGCCTCTTCTGTCCTAATTGTATGGATATTTATATTCCACCAAATCCCAGACACCAGGCTATCGATGGTAAATACATACACGTCTTAACTTACAACGACTAATTCTATAATTGACACATATAGGCTCGCATTTTGGTACAACATTTGCGCATCTATTTTTACAGACATTCCCCGACGTTGTTAAGAAAGTGGAGCCAGCGATATATACAGCAAGGTTATTCGGGTTCCGTATCCATAGCTCGTCTCTACCTGGACCACGTATGCAATGGTTAAGGATGGTGCAAGAAAATAAAGCTGAGCTTATCGATGGAGAAGAAGAGGAGGACGAAGATATGTCAATGGTAACTTTTTAATTAGTAAGAAACATAAAATTATGCAATTTTTTTTTTTTTGGGAGTGTTTTTTTGAATTGATCTATTTCTGCTTTAAATTCTTGTATCCTTCCATCCTTACGCCTCCTTTGAATTTAAATCGAGCAGTGTATCCGTCAGAGTAAATCCAGACAAGTGAAAAATTGCTTCAGTCAAATAAAAATACATTTCGGATAGCAGTAAAAAAATATTCAGACTAGTAAAAAATAAACATCTTAATAGCATTTCTTTTTGTCATTCTTTGTCATACATATACCCAGAATCATTCTTCAATAGACGAGTTGGCTGTATTTTTTGATAGTCTTGAATCACTTACTGGATAAATATTTAAATACATGGTAGTTTTTTGTTTTTTTCATAAAATGCATTTCACTATGAATATGCCACTGCTGAATCTCTTATAAACAATTACCAAGTCCAGATTTACAGGTCTGTTTGCAAATATTTCTATTGTAGATCTGGATAATAAAATTGGTTGTTTAACCACCTATACATTTAGAACTTTTACATAAGAAGCAGCTGTTGTCCATGTAATTTAGCCGGATGGACATAGCATGATTTTCTTTTATGAAACCGTTACTAGTGATTGTGAAAAGGTCATTTAATAATGACTTTTAGTTTTTGAGAAAACAAAACATAATTTGTAAAACTTCTATCACTGGAATAAGTGTTTGTTTTATGAAAATAACAAGATCATCTAATAAATTCACGTCGAATTGATGTATACAGAAACTATTGAATGTATTTTGTATAAATCACAAAAAAGAAAAATCACACACACAAAAAGGAGATGTGATGGTTACATCTGTATATTTTTGACATTTCTTTGCGAAAGTTCACAATTTTTAATTGGTTGACGAGAATGGGGTATTTATTATTACATGTAAAACTATTTTAAGAAGTAATTTTTTTTTTTTTTTGTTCTTTCGATTGTTATTATCTAGAAGGATTTTCCATTTGCAGAAGATGATGATTGTCTATCAGCTTGTCTTTTAACAAGATAATTCAACTTGTCCATCACTTCTTCCAATTTAGTTTTACGTTCCTGTAACTCAAGATGCTTTTGAATAGGGGGGTTTTCTCTAGCAAATTGTTGAATTTGTTTACGATCCATCTCGTACACTAAACGATTATCAACTTCACGGGGGAATTGAAAGAAGAATTCATTTAATAACTCGACCTGGATGAACATGACAGCCTATATCAATACAGTTAGTATTAGCAAAAAGACATACGAGTCTGATTCGAGAATTTCTTACCGTATACGTCAATTTTTCGGCAATAACATTCAAAAATGCCTCAGGGCAATACTGTTTGTTTTCAGAAGATTTACATTGTCTACTTTTTAAAGCTGCGATTCTGTACTTGAGAATCATGGCGCGATCTCTCAAATAGATTGCATCCTTTGCCTTCTCTAATAATTTGGGATTGTAAAAGGACTTTACAACCTCCTCCTCTTCTTCGTCATCATGATGGCCCAATTGCCCATTGGTGTTGTTGAATTCAGAGTTTCGGGTCTTTTCTTGACGACGAGCTTCTTCTCTCTGGGAATCCAGGAGGTAATTAATGGCGCTTTTCAACTTTTTCTTGCCAACAGAATTCTTAATCGAAGCTCCCATTTCATCACACATTTCGAGCTCCTTTTCTAATAAATTAATCGACCGTTTTACACCTTCATTCCATTCGGTATCATTGATTTCGACCTCGAATTTGTATGGCTTGATGGTATTTTCAACTTGGTCGCTGGTAGCCAAAAATTTGGTTCTCAAAATTTCACTGGTAAAGTTCATAATTTGTTGTCTTGTATCAGGATGGTAACTGAAAGAGTCGGCGTTGGCCAGTCTTTCCATATTACTCATGAGAACATCCACAACAAGCTGGGTAGTGGATCTACCAATGCCACTCTTAGTCAAGGCGGCTGAAGCAAAATCGACCTTGTAAAGCCAATATATATCTTCGGGTGCAGCCTTGGGTAGCTCTGCAATTTTCTCATCGCACCAATATTGCTCGGCACAAATGTCAAGTACCTTTTGCTCTAACATGGTTCTGACTTCATGACGTACTTGAGGCTTTCCAAAATTGTTGGCAAAATCCTTAAAATCATGTTTTAAACAATCCATCGTTTCTGCCACATAAGACTCTGCTGTAACTCTTCTGTCGTTGTATTGAACCTTAAATTGGTATCTTGCCTCTTCTAATTCACGTTGTACAGCATCTACAATGCTATATAATGATCTTCCCATACTTTGTTCCAAAACATTCATGAGTTTATGTCGAAGTGTGGAAGTACCTACTTGAATGTCACGTTGATTGAATATGTTGTGCGATCTAAAATATGCTTCTTCGCTCTTGATCAAAGCATGGGTCATATTCACATTCGAGGCATTTTCAGGTGCTTTACAAACTACACCGATATATCCCAGGTGAAGAGGGTAATCAGCGTTACGGAGAATAGCAGCGCCTTGTTGAGGTGAAACAAGATCCATTTTGGTGATAACACCAATCGTACGCAAGCCAAGAGGATCCCATTTTCTGCTGGCCTTCAAGGCAGGAGAATTCGCTAAATCGACATTGGCACTACAAACGGCTAAGATAATATTGGGTCCACGGATATACTTTTCGCATAAATCTTCAATTTTGTTCTTTAATGATTCAGGTTGGTTGCGGTTGGATATTTGAATATATCCCGGTAAATCAATCAAGGTCAAGTCGGGCACATTAGGTGAATAAATGCGCAGTTCGATAGGCTTGTCAGACACACACTCTGATTCGGAAACTGCCAAATTCATATCGATCAGTGTCTTTTGAACTTTTTTGAAATCAAAGATTTTCCCGAGTCCAAGTTGAGGGAATTCACCGTATTCTTCGTCATTGTTTGGGGTGTGGATTAATGTTAACTCAATAGGTCTTCGTGTAACCATGTTGCTCCCTCTATCAGATTCAAATTATGTTAATTTTAAGCTGTATCATTTCCCAAAAATAAAACAACTTACTTAGGAAGAAATTCGTGACCTACAATTGCCTCCAACACTGAGCTTTTACCCGAACTTTGGGATCCAATGACTACAATACTAGGCAACCTTAATGTTTCATTGTGGTCAATTGACATTAATATGCTACGGATTTCGATTAACTTTTTGGTCAACATCATCAACTGCTCATCCTGTGCTGAAATTCCATATTCGTTCTTCTTCTTCTTTTTATTTCTCTTTTCTCTTTCCTTTCTCTCTATTTCCTCTTCATCTTCATCTTCTTCTTCCTCTTCTTCCTCGTTGAGATACACAGCAGCACCGGCAACCATAGCAGCGGCGGCAGCGGCAGCAGCTTCGTCTCCTTCGCCGTCACCTTTACCGCTTCCGCTACCACCATTACTTTGCTCTTTGGGTGCTTCTGCAATTTTGTGATTCACTGCCTTTGGTTCCTCTACGACTTTTTTCGTTAACAAATTCCGAACGGACTCGGGGAACCTGTGACGCATTTCAGGTATCGAAATATCTATGCCTTCTACTGCTGCCTGTGCTCTTGTGAAAAAAGATTCTACGCTTTCCTTCCCGTCTTTCATGAAACCATTACTTTTGTCGACAATATCTAAAACATGAATTTTATTTTTAGAATATATTTTATCACACTATTTTTTTTTTTCTATAAAAAAAGTTACCTTGTAATTTGTTTGTGGCAAGGGTTGTGCCTGTAACTGCGGTGGTGGCAATAATGGCAGGGACACGAACAGATCTCAAGACAATTCTTGGAATGGTCCATATACCGATAGATCTGACTTGCGTTTGCAAAACAAGAGGTGCGGCGTGGTAGGTACGGACACGACCGCCATGATGCAAAAGTGGGGGAGGTTTATGGAAGCCAGATAAATCCCGTAATTGACGAAAAGGCACTCTTGTTCGAGATGCAATTCTTGGGTGAAGTGTGCTGGTTATTGCTTTACTTTGTCGAAGTATATGTGTAATCATTAAATTTCACGACAAAAGTAATGTTTAAACAATGATAATAAAGAAAGAAACGGTTTATTTTATTTTTTCTCTTTTTCTATCTTTTGTTACACTGTCATTGGTACTGGGTTTAATGCTGATGATTAGGCTATTAACCACTGTCATTGGCTGCAGTAAATAGATTTTTTTGGCATGGCATAGAATCACATTCGACGCCGTTGCATACAAGCTGCTTTCCTTTATTGCAGGCTAGTTCAAATGACGGGATCCATGTAACTGGCAAAACAGACTAAACAGAAAGCGGAAGGGTGACTAGTTTGTTAATCAAAATAACATGTCAAAAGAAACACTTTTCCTGAAGGTTCTCTCATATAGGCAGATGAAAAAAGTATATTGTACAAATTACTTTTTATTATATATAAAAAAATAACAATAAAGTTATGAGCTCCCAAATGATCTAGGCACCTATGTCCAAAACCTTGGTTCACCGTCAGAAAATAGAAATGTTCACGCATAAAAAATATTTGTAAAGTTATTTCTTTTCTATAAAAATAAAGAGGGATTTGCAGAAACAATTATTCTTGTAAGAATAATTTAGAACAAGCGGTAAGCTTTACCCATGGAAGACTTCAAGTACAAAGACTTGACGTTTTGCCAGTGCTTCTTCAACAAGGAAACGAGGAAGTTGACAGACAACATAATGTTGGCAATCAATTGATCTTCAGTCATAGCAACGTGACCGACAGCAACACCGAGACAGAGAACCTTCTTCAATTGGAACTTGATGGTGGCACGGAGCTCGTTGGCCTTATCAACCAAAGAATCGTTGTGAGAAACGGGGGTAGGGAACTTACCAACCTTGTGGAGACCAGGACCCAAAAGACGAGGAATTTGCTTAATAAGAGCTTCGGAAGCAAGGAAAGCATCGTACTTCTTGGCGAGCTTCTTAATGAGCTTCTTGTTCTTGTTGAGCTTCTTAAGATCTTCAACAGATTGGAACTCCATGGCGGCACCCTTGGCTTGATCACAATGGAAAGCATCACCGAGAACACAAACAGTCATGTTAGGACGAGCAACGTTGGGAAGCTTGATGGTACCAGAGAAACGCTTATCACGTTGGGGATCGTAGTTCTTCAAACCAATTTGGAGTTCAACGGTTTCAGTGAACTTTCTTTGCTTCTCCTTGGAAGCATTTTGAATCTGGACAACAATGTCTCTGACGGCAGAAGCGCTAACTTTGCTATAAACACGAGAAAAACGTCAGCCAAATGCACACATGGGGGCTATCTCTATTATCCCATCTATCTCTTTGACAAAATAGATGGATGGATTCATATATGCCCTGGATGGATGGATCATTATGAACTTACCTCATAATAGATACAGATATAAAAGAGGAAGGAAATATTTATCTGCATCCTTTTGGCTGATTTATATAGTTTGTTAAAGCTTCCAAATGATTGGTTAAGTAGGTTACACTGTCAGTTCCAGTCCGGAGTGTTTCGATGTGCAACAACCATGTGCTGTGCTATCATGATGGGTATATAATGTATATAAAAACATAAATCAGGGGAACATATACTTGCTACTCGGTATACTACATCTTATTGGATCTAACTTCTAAAAATACATGTTTATTGAACAGCAGCCAATATCATTTTTTAGTCATATTCATCATCCCACAGACATTTTGTGACCATATCCTTCAAAATTATTAATTATTATAAAGCATGGATACAACCTGTAATGAAAAATCAATTTATTGGATTAAATGAAAGTAAGTATTGGCCCCCTTGTCCAAAAACTGTTTGTCCATCTGCATTACCAACGGGATCCAAATTAAGACTCATTTGGGACGTACTTTAAAGTGAGCAGGATTTAAACAAATAAACACTACAAAATATTCAAACGTTTGAATCAAGTCAAATTTAAAATTGAAATTTACTTATCAAACAGGGTGATTCTTACCTTCTTATGCAGAGTAATTTTCTGCGATTGTTAAGAGGCATGTTACAATGTTTAATGAAAAACATTGTTTTAATGAATATATTACACATATTATTACCGCTATTTACAGATTAAAAGTCTTTTATTGCTGATTATTTAAATCGAAGTTGAGATGAGGGAAAAGGCTCTTACCTTTGCTTAAATTTAGAAGAGTAGTATACTCTACCTCTTTTATCGAACGTTTGAGTTTAAAACTTTTTATAATTTAACGTTTCACGAACTAATAATTTGATTAAGTGTCAATTCTAAAACGTCACTACTACATCAAATTACAAATGTGCGTACTTTGCGTAGTCCTCGATTCATAAACTCGACTGCGGTATTGTATCTCTTATTGAACAGAACCTCGGGTAAATTTGTATGGACAAAAATTATAATTATCAATCTTTCATCTGTTTTGTTTTCTGCAAATACAATATCATTGCCAGGACCAATTGACATTTGTCAATTAAAACCAAGGATATATTATCTAATGATGCACCAAAAAAACGGGTAATTAAAATACCTACATGCATGAAAATCATAGATATGGAGCTCCTAAAGCAATTACCTTTAATTCGTGATAACTATCAGCAATAGGAGGGGTATGAAATTGTTGTTTGGCAGTAGTGCATTAGGACATATCTGGTTTGAAACAACATAGGCAGTTAATACATCTAATTTACGCTGAACATATAAATTAGTTATCTTGTATGGAAGTATTTAATTAAATGCAGAGAAAGCGGAAGACGCGTGAATCTCTTCAACGCGTTCAAGGAAGTAAAATAAAAAGATGAGGATGAGGGTCGAGTTTTAAAAATGTTGATCCACTTGCCGCCCAAACCTGATATATTTCTTATCAGCAGTACTCAGATAAACATTCACAGTACTAGGGACATCATTGATGTTATTAAAACTAACATTGAATATGGTTTGACAACAATAAGGTAAATTATTTTTTAGCGCGCGACCCATGAAGAGGCAAGTATATTCATTTTATCAGATAGGAGCACTTGAGATGCATTGTTTGTATTAGTATAAAACCAATAGTCGCTAAATCCATCGAGGGTTCTTTGTCTGTTTTTCGGCCTAGCCAATCCTGCCCACTATGTATCAAAACGTTAATTACATAATTTTATATTTTTTTCACCAAAAGTGTGAGCCTAGTATCACATCATTTCGGGTTTAGGATTACATTAATAAGAGTCAATTACTAACAATAAAAAAATTTCTTACCTGATTAGTATTTCGTTATTAGTTCAATATAACCATGAAAATTAGTATAAAGACAACACCTAGGGAACTTTTAAAGAATAAAATTGTGTTATGTTTGAGCAATGATCGTATAAAAGCTTTCAAATAATAATGCTTCATCACTTATTGTTAACTTTTTTATATAACCGATCCACTTATAAATAGTTTAATATTAGAGCTTCTCCGGAAAAGAGTTTAACATGGGATCAGTTTACAAGGGTGAACCTTAATTTTTTCGATTGAATTACATTTATAAGAAATCATTATAATTTTAAGCATAACACTTATTTATTTGGTATTCAATGGTGGAGGTATGCAATGCCATGTAGGATAAGTCATTCTCTACATAAATATGTTTTGAATTGTCTTTTTAACTAAAGAAGTTTTTTTTTTTGTCCCTTTTTTTTGGGTTTGAACTCAAAAATGATAATTTTACCATATTCATCAACGATTTAAAATGATTATAATAAGCACGAAAAAAATCCATCGTATTAAATCTGTTTAGATTCTGGAGATTTAGAGAAAGTTAAAAATACATTTCTATCAATTAGTATAAAGCGACTCATAACGTGGTATAAATATTTGTTACCACTGCTTAGCAAGAATAAATGGTATATTTAGCACCATATGACATTGTCTTGGATGCATTAGGCAAGCATGATCGGGAGGTGCATCCTCACAGTGTATACGAGATTGCTTAAAAATCAAAATTAAAAAAGCACTTGATAGAACTCCCACATTTTTTAGCTATTTTTTTTTTTATGTATATCACTAAAATAAACAATAATTGACATTTTGAATTACGTGTTAAAATGGCTGACACTAAAAAAAAATATGTGAATCATCTTTAGCTGATTAAGAAATGGCCCTTATTGACCCTAATCTTTTGCGCCAATTTTGCCGTACGGTTGTACAAAGGAAAAGACAGAAACTATGCCGTTGGTTTGTAAGACTTGGAGCGAGCAAAGTAGGAAATCTTACCACATGTGGTACCGAGATAAAAAAAAACCAAATCTGGTCCGCATCCGATCTAGCAAATCGCACAAATAGCGCAAGAATTTTCTATTTTTTCTGACACTTCTGTAATTTTTAAGCACAGATTGCATTAACATTGTTTTCTAATTTTTTCGTCAAGATCCCATTCAAATCAATTTTAAAAAGTATGCATTGTTGTTTTAAATTGTTTCTGAACTGTTCAGAAGGGAGAAAAAAGGTACTTTGTGAATGAATTGATAAAAAAAAGAGGATGGACATGTTCGTTACCAGTGTTCGGCCAAGTAAGCCAATCAAAAAGCTACTAATTCCCTAGTGTATTAAGAGTCTCAATGTTTTGGATCGTAAAATAAAAAAACCAAAAACTCGCGAAAATTCGTCTGATATTCCAAAAGTTCTATTTACGTTTAGAACTTTCTTTTTTTTTTGGGCCTTTTTTATCTACAGAAGTATAAAATACATAAAAGGATTTTCAGTGTTTCTTTTTTCTCTTTCTTCTTCTTTACAATTTCAAAATTAAGTCATGGAAAAGCCTGTTATTAAATTTAATGATGAATCCGCAAAGCCAAATATCGATGTATCGCATAATGAACGTGCTCGGTCGGTAGACACTACTGATAAACGCTCTTTATTGAAATCCGTGCTTATGCGTAAGCGTAATTTCATCCGCAAGGAACCTTCCGGACCCGTCGTAGAGGGCCCACCTTATCATACCATGAAAATCGAGACAGTAGCCCAGCTTTTAAAATCCAACCTGGAAGACGGTTTGATCGAATCCGAAATTGAAGAAAAGCGACTTGTGCATGGATACAACGAGATGGAAGGCGACGGTGGTGTCAATCCAGTCAAGCTCATGTTGAAACAATTCCTGAACGTCATGGTGTTAATCTTGGTCATTGCTATGGCCGTCTCCTTTGCCTTCAAAGATTGGGTAGAAGCAGGTGTGATTGCCTTCATCATGTTCTTAAACGCTGGTATTGGTTTTATGCAAGAATACAAGGCCGAAAAAACAATGGAGTCTTTACGTCAAATGGCCTCTCCTACTGCACAAGTCATCCGTGATGGCCAACAAAAAACTGTCGCTACTCGTGATTTAGTTCCTGGTGATATTATTATTCTTAAAAATGGTGATGTTGTCGGTGCTGATTGCCGTATTATTGAGTATGTTTCATAAAAAGAAAAAAGAAAAAAAACATACACTAACCTTTTTAATTAGTTCATTCAACATGGATATAGATGAAGCTTTACTTACAGGTGAATCACTGCCTGTAAACAAAGTGTAAGTTGCATAAAAATGAAAGATCATACAATAAAAGTACTAATATCAATTCACAGCAATGACGTTCTCGAGACTGCTGAAGTTCCTTTAGGCGACCGTATCAATATGACGTATTCTAGCACAACCTTGTGTAAAGGACGTGGTAAAGCCATTGTTACCAGCACTGGTATGCAAACCGAAATTGGCAAGATCGCAAAACGATTATTAGAAAGCGGTGAAAACTCACGTACTCCACTTCAAAAGTCTCTCGATCGTATGGCGCTTGTTTTACTTGCTATTGCTATTATTGCATTAATCATTGTCTTTTCTGTCGCCAAGTTTCAAATCGATGATCAGGTTGTCCTCTATGGTATCTCTACCGCTATTGCTGTTATCCCCGAAGGTTTGATTGCCGTTGTTACCCTGACCCAAGCATTTGGCGTGAATGCTATGGCCAAATCTAATGCACTTGTACGTCGCTTGGTCGCGCTTGAAAACTTGGGCTCTGTTACAAACATTTGTTCTGACAAGACGGGTACGTTAACCCAATCCAAGATGGTGCTGACTCGTTTCTGGAGACCTGAGGCTGGTTTCTTCAAGGTTTCAGGTCGTGGTTTTGATATTGAAGGTGACATTGAGCAAGAAAGTGACGGTGTGATTGTGTCCAAGGAAAAACTCGATGAAGGCTTATCCGAGTTGGTGCATTCTGCTGCTCTTTGTAATATGAGTGAAATGCGTCAAAACCATGAAACTCAGGAATGGTATGGCATGGGTGATCCTACTGAAATTGCTTTACAAGCCTTTGCTCACAAGTTAAATATGGGAAAGCCTTCTTTAACCAGTGCTGGATGGAAGTTAATTTCCGAATACCCCTTTGATTCCACTGTAAAACGCATGAGTGTTATTGTTGAATCCAACCATGGCGAGAAGATCGCGTATTTGAAAGGTGCTACCGAGCGTGTTTTAGAATGTTGTACCAGTGTTCAATTACCAGATCGCATCGAACCTATCTCTCAAAAGGACTTACAGGCTCTTGTTTCCGATCATGTGGAGAATCTTGCCAAGGGCGGTCTTCGTGTTCTATCTTTAGCCGCCAAACGTATCGAACAACAAGAAATTAGCTTTAGTACTTTTCCTCGTCAAGAAATCGAACAAGAGATGGTCTTTTTGGGTCTCGTTGGTATTTATGATCCTCCTCGTGCTGAATCCAAGGTGGCTGTTGAGAAGTGTCATCGTGCAGGTATCACAGTCCACATGTTGACAGGTGATCATATTGCCACTGCCACTGCTATTGCTCGTGAAGTGAGTATCATTCCCGTTGACGGTGATGTTGAGCACTTGGTCATGTCTGCTCAAGCTTTTGATAAGCTCTCTGAAGAATCCGTTGATGCCTTACCCGAATTACCACTTGTGATTGCACGCTGTAGTCCTGACACCAAAGTCAAAATGATTGAAGCTCTTCATCGTCGCAAGAAGATCTCTGGTATGACAGGTGATGGTGTGAATGACAGTCCTTCTCTTAAGGAATCTGATATTGGTATTGCCATGGGTCAAGGTGGGTCGGATGTAGCTAAGCAAGCTTCTGATATCATCCTGGTTGATGATAACTTTGCTACCATTGTTGCTGCCATTCAAGAAGGTCGTCGTGTATTTGCCAACATTTCCAAATTCACCGTTCATATGGTTTCTGTCAATGTTGCAGAATTGACACCCTTGATTTTATGCTTGGCTTTCCGTGAAGGCAATAGTATCGTATTCCCTCTTTCGCCCATTCAAATCCTGTTCAATAACTTGATTACCAGTGCCCCACCTGCGATGGCTCTTGGTCTTGAGCATGTTCATCCTGAACAAATGTTGGTGCCTCCTAGAACTGAAAAGCAAAGTCTCTTTTGTCGCCGTAATATCATCGATATTCTTTACTATGGTGTCATGATGGGTCTTATTTGTTTGGTCAATTACGCGGTTGTAATTTATGGCTATGGTAATGGTAGTCTTGGTATTGACTGTAACAAATCATTCAATCAAAATGAATTCCGCGATACCTGTGTTGATGTCTATCGTGCTCGTGGTGCCTTATTTGTAACGATGACTGTATTACTTTTGCTTCACGGTCATACCTGTCGTGACCTTGTTAACCCTACCTGGACTTGGAAAGGAATTACGCAAAAGCAAAATTATTACATGTATTATTCTTGGTTATTTGGTTTCGGTATCATGTTTATCGTGCTTTACGTGCCAGTGTAAGTAAACAAATAGTATTGCGGTATATTCAAATTTGCTAAATTTTTCAATTTTTTTTTTTCATAGTATTAATACTGAAGTGTTTAAGCATCTTGGTATTACGTGGGAGTGGGGTATGGTGGCTGCCTCTGTTGTTGTATATATTTTGTTAGCAGAAGCCTGGAAATTTGTCAAGAGAAGATTTTTTCCCGTGCAACATTTAATTGCTGTGTAACTTTCTTTTTTTTATACCTTTTAATAAATCTATGTGTGTCTTTTTCTTTTTTCGGGTTTTAACAATGGTATCTTCATCCCTTTTTTAAACACTAAAAAATAAAGTCCCCGAACAGAATTTACCCCACCTTCTGTCCCTCCTCCTCCTTCCTTTCCCCCCTTGATACATATATTATACTTTCTTTCTCTTTTTTCATATATAATTTTTTTTTTTTTTTTTTTTTTTTTTAATAAAAGCGGAATGTCCTCGATAGATGAACAATCGTCTTCATCAAGCCATCAATGCTCACAATGTCAGAAAGCAGCAACGTTCATGTGCTCATCATGTAACCACGATGGACCGAGATATTGTTCGGTCGAATGTCAAAAAACTCACTGGAAGCAAGGGCACTATAAAGTGTGCCTAGCAGCGAAAAAAACAAGGCAACTGCATCGACAAGCTGTAGAAGCATCCATGGGCGTAGAATCCACCTCCAGTAAACAAAAAAAAATAAAGTAAAAATAAACGCAAAATCTGTTATGCTAATACAGAAACTTTTGTAGGTCAAGGAGATATTCAATTACAGGACTTGACCCATCCATCAAGCATAAAAGACGAGAAATTAGAAGAGGAGCAAGAAATGGCAGATGAACTTAAATTTTATATGGAACAAATTTACCGCATCATTAAACCCGTGGTGGTGTGCATTATTCTCAGTATTTTCTGGGTAAAAGTTTCGTTTGATGGATCCAGTGACTATACACCGAGTAGGCCAACCTATGTCAATGTATCCACACCGAGCACCAGTACGACAACAACAACAACAGCAGCAGGGTCAAGCATTGCACAGTCATTCACCAATGCTGCTATTATTATTGGACAGATCATTGGTGTGACGATCCTTATTGTATTTTTTTTCAAAAAAGGCTGGATCAAGGTCCTGATTGGGTTTTTTATGGTAGTAGTGCTACTCCTGCTAGGATTTATGACTTATTTGCTATTACTGTAAGCCCTTAAGAGCCACATGCACGGGGAGAAGGGATATTTTATACTAAAGATGGTAATATAGTAACCTGGTACAAGTGTTCTTTATCCCGCTGGATTACATTACGCTGGTATTTGCATTATGGAATTTCGCAGTTGTTGGATTAGTCTCGATCTTTTGGAAGGGACCACTTTGGTTACAACAAAGCTATTTGACCATCATGAGTTCCTTGATGGCCTTTTCTCTCACGGGATTAGAGCAATGGACGACATGGATTTTGCTTGGATTACTGGCAATATGGGGTAACTATAGGACCCTTTTATATATATATATATATACATGATGTGTGCCCTAATAGAAGAAGCATAGACTTGGTGGCCGTGCTATGTCCATTTGGACCGTTGCGATTGCTGATTGAAAGTTCTAGAACACAAGAACGAGAAGTACCAGCACTGTTGTATTCGGTCAATGCGGTCTGGTTTATGATGGCTTCACCGGATCATTTTAGGTTGTCCAACAGTATGCTTGGTGACGAAGATCGCACATTACACATTCGTCAGTCAGGGTCTAGTTTTATCCAACAAAACTTTCGAAAGAGTCATGATGGGTTTATGCGCTTACCCGATGATAGTCATGTTACTGTCAATACAAGTAGCACAGCCCAACAACAAGAAGAAGATCGTCATCCAACCAATGTGACACAAGGGATATCAAGTGATGTTGAAACAACTTCCTTAAAAGTAGAAGCCGATGAGGAAGACGGTAAGCAAGCTTATTCAAGGGGGGGTTAATTTTTTACTTACTTGTTAGAAACTAGCTGAGCGAAGCGGACTTAAGCTTGGATTGGGCGACTTTGTTTTTTATAGTGTATTGATTGCACGTGCAGGTAAAAAAAATAAATGATATCAGTGATTAAATCGAGACTAACACAAATAAAAAAGCAATGTACGATTGGATTACAACCGTGTGCTGTACAATAGCTGTTTTGACAGGTTTAACGACTACTATTTTCTTACTTGCGATATATAAGAAGGCTTTGCCGGCACTGCCCATCTCAATTGCGTTTGGGATGCTGTATTACTTTGTAGCTAAAACTGTACTTGTGCCGTACGTAGCCGCATTATGTGTATTTGGTATGGTTGGATTATAATATACCCCCTTCTTTTTTGTTTCCCTCCTATTCATATTAAAATTATATATATGTTTATTACAAAAAATTAAGGGGTGGAATATTTAAGATGAAGATCCAGCTGCGGTAGTTGCAGAATTAGTATTAGTATTAGGAGAAGACATTCTAAAGAATGCGGAATTATTATTTGGCTGTTGGTGGTGGTGGTGGAGGTGAAGGTGGTGTTGCTGTTGCTGACTTGTCGCTGTTGGTGGTGGTAGTGGTACTGGTGCTGCTGTTGCTGCTGCTGTACCTGGTGGTGGTGGTGGTGAGGGAAACCATTTTGTATTATCATCTTGGTTAAGTAGGTTTCGTATAGTTGGTGTACCGGGATTCATGATTTTGATAGGAGCAAGTTGAAGCTTATTATACCCGTGACCGAAATCGTCCCGAATGGATTTTTTAGTTTCTGTCACACCTTCTTGATCATCTTCATGCCGTTTCCTCTTTTCCCGTGCTAGACGCCTATTTTGGGTATGAGGAGCATGCACTAAATGAGGAGAAGAAGATGAATACATATCCCCGCATAAAGAATCGGAATGTTGTTGTTGTTGTTGTTGTTGTTGTTGTTGTTGATTGTTTACTTGGAGTCCTTGTAACAAGTGTTTATTTTTTCCGGAACCGAGCAAAGTCCGTAAAATATTCTCAATGGCACCCAAACGTTCCTCTATTGATTCAATCGAGTTGGGTTGTGTTTCTGAACTGGAGGAAGAAGGAGAAGAAGGCGCCTTTTCTTGAATAGGAATAATTTTTGCGGTTGACATGTTGGGTTTCTGGGTAAAGACATATTTACATTCGACATGAGCTTTTAAACAGCCAGCGCAGGGCTTCTCTCCATTGCATTTAGTCTTTTTTCTTCTGCATTCGCCACAGGCACTGACGACCTTGAGTCTTTTTCTTCTCGTTTTGTCACCGTCTACTACTAACTTTGCGGTGGTATCCATTGAATCTAAAAGAGAGAGAGAAAGAAGAAAAAAGAAAAAGTGGAAAGAAAGAAAGAGAGAGAGGCCTTTTTTATATGAAGAAACGGAGTAAATAGGGAGATTATAAAAAAAATAAAAAAAAAAGGTGGCAATTTTAACAAGGTCTCGTGCCAAGTCTGGATTAAATCGGGTCAATCACCACGACCTGCATTTTGCGCCACACTAAGAGACAAAGATCGGGCCGGTAGTGTTTTGTTGGAAAGCAACTTCGGGACTGAGACGGAATGAGATACAATACATGTCTTTTTTAGGTGCAACTGTACGGACATGGTACATTTGCATATTGCAGAACGCGGCATCGATCGGACCTCCCAGTATTTGACATACGCGCTAAAAAAGGAGTGTTATTGACTCGACCAAAGGGTCATTTTTTCTTTTGCTTCTCTTACTTGTTGGATATCCTCTGTAGCATCACCGCTCTTTGTGAAACAATAGCAATGAATCATGGGAAGCTTATCCACTGGAACATCCATTCCGTAATAGGCACCCTTAAAAGCATCTTTTATACTATGTGTGTTACTATGGTTATTCTCCTAGTATTACATCTCACATAACCTACCAAGGAACTCAATCGCTGTGGCCGGCAAATTCATCACAAAGTGCTGAAAGGTCAGCTTATCCGCCCATAACTCAGCTATGGCCTTTCGAATAAACGCACGTCCATCCATGTTGTATGTGTGAATTGTATTCGGCGATAACTAGTCATGTTAAAATAAAGGAGTACAAATAAGAAAGGGGGGCATTACCTTGTTAAGACGGATGTTTTCACACAACCATTGATAAGAAGAGGGATTTAAATCGTTGGCATATACAAACGCACCCTTCTTTGCTGCAGGAATAGAAAAGGGTCCAACCCCAGCCATCACATCACCTAGCTTTTGATTACTAAAACAATGTATGAATTTGGGTCTAAAAAGAACTTACAGATATATTCCCCTTTTTTAAACATCCGGACTAACCGGCAATGTTCTGCTTGCAATCTGGAATTCCAGTACACTTTGGAGAAATCAAATTTAAAACGGCACTCATTTTCTTTCTATTCAAGGAGTTACTCTAATTATTGTTATCATTATAGTTTTTTTTCAACTTGCCAATTCGGTAATCATCGTGTCAGGCCCTGCCAACAGCTCCATTTGGAAATTGCGGTACGTATTATCAATGGCATTTGTTTTGTTTACCACACTCTTGATCTTTTTGTTTTTCTACGGGCGGAGAGTTATTTGGGTGTCACAATATTTCCCCCCTTGTTTTACTCACATCGAGAATCACTTGTGCAATCAGACTCTTGAAAGGAATGTTCTCTTGTTTTAAATTTACATGGGCTACGATAGTAAGCGTTAATTTTTATTGTCATATTGCCTTTACCCCTTCCCATTACCAATATGTCCCGTAGCTGTAAATGAAGAAGGCGTTTCTGCATCTCCTTCGGGCATAACAGAATACAGTATCTGTTCCGTTGTCCAGTAGTCATAATCCACTTCAAACTCATAAGGAACAACTTGACACCCCTCCACCTCAATATCTAGGTTTATAGGTATACTTGCGTCATTTCTCCTTTCTTCTCATAACCTCATATTTTATTGTGTTGTACCTTGAACAGCCATGCTCAACAAAATCAATTTACTATCGTTACTTGTTCCATCCGCTACAACGCTACGAATACGTGGTGCGTTTAATAACTTACTACAGTAGATAAAAAGTTTATTTCGTATAAAGCATATGTATCTCCCTTGCTTTTTTTTTTTTTTTTACTCTTCAAGCTCCGTTGTGTATTTCTTCACAAGCACTGTAGGCACACGAATAGCCAATGTATGAAATTTTTTTTTAAAGGCATCACGGTCAAGTACCGTCATACCTCTGTTCTGCGGTGGTATCAATTCTTTTGTCATTATCTGCTAAAACAACAATTAAAAAAAAATGCGGAAATCTTTTTTTTTTTTTGGCGCGCGTGAGCTATTTCTTATTGTTCCTTCAATTAATCAAGGTCACATACAATAAAATTTAAGCGGTCACCCACCGCAAAAAAGATCAAAAAGGCAAGAAAAATTTTCAGGCTTCTTCCTTTCTTTTAATTATTTAATTGTCAAAAAGGTAAAGTAAATAAACTAGAAGAAAAGATGAGAGAAAGGCCGCAGCGATGACCAAAAGTATCAAACACACTGAAAATCCTGAAACTGCCAAAATGGTAGTTCTTGAAAATAAAGATATCTTCTCTCTGAGCGTGCCTTTTACATCTTTTTTTCATTTAACTTAAAAAATTTAAATTTACTTACCAATTTTTATTTTTATTTTTCAGATTTACTTCTCTTTGGCCTTTTTTCTTTCTATCACTATTATAAATAAATGAATCTTTAAAATATACACACAATCGTCTTCAATATTCTACCTTTATTTAACCCATTATGTGACGGGTCTATGAAACGTCAATTCGAAAGAACTGCATTGATACATCAAAAAACATGTAGCATTTAGACACAAGTGGATTAGTTCCTTGAGCTTAGCAATAGAATAATTACTCATTCCAGCAGCAAGTCCCAGTCTTGCCTGGTTATATGTTACCAGGGAGGCTATTTTTAAGCACACTTCTGTTCTTCCCGGGAATGACCACGTGTCAGTTGGAAGCTCATCTATGTCCCATAGTTTTTACCAATGTAAATGATTGCTGCTTGTTATTTTCGGACAGAAAATATGTAAAAGCTGTTAAATGTTAGCGTAGCAACACCAAAATGGATTAAATACATGATGTCCGTTTCATTACTGTCCTATATACCTGGTCTGCTCGTATGAGCAGTTCATTTTGATTAAATGGACAATGCCAACGCTCAAGCCGTCCCACGTATCGTGGATGCTGTTCACTTGTATTTCTTTCTGCAAATCTAAATGGTCGGACATCGGATGATTTTAACTAGCCAACCTGAAACATGAAGTATCCAGGTGACTATCCCTGCTCATAAATATATAAAGGAGATGCTAGTGATGAACTGGTTCTCATCATGTATAAAAGACTGTGTATTCTCTCTTTACACGACGCTGATATTTTTAAAACAGCGTAGTTACATTGAATCACAGTGATGTGCTGTAATAATTTGTCATGATTGCTCACCTCCGCCCGTGCACAAACATATTTAAAAAAAAAAAAAAGAAGTGTGAGGAATTTTGACGGACACCGACAACTGCAGATAATCTAAACCCAGAATGTGGTTACTGCGTCTGGCATGTATGTCGTTGTTACTATGTTTCGTACAGACATACTCCCAAAGGGATTTTTTTTTTTTAAATATGGAGATGTATATATTTTTGAAGTATTAAAACCCCCCTGGAACCAATCTCGTTTTGTACAATTTTACCTTTTTTGTTTTCTGCTCTTTTTTTGTTTTCAACTTTTTTATTTTTTTATTTATTATTTTTCTTCTTGATTTCTAATGTCGACTTTAAGAGATGAGAGTCCACCAAGACAACGAGTCAGTCGAGCCTGGTAATAAAAACCCTCAAGAAAGAAAAATGAATATAAAGTAACTCTTGTTTGAAAATAAAATAGCGATCTCTGCAGAAAGAAAAAAGTAAAGTGTGATGGAGCCAGTCCTGTTTGTACAAATTGTAAAGGCATTGGACTTTCTTGTACATTTCAAGACATGACAAAAAAAGTAAGCGACTTTTCCCCCTTTATCTGCATATTCTAATTTTAAATAAAATTAAAAAAAAATAAAATAAAAAAAAGCGTGGTCCACCCAAAGGATACATTGAGGCAATTGAAAATCGACTATACAAATTGGAGAATTTTCTTGCAGAACTTGCCAAAGGAGGAGATGCGCAGTCAAAACAACTCTTATCGGAACTCAATTCACCTTTAGAAACACCCACAGGTGAACAAATTCGTGTGCGACCCGTACGCAGAACTGCTCGGTCAGAGAAAAACAAGGTCTTTTTCTGGCAACAAGATAAAGACGGTAAACGAAAGAGGGAGGCCCTGACCAACGATGATCATTCCGTAGATGAGGGCGTCGGTCAATTAGCCATGGATGAAAACGGTCAAGTCAGATACTTGGGAAAATCATCCGGCTACTATCTACTTCAGAACAGCAGAACCTATCAAAACGGTGCCTTTCACTTTGCAACGTATGGAAATAGACCTTCTCGTCAACAGAAAAAATTAAAAGCCGTCTGCAACCCACAAGAACTACCTCCAAAGGATTTATCCGATCACCTCATCAACTTGTATTTCAACCATTTCTATCCTTTTTTACCGCTGTTTTATAAAAGAGAATTATGTACAAAACAAATTTCGCCACTGTTGCTAAACTCCATCTACGCTATCGCCTCTCGTATTTCGCCGGATGTAAGAGTCAGGTCAAGTTCAGATTCCTCAGATACGGCAGGTGATGTTTATTACGAAAGAGCAGAAAAATTATTAGACGAATCATATGATGTCCCCAGTATAGGCACTGTCCAAGCTCTTCTGTTATTAGCAAGTCATCAGCATGGTCGAATGAAATCTGCTAAAGCCTGGCTGTATAGCGGCATGGTAAAATATCAATACATTCTCCATATCCCGAAAACCATTACTGAATTTATACTAGGCCTTTAGAATGGCTCAAGATTTAGGCCTACATCGAAACTGTGATCATTGGAATATTCCACCGGATGAATGTGAACGAAGAAAGCGTGTCTTTTGGTGCTGTTATATCGTTGATCGATTATCCAGTGCCATGTATGGAAGAGCATCTACCTTTGAAGAACGAGATTGTGACACTCCTTTCCCCTCTGTCGATGATATTGAGCCGATACACGGTGGAGAGTCCACGCCTGTCAAGCTACTCGATACATTTATTAACCTGATCAAAATTTGCGATATCCTGGGCAACGTTTTAAAAAACATTTACTATGTTCGTTCTTTACAAAACCCCGTCACCCGACAAGCAGATACAGTTTTAACCACCTGGAGTAAAAAACTACATCAATGGCACGATCAACTACCCGATTCACTACAAATCAAAAAGGATGCTACACCACCCACTGCCGTATGTCAATTACACATGATTTACCATACAACCGTTATTTTATTACATCGACCTTTTATTCCAGGTCCTAACCAAAGTTTAGTTCCTTCGCTCTTACCCTGTGCTTCCATCTGTTCTTCGGCAGCAGATTCAGTCCTTTCCATCACAAACGCCATGTTGTCCGAAAACAAATTACGCTATGTGATGAATTACGCAGTTTATTATATCTTTACTTCGGCGCTTATTTTCATTACAAGTGGACCCCTTAAACGTGATCTCGACACAAAGTCCTCCGATGCCAATTTCAAGGTGCAAAAATGTATGCAGGCTTTGGACGAGATTGAAGGGACCTGGACCACAGCCAGTAAAAACTGTCAAATCATTGCTGAATTATCGGGCTTCCGTGATATCAATTTACGACTGGAAACTCAACAACAGCAGCAGCAACAACAACAGCAACAACCGGACGAAAACATGATTCGTTGGCAACAACAAGAAGAATTACATCGTCATCAAGTGGTGCAGGATTACCCGTTACCGCCGCAACAACAACGAAGAAACATGAGCAATTTGAGATATACCATTCTTCCCAATGGTAAAACACCCGATTTCGGTGTAGCCAACCCATTTCAGCCCAAGCAAGAAAATCTCCATATTGCGGATCCATTTGCAGCGCCCGGTATCATTCCTACGACGGATACAAGGTATGAAATGGCGACAACGGATTTTTGGGACCTCGATGTCAATGAATGGAATAATTTTATGGCTCAACCAGACATGTACCAGGATAGAAGATTTGATGAGGTTGGAGAAAAACAACACCTGATTCATACCGATCAAAATGTGGATGTCCTTTCAGGTGTTCCTACCCCGCTAGATCGTAAACCTACTCTGTTGAGTTACGTGCCCCAATACAATAATAATCAGCATACTAATACCGATGGCAGGCCATCTAATACTAATACTAATAATAATAATACTACCACTACTTCTGACAATGCTTATTACTGGTAGACTTCTTTTTATAAATAATAAAATAAACTTTGTAATCATATGCCCCCAGTAGAACGATACACGCAGCGATCTGTTAAACGTAACACGGAGAAGTTTTTTTTTTTTTTTGGTCCTTCTATTAACCTTTTTTTTCACATGTGATATGTAAGGTTTCATTAGGAACCGAAATGTACTTATAATTAACAATAGAAACGTCAAATAAACATTGACGCACGGTCCTCCCAACAAAATCTGACATCTGTCCCTCCTTGATTTTCGGGTCTCTCTTATGATATATCTAGACAATTAAAAGTGATGATCTTCATGACAATTAATATTTCACTTTTATGCAGATTGATAATATCCCTTTTTTTTTTTTTTTTTTCATCTAATTTTGGTATAATCACTATTTCTATTCGTTTCATTTTACCATTTTACATAAGAGTCAAATCTCGGATGACAGCATTATTGGATTAATAGGGTTATAATTATCAAGACTGATTCATTTATGAGTGGTTTTTTCCCGGTGATGTGGGTATTACCTCCCCTGTCACTTTACTAATAAGCACCGTCAAAGAACGAGCAATCGACAATGGCTATCTGGTATGAGAATTTATTGCCCTATAATAAAAGTCAAGTATGAAGTCGATGTTTAAAAGACATTACAAACATAAATTGTTCACTCGCCGGGAATTTTTCCGATTCAGGTCAGAATAAAAAAATCACTGACAGTTCCAGCAATCAGGATAAAATTATGCCGACTCCGAGAGATTTTGCTGTCAAATAAAGTTTCTAAAATATTCCCCGGGATTTAGTATAAAAAGAGCTCGGTCGGATGAATGTATAAAACAAACAAACACCCTTTTTTTTAAAAAAAAAAAAAAACAAAAAATGGCTCCTACTATCCTCGTCGTTGGCGCAACTGGTAACACTGGCAAAAATGTCATTCACAACCTTCCCAAGTTAATCCAATCATCAAGCAACTATCGTATTCTCGGTCTTACTCGCTCCCTGAACAATCCCGTTTCCCAAGAACTGGCCGCCATTCCTCAAGTTGAAATGCAAGAGAAAGATTGGACAACCATTGACGCGAACTGGCTCAAAGAACAAGAGGTGGTCAGAGTATTTATCGCTCCGCACAATTTGCCCCATCAATTCTTGGATGAATCCGCATTTTACGTCGCTGCTCTTGAAGCAGGTATTGAATATCTCGTAAAGATTTCAACTTCTGAACATTTCATCGGTCCCGCCAGCCCAGTCTTCTACGGTCGCGCACATTGGGCTATTGAAAAAATGCTGTCTCAGCCTGAATACGATGGCTTGAAATGGACATCTCTCCGACCTAATGTCTTTACCACTGCTTACCTCACCACTGTTGTGGATTGGATCAAAAACTACCGCAAGAACGGAACCAAAGATCATTTGAAGCTTGTCATGGGCGCCGATACACCTGTTGCCTTAGTCGATCCAGATGACGTTGGCACTGTCGCTGCCGTTTTACTTACACTGGAAGACCCTTCTCCCCATAATCGAGCCATGTATGTTATTAATGGTCCTGAAGATATTAACGGAAAGAAAATTGTGGAAGCTATCGAAGAAATCTCTGGTGCCAAGGTGCAAGATGTTGAATACAAGAATACAAGCATCTTCAGTTCTTTTGGTAAATTGTATGCTTCTATTTACGCTGCTACTGAAATTGTCTGGAGCGGACAATTTGGACTCACTGCAAGTCCAACCAGCGAAGAAGTCATCAAACTCGCTCGTCCTGAAACCAACTTAGTAGATTCTTTGAAGAAAATGTTATTAGAGTGAATTTAATAAATATATTATTTCGCAACTATTTAATTTGTGGTTGTGGTTGTAAAAATATAAAGTTTGTTAAAAGCCATAATTTTTTGACAGTACAACAGAAGCCTTACATCTTAAAGTATTACCAAAGGAAGAGAGAATCTCTTTACAGGGGGATAAAAAAGGGGGAGACATGAACGTGGATTTAATATATTGTTTTGCTAAGGTTTCATTTAGATTTATAGAAAAAAAAGAAAAGAAAAAAAAACCGACTAAATGAGGAATTAGTTGGCAGTTCTGTATACAAAAGTGAGTATAGATAGTTTTTTTTTATATATAATTAGACTTTTAGTCGTGATACAATATATAAATCGAAACAATGTAAACTAGGTAATACGTAACTATCCAGCATGCTTTATGTACAGAATCCAGAAGACTTATTGGCCGGTTTTTAAAGATGGCAAAAGAAAAAAAAAAAAAAAAAAAAAAAAAAAACTGGCATAAGTCAAAGGTTAACCTTATCAGCAAAATGAAAGCTGCTGTGCCCTGTATGTAAGTTGTAAACAGAAGCAATTATGGGGTGATAAAGCAGGGGAGAGTTTCAAGGAAATGCTTGCATGATGCTAAAAGATTAGCTAACCCAGCGAAATTACTACGTCGAAAAAAAGTATCCCTTACTACCAACATTAGCATTTTGTTTAAATTAAAATCAATAGACACATGGACATTCTCCGGGAAGCATATGCCCAAGTTAAAGTGTCCGCTCTAGTCACAAATACTTCATTATTTATCCTCAACTTGAAGCTTCAATACTTGAAAATAATCCTCTATCATTGCGTTTCTTCTCACCACATATAATGATTTTTATATCAGGAACATACTCACGCAAAACATTCAACACATTACTTGATGGGATCATATTTTGAGTTTTTACAACCTTGATGTTTTGTCGAGTAGTATTTGTCAATTTGATTTTTGTTGTCTGTGATGGTCATTATTAATTTTAACGTCAGTACCAATACAAATGCTATGGTAAGGATATTGCAGCATGTTATATAATAATCATTGAAGGTTTGGAAAATATATTAATGCATAATATAAAAAATTTAAAATTAAACCCACCTCGTTGTTTGACATCTCTACTTTCATATGGTTGATAATTTCTGGTCCAACAGTTGATAATTGTTGATCGAGTGTGACGATGTAAATCTCTTTAGAGGCTTCAGTCGGATGAAAATGCTCATTGAAACCATAAGGGTTTGACGGATTATAAGAGTTTTCATCAGAGACATAATACTCAGATAGGTCCTCGCGATAAGCAAAGTCGGGAGATGTATCATACATATCATACTCTTTTAATCCATATTCAAAGTGTAGACCGTGATTTAGAGAACAATGAATGGATTTTTTTCTTCAAGTACATCCGAAAACTGGCCACTACAATATACTTTATCTCCTCCTTTAATCGCATGAAGTAATGAGTAGAAAATGGTCATATCCGATTCTCTGCCAGTATATTCTCTTTCCGAATACATATTGGAATTCCATGTAATCATTGCATCTTTTACAGTACTAAGGTCCCCCAAAAGATTCAAAACATTATCATAACCAATTTTGTCAATCCAATTGTACAAAATTATTTCCGAAGATATCTAGTACCAGCGCATTTGCGTCGCAAGTGACATATTTTGCGATGTGATTGATGAAATTCTTTGGCATAGAGGGGGCTGCAATCGATAATGTTTTAATATCGTGATTCACAATTCTATATTTTTCCTCATCAAGAACCTCGTTCGTTGTTAGATCTGGGATGTCGAATTTGCTCCAGTATTGTAACGTAACTAAATGAGGACAAGCATCTCGAATATCAAACATTGTTAATTCAGGAGAGCAACTGTTGCGCAAATCCAGCTGTGTCAACTTATTAAAATGGGTAAGTAGAGTCAGCTGATCACCATTTATACACCCCATATTAAAGGATATCTTTCTGTATTCCACTTTGAGAGAAACCATGGTGGCTCGGTGCTTGTAGCAGGTAGCAAAGTTGAAGTCATCCGTAGTCCTATCGACAAGTGCAAAACGCACATTCTTGCCAGGTACAACGTTTTGAATCTTGAGGAGAGACTTGTTTGAGTCTATCATATATGTAAACTGCGTATACGCCGTGGCATCAGGACTGCTTCCCAAGTCTAAAACTTCCAGGTTTGGCAAGTAGTTTAAAAGTAATATCTATTCTTCCGTGCTAAAGACTGAGTCAACAGTTTTAAGAGAATGCTCATCACCGGATCTAACATGTAAGCTTTTTGTGAATCTGCCATAATAAAACTGGGGATCGCGTTCGACTGGACTTAATCTCAATAGCATCTTTACAAGAGAAACATGAAGATACCCTAAATGTAGAATCTTGTAAATAAAGGGCAGTGCAAGTTCTTTCCAGGTCTTGGAAACACGAATACATTGAGCAAGGTCTCTACTGTTTAAATGACTATACACTATACTAAAAACTTCTGCTGAAATATTTGACATGTCTGCAATTGAAAGGAAGCGGAGGGCGTTTTTTTTTTCAGTTGAGAACATGCTTTTAGCAGTAACGAGGGTAGTTACACTGATTTGCTAAATTGTTGGAGCCTCTCTGGTCTATGCATTAGCAACATACGCCTTGAAGTTTTTAAGTGTATTGATTACCTGAAATATCCATCAAAATGAAGAGCTGAATAGATTAAAAATGTTAGTGAAACCGTTGTTTTAAATTCGATGCTCTCCCAGTGCTCAGAAATAATTTTGATATATCTTATTATCAGCAGCCATCGATAGTAGAGTAATCATCAGGAATAAAAAAACGCTTTTCTTAAGGACAGCCAATTTTTCCTTAGGGACAGCCAAAGTGCACGTAGTCGCAACGAAAGATCTGTGATTTGGATGTTCTGTAGACCTGGGAACAAGGATATACAATCAAAAGCAATGTAGCAATTACGAATAAATGTATATTAAACGATTTATACTTATTTTGACAATTATATCTTCACTTTTTCGCCTTTGAGCTCGTTTGATCTTAATCTTACGCAGCAATATTAAGGTAAAGTCCAAACGAGAAGCTGAAAGTAAGTTGTAAAACATATATACTGGTTTACACTATGTTAGTTTTAATAAACGTGTATATATTTCAAGTTGTTAAGTTATATTGACCTCTTAGTGTCTATTAAAGTATCATAATCCCAACATTACGACTACGCGCACCCTGACTGTCCCTAAGAGACCCGATAAAAAAAAAGTTTGCAGGCAAAAGCAGACAAACTGGTTTGCCAATTTTATGATAATCGGCCATCGTATTGTTTAAATCGATAAAATGTAAGTTACTTTTTTTCCCCTTGAAGAGTATATACTGCTCTTCATTTCTCGATAATGCATGTAGCAGGATTATCAACGATGAAGATTCAAAAAAAAAAAGAAAAAAAAAATTAGAATACATCAGATACCATCGTAGTCATGTAAACTTCCATCATACTTTTGGATATAGAGTTTTGTAGAAAAATATCATCATCTTTATCTTAGTTTCGAGTGTGCAACCTGAAATCCGAGGAGTTAGGTGCGCTACAAAACTATACAGATATTCCTAATTTGGAAGTTTTTTGCGTTAAAATAATTTAACACAAATGTTAATAAATTTTTTTATCACGTGATATCCACGTGGAAAGGTGTTGATTGGATGAATTTCTTTTTTTGCTCCCAAACGCCGTGCGTGGGCAATGTAATGGAGATAGCCTTAGCCAGTACTTAAGATTAAAAAATGTCTATAATGAAACTGAAGATTAAAGAAACCATGCTTCATGTCATATCTATTATGTATCTCTGTCGTCATGCTTCAAATTAGAGTCATAAATCAAAATGCATGATTGTACAACCTCAAGTTCCATTTATTATACGCAAATGGTTAAACAGATGAGCATGGCACACAAACTCATCATTGTAGTTTGCTCCTAATCATGGGGAAGGGGGACATACTGGTTTGATCGAAAAGATTTTTAATAATAGTCATGATGATGGAAGTTACATTCAAAGAGAGAGAGAGAGAGAGAGAGAGATAATTTTTAACGCAATAAAATATGATCTGCTCAGTTTTGAATTTGCCGCCTTTTTTTCTTTTTTTTTTTCGAAAGCTTCAAAATAAATATAAGAGATCGCTTATTATTATTATTCTCGGGATCAACAAATAATCCCAAGTATGGGGAAGGGAATGTCTTTCTTTCAGCAAGCAAACGTAATGTGAAATAACGAGTGATTTTCTGAATTGGATGATAAGACGCCTTATCTTGGCATTCCATGTCCCCTTTCTTTTGATACTCCCAGAAACTCTCATTGAAAGAAGATTTTTTTTTTTTTTTTTTTTTTTTTTTGAAAAAGCTCATCATAGAAGCAATATTTGCATACAAACCGATTAAAAAGTAGATCACTTGGCTTCGATGTTTGGCATGAATAAGAGGGGGGACAGAGGGAAAAGATAACAATTTGTGTGCGTGTGTTTATGTACATATTACATCCCCTTCTTTCATTAAATAAAGCATGATCATAAAGAAGCAGAAATAACAGACAACACACATGAGCTATCATACACTGAATAAATGATCACATTGGTCATTTTACTAAAGTCATGAAACATGCCCTTACCCTGACATTCTTATCATTTTAACATTCTTAAATTTTATTTACCCGCCTTTTTATAACTTGACGATTTTTCCATAAAAACGATCGACCTGTGTTTATGATTTACCTTTAAGCGTGACAGGTGGAAGGAGACCAGTTTCGGTTATTGAAACCCCAAAATAATTTTTTTTTCTTACTCTTATTAAAACCTAATGGAGACCAAACTTGTGTATAAAGATCGATTTGAAAAGAATGCTTACAGCCTTATTGAACTCGGAACACCTGAATTACTAGCAGCTTTCGAATCAGGAAACAGGTACATGGCGTCATAAAGGAGAAAAAGCAGCTCAACTGACTGGTGCAACCCCCCTCACTTTTTATATAAATAGTATCGTCATTAAAGGACTTGCAGAGGATGAAGCTGTTCTATGTACAGACACCAAAACCTTTATGGTTCGTCAAGTCAACACTTCCAACTCTATAATCTTGACCGAGCGAGACGACCTTGAAGCACAACACAAAGTACAGGACAATCTGTCACATACAATTGAATTGTTACCATGTCTTGCACGCACAAGTCGGTTGGATGAGTTACTAGGGCACTCTTGCTACTCAGGCGAAGAGAATGAAGAGGCGATAAAAGCAAGCCAGGTAAGAATAATTCTTTTAGTTTATATAGAAAGTGGAACTGACCAATTATAAAAAAAAGACAATGTATCGTTTGGAGGATTTATTAACGGTGGTACAAGCCAGTAAGAGTGAATTACTGAAGGGATTAGACAAACGAGGGGCATTTGTGCATGAAGATTATTATCGATTGTTTGAAAAGGATTATCTGCTTCAGCTATTTGATTATTTATTGACGAATTCGATTATTAATGGCATAGATATCAAGATGATCACATTGGGAGAAGCCAAACAGTGTATAAAGGAAGGGTCATCCGAGGAGAAGGTGGACATACCCGATGACCTTTTGGTATCAGCTATCAACGTGTTTCTGACAAGGGTGGATCACCAGGATAAAGAACATGAACTGATTGAGTTTGATCGAGCAAAGATTTGTCGTTTCATGGGTGAGTGGATGTTATCTAATCCTAGAAGTAAACGGTGGGAATTAGAAGATTTCACAAGGCTTTGGAGTACAATGTGTCACGAGTTATTTACGCCAGAGTTACAAGATATTGATGGATTATACCTAATGTATGAAACTATCAAATTGTCAAATACTGTGCAATATCTACAATATTTTCCTGTATCTGAACTATCTACTGACCCTCCTCAACGTTTTGCTGCCTTGTTCTCTGAAAAACCCTTGTGGACCTTGGCCGAGATTCAACCTTTTTTGGTGGATTTAGCACCTACCAAGAAGGAACAAGAGCATCTGCTACTCAAGTTTGCTAGATCGCATCGTAGCAAGAATACAACCTCATATGGTAGTCGTATCAAATAAGTTATATATATAAATAGTTATAAATAAATATATACATATAATAATATATAAAAAAAAAGGTATATTTTTATTGGTGCTTATAATATCGCTGTGAGATAAGAATGACTTCACCATATTCTTTGCGGTATTCCCAAGTGATATCGTATCTAGACAACCTTGTACATATATGTTGTAAAGAATCAAACCAAGAGTCATGGTTGTCTGATAGTAAGGACCACTTGTAGTTAAAGTCACCACAGTTGTAGAGATTAAAGTTCTTCAAGACTTTTGATATCTCTAGGATGATTGCTCTTCCAAACTTTACGTCTGAAAAGATGTGCTGTCTCACTTCAGAGGGACAGTTGAGGCTTTCTTGGGCCAGGATGATGAGACCAAAGAGAGAGACAAAGGAATGATGATTCTCGATGGCAGAATAAAGTAGTAATTGGAGTGCATTTGATATTTCAGAGGCTCTTCCAAACTGTTCACTTGGTCTGAGGTTATCCAGTGAATGGCAGACTAATTTTGCTTGGTTTCTCAATGATTTCAGGTCTTCCAGATCATCCTTATTCTTCTTGTAATGTCTGGTGTAGATACCGTCTGCTACTTGAGGGTAATCAGCAATAGTAGAGGACAGTATTTTACAGAGATCCATTTTAGATAGATTGCACAACCAATCATTGTTTCTGATGTTGGTCTTTTCATTAAAATGTTGTTCTTCCACCACAAAGGTAGAACTGGCTAGGTATTCACACGCTTCTTCTTCTTCTTCTTTGGGTGCTTGTTCTTCTTCAATGGGTTTAAAGCCGATGAGGGAAAACAAGAACGATAGGATGCTGTTGGTCATATAATAATTAATTTTTTCTGCTTCTTTTTTTTTTTACTGGGAATAATAATGAAAAATCTGTAAAAAACCAAATAGACATAATATACTTTGTGTGTATTTAAGCTTTAAACAGTTTCTTTTTCGTTGTTTGTATGTCGATGAAAGAGAGAGTTTGCGTTGTTTATATAGAGTTTTTTTTTTCTTTTTTTCTTTTTTTTTTTTAAAAATAATACAAAAAAAAAACTATCTTTTTTTTTTTCTTATTTTTCAAGAATAAAAAGGGAGAAAAATCTGTGGCGACAAGTTATTTAAATAAAACTAAAAGCATCATGTGCTTTCTCTACTGGGTCATCTGATCACAGTTTCAAGCCGGCAATTCCCGTCCTTCCAAATCGCCCCCTCTTTTCAGGAACGCAAACCTTTTAAATACCCGAACCGTAACTACTGCTGCTTCCTAAGCAAAAACCAGCACATTGCTTTTCTCTTTTACTCTTTTATCATTCACTGAGAAATAAATAAAAGGGTCGTTGCCATCACTCTAGTTGCCATGGAAAATTGTTTGCAAAAAAAAAAAAAAAAAAGAGAGAGATACTGACTGCTAATGAGTGGGAGGCACTGAAGCAATGCATTGTCTGATAATGGACCCTCTCCAAGAAGATTCAGGTAATCTACTGTATCTGTCTTTTGATAGACCCTCAGATGATCTACAAGATCTTCGATTTTACCCTTTTTTTTTACCAGGCTTTCTTTTATGGTGTTTCCACTGATTTTGGGTGGTTATCATTTCTCGAGTATCCCAACCAATTAAAATTCAAACAGCGTTTGCTATAACATTAAACACAGCGATGTATGAATATATGCCTACAAAGATAGTGATATTTAGCCCAGGTCCACGTCTTTTATTGCACACATTTATCTTTAGAGCTCCAGTATCATATATCTACCTTTAAGCACGAACTATCACCAGTATTCATGTATAGACTGAGGCCGACACTTAATTTAAATGGTATTGCTTACCTCAAGCAATAACCATCACCCAGTTAAATCTCAGTTTTTTTGCATCAACAATCATAAAATTATCAATAATTGTATTTAATCTGGTGTTGAAGATAAAAAGAATGAGATACAGCAAGTCAGATAAACCCTACATACACGAATTTGAGCTTTCTGGTCAGAGAGCAATTAAAATTGTACATAAACACAGACGGGCTTTGAAATTTCGAATCACGGTCACCACCGCGCGACGCGTTCCAGAATATCCTTATACGGGTGAATCGCGATTTTTTTTTTCTCTTTCTTTTTTTTTTTTATTATTATTCAGCTTTAATTTTTGTACTTATTTTAATGACCAAAAAGATCAATCTACTCTTGGACGAACCCTGTCCAGAATTATTATGTGGTGTATGCACAGGTATATACACAGAAAACGAAAAAGAAGGCACGCTTTTTTTTAATTACTAACAAGACTGAATTAGATGTACTGGAAGACCCCATTCAAGTGCATTGTCCTGAAGGTAAAAAAAAAAAAAAAAAAAGAGAGATAAAATTTAATGGAATGAGAAAAGACTCAATGAGAATAGACCACATGTTTTGTAGTAAATGTATTCACAGCCATGTCGAGTATGGACAAGCAACGTGTCCGTTATGCTTCACTATGCTAGACAAGAGCACTTTTCAACTGTCGAAATTTGTGACGAGACAGATTGGACGATTACGTATACAATGTGCTTATTCAGAAAATGGGTGCCCATGGCAGGGCTTATTTTCTGATAATCATATTTCCGAGGTACTATACACATATATATAAAAAGAAGACTGTTATTTTAAAACTAATATATACATCAATGCTAGTGCGAATACAAGCCGTGTAGATGCCCCAACGCAGAGAATGGATGTACAGCAACCGATATTACGCACGGCGAGATGCAGCATCATATGGACGTGTGTTTATATCAGGAAATCAACTGTCCCAACAATATGCCGTTATGCGTTGCATTTTTACGAAAAGATTTACCTCGACATGAGAACGAATGTCAATCCTATACCTGTCCTTATGCCACTGAAGGATGCACTTATGTAGGATCTCTCACACATGTTCGCACACACTGTGATGCATATTGTGGGAGACTTCATAAGCAAATCACTGATCTCGAATTAGAATGCAAACGACTAAACGGGCTCATTGGCGACTTTTCTTTGGGACTTAATATGAAATTACCATCCACACCCGAAGATAAACAACATGATACCTCGATGGATGAAATGGCTTTATTCCATCAAATGTTCAACAGTGATCCATTTGGCGCACTGGATTTGAACGACAAACAGACGGATGTGGTGGATTTAAATGGATTGCCTGATCTTAGCTTTTTGGATAACTCTGTGAGTTCCATCTTTGATACGGCTTCCTCACCACAACCGCTTGAATTTATACCACCAGTCAATGTACCGAAACGAACCAGCAACGGTAAAAAGATCCGATATAGTAAAAATGTCAGATTGGCGCATAGTGCATTACGTATTGCTCGTCAGAGAACAGCCACGACAAACCCATCGAATGATGCCATCTTGAACAATCTGGATATTGCTAAACAAAAGAACCAAATTACATTTAAAAACATGGATGATGTGACGCACTTTCTAAATACAGAACCAGCGAAAAAGAATAAAAAAGATCAACCCTCTACTCCACCTCCACCGCCACCACAACCACAACCACAGTCTCAATCACAACAAGGTCTGGTACCGAAAAGAAGGCCCATGTTTATATTAGCGTCCTCTTACTTGTCCAACTACAACACAAGTAGTAGTAGTAGCAGCAGCAGTAATAACACCGGCACAAATCCTTTATAACATACATATAAAAGATACATTTATAATTAAAGCTCATTTAAAAGTTGCTTGTTCTTTTCTTCTTCCAATTTCAATTTCGTCTCGAGTTCGGCATAAGCGACCTTTAACTCATCTAGTTCTTCTTGGTGCGTAAAACTCACACTCAAAATCACCGCCTCCACCACCTTGACCACGCGCCATAAACGAAACACAATCAATAGCCTTTTTTTTTTTTTTTTCAAACACATTTATATTATTATTCATCTTTCTTCCTGTCTTTTCTTTTCCTTACCCGGCTACTTCTCTTTCTTTTCCTCTTAACCCGACTTCAAGCACCAACGTTGTCAAAATCACTAATATATACACATTTATATGAATAAAACCTCTCTCTCTCTCTCTCTCTCTCTCTTTTATGTATATACCTGTGGCATCAAAGACGTGTAATTTCCAGTGAGGCCAACCAGGCAAATAATACCGAGGCCCAAACGCTACTAAAGAAAGTGTACATTCCACCAAGAAAAGCACACAAATAATAATACTAATCACTTCAGCCATTTCAAACGCAATCAAGAACCAACCTCCCTCAGGATGTGCTACCAAGATGGCTGGCACTTGGCATTCATGAAAGAAGGTATAGACAATTTGCGTAATGACACAGGCTGCATCCAGCAAAACAAGACATAATACGGCAATATGAAACGACTCTTTCTCTAACCTCTCTCCAAGCGCATGTCTCCATGTCTTTACTTGTTCCTCAAAGACAACGCCGTCTTCTTGAGTGTCTACAGTACCGTACATGCTCATCTGGTTTATAAAGTAAAAGATAAGAAAAGAAAAGAAAAAAAAAACTTTTTCCCAAGTATTATATATATATACAACAGGTGTTACACTAAGTTTATTATGAGGATTGCAAGAAAAAGTTTTGGATTTTGGATTCACCATTAACAAAGTATTCAATCTCGACTTCTAATTCTCTAGGGTTTTCAGCACCCTTATGACAAGTGAAGACACCCGAGATCTTTGTACCTTGAGTGACCTTGATGGGTTTTTCCAAAATGAATGTGGTTTGTTTCCAATGTGTATCTTCTCCAAATGGACTGGTTGTCATAAAGATCTCACCTTCCACCTTTTGGGATTCTCGGTCAGCAGGAATCGAATGTCCATCACGGGTGAACCAAGTATCAAACCAGCCACCAAATGCGGTCACCACACCATCCTTCTTTACCTCCACTTCAAACTTACTAACAAAATCCAATTGCTTGATTGTGATTGTTTGAAGAGGTAAATCCTTCAAGGTGACGACTGTGGACACAACACTGCTAGGTTTGATGAAATCCACAACGGCTTCATTCAAACTAGGTTCCTTCATAGCGCTCATCTTGAATCCGTACACATCATTCCAAAAGTTAACCTTATCATCCTTTAATTCCTCATCATCCAATGCAGCCATCAAGATACGTGTTTGACTGGGTGCCATAATACCATTGGGTGCTAACCAACGATCACGTGCAACCAAAACAGAATCCAACATGGCTTCAAACAACAAGAAATATCCCATCCATTCCGAGATAATGATATCCACTTGAGGTACGGGTAATTCGATTTCTTCCACTTTACCACGTACACATGTAATAATATGATCCAATCCATTTTCCTTGATGTTCAACTTAGCCTTTTCAATAATGGCAGAGTTATCCACAGAAAACACTTGTTTGGCACCGGCTTTGGCGGCAAACATGGATAAGATACCTGTGCCACAACCCACATCCAACACAATCTTGTCCTTGAACACGTCCTTATTTTCATACACAAAATCACGGTAGGCCTCTGTACGTGCTCTATCCTTCAACATTTGTTCGTGAATATCATTTTGGGCATAACCGTTGAAATAGTAGTTGCCTTGATCGATCACAGCACCGGATTTGCTCTCTCCGTTACCTTCATTGGCAATCGAGTCAAAAAAGGTCTTTTTGACCATGCTCTTGTATTCCTCAAATTGTCCTTCAAGGTTCACGGTGGTTTCTTGCGTGGCCATCAATAACTTGAGTAATTGTGCTTCTAACTCAGTGCTCGTCTTTACTGCAGATAAATCAATCGAAGGTAAAGGAGCAAATGCAGCCACTGGCTCGGCTGTTTCCTCGTCGTCTAATTCTTCAAATGCAAATAATAAAGCGTCATCGGCTAATACAGGTTGTAAATATTTATCGTCGGTCCAGAAAGGTTCTGATCCTGTCAACTTGAATTCTTTGGAAGTAGCGAGTTCGGGATGTGCTTGTACCTTTAAAAAAAAACGGTTTTTTTAGTCTTTAGTATATACTAGAAAGATAAACAAAGACCTTACTTGTTCACGGATATAATTGATCATACGGATACACTTGTAGAAATCAAGACCGAGTTCACGCTTGACAGCTTGGAAGTCAAATCCATGCTCATTTTTAATATGTTTGAAAGTCTCGATAGTTTTAGGGAAAATGTGAGGACAGAATAAACATTGAGACTCTTCTTCTTCCTCTTCATCATTGGACCAATCGTCCCAAGCTTGATCTGTATATTTTTTTTTTTTCGTAATTAGTACGTCAAGAATTAATACAAAATACTCCATTTACCTTGAGGATCGATTTCTGAAGGTTCGTATTGTGAATCAGTGCAAATAGAGTGAGCCATAGTATAAACAATGAGTTGTCAAAAAGAAAGATTTTTTTTTCTTCTTCTTCGATTTGCAGGACAGGTCCAAGGTAAAACGAGTCACAACAGCCACAATTTAAAAAAACGCGAATCACCATTAAATAAAAAACTCGGTTTCTTTTTTTATAGACGTGTTTTTTCTGTTTTTTTAACCTCACCCCGAATAATAAAAAAAAAAAAAATGAGTATTCAACCAGAAATTATCCAGGCCTTTCAGTTGACAGAAGATGACACAATGGTGGTGCGAGAATGTAAAATAACCATGAAAAAAGTATTTGCATACGTTGGTGTTCACATGCCCCACTAACTCCTCGCTCCCTTTATTAGTGGAATTGATGTGTAATTTATACTCTTTGACACCAAACAAATTACTCTTGAAATGGAAAGCATTTGCTCTTACTGCTCAATGCAGTCTCAAACCCACCTTGAATTACGTCGCCATTCTTAAAAACTCACTTCAGCGTGAATTCGAACGAGGCTTGAAACAGCGACGTACCATTAGGGGCAAAGTCGCTACAAAACGAGGCAACGGTCTGGATTTTTCCGACTATGGCATTCATGCTGCTAACCCAACTGATGCAATGGATGCTATTGACCAAGAGAATTCTGCCGAAGACTTGTAAGCCTTTTCTTTTCTACATGTACGTATATATAAATTGACTCCCATGTTATGCTTTAGCATGTCCAGTATGTTTGGTGCACCTGTCCCCGTAAAGACAGAACCTACATACCAACCTCGACAAAACACAATGACGGCACCCATGACACCTACACCTACTCTGTCACAAGTTCCTTCCGTTTACAGTCAAAGAGCAGCAACACACGTCACAGATACACAATACAATGGCCACCTACCACTCCCCTCGAAACAAGACAGTGAGATGGAGGAAATGGACTCTGAATTAACATTTGAGTATACACAGGAACCTATCCAACCTTACCGCTTTATGTTTGAAAAAATCAAGGACACGGCCGGGAGTATGGATGAACGGATCGATTATATTGGTGGTTTGATCCAAAAGGCACACAATATCGAAGAATTTGGAAACCCAACACGTATCTGTCAAGAAGCCATCTACGGCTTTGGTCTTGTATGTTCTGAAGCCGCCGATATTCATCTAAGCCCGAAATCCATCATGTTGCAAACATCACGCGATTATGGTATGGGAGGCCGTGTTGCCCTGAACTTGGAAAAGGTTCATTCCTATACCTTGTTTCCTGGTCAAGTCATTGGTGTCAAGGGTATCAACCATCGTGGAAACATTTTCCAAGTGGAAGAGTTATTTATGGTAAGACGTGTGCAATTTTTATTAATTCAAGAGATCCTAAAGAGTGATTGTGTAGCCACCAGTAGCAGAGAGGAATGTGTACGAGATTAAGGAAAATAAGACATTGGATATGATTGTTGCCTGTGGACCATTTACATTGAACAGCGATTTAGCCTATAAACCATTAGAAGATTTATTAGAGATGTGTCAAACACAACAACCAAATACCATACTATTATGCGGACCGTTTCTTTCGGCCCAACATCCAGAAATTGCCTCTGGACTGATAGAAGTGGATCCTGAGGTAATCATGACCGAACAAGTGATTGAACGTTTAGAAACCTTTTTAGATACATGCACCGACACCACCGTATTCTTAATGCCTCATCCCCATGATATTACACACATGTACAACTTATTCCCGCAACCTCCCTTTGAAGACATTGAATTACGTCACAGTCGTCTTCATTTAATCGGTAATCCCTCCTCACTTATGGTCAATGGACATTCCATCACCGTGGCCAATGTCGATACCATCTTTCGATTAGGGAAAGAAGAAATTTCCCAAAACCCCGAGGAACCCGACCGATTTACTCGTTTGGTGGAGCATGTCTTGCAACAACACACGTAAGTTAAGAAGTCAGAGAATGTTGCGGAGACAAAAGATTTTAATAACAGTAATATAGCTTGTACCCATTGCTACCTATTGCACTGGATGACAATATCGATTCGGATCGTATGGTAAATTTCCATTTGCCTACAACGCCCGATGTGCTTATTCTTCCATCTCGACTCAAACATTTTATCAAACCTTTGCACGGATCAGTCTGCATTAATCCTGGCTATCTCTGTAAAAACGAGGCTGCTGGAACCTACGCACGTATTATTCTTTACCCACAAGACGAAGCACGAGTCCGAGTGGATTTAAAAAAGTTATAAATAAAAAAAAAAGGATTTTAATAGGCTTTAATCGAACTATTCTCTGTCATGGTTAAATGAACAACCATTTCACCCGCAGGTTCAATCACGATATGTTGTAAAGCGTCTTGGATTTCATCCATTGTTTGATAGAGCCAATCCACTTCACCGTCTGTCATTCCTCCGTTGGGTTTGGCTTGTGAGAGAAGCTCCCACATGTTGGTATTATTGTCCAAGGTGGGATGGGTGAGTAATCTGGGTTGCGTCCCTTCTACCAATTGCCGGTATTTATTCTCTCGTTCTTCCACATCCGTGTCTTGCAGAGGATCCGTCTGTGCACTGGAAATGTCGATGAGGTTCCTTTATTGAAAAATACAACTTTTTTTTTTAGTCTACAAGTGCTGCTTTACTCTACTTTTTTAAAAAAAATAGTTACTGCGTTGTTCGGTCAATAATACTGCTCCAGAACTCTTGCTCTTTTTGAATATTAATGGGCTCTTGTGTTCTATAGTTTCTTCGGCTAATTTATAAATTAATTAAAAAAAAAAACTAATCCAAGTGTGAATAGGGTGCGGGTCCATTTACTTGTCTACATCAAAATCTTCCAATAAAGGGTCACGAATACCATCCTAAACGAAATAAAGTTAAAACACTGCTGGTTTCCGAGAAACGAATTTTTTTTTTTTACATCTTCATGGTCTTCTTTACTACCACAGCATCCCATTTATGGTAACAATTGTGAAGAAAAAGAATAAAAAAGAGCTGCAAAGAATAAAAATAAAAAAGAGAGTCTCAGTTCCATAAATGGTTCTTTTTCGCATGACGTTAAAGCGTGACTTGTGTAAGCTGGATATGCTGACATCCTATAAACTGGTATTTCACTAACCATTTACCATCCTGCCTTTTGGGGAAGAATAATTGTGATTATAATTTAAAGAGAACGAGCAGCTTTCTTGTTCTATGCTGTTGAATATACTGGAGAAAACAAAATATATTATTACACCAAACTAATTGATGAAATGGAACTTATGTAGATATATGTTACTATGAAGATCATAAAAGGTCATTTCTTTTATCAATAAAAACAATACTCATCTTAATCCATCAGAATACAAACCCTATCCTGCTATTTTAAATAACGACTCTTCAATAAAGGAAAATTAGTGATGGGCTTTTTATCTATAAAATATAGTATCCACAATATTTATTGCTAAGTTATCATTTATTGAATTATAATGTCTGGTAATTGTAAATGCATAAAAATCTATTAATTATTGATCTGTGATAAAGATTTTGTTTCAATCAAAATTGTGTAGACGTTTAGGCTTGATTAACTCGCTCATCTTCACAATCTAAAACTTGTACATCGCTTGCATTTATAACATTTTTAATAATGATTTTTTTTTAAAATTTTTATGTTCCCTACAAACGCAAGTAAGCTACTTGTTCTATTCAAATAAGCAATATAAATTGTAGTTAACTCATTAGATCAATTAAATCGTCCATATTAGTAGTTAATCCGGGTAGATCAATTACAACTAAACAGAAGCTCTTCGTTTCTTCCAATCTTTTGATTAAATCCATAAAAAAATTGTGCATTACGCGAACTGTAAGCCTCTGAATACATTGGAAAGCTTACCTTGGGCTGTTACTGAGACGAAGGATAATTTTATTGACGATCCAGTTTACTCTTATCACGTTCGAAAATGGGGGTGCTTGTATTTCAACACTTGGAAAAAGAAAGGCTGCAGCCTTTCACCACACAAAATGAAAGGCTGTAGCATTTCAACAGAAGGAAATGGAAAGGCTGCAGCTTTTCACCACACAAAATGAAAGGCTGAAGCATTTCAACACAAGGAAATGGAAAGGCTGCAACCTTTCACCACACAAAATGAAAGGCTGAAGCATTTCAACACACTGGCAGACGTATTTATTTCATCCACTAATGATCTTTTCAGCAAACCTGACACTGTTGTACCTAATGACCTAATGACTTCGTCTTCTGTGTAGTTTGTTTTAATTTTTCTGCAACATTTGATCACTGTGAATCCATTAGTTTTAAGATTGATATTGTCCTCAATAACATGACCTGTAAGGAAGATTTTTTTTTTTAAAAAAAACACAATTAAAGCGTCAAACGTTACTTAAATTTGAGTTCTTCTTTGATTTGAAGAGTTTGCTGGACGTTTCGATGATCTAATCATATAATCCAATTTATTTCCTTAAACACCACTGCGCAAAAGTTTCTGGATTTTCATTCAAGAAAATGGTTGCATGTTGCCACACATCATATAGTATATTGGCGGCAGACAGTAACTTGTTTTCATATTGGTCACAGTTATTTTCTTGTGGTTTATACACTACATTTAAATATTGAATGACTTGCAGTTTAGTTTTTAGAAAGTAATTAGGGGAATGTCTAGACCTCCGTATTTTTTTTCAAAGGTATTTCTTTATACCGCTTACTGCCAAAACCAGCAAGCAAATATAATCACACCTGTTTATAGTGCAACCCCTGCTATTTACAGTCTGTCCATGAACTGAGTGTCTAAAACCTCAAGCAAGTCAGAACTTAGTTGCCTAACTGCGTTTTAGTAGTAGCTTGTAATGGTATTGAAGCATATTTTATGTTAAACAAAAATCGATCCTCCTACGAAGTTCAGACGATATGGCATGTCAACCGACGTGAACACTTATGGACGGCCGACTTAATGTGTGTAGACCATCACTTGATCCAAAAATAGTTATGACATTTCCCTTCTGAATAAGTGATTTTTATTTCAAATAATGTGTTAAATCTTTGCCTTGACGTTACGACTCCAAGGTACAATCAGGTTTTGATGTCTAGATAATTGTTTAGTACGAATAAACTATACCTATGATTGTAAAAGACTGCCTACCTGGTAATAGCCAGTATTTCTCCTTGCTCATTCCATACCTCACCATCGACATCGAATCTTCCATTAATGATATGTCGACTCAGGAAATGTCCAACGACCTTTTTTCCGGTTGGCTTCTTCTTAAACTGAATTTCCAGTTGCATGGTAGGACACCAAATCGGGCCACCCAAAAAAGTCGGTCCCATTAACCAAGGTAAAGCAAGAAACATGTCACACCAATAAGGCATACTCTTAAAATCCACCTCTCTGCCATCCTTGAACCCAATTACTTGAGTCAATTCTGGTTGATTCGTCCTGTCTTCCACTGGAAGAATATGCGTATCCAGTTTGGCATCCACGAATTCGCCCATAAAGATATACTCATACGGTACAAGATGATTCAACGGTGGGGGCGTGGGGTGTTTATGGAGATACGTCACACCTTCCTCTGCATCCATATTACCCATAGTGAATACACCTTGTACTTTATCAATCCACTGTGATGGTTGGTACGAAGAGACGGTATCCAAGGCAGCCAGATCCTTGGTTTGTTTAAGAATAGCACGCACGACACAATATCCCTTACCACTCATTTTCAACTCTTCAATTTCTACAATGTAATTTCCTCCCAGTGTCTTGTTAAAAAAGAAACAATTGAGTGCTACCGGGTCTGTTTGGTGTTTTTTCGAAAAATGTTGGAGTACGCCGTCCATCATCATAGCCATCACATACCCTAAATCAAAATTAGCCTTGTTGAGATCCCCTTGATGGTGAGCTGTTTCTTTTTGTTATCTTACCACCCTAAATACACACATGTTTTTCTTAGATGGGTTACAAAGGAATGATTATGTATATAATGAACTTACGTTGGGAACATCACCTACAGACCATCTCTGGTGAAAAGAAAGGGGGTAATTGTCAATGTTTGCGTTTTACAAAAAGAGTGATACTTACAGTGCTTGCAACACCAGTAAATATATGTGCTCCTCTCTCTGTTTTACCCAGATACGAGGTGCTTGTGGCTTGATCAAATTGACTTATCATTGTATCGAGAAAAGAAAAGGAAATAAAAGAAAAGAAAGAAAAACAAGTCCGGGTTTAAGTTTCAAACTTTATATAGGATATTACCCACAGTACAATCGAAATTGCTAATCAATAAAACCATGCGTGTAACCTATTAAACACCATGTGATTTTAAAGCAGCACGATGTCAAAAACCTCACTATGTGTACATCGATGCTTATTACTCTTCCTCACATTTTATGTAGCAGAGTGATGTTCGTGTTTGAGGTAAAGCAAGGTGTATCACAAGTTTATCATGCAACTTGAAAGTTTCCAACGTCTGAGCCATGGTATCACCGCCCCAATATATACTCTTACAGCTTTGTTTGCATCTACATATGTTTAAAGTTAATTCTTGAAGGATAAACGTCTCCTAGGCAACTCTCCATGATCCCCACTCATCCAGCTAGATCCAATCCCCACCGTGTTTTTTGATACTTTTTTTATTATTTTTTATGATACAAATGAGAGGGTGTCTATAGAAAGAGAGAGAGAGAGAAAAAAAAAATAAGGATTAGATGGCAGGAGGAGCAGCAGCAGAGGCAGCAGGAGCAGCAGCAGAGACAACCTCTTGAGCAATGGGTGTGACGGTGGGAGCGACGAAACCTGAGCCAACGACGGGTTTAGCACCACGTTCAACCATTTCAACCTTGATGGGTAATTTATGAGAAGCCAAACGGAAAGCTTCTTTAGCGATTTCCTTTCTCATGCCACTGATTTCGAAAATGATTCTGTTCAAGGGGACACGACAGGCCCAGTATTCAAAGGTACCTTTACCCTTACCCATACGCACTTCATTACCTTTACTAGAAACGGGGATATCGGGGAAGACACGCATCCATAATTGTGAGCCCTTGACAGGCTTGATTTTACGCTTAATGGCGTTATGAACAGCAGTCAATTGACGGCCTGTCAAACGCACACCTTCCTTGACTCGTAAGCCATAATCACCAAATTCAACTGTGGTACCCTTGGTTGAACCACCAGTAGGGATGGGGATCTTTCCCTTGTGTGCTTTACGGTATTTGGTACGTCGTGGTGAGAAGTTAGACGCAAAACGAACGGTGGTTAAAGGTAAAATGGCGCTGGTTGCTCCCTTTTGAAATACATTGCTGACCACATTAGAAGTGTTGTAGACGGTGCTCAAAGCACTCTTTCTAAAAGCTGAGAACATGATTTCTAATGTTTAAAAAAAAAAAAAATTGTCTGTATCTGAGCTGGGAGGCCCCTTGTTACCTTTTTTTTTTAACTCTCACTAAAGGGCGGAGATCGGTTTGAATGACCGATGTCACAGTCTGTTTTGTGAGATACTTTTTTTTTCTCACTGATTCATGTTCATGTTATCCGTGTTATTTAGAATGAACCACAATACTTTTCTGTGATAAAATTCAGAAATAAAGAGGGTTATGTTTATTCATAAACAAAAACGATCAAAGAAAAAGATTATTTCTTCTTTATGAATTTAGCAAATTCTTTTTCGGTCATGATCATCCTCGTACGTTCCAAACCAAGCTCGTTCTTGAGGAATCGACCGATAGTAGTAGGATCAATAGAATCGATATCATCAAATTTACGAAGAAGTCTGTCTCGAAGTACAGTATTCTGCAACGTGGGCGTACGCGTAATAGCATTCTTTAAGAACTTCTTGTGCTCGGCTGTGAGTTTAGAACGACTCTTTGTTATTTTTTTTAGTTTTGTGTCTTTTGGCATGTCAGAATGATAAAAGGTTTTTGTTTAAGAGGAGAAAGAGAGAGAGTAGAGAGAATCCAGGTTTATTTATTTTTGATATGATGTCACATTGTGGGTTACATGAAGGAGTTCCTATTTGTGGATCCGTTAGGATTTCTTAATAGGCTTTGAAAGTAATCTTGATTGACGTCTGTCTTTAGCAGTTGCCCCATCTATATGAAAAAATGTTAGAAAAGAAATCAATATTGTATGCTTTTTCTCTTTACCGATTCCTGTTTTTCTTGTTGTACTTTTTCTCGTAATTGCTCAAGCTGTTCCACCTTTTGCCGCAGATTCTGCTCATATCGTTCCTGCTGCAAAATGGCTTTTCCCATCATCAATTTCTTTTCCTTGTACTCCTTCCTATGTTGAATCTACATGCGACAGAGTCAATCCACAAGCTACCATAAGTATCTCTCGCTTGTACTCACCTTGAGCTCATGCGTGGTGGGATCCAATAAGCTAGGATCGACCTCACCAGGTACTGACAAGCGCTTGATGGCTTTATTGATACTTCTAGCACACAAGATCAAATGTTCCCTGTGTCTCCTGTCCAAATTATCTTGGGAGGAGCCTGGTATCGCATTCAATGTATTTTCATAAGCATCGGCCAAGATATTTTTGACGTCTAACATGGTTTCTGTAGACAAGGGACCCCATTTCTGCTTTTGCACGAATTTCGCATGGGCAGAATGGGTGTAGTTGGCACGTCTTGTGGTGGGCACTTGGGAACTTGGTTGTGTTTGGAGATCAATGCCTTCTTCCTTTGGTCGTCTTTTGGACGACTCTTCTCGTTTGGAGACTCTCGATCGCTGTGATTCAGAAGGTGATGGCTCTCTTTTTGATTGTATAGATCGCACCGAAAAAGTTGAACTGGCTCTCGATGGCTCAGGAGGTGTATCGTCTCTACTATAGGAATCAGACATCGTTTTTTATAAAATAATTATTGTGTGTATTTATTAAGAAGAAAAAAAAAGAAAAGTGTGTGGTTTGCGAAAAATAATTAAAAAAGGGGTTTCTTTCTGTACAGTCAATTAATGAGTTTTTTTTTTGTTTTTTTTTTTCTATAAGTTATATTCCAGGCCTTGGCCGTGCAGGAGTGCCATCGGGAGCTGGTTGTATATGGTTAAGTGGAGATGACCGTTCTGTCTTCATGATTTCCCATCGATTAATATTATCATAAATGGCATCCACTGTGAATTGCATTTCTATCGTATTACCATGTGTCAAAAAATGAAAAAAATGAAAAAGATAAAAAACGATGTATAAACTTACGTGAAGTAACCTGACTCACGGCTTCAAACAGTTTCAAGGCAACAAATTTTTTAAAGGTAATTTGAAAATCTTCTAGACAAATCTTTCCTCGTTGATGAATAGGTAAGACGGTCATTCCTAATTCCTTTTCAAGATCACCTTGCTCAAAAAATTCCTCTGCCAGAATCTTTGCCCATGCCTTGGCCAATGGAAACGGCCTTGCCTATTCATACAGTTAGTTATTTGTGATTACCATTGAATACAAGAACTTACACAGTTACTAATGTCGGCGCATTTAATCAAGGCTCCACAGAGCAGGATCTTATCCTTTTCACACGCCGCCTTGTCTGAAAGATCAATCCCTTGTCGCTTGAATCGCTGTGCTTGTTCTTGGATATTTTGGACATATTCATCATGCATACTCATGTCGGTTGCTAGGATACTATTGACAACAATTTTACGAAATACTATACAGAGATAGGATTAGTATACTAATTAAATGAGAAAGGAGACAGACGTACTAGCATATTCGGGGTTGGCACGGATATCGGTCAGGCTACTGAAACAATGCTGCTGTAATAAATGAAAAAAGGACATGGCATGAAAACTTTCTAGCACAGAGCGATCATTATACAGAATGGCTAACGGAGTAGATGTGTTCACCATAAAATTGTTGTTGACGCCAGGATGACCAACATCATGGCCAATACTGGCCATCAATAAGGCAAATATATCCAATGGCTCTAGTAGTTGTACCAACGGATGTTCCACTTTTTCCTTCTTTCCGCCCATCTCGGGACACATCGGCTCGAGGGCTCCTATCTGACACAAAAAGTAATAATTGGCCTGCAAGACATCCACAGCATGACGAAAATTGTGGTAAGGGTTGGCGCTGTGGTAGGAATTACAAATGTCAAAGATAAAGTGGTACAAATCGCCTATATCTTTGTTTAGTGCCGTAAAATGCATAATATTTGATCCAACTTACCACTGGGTACGCGCAATGAATCTAATTGATCAAACGTACACAAGACTTGATCGAGAATCATGTAAACTACCTGTATTAGATCCTTGTCGTCTAATTCCAAAGGGAGGAAATCCCAACTACAAATTTGTGATTTCAGGTATTCTTTCCGATCACTATATAAATAAGGTGTTCATGTGCTTTTTCTTCATTTATATCAATACACGCATAACGTACCTCAGCATGGAGGCCATGGATGATCGCCTGACGCTTGGCTTTGGGGTATAGAAATCCGCCACAAGCTTGGATAATCTACAAATGAACAGGGATTAAATCGTTTTGACATGTAGAGCATTAAATTTACATTTCCACATGCATTTTACCGATCCTCTTTAAGAAATACACCCTTGAGACGATCCTTAAATTTCGACCAAATCTGACCTTTGTTCGTCTCTACTGCCGATGAATCCTCTTTTATTCGTTTAACTTGATATCGAGTAACGTTCTATCATGATGATTACTATCTTATTGATCATTAAGCATATAACAAATACTTACTAAGAATAGCGTTTTGATCACATCTTGTGACAAAGGTTTTAATACAAAATCAGCGGCACCTTGTTCTAAGCATTTGATCATAAACGAAGGGGAATCCAAACTTGAGCAAACTATGCGATATTTAGAGTTTTAAACATGATAAATAGATATACTTAAATTACCAATGGGCACCACATTTCGTATCGCATCCTGCATCAAGAGACGGACAACCGTCAAGAGCAAATCAGGACAATCGTCCGGTGAAGGCATTCGGCATGATTCGGCGTCTATCAATAACAGTGTGGACCTTTTATCTTTTGCTTGCTGTGCGTCCAACTCTGCCAATACTTCGTCTTGTCTACTTTTCACAATCACTGTTTTTTTTATTCTCTTAATTGACAGCCAAGGAAACATATTTTTTTTTATTACCATCTGAGAACACCTTGTGTAGTAATTCCAGTGTCTCTTGGAGTTCCTCCCCTTGATTATGAAAAATAACAACCGAGCAATTGTTCGGGTTCAATCTTTTCATGTTTTCGGGAGAAAATATATGCGTTATATTATTCAGCGTGTTTTATAATAAATAGGAAAAAGAAGAAAAAAAAAAGAAAGACGAAAATAAAAATAAAATTCCCCTACACATAATAATTTTTTTTGGGCAGCACGCGAGATAAAGTGTGATTGGCTCTTTTACATGCCTGTCAAGAGAGAGTTTTATATATCACTCTCTTGTGTTTCATAAAAGTTCCAAAGTGACACAATAACAAAAGGGTTTGTCTCGGACGGAGTCTAAAACCTGACAAAAAGCATGAATGTAGGAGTGACGTTCATCACAACCTCCCCAATCAAGTAGACACTGATCACACCCACATCTCCTTCTCATGTATGACACAATTATTACAGTGATGCTCCACCATTCATATTTCATTTACATAGCCACTTTTGAAAAGAATCCATCCTAACATAAATTTGCCTTACATATTTAGCTTGGATTGAATGCATGTCTAATTACAATCATACATGATTTGTAACAAATACTTTTTATGTATCTGCCATGCATATGAGGGACAACATATTGTCTGTTTTTCCTCTGTACGATTATAAATCACATCTATCCCTCTTTTGTATAATGAAAATCCTGACATAAACCGGTTCTTGGTTATCGCTCCACTGATTTTTTCTTTCTTTTTCTTTTTCACCATAATCTAATAATTTTCTCTTAAGCAGATACAAAGACCTTTTAATACACAAAAAAATTTTGCTCGAGGGAAATCTCTCTATACGTATACAAAATGACAATGTAGAAGCAAGACAACACAATCCTTATTCTTATTTCGAACAGTCAAACTGAAACTTTCTACAGGCCAAATTAAATTAGCTACGGTTGAGATCGAAGAACAAACTCAGTTCTTGATCAAATATGTTGATTCAAATGCTGTATCAATTGATGTAAAGCTTTCTCATTCTTAAGAATCGCATCTCGATCAATGCAGTTTGGAGCATCCCCAGCAGTGGCGCTTAAAATGTGTTTTTCTGTTAAAAAAGCGCAAAATAAAAGTTTTTCTTACTGAAATTAAAAAACGGTAGTTGACAAAAGCAATCGAATCCTTTTCCTCTTTTCAAAAAAATAAACAATATTAACAATTATAATAACGATGAAACCATATTGAATAAAACAAGACAAAAACTGGGTGTGCCTGAAAAAAAAAAACCGAAAAGTAAGCGTTTTTTTTAGCGCGACTGCTGGGAATGCTCTTGTAGGCATATCACGCGAAATAGAGCTTGAGCCGCTAATAAATAAGCCTGCCAAGGTTAAAGCCGAATATCAAAAACGTACAAGTAGTACTATTATGAGAGGTATACGTAGTGCTGGTGATGTCTGTATATCCAATATAATTCCTGGTGTTCAGTAAATTGCTTTTTTATGAGGCCAATACAATACAAAAAAAAAAGCCAATAATTCAAACACGAAAACATATCAAATAATTTAAACGTTTATTCTATTGTAATGATACATTAATATTAACGTATTTATCTATTTATCTGATGTTCATTGCAAAGGTACATGTATATCTATAGTCAAAGCGTGGAGACAATAGTTAAATGTGTAAAGGTATTTGAGGAGCCGGATTGGCCAATCTGGGCATTGATTCTAATGCTAGAGCTTGTAGAAACAGCGGAGGAGGAATTAATCCATATATAAGTTTCACTGGCTTATTTGTTTTCGTCGCGAAAGCCAACTCCTGGACTTGCTCCCGAACAAGGTCCGGGAAAAAAGAGTGCGCTACTTTTTTTATTTTTTTCCATACAACTATTGACTTTATTGACCACTCTTTTTATCACCCATTCAAATTACTCTTATCAAATGAGAAAGCCATATCCTTATGGCGTTCCTGATGGGAAATCCTTTCAGAAAAAATGTTGAAGACACTCAAAGCTGATATTCTACTCGCTGATGTACTTCTAATTGATTACTCTGATTTTGATAAAGTCATTAGCCAATATTCAAAGCAACAAGATTTGGATGATGATCAAGGAGAAGTGTTCAAGGCAATTATAACAGCTTTCAAGACAATATCAGCCAAACACAGAAACATATCGATAAGGAAATACGTAGGAAATGTAAAGGACTACTATTGTTCACACAAAGATCAATTCTTATCTTTGTATACACACAAATTCCAATTGCTTGAAAAAGATAAAGAGAATCAACGCGACGCAGATATTGTAGCAGCTGAAGAGGTCTCAAGGGGTATCTCCCGTAGTAGAAAAAGATTAGCGGAACAGCAACCGAACATGAATCAACCCCAAGAAAAGACTTTGAAAACTAGCACACCTTCACCTTTGTCATCATCCGTGTCTAGCTCTTCTTGCCGTTCTACTGTACCTTCCTCTCTTTCTATGTCAAGATTCTTAGATCCAGATACCGACACGGCTATCAATATTAATGAAATCAGGAGTAATCTCAAGGAAGAAGCCAAAACGTTGCATGATATCTTTGCAAGAGGGACTAATATTCACAACAACATCATTCTGGTAAAAGGAGGTGAATGCACCTATCCATACACTCAGTTTATGAAAAGTATCCTGTACAGTAATCAGGACAAAGTGATTGGTCATAAGATAGATTTGAGACTCGTTGCCAACAGCTCTGATGGAAATGATATCGATGTTGGTGCATTCGAAGCAGCAAACGCACTCCCCTCTGTAAAAAAGAAGGCATATGACGCTGCTAAGCTATCAATCGAATCAAAAGACGTGGTTGATTTATCTACAAACAGCACCATTAACGTTGAAGATATACGCATGCTGTCGGGAACAGGTTTCCAAGTTGGTGGTTTGGCTTGCCAAACAAGCTCCGTTTATTTGTATCGAAAATATGTGTACATTGCCCTCCCTCGGTTTTCTTTTGGAATCCCTGCTAATATTCAATCATTGGAAGGTTTTGGGGATACCTTTGATCTTAACAGAGGGTTCCAGATTACAGCCAAAAAATCGTTTTCAGACTTTTTTTGTTTATCATCGAATATCCATGCATTTTCATCATATAAGTCTAGCATGAAATCAAACGCCTTTAAGATTTTGATACTCTCGGAATGTGGACCCTTGCTATTATACTCGGCATCCATCACCTGTCTGATATATTGCTTGGCTTTTACAGTGGAGTTATTCTGGAGACGAAATGCAGACAACAAAACCCATGTGACCTTCAAACCCTTGGGAAGATGGTACGTACGAGTTTGATAAATGGATTTAAAATGTTCATAAAGAGGACCCCATCTTTGAGCTAACAGTGTCTTCTGTGAATCTTGGTCAGTATCACCAAAGTCAATAATCGATGATAGTCCAAGGCTCATTCGCTTGAACTGGGCAGGCTCGAGAATAGTTCCTCTTGCAAAGATATCATGCAACGCTTTGGCTTCTTCCTTGAGATTACTCCTGATTTCATTAATATTGATAGCCGTGTCGGTATCTGGATTTAAGAATCTTGACATAGAAAGAGAGGAAGGTACAGTAGAACGACAAGAAGAGCTAGACACGGATGATGACAAAGGTGAAGGCGTGCTAGTTTTCAAAGTCTTTTCTTGGGGTTGCTTCATGTTCGGTTGCTGTTCCGCTAATCTTTTTCTACCATGGGAGATACCCCTTGAGACCTCTTCAGCTGCTACAATATCTGCGTCGCGTTGATTCTCTTTATCTTTTTCAAGCAATTGGAATTTGTGTGTATACAAAGATAAGAATTGATCTTTGTGTGAACAATAGTAGTCCTTTACATTTCCTACGTATTTCTTTATCGATATGTTTCTGTGTTTGGCTGATATTGTCTTGAAGGCTGTTATAATTGCCTTGAACACTTCTCCTCGATCATCATCCAAATCTTGTTGGTTTAAATATTGGCTAATGACTTTATCAAAATCAGAGTAATCAATTAGAGGTACATCAGCGAGTAGAATATCAGCTTTGAGTGTCTTCAACATTTTTTCTGAAAGGATTTCCCATCAGGAACGCCGTAAGGATATGGCTTTCTCATTTGATAAGAGTAATTTGAATGGGTGATAAAAAGAGTGGTCAATAAAGTCAATAGTTGTATGGAAAAAAATAAAAAAAGTAGTGCACTCTTTTATTGATGACAATAATAATAATAAATAAATAATCTCTTTGCTTTGCAACCAGTTGTAATCTTGTGTAAATCAGTATTAGTAACAGGCTATGACTTCCATAAAGGTGCGTCCGCTCTAGGCTATGACACTGGAGACGGTGGTTATATTCATAGCTTGAAAGTACTGTATCAAGTAGTATCATGTTCTGTGCGGTTGTGCCGTTATCGAGTGACGCACTCTGAACTGGTACGTACAAAAGATAGAAGTGATGCAAGGCTGGAAATGAAGGTTACAAATCATTAGGTAAAAGAGAGTAATTGAAAAGATGATTTCATAGACGCATAACTGTCAAATGTCCCAAAGATAGTGTCCGTGTCAAGGTGGTCTATACTTGCCCGCATCCTTACTGCAGCTCTAGAAATATTGGTAAGTTGGATGAGTATGACATTGTAAATATCGATAGACTAAATACATATGAATCTAGATTGAAGTCCTGCTGCTTTCAAAAGAATCGCCAATCTCAAGCAGGGTCGTGTCCCCATCTCCTGGCATTGGGACTAAAATGCTTTATATTCCTTTATTATTATTTGTATCATTTCTAAAAATAAATAAGAGCTGATTTCTGTTTTTTATTATTACTATATACAAATATACATCAATTTGTTTCTTTCAATACACCTTTCATGGTTTTGCCAACATAGACAAGACCAGCAAGTTCCCTATGGTCTTGGAACGCTTCCTCGAAAACGTCAGGGCACAGGTATGAGTAAATGTTGGTACCATATCTAGAGTGTTGTAGTGACTGAAAGGATGCCAACCAGATCTTTTGTTTTTAGCTCTTGTTGCAACTTCCTTGTGTCCAATTGAAGCTCAAAAAAATGTCCAATTGAATTTTAAAACCCAACCAACGATTTCAAAAAAGTGTCCAAGTGAGGGTGAAAGCACTGTACGCAGCACAACAATCAAAAAAATCTGTGCCCTTTTTTTCTTTTTTGTCTTTAAAAATGGTGTTGACTCGATTCCAACAAGCAAATTTAAATCAAAATAGTCATGAAGCCGTATTAGTCAAAGATCCTCCTTTGCTCACCATTTCTCGTTCAAGTGATTCCTTGGAGGAACCCGATCTTTCAGAAACCACTGTCAAAGTCGATTCATTATTGGAGCAATTAGACGAGTAAGTGTGTGCCTTTTCTCTTTTCAGTAATAGAAGGAAGCATTCCTGATAATTTCTTTGAATATAGTTTTGAGTGTTCAACCTTGGATGCCTTAATGGCTCGTTGGCCTTCCATGCATGCGAGACTTAAAGGCATGAAACCTCACTTACCACCCAAAAAGGACGATGACAAACCCACCTTAGGTAAACAACAACTTAGTATTTAATTTCAATGGACTAAACTTTATGTTACTAGTATTGGACTTGGACGAGACGTTATTACACACCTACCGCGATACCCATGACAATGAAGGACAAGTGGATTACGTGATCTATGCCAAAGACGGTAACAGCTGTTTACTAGCAGGAAGACTTCGACCTGGCGTTATTGAGTTCTTGACTTGGGCGGCAAGTTCTTTTGAAGTAGTAGTTTGGACGGCAGGAAGAGAAGATTATGCACGCATGGCTCGTGGCTGTCTTGATCCTCACAACAATCTCATCACGTAAGTGTGTGTGTGTGTGTGTGTACCCAAATCAAAAAAAAAAAAAAAAAAATCATGCAAGAAACAAAAAGCTGATGTGTAAATAGACATATGCTGACTCGTAATTCCTGTATACGTATGCGATCAGGATCCACACGGGAAGTACTTTATATCAAGGATTTGTGTGCTTTGGGTCGAGATCTCAGCAAGACCTTTCTCGTGGATAATACACCCCATGCAGCATCCTTAAACCTAAGTAACCTGATACCCATCGAAGCCTATGTAGGAGCCACATCCGATACAGAATTATCCGAATTACGAAGATTCTTAGAAGTTAATTTGGTTCGTCTCACAGACAGAAAGGATGATATGAGGATCGTTTTGTACAGACAGTTTAATTTGAAACGAAGGATACGTGAACGTGTCGGTAATTGGAAGCAACAACAACAACAACAACTGTTAAAGGATCAAAAATCATAGTAAATTTACAAACTCTCTGCAAACTCATACCCACTCTTATCACTAAACTGTAGCTAAGGGAACATTCAGCATGTAAATTATTATCGACACCATGTATTCCTCTTATTTTTCTTTATAAAAAAAACGCGTATTCAACCAGTAATAAACAAACGAGGGCTGGTTACAACGCCGTCATTTTTATTTTCGCATGTTCGAGTATTATAGACAGGCTTATCGAAAAAATGGAATGTTAGGATGGTGTCAAATGTGTAAAACGTAAATAGAGTCTCATATTTTGAAGTTTGAGCTTCATATACAAGATGTGGTTAATAGTCGTGATAAATAAGTGCCATGTTGTCCGTACACATTTCATCAGGATGGCCATATTTGTCTTCCACAATTGAAAACAATATTTTTCAAGACTATGATACGTCCAATATCACCAGTGTACGTTGCTTCAAAGACACTATTATCATTATACACACTGATATGAGACAACTTTTGTTACATTGTGGATTGTAGTCAACAGATAAAAGAACGCTAGTTTTGAAAAAATTAAATAGATAGTTCCCTCTTGAAGAATGTGCTACATTCTCTCTGTGATTTTACTACGTACACTTTTGGTATCTGTTTGCGCTCTTAATTCACTGAAATAAAGTCTCTGTCTCACCCAGATAACATACACAGGACATGTAGAAATATAAAGATAAGTACTACATATACAGTGGTTGTTGCTTGTTTTTATACACTGTTTTCTCAAGTTTAAAAAACAGATAAATCTATTGGATCAAAAGAAAAACGTAGAAACCATAGCTGGTCCGATTCTAAGATCCAAGCAAGAGGTCAACTTTACAAAAATGATCAGCCAACTATTCTTTTTTATATTTTAAATTCAAGCACTGGGTGTTTAGAGAGAGTCATATATGGTTTCTGAGAGAATGCACCTTTGTATGAGATATATTGTGCTTTATAATTGTGCTATCATGAATTTTCCCACTTGGTTATCAATTCTGTAATCCTCGTGACATTTCTGTTAGCTTAAGGTTTTTAATAGGATCAACTTATTTGTACGATGTGTCATTGGCCCAGTGTCATTTTGGCTACCTCTTCCTTGTAATTTTTTAATCTAATGGCGTCTAGGTCTTTTTTATAACTATTTTTATATAGTTCCACTATTTCTTTATAAGCCAGATAAAACTTTTATTAAACGCATAATTATAAAGTTTATTATATATACACGAGAAAGATCAAACTCAAGTGCAGCATCCATCACTATACTTGATGTTAAACTTGAGTATATGTACTAAATAAATTAAAAATATGTTTGTCATTTGCTGCTTCTTGTGAAATAATTATGTTAATTATTGTAACCAAATCTGGTCTGCATCTAGTTCATGTGAAATTCAAGTTAGAGTCGCACTTGAACTATAGCTATGAAATCTTTTTTTTTATCCTTTAGGAACAATCACATGTTGTAATTATTCTCTTTTGCTGTCATTTTGCAATGGATTTAGATAGCATTCAACACGAGCCAAAATTATTATTTTTTAAAGTGGCGTATATTAATTCAGCCGTAAAGAAGTCTTCAATGACACACTATAAATGCCAAGATTTATATGAGGATGGTGCTGTATTTATGCTTTACACGGGGAACAAGATTCGCAACAACAATAACAAAAGTCTGTCTGGAAAAGAAAGAACAAACCCGACAACCTTTTGTTTATTTTTTGTTTACCTGTTTAATACGCGTTTTAAATGAGTTACACGGTGTCAAGAATAAATAAAAAAGTAAATGATCCCCAATCTAAGCGTATATGAGACTATTTTGGGGGAAATTCGTCATGGATGGTTACACACGCATAAAATAATAAATGTGTATAAATAGAAAGGCAGAAATTCATTATCCTTTCTTTTTCTCTCTTATACACACATACATTTGATAAGAAAAAATGACTATTGATAACCCTCACGCAGAAACCATTAGAAAGGCTTTAGATCTTTTGAAAGAATATACCAGTAACTTGGATGGTTGGAACCTGACACAAGAAAAGAATGGCGTCAAATTGTATACCAAGTCAGATGGTTCAGCTTTTCCTATTGTGCGTGGTGAGACTGTTCTTACCGGTACATCATTTACAGCAGGTCAAGTAGCTGCAGTTGCCACCTCACCTGGTTGTCGTAAAGTGTGTAAGTATAGCAACATTTTTAAGAAAAAGAAATGCAGGTGGTTCTGACGCCAATTTATTTGATAAATAGGGGATGAAAAGTTTGATGTAGCCGAACTTAAACAAGTGTACAGTCCCAATGAAATCTTATTCTGGTCCAAAGTCAAGACCCCATGGCCAATTAGTCCTCGCGACATGGTTGGTGTCTCATTACGTGAAAATCCCTCGGACGACATTGCCTATTCGGTCATGAGCTCTGTCAAGGATGCTTCTTTACCCGATGTATCTGGCTGTGTACGTTCTCACCTCTTTATCTCGGGTTGGAAACTCCAAAAGACAGATGCTGGTGTTGCCATTAGTTACATTACTCAAATTGATTTAGCTGGTTCTATCCCCGCCGCATTCTTAAAATCCACACAACAACAAATCCCTCTCTGTGCAGGCTCGGTGGCGAAATTCATCAAGGAGAATGGTTTCCCCCCTATTCAACAAAATTGTACGGCTCAGTTGGTCAATGAAACATTTGATTATGGTAAAAGAGAGCATGTAACACATTTTGATGGACAAGGAAGTACTCAGTTCTTCATCTCGAGTCAAATGTATCCTAAGGGTGTCAAGGTCACATTAACGGGTAATGGCAGTTATGCTTTTGAGGAAGATTATGTTCGTGTCACGGGTATCGATGGTCCCACCACCATCAGCATCAAAAGAGCTTAAAAAATAAAAACTATGCATGTGGCATTATAAATGGTTCATTATCATTTGTGTTTATAAACAAGAGATTTTTTTTTTTTTTTTTTTTTTTTTTTGTAGTCTTATTTCATCAACCGTTATAAAATGTCATCCACACTTGTAGAAGCGTTTGCAAATATTTTTTTAGACAGACTTCAGGTGGATAAAGAAGAGTATATTCACTCTGCAAGTACCGAGGTCTCATATCTCCCTTTAGCCAATTTTCTTTTTTATAGCATGACCATGTATGTGGTCATCCGCGCTATCCACTCTTAAAAATAAAAAAAGTAATTCTCCCTAAAGAGTGTGTAACGATAAACAAGGATGTGTTACATGTCAAAGTGCATTGTCGTGACTGTTGCAGAGAAAGGCAGCCAGACAGACCTAGAGAGAATGAGAGTGAAAAGATAGATAGGGAGAGAGATAGAAACGTAATATTTTTTTTTTCTTTCTTTTTTTTTTTTAAATTATTTTTCAAAGATGGCCAAGTCAAAGAAACGCAGCCATAAAAAGCATTCCAACAACGATTCATACCAACCTTTAAACATGTTCTTTGGTGGACCTCGAGCTTCTGGTTATTCATCTATTAACAATGTGAGTGTAGTTATTTATTTTTTGTAATTTTCACTATGCATGCCAACTTATACAAACATGTAGGAAGAGAATAGTAGACCATCAGGTTATTTTGTGAATTCTCCTAATGACATGCACCAAGACGTTTCGATCAGCATGAACGACGATTCAGCACCTGTGAATTATCATTCTGACAATGAAACCTCAAGTAATTGTAGAATGAGCTCTGTGGAAGTGGACGTGTGTTTCCCTACACCCAACAAGAAGGAAGAATACGGTATTGATTATGAAAGCCTAGAAGAATTTATCGCCAATGAGAAAAAAGAGTTGGTCGAGAACAGAAATACACCTGGTAAACACAGACGTCGATTATCGACGATGGGTGCATCCGACGGTAACAGAAGATACAGTATGTATGGCGATCGAATGATGGTAATTTTTTTTTTTTTTTTGGGTAATGCGGTAATGGTGAACTCATCCTGTACTACTGTTATAGAACTCGGAAAGTAAAACAGAGGCAGATCAATACCGTGTGACATATTATTCATCCGCCGAACCATCTACCATCCACTCTCGTTCTATCAGCGAGATTCCCGAATACAATGATGATTCATTGAGCGGCATGATGAAGAAAGGTTGCTTTTGGATTGATATTCATAATCCGACAGACAATGAGATGCGAGCTCTCTGTAAAGCCTTTCGTATCCATCCTTTGACCGTGGAGGATATCTGTATGGAGGAACAGCGTGAGAAATGTGAGGTCTTTATGAATTACTACTTTGTGTGTTTCAGAAGTTTCGAACAAGATGAATTCTCTCCCAATTACATGCAGCCTTCTGCCATTTATATCATCATCTTAAAAGAGGGCGTCATAACAGTAGGTGAGACTTTTTGGTGTGCACTTTCCTTTTTAAGAAAAAACTAAGAATACTTTTACATGTAGTTTCATTTCAAGGCCATGTCCCATCCTCACAATGTGCGCAAGAGAATCAAGCAGCTCAAAGACTATATCAACGTCACGCCGGGTAAGTGTATATGTATTCTTTAGTGCAGTTATAGTGTTGTTAATATGATATAGACTGGATTTGTTATGGACTGTTGGATGATATCACGGACTCATTTGCTCCGCTTATCCGGGCCATTGAATTTGAGGTGGACTCTATTGATGAACTTGTCTTGATCTTGAAAGAATCAGAACAATCGGATATGCTGCGGCGTATTGGTTATTGCAGAAAGCGCATGATGTGCTTATTAAGATTGCTTTCTTCCAAAACAGACGTTGTCAAGACATTGATCAAGCGAGGTGAAATAGCACCTGAAGATGGCACGCGACCTGCTTTAAGCAAAGAAGTTGCACTTTATCTGGGGGATGTACAAGGTAAAAATGATATACCTTATTGGGGAATAATCTCCTATATTCTAACACACACACACACACACAAAAACGCACAGACCATATTATATCCATGCTGTTGTCTTTGAACCACTATGAAAAAATTTCATCCAGATCACATTCAAATTACTTGGCCCAGATTTCGATTGAGATGACCCAGACAAATAACGAGATCAATGATGTCTTATCTAAATTGACGGCACTAGGTAGTGTCCTGGTTCCCATGAATTTGGTCACTGGTCTGTGGGGAATGAATGTGCAAGTCCCTGGCCAATATCAAGAGGATCTTACCTGGTTTGGCGGTATCTTGACCACCATCCTTGCATTTTGTGTTATTTCCACATTATTAATGCGATATTACAACATTGTTTAATAATAAAGGTGATTGTTTTATTTATTTATTTATTTTTTTACTTTGCAAGGTCAAGAGGAAGAGCGGGGAGCACGCCTCCTTTACGAACACCGAATAAACGGAGACGTTTAATACCTCCATCAGGTACGATGACGATTTTAGCATGTGTAAACACTTTGTCTGTATGAGGTAAATCAAAATAGAATAAATCATTAGGTCCAGTGGATGCAGGTTCAATCAAGGTAGTCCATTCTTCTGTTTGTGGCACCAAATCCTTGCTGTTGGTTGCTTGCAAGATAATCTTGTGAGGGTAATTACCACAGTAGTTGGAAGTATCCACAACTGCCTTTAGAATATGACCTTCACCACCGAGACGCACTACAACATGGTCAGTATGACCTGGTGTACGAGATCGCTTTGTCTCCCAGCCATCTCCCATGTTTTGTCCACGACCAGGCAATAAAATGTTGGATCCGGGTGTATAATGTTGATTGGAAACTTCAACTGCACGGCCACCATTACCACAGAATGCAAGATCCACGACAGCGCTAATAAAGAAAAAAAAAGGAAAACAACAGTTAGATCTTATCAGTGTTTATTTTTCTTTCTCTTATCTTACTTGATATCCTCGGGCCAGATAGGAGATACGTTACCATAGGCACGGAAACGAGCAATACCTCCATCAGGAATGTTATTGAGTCGAAGATGGGTATATACTGCTGTTTCATCCTTCAACACAAAGACGTTATGTTGACTAGGAGGTAATTCAACCTTGGGTAAAATTTCGGTCCATTTCACTTCCTCTGCTTCGGCATCCTCTCCCTCAGGAACAGAAGCGGCTTCCACTGATGCAAAAGGGGCTTGGTTACCAGTGAAATAATGTGTATCAATATCAAAACCCTTGAAAGATCCCGAAAATCCCAACTTGATAATAGCCCTACATTTTTATTTTGTTTCCCTTGATGGTGAGTTTTCCGGTGGGAATTGTGTCTATTTTTTTTAATCTTACCAATCATAAGTGGGATTGTGACGCTTACTCTCCCAGCCGTCCATCCAAGCACCGGTGTCTAAAATTTAAAGAGAAAATGTTTAAATTATGTGTGCATTTGTATTCCAGGCATCATGCACTTACCAATGAAGCGACCGGGAGCATGAATGGGAGGAGCGGGATTGATCATGTTGGTAGCAGGAGCAAAGAATTCATCTGTCACGGCCACGATGGTAGATCCCAGAGCAGAAGAGGCAAGATCTACACACAACATCATGAGCTACCTTTGCTTACTTTCTATCTTTCTCTTTTTTCCGTTACCAATATAAGAAGCTAAAGAGGTCTTCAAGTCGTCGAATTCAATACGTTCGTAGGCAGCCATTTTTAAAAGAAAAAGAAAGATAAAATACCGAGAAAGAGAAGGGGAATGGGTGAGTATTTATAATAAAGGGACCTCTTGCATTTGAATGACAGCTATCCAATCAAGAAATTGGGAACAAGGGACAGTGACAATATAGCATTTCAGAAATATACCCTTTCCGAATTACACAAACTTACCCTTTTTGGACTCCCCACAAAAGGAAATTCAGAAGAATTGCAATAGATGCTCTCACTCAAACTTAAATAGCATCCGTATCACATTTAAGCAGTGCATTTGCCTTACATTCTAACATTCGGTAGTTTTTTTATTCTGGGCGATCGAAAACTAATTTTAAAAATGTGAAATTTCAAACAAAAGTAACTTTCAGACGCTTACCTGTAAAGCATTTAAATAGCAAAAATTGTTCGAATATGGTCATGTAGATACTCTAGGCAAACTGTTTTTGTTAAAGCGATGACTGTGGGCGATTTTTTTGGGCTCCTAAAAGAAAGGTGTTGGCCTTTCTCGTTCCTCCCAAATAGTCATCATATTTTGGGATGTATTAACCTCTTTTTGCCAAAGAGTTCGGTAAAAAATATAAGTAAGTACACCTAATCTAGTAGCAGAGTAGACTGACATTAGTCTATTTCGACTGTTTCATTGATTTTACTGATGTTAAACAGCTATACCAGAAAAGTTAATGTATCTGTTACGAAAGTTGCTCCTTGTAGTGATCCTTTGGTTGCTTATCAGTTGGCGTATGCCATATTGAAATAAAAAAAAACTTTATAATTGTGGATTTGTTCAATTGGATTCAACAAGACATCATAATTCACATATATTTTGGCCTAAATACGATGTACCCCACAGCACATGTGGATATGATGTTAAATTTGATTTGGCTTTGAATTTGATAGACATGTACAAGTATCAAAAGACAGCTTTTTGTGAATGCCTTCATAATTTTAGCTTTAGATGGGTTACTGCTGAAACAGACAAACAATTACCAATTTAAGCATTACATATTTGTAAACCTGCGGTCAAAAACAGATATTTTCTATTACTAGTAAAGGCTCAAACAAAAAGTTGATTAATCAATTAAATCATCCTGACATAAGCCAGCCCTTATTTATCTGTCTATAAATAAACTCGTTCACACACTTTTCTCTTCTTTTCTTCCTTTCTTCTCTACTTCTTTTCATTTTTTTCTTCCTATATTCATGCATGATACTATCTTTTTGAAGAAACCAAACATAAACCCCCCCAGGTGTTTTGCATCACTTTCATGTTCAGTGTCTGTGTATACTATAATCTCGAGAGATTTTGAGTTTTTGTTTGTGCAAACGGGCCGAGCTTACAAAACTCGAGCGGGTTCGATCTCTAACAGTCTGACGGATTGCTTGGTCCCATATAACAGACCTATCACGAGTTTTTAAGCGGCATTTTTTTAATAAGAAGGCTTTGACCAACACATGGTTGTAACTCGTTCGAAAGTTCCAATCGTTATAAACGACTGATTTGGCAGCTTCTGGAAGAGGCTCAGGTAATGCCTAACACCGTTTTTTTATACGTATAATATGAGTTTTATTGATGTTTCTTCAACAGATGCGGACATCTTCTACGACGTCGATTCCGGGGACAATATTTGGGACCTTTGGTACCGATTTTTAACTGAATGCAAAGCTGGCCAAGCCATGCATAAATCCAGGTAATATTGCTCTTTGTAACTGTATAAAATAATGGTATGTACGTAACTCTTAAACAACCAATGATCGAAATTATCCAATGTGGGTATAAGATTAAAATGCGTTCATATCTTGTTACAAAGCTGTATAATCACATAGCAGCCAACAAAGAAAAAAAAACCTTAATGCTTTCCATGACTTTGAAGGTAAAATTATGGAAGCCATCTGCTTGGAAAATACTTCTGTATTTTCCTTCCGCAGCAAAAGGTCAAGCAAATGTTTGAACAAGTCAAGCTTATGGCATTCGTATCAAAAGCCTTAAAATTACTTTTGAATATACCCGTTGATGTCGAAAAGCAAGTCTGGTTGAAGAAAAGCAAAACCATTTACTCCAAGTAATTGGTTTGGCAGTTGCTTCATATCGTAACTGCCTACACAAATAAAGACCTCGTTTGCTTTTACAGTGTAATCCCGACTATTTATTGTCTGAGATTGCTCTTCAAGGCGTTGCCTAATTGATATTTTCAGCTATAACGCCTACGGCGGCCACACAGTTGTCATCGATGGTCATCTTGTCGAACTGTCGTTGCTGGAGGTTACTGGCTCCTTCGGTTCCTCCAGCGTTGCAAGAAATGCTAAGGATCACATCAAAGGAGGCTTTAGTACTCTGGCAGTTGTTCGCCTTCTACAATGTGGATCGCTGGATATTTTTGTCAAATTCGGCTCTTCTTTGTTCAAGCCTTTAGTAAAGCAAAACGCCTCTCAAAATGCAATTTTACCGATATATTTGTGTGTGTATAAAAATAAATTAGGCTCTGGTCATTGGAGCAAGCCTCACAAGGAGTTTGCATGATGCAACTTCTTCAAACAGCAACGGTGCCAACCAAATTCAAAGGCGCCCAATTTGGGATGAGAGATATTTTTAAACTTTTTGTGCATACAAGGTAAGATAACTGTGAGTCATTTGGGTATTGTAGTGTCTACGTAGCTTATCATATATACTTCAAAACAGATTGGTTTGGAGAGAAGCCTAAGGCTAATCCAAGAACTTAACAGCCAGTATAAAGAGGTAAAGCTTTTGTTTGCTAAAAGAGTTTCTAGTCCTGCTTCGGCTACTGGCATTGTCAGGTGCCTCGGGAAAGGTTGCATTCACAAAGTTGAAGGCGACTGTATCCCTGTTTATAAGGAGTTGGAGGTCAAAACTTCTAGCTGATATATCATAATGCTGAAGCACGAGCATACACAATTTCAAAGGTGTACTAAAACAAGTCTTAAAGCATTACAGCAGTTCAATTACTAAAATAAAAACATAAAAAACTTCCAAAAGGCGTTACCGTGTACTTGTATGAACAAAATGCATGATGGTTTTTCAAGGGTGGTCTTGACTTGAGGGCGGTAAATAATTAGAGCCAGTATGAGAAATAAGTATAACATTTTGAGTGCTTCCCGCGGTTTATTTAATGCTTCGAAATGTGTAACTGTAAGTTTTTTTTACACCGTGCTAATTTATTTATGGTAGGCTCATTCAAAAGCGGAAACCCTGTTATTTTCCTAAGGAAAACCTTCATGATACAGCCTCATGGCATAGTGCATTAGTAGCCTATGGCTTGTATCGCTATTTACTTACTCTTCAAAGGCACTAACGGGATTAGTATGTTCTTGCAATTGGACAAGAGTCTTTTTTTTTTCTGTTCAAACTATAGACTTTATGACCCAGCTCAGTGTGATGAAAACAAGTGGGAACTGGTTCATTACGGCAAAAGATTCTAACCAAATGTTTGACATCGTATAGCAAAGGTACTCGAGGTACTTAGTACCAAAACTTTGGGGGTAAGTGTCTTCTTACATAGCACTCTTATAAAAAAATAAAGAACGATTGTTATTAAAACGGTTGTACAGTAACGATCATATAAATTTTGTTAAATCGCACGATCCAAAAAATCAAGAAAGTGATCATCAGGCTGTTAAAAGATGACGAGATTAAAAATAATTCGTACGTATATCTATTTACTTATATAAAGCGAAAACGACAAGTCGTTTATTTTTCAACTCATATAGGATACCCCTTTTGATTGTAAACGCGAAAACTGTCTTTTATCCTCTTATGTCTTCTTTCTATAAATCTTTTGTGGGCGCAAAAGCTACTGCGTTGGTCAACAACAGATGTAATTTTTTAAAATTTAAGAGTATTTATCAGTTAACCTTTTTTTGCTGTGTGACACGGTAATACGGGCCGAATGGTAATCGATCGCCCGGTTGTACAGGGCTGACCGTGCCAGAAAAAAAAACTAGTTTTCGGTTGCAAGCATTTATTCCGTGGCAGCGTGAAGTGAAACTATCACTCGCTTCAGACTGTTTTGATAGCTGGCGTGGTAATGTTTTTAATCGTTAGTTGCACCAAATTGATAAATACGGGTTTATCTAAACAATAACCTGATTGTTTAACCACAGTTTTATCTGATGCGTTCGTCAACCAGGTACACACTTTTTAAGATGAGGCATTTTCTTTTTCTTGTCTGCTTTACCTGTAACAGAGCTAAAATATTTAGGCTAATAAATCCATTTATAACACACACACGCACACACACACACACACCCAAAAAACAATACTTAAATGTAATAAAAGGAAACGTCAAGCTATGTTTTATTTGTCGTCATGCAGAAAGTATAAGATCCCCTTACTTTTGTGATTATATCAAGCAAAACAGGGGTGGGTAAAAAAAAAAGAGGAAAGAAATAATTAAGCGTTGTCACCGGAAAGCAGAGGAGTGTTTTCATCAGTGGATGAGCTTGGTTCGCCAGAAGAGATATCCTTGGACTTTTGAGGGTTATGTTCATTTTCATATTCATCAGCGATCCATAAGGCAGCACCCACAATGTTTGTCCACATGAAAAAGATATTGAACACAGGGATAAGCTCAAGACCGAAAGCAACAGAGCCGAAACTGATATAGTGCCACTTGTTCTTGGCAGCATATTTGTAAGATTCACCTACCTTTAAACCCTTAATTTCCATATCGTAATGTAAATGTTGACTCCAACTATAAATCTGGGATTAGAAAAAAAAAAAAAAAACTTTTACTATTTTGATCACTTACGCCGTGGGCCAACCACTAATGTAACAAGCCAATGCAGTACCAGCAATAGGAACTAACTGAAGAGGCGCGGTGACGACAATGAGTAAAATCTGGATAAGATAAGGATTAGTATACTCTAGAAAATGATCAGGTGATAAAAGCGTACTTTAACCATGATCAAGACCCAGTTAACTAAAAGACTGGATCTTAACCCACGCCACCAGAGAACAAGCTTGGGAATATCATCAGTATCATCCAAAAGGTGACCAAGACCCTTGGCCTTGATAGTAGCATCGAAAATCATATCTTGGAAGAAACCAACCAAGAAGGCAAAGAAAAGCAAATTTAAAATAGCACTTTCGAGAACAACGGAAATCACAGACACGAACCAAGACATCCAGTGAGGCCAGTGCCATTCGAGTAACTTTTCGACTTGGGTAGGTAATAACACTTTAATGGAAAATCCAATGGAAAACACACTGAACACGAGCGTCAAGAACACAGGTCCTAACGTCTTGAGCCATAATTCCTATATCATACACCAAAGGGAGGGTAAGCAAGGGGAGGAATTAATCCTTATACACATATATATACCTTGGGATGGCTAAGGAAAAAGTAAAGACCTTTAAGGGGGAAAAGAAAAGAAGGCATTTTTTATTTCCAGGAAAAAGAGAGAAAAAGGTACAAAGAAAATAAAATAGAATGAATAACCTTATTTTATAGTTGTTTGTTGTAGGTTGCACATTGTGTCTTGTTTGACTCTTTTGGCTGTCAAATGGGGTTTAGAAACTACAGTGTTGTGTTCCCTTAATATTTTAAGCCCCAGATGTACAAAAACTATCTTAGATAGACTTTTTTTATGCTCAAACAGTCAAACTCTTACCAATATAGGGACTTGACATGGCAAAAAATATATCACAAGTGAGGCTCCTAACCCCCAATAATCGTTTTCTTAGTAAACTACTAAATTTACTTTGTTCTCCGACCCAAGATAACTTTTTTTTATTGGCTAATGTTCACTTTTTGTACAGTTTGATTTTGTACTTGACGCTTCCATTTTTTTTTTTTTGTTAAGACGGGATGAGGTACTGTAAATAAAGCTCCTTTCTACAGCTTGATTTGAATAGACAGTCATTCAGATTCAATATTGGGCGAGAAATTAAGAAGGACTATTACTGTCAATACTTACTATCGTCATTCCCCATAATATGTTTCTTGACGTCAATGATGTAATCGTAAGCTTGATGTAGATATTTTTATTCGCAGAACATATGCAGTTGTAGCAGTTTCTACAGGACTAGCATTACTCGACTAAAACAATGGCCAAGTAACTTTGAGGGAGTGCAGTGATTAATTCAATTGGGATAGAAAAACTTTGCTAAATAGTCATTGTTACTATCTTTATGAAAGCTCACATTCTCCAGTCCACAATTTATTATACATGTCATGTATTCTTATAGACATAGAATGATAGCATTACAAATGATAATGATGTCGTGGATGATTATTCTACAATAATAAACATGTAAAGGTGCATAAATAACAATTTACACCATTTCCTTATATCTTCACAAATTAGCACATGATTAGTACTGACAGTATAATAGATTTGACGGCTCAATCCTCAATTTTTGATGACAATGATGCCTTGATGAGTGTGGCTCTTTTTTTATTGCGACTTGATTTTACTAGTCTTATTACTATATTTTAGGTTCATTATTTGGGCGATACACGCCTTATTCTTATTCCTTCTTTCATATCGTACTGGCGACGTGAATCACCTCAAGACAGCGGATTTTTTAAACGATGTGTGGCGGTGTATGTAGATCTGACTAGGGGTAAACTTTATTTTTTAGTGAAGCGTATCGAGCAGGCTGGGGGCATTTAGGTTGTTAGTCTGATTCTCAAAATATAAAGCCCGAGTAGAGCACACTTTGACAAAAAAGGCAGTCCCCTCTTTTGGGATGATGCTTATCAATAAATGGATTGGTGAAACCCTTTTTTTTTTCCCTTTCCTTTTTCTTTACTTTTTTTTTTTTTTTTTTTACCAAAATGTCATTTATACATAAAATATTAGACCGAGCAACACGGCATAACAATGCCGCCGAAGAAAAACCTCAACGTCGGTCTTTCTTTGGATTTGGTGCCACAAATAAAGACGAAAAGCCGAAAATGGAAGACGATGATCATCCATCAACAGAAAAAGTCGTGGAGAAACCTGCATTAACTTTATCGACTCATACTTCAGGTAACCTTGTTTTTTTATTTGTCACTCAAGCTTATATAATTTTCTTTTTCTTTTTTACATATATGTAGAGAAACAAGAATCATCCACAGCAGAGGATGAAGTAAAAGGTACATATCCAAACATCTATAATGATCCATGACTCAACATCTATAAAATAGACATGCAAGCGGAAGGAGAAAGAGAACGGTTAAAACAACATTATGCCAATTATGACAATGCCATATTAGAACAACGTAAAAACCGACCACGATTAAAATTGGAAGATTTCAACCTGTTGCGCACCTTAGGAACAGGGTCCTTTGGTCGAGTTCATTTGGCACAATCAAAGCACAATGGAAGATATTACGCAATCAAAGTATTAAAGAAGGCCGAAGTTGTTCGGTTGAAACAAGTAGAGCATACCAATTCAGAAAAATTTATTTTAGAATCAGCAGCCAATCCATTCATGGTGAATCTGTGGGGTACTTTTCAAGATGATATTAATCTTTACATGGTAATGGATTACGTGCCAGGCGGTGAATTATTCAGCATTTTGAGAAAGAACCAAGTAAATTTTATTTTGTTTATATTTATGGCTGTCATTAAACCATTATGTGTTCTCTTTTTCTTTTTTAGCGTTTTCCTGATCATGTTGCTAAATTCTATGCTGCCGAAGTGTTATTAGCCATCGAGTATTTTCATTCAAAAAATATCATTTACCGTGATTTGAAACCAGAAAACTTACTGTTGGATTCTCAGGGTCATATTAAAATCACAGATTTCGGTTTTGCTAAACATGTACCTGACATTACATGGACCCTGTGTGGCACACCTGATTATTTAGGTAAGCTTTCATTGGTACTACACACGTAGCATAAATCTCCCTGTTTACGAACCTCCCTTTTTTACATGTATAGCACCAGAAGTCATTCAATCCAAAGGATATGGTATGGCAGTGGATTGGTGGAGTCTAGGTATTCTAATATTTGAAATGTTGGCTGGGTAAGAAAAAAAGAGAAAACAATGAGGGGAAAAGTAACAATGGAACTAAACTTTTGATTTAGCCATCCACCATTTTACGATGATGACCATTTGAAATTATATGAAAAGATCTTGCAGGGCAAAATCAGATGGCCAGCCTATTTCGATCCCCACGCCAAGGATTTATTGAAGCGATTATTAACATCCGACCTTTCACGACGTTATGGAAATTTAAAGGGAGGAGCAGAAGATATTAAATCACACAAATGGTTCAGTGGGGTGGATTTTGTACGTGTAGCTAATCGCCAGGTGCGATCACCCTATGTACCCACCATACGAGGAGAAGGAGATGCCTCGCATTTTGATAGATATCCTGAAACAAGTGAAAAATATGGTGTCAGCGGTCCAGATCCCTATCGAGAGAAGTTTCATGATTTCTAACACTTCCCCCCCCCCCTCTTTTTTGTATCTAAAACACATACACCCTCTCTCTCATGCATAATAAAAATCCGAAAATACACTCCATGGAACCTCAACGCGAGTGCTATAATCCTACAAAGAATCACTCTTCTAGTTGGCCTATATAGACTTTAGTGTTAGATATCATGTATTCTAATAAACTGTTAATTCATTTTCGTCCTGTTTATTGCACATTTGAGCATTACTGCTATTTACTTTAAATTTGTGGCGAATCAGGCAGTAATCAGATCACTTCCAAGGTCCGTGTTACCATAACAACCCTCATTATTGAACTGAGAATCCTTTTACGTTGGGTAGATCCTTAGTTTCTTTTCCCCTTTTCAAGTGAGAAAACAAGGGGTATATTCACATGTTATACCTCGGTAGGCCCTGAATAGGGTCACTTGATACACTTCATTTTTTATTCTCTTTTTTTTTTCACATAAGATGGTTGTTTCCTGAAAAAGGAATTTATTGTCTTGGTCATGGCTAGCCGAAATAATTTCTTTTTATTTTGAGGTATCCCACATACACACAGCCTTATTTTTCTCTGCAGAATATAAATAATCTCCATTGGGATTCCAAGCAACACCGCATACAACAGAACTAGGTATTTTACATTTGAGAGTTAAAAACTTTTCATCCCGCGTTTTTTTTTTCTTTTTTCGTTTTTCTACCTATGCTCTGAGATCTCTCTCTCCACTTTACCCGTTCTGGCATTCCAGATATGTATACCTCCACCTAATGTTTTTTAGCATGATCAGCTTTTTGTAGAATGTTTTTAAATAAGTAGAAATCTTACTCGTGGAACCTGCTGCTACATATTTTCCATCAGGACTATATATATAAGAGATATCAATAAGGATAAAACATGAGAGAATCATTATAAATTTTTTACCTGAATGTAGATCGTGACCAATTGAGGCCATTTCGATATGTGTCCGACCTAATACATCATGATTTATACTCTTGCGATCTCTTTTGTTTTAACACAACTTACTGGAATGATTTGATGATATCGTACATTCGAATATCAATAATTTTTAATGTGTTATCTCTCGAGTTTGTCAATAATAAATTCCCATCTATTATTTAATGGGGATTAGTACAAAGGAAAGACGCATAAAATATAGAACTCCTTGGTATATTACCTGGTGACATGCTAACTGAAGTAATCTGGCCAGAATGAACACCTGTCAATTCTTTTATGGCTGCGCCTGTTCGAGCATCCCATAACCGAATATTATTATCCAAATGTCCACTAATCAAAGTCTGTCCATCGGCATCCATTAAACAAATATCGTTACAGCTTGAAAATGTAAAGATGGTTCGAATAGCTAAAATTCAAAAGAGTTTTTGTTGAAGGTGTTGGAAACTTTTATGAAGTTTATTTTTCACTTACTGCTTCCCCTTTGAAGATCCCATACTTTTAATGTACGATCATGACTTCCAGATACCTGTAGTAAAAAAGATTAAAAAAAAAATACGTTTGTTTAAAAAAAAATTGTGATATGAGATGGGACCAACTTACTACTCTGTTTGAATCAGCGGTAAATTTTGCTGAATAGACTTTGCCAATATGTCCTGTCAATGTATGCTGTCCATAGAAGAAAAAAATTGTAAGCAAAAATAATCAAGTCCTATACAAGAATACATTGTTACCCGTAATCGATGTGTTGAAAGACTCCAAATTCGGGTTGCATTATCTGTCCCGGATCCCAAAACCATTTCATCCGTGGCATTAAACGAGATAGACGTGATTGTTTGTAAAGCACCATTCAATGTTTGTAATGTATGACCTGTCCTTGCATCCAATAATTTAATCTTTTTATCCGCACCGCCCGTAGCAAACATGGATCCACAGGAAGATGCAGCAATACAATGAATCTCTGCTTCGTGGATATTCTAAATTTCAAGGTTATCTCCCGAAAAAATGATCATTTGGGCGAGGAATACTTACAATCTTTTTATACACTTTTTTGGGTAATACAATGGATGAATAGGGTATATTTTTTGTTGATTCCGCAGAAGATCCGTCCCGTCTTCTAGCCGATTGTCTCTTTTGCTTATCCGCAGCGTCTCTTGCTTGTTCCAGCGCACTATGTAAAAAGGTGAGCTAAGATACATACCGAAAAAAATAAAAAGAAGCTCACGTCTCATAAAATTGGGTGGCCTCGTTCATCTTTTCGGCTTCCTCGTTCATTTTATTGATCCAACGCTCCACTAATTGTTGATTTTCAAGCACAAGTCTCTTACTCTTTTCTTCTGTGGTATGAATCTCGAGTTGTAAAGCAGCTAATTCATCTTGAAGGATCTAAATAAAATTATCAGGTTAATTCAATCCCCCAAACTTTATTTTGTTTTTTTGTTAATACCTGAATTGTAACATCTTTTTCACGTAATTGGTGTACTTGTAAATCACATCTGGCAGAAAGACTTTTTACGCTAGCGGATAGATTTTCAATTCTGTGTGGTGTAAAAAAAAAAGAGAGAGTCAGATATGATATGAATAAAAAAAGGGTCGGGTTACATCATATTACTGCTCGGTTTGTTTCTTGTCTTTTTCCTCTCGTGTTCTTAACTGCTCGTTCAAGTTGACTAAACGCTGCGCATTTTCACTTTGAGTCTTGTACATTTCTCCTCGTTCGTCATTAAGTTCTCGTATACGACGATCCAATTCCTGCACTCGCTGTGAAGTTCTTTTTATACAAAATCATCGTCAACGAAACTTTTCTTTTTATAGGGGGTCAAGAAATAAAAACTTACCCAACATCGTCAGTGTTCTCCTTTCCTAAATGTTTGGTTCGTTTCTCAAGGTCCATGTTTTGTTGTAAAAGTCGATTATCTAAAAGAAGTGTTGGGGGTTTGCCTTCCGAGTCATGAATTAGGGTTGCACTGTCACTTACTTGCGACTATGATTTCATGGAACTTGCTTTCTTTTTGACGACGAAATGTCAATCGCTGGAGCAACACATCTCTGAAAGTCATTGTTGTAAATGTTAAAGGAAAAAAAACAAAAATAACACCTGACAGAGAAAGACTGAGCACCTTTCTCTCTTTTGAAAAAAAAAAAAAGCGGGGTTGAAATTTGACCAATACCAATCGTTGATAAAACTAAATTTGCATTACTAGGAGGAACTTTTTGGCATTCATCAACTGTAAAGATGTATTGATCGACCTATTTTGTATTTATTGGAGAACTATAAATGTATCATATCTTCTAGAAGCCCAGCTTCTCTTTCATTGGGAATATGCATTGAAATGAATCAGACAGTTGCTAGTTTCTTTACAAGTTACCTCGAGTGTTTTCACATATTCGGTCCTTAACAACCGTTACAGTGCAGACTCAAATCTAATTTTTCTATGTAATTTTTAAGAGTCAATTGTACATGTTTTATCGCGTTATCTCACACGCAGTTTTATTGAATACCATAGGTAAGTAACTAATGCCAAAAAAGAGTTACATATTTAACTGGGGTTACCCTTTTACGAATAGCCGGTAACCTAGCAGTCATTTTCTAAAAACACGATGAATGAAGGGTAATTCGCTGTGAGCTTCTCTATGATGAAATAAATAAAAAAGATTATCCTGAAAGCTCCCGCGAATCAACAGTGTATTACGCTTTAAATTACTGTCAGAAATAGGGCATGCGTTATTAACTGCTTCAATCCTCAGTGCCTGATCTATGATTATGTAATGTCTATACAAAAGTGTATCATAGAACTAAAAGATTCACTGTCTTTAAAATACACGGGGGGAAGAGAATTCCGAACTCAGTTATTGTGATTTTACTCTTTACCAGTGTACACACGTAATAAAAGAAGAAACATTTATATTTCTGTTTTGTGTTGTTTTTTTCATATAGGATACAAACAAAAAAAGAAAGACGCTGGAGTCATTTGCACAAACAATGTAAAAAGAAGGAAGAAAAAAACGTGACGTGTGATGTGTGGGATAGCGGAGATCGACTAAGACACCAAACATGTTGTATCCCCCCCCTTTTTTTTTTCTTTTCTAGCAGTTTGATACGTTTTATATTCTTTTACTTTAAAAACCCATTTGGCTCATCTAATTCAAGTTTAAAGCATAAAGAGAGAGAAACAATACAATGTCTGGAAATAATCAACGTCTCAATATTTTCCCTACGCGAATGTATGCAATCTGGTTTAAAATGTTTTTTTTTTGTTTCATGTTTTTTATAACCGAGCTAAAAGGTTATGTTTTATAGGGCGCTTACCAACATGAAGCTCAAGTTGAAGGGAGCTCAAACTGGTCATTCACTTTTAAAGCGTAAGTCTGAAGCTTTAACCAAACGTTTCAGAGGAATCACCGTCAAGATTGATGAGGTATGTTTATTGTATTTCTCGGGGGGTTTGTTTAAACACCAAAAAGTACTGACGAGTGTTTTACATTTAGCTCAAGCGCAAGATGGGACAAGTTATGCAACTTGCTTCTTTCTCTCTTGCTGAAGTTCAGTACATTACTGGTGATATCAGGTAAGAAGTTAAAAGCAAATGAAATGTAAACGAGAATACATGCAAACCTTGTTTTCTCTAGTTATCAAATCCAGGAATCATCAAAGTCTGCTCAATTACGTGTTCGTGCCAAGCAAGAGAATGTCTCTGGTGTTATGCTTCCTGTATTTGAAATGTACAACGAAGGTGGCAATGGTAAGATATAGAGTTATTATCAAATGAAGTCAATGGATAGGGTTTGTTCAGACTTTTCTTTTTTTTTTTTTTTTGACAGCTTTCGAATTCACTGGTCTCGGACGTGGTGGACAACAAATCCAAAGAGCCAAGGAAGTTTATACCAAGGCAGTTGAGACATTGGTCGAACTTGCCAGTTTACAGGTAAGATAGATATAAACAAATACTAAATGACATCATAAATATTTACACTCTTTTTTTTTTTTATAAATGTAACAAGACTGCCTTTGTTATTTTGGACGAGGTTATCAAGGCAACCAACCGTCGTGTCAATGCTATTGAGCATGTTATTATTCCTCGTTACGAAAATACCATCAAATATATCACTTCCGAATTGGATGAGCAAGACAGAGAAGAGTTCTTCAGGTAAACAAAGTGGTTTTCATTTTTATTCATGTGAACGTTGTTCCTCATGCGTCCCTTTCCACAGATTGAAAAAGGTTCAAAGTAAGAAGAAGGAGCGTGCTGCTGTTGATGAAGCTGTTAGAATACAGGATGCTGCTCTTGCCGAGCAAAAGGGTCATGAAGGTAAACTTGTTTATACGCAGGAAGTTCATGAAGAGGGAAAAGTAACTGATCTTTATTTATTATCTCTGTAGCTCCCATTCTTCAAGCCGCACAGGAAACTGGTCAACTTGATATGTTGGACCGTGAAGATGAGGATATCATTTTCTAATACATAAGAATTTGCCTATTCCATATACATATATATAAAAAAAAAGATTGTGCTTATATCCCTGTTTTGTAAACGCAAAGACTCTTTTTTATCGTAAGAAACTATTTTAACGTGTTACGATGCAGATATGCCCTTTTTTTTTTTGCCTCGTGTTGTCTCCATCGATACTTTTTTTTAATTCGATCCATGTCGTGTTTCTAAAATTAGGGTAAATCATTATAAATTATATTAACGTCACTTTTAAAGGTAGACAAGTAATTATATATTATAAATAATGGAACAAGAGGATGAATTAAAGAAGGAGTGAGGTCAAAGAAAAAAAAAGGGGGGGGGGAGAGCAAGTAAATGAAAAAAAAAAAGTGCAAATCCCCCGTTAAAGGTGTTGTACAGATAAATGGTAATTTCTTTTATGGGCCTGGCTGATAGGTACCAACATAGGAGTGTCTGGGTGGAGGAGGGGCGTTTACATTCGACATATCAGGATAACTGCCTGCTGTTGAACTATTCCATGTACTGTTTTGTTGAATAGGTCTGTTATATTCGTCATCGTCATCTTCAGGTTGAAATACTTCTCGATCGTTGGAACTAGCTCTTCTCTTGCGAAGGAAAAAGAAAATACCTGCTGCAATTAATGCGACTCCCGCAACGCCACCAACAACACCACCAGCAATAGCTCCTGTGTTGGATTTACTGCCACTTGTTGTGGGTTCAATCGTAGGCGAGGAAATAGCGCTACTAGAGGAAAAGATAGCACTGCTCGAGGTAAAAACGTCGGTTGCTGCAGGGACTTCTTCGGTTGTCGTGGGTTCCATCACTTCGGTTGCTGTAGGAGCAGTCTCCTCGGTTGTCGTGGGATAGACCTCTGCAGTTGTAGTGGGGTTGTATTCATCAGTGGTAGTTGTAGCGTATCCTCCATCTGTCGTGGTGGCTTCTTTATTATGACATGCAAAAAAAAAAAAAAAAAAATTTTAATAAAACCTTGACAAGATATGGGAAAAAGTTTAGGTAGTACCTGGTTGGCCATCAGTAGCAGTAGCAGTTTCTGTTTCAGTGCTATCATCCTCGCCTTCGTCCCCATCATCATATCCATCATCATTTCCATCATCACCTAATTTTTTATTTTTTAAAAAAATGAAAGGGCTGTCAACTCAAATATAAACAACAAATCCATAAAGATAAAAAACGATCGACATACTTGGATCTTCATATTGACCATTTACACCTGTCCACACATTTGATACTGCGACAAGTGCGAACAGACCATATAATTTATTTAACGTTACCATGACACTTGATGGTTAATATAATAATAATAAAAATATAAATATATAAAAAAGAGAGAAAAAAAGAGGAAAAAAAGAAAAAGGAACGGAATAAAGGAGATGTGATTATTGTTGCCCAGGTAAATATCACGTTTTTCGAATTGTACAAAAAAAGAATCCGATGTACAACATGAGAATTCTTTTTGTGTGTAACACGTTATTTTTGGATACACTCTTCTGGGTTGGTATCTTGGCATTCATTTTCTACTTCAGCTCACGTAAAAGAAAAATTGACGTTCAGGAGTTTTGTTACTCGACTAAATGACAGGGCAACAATACAAGGCGCGTTGGCTAATCTCATGTTGGGCCCATCTCTTGTATCCTATTTTCCTCTCATATGCAATACTCATGGGAACACACACTTTACTCATTGTATACGTACCCTTTCATATGCCTATTATCTACAAGCTACATCTTTATAGGCCCTGACATGAAATCTTTTGGAGCTGTGACGGGTCCTGCACATTTCATGCTTTTGACCGAGCCAGTCAAACGTGATTGCAACAATAACAAAAAAAAAACAATAACAAAAGCCTTCTAAAGTGCCCGCTTTCGTTTTACAGTCTTGAACTATCACCTGATGAAATGGAAAAGATCAAAAACATTTGGCTCTGAAACGAATACTTGTTACAATTAGATCTTTTATTGGATGGTTTGATATATGCATGCCTTTTTGGATGATGAATGATGAGCACAACAGAACCTTGCAGTGTGACCGAGAGATGACATGAAAAATTGACTCTTGTGTTTGTTGCTTTTGACAAGAAGGGTAATCACTTTGAACTGATTTGCCCATTTTCTTAATATCACTTGCCTCTTTTGTAAACTTGAAATCTATCAAATAACGCCTAAATCTAAGGTTTTTATCAAGAAATGATAAAGTCGTCTCGTTGTTATTAACGATATAAAAGTTTGTAACTCCCGTATATATATATATATATATATATATATATATATATATATTGGCAGATCAAAGCACAAAGGCAATCATTTGCACATAAATTTTATCTGGAAATAGCTACACGTCTACATCGTCATTTAGCTAGTTTGAACGGATCCTACCAAAGGGGCAGATCATGGTTCAGCTGTGCATGGGGGACAGTTAGTAGAGAGCATATGATTTTATTGTACACCCTTATTCTGTGTTTTACCTTAAAATGTCAATTTGTACAATCGGTACGCATGAACGGAAAGTTCATGTAACATTATGATATTGATTACCATCAGTGGTTATCAACTTAAAAATACAGATAGTAGCATTAGATGTATGCAACTAGATATACATAAATGAAACGTAGATGCAAATAAAAAAGTTAGTTGGACTCTATGTCATATGTTATGTTTTAAAAAGAAGTATTATTGAAGTGAATAGTGTATGTGCTTGCACCAAAAAAAAAAAGAAAAGAAAAGAAAAAAAATGTTCCTAATCGGGATATTTTTTAAGTGTTGCTTGAGAGGGGTTCTCAGGTTCAGAATAATTATCCAAATATGGAAGGAACCCTGTTTTCGGGGCTAAAACTGCGATCTTATTGGTGTCATTGTTTATAGTGAGCAGCACCATAAATAATATCTATGGGTGGAGGGATCAAAGTCGAGGTTTAATATTATCATCTTGTTGTATGCATTTCACACTCTTGGTCATTGTCTGAAGCTTCTCACTCGTTGAACAATTTTTTTTATAGAAAGCTACGGTGTCCCTCTAAACCTAAAATGTCGTCTATCCACTATTAGCATGCAACAAGCTCAGATGTATTTTCTTTCGAAACTGTACGATTGCTACAAATAACAGGTCAGTTATATCTAAAATTATTTGGCGCTGTATGACAAGATTATTACAGATGTTTTAACACTTATCTTCATTATACAATAGAAAGACGCAATATTTTATCTACTGAATTAGGTTCTGGAAATTAAAGTTAATCACAAAAACACCTTTATAAACCTAACCCATTCCCAGGCATGTATCATTATAGCTTAACGTTATTTATCAGCCAACAAATAAATCTCGTTCACACACTTTTTTCTTTTCCCTGGACATACTTTTCTTTTTTTTTTTCTTTTTTTTTTTGAATAAAAGTCATCGATATTGTAAAAACTTTTGGTTTTTCAAGAAACACTAAAAAATAAAATAAAAATAAAAATAGCCACGTTGCAATTCTTGCGATATGACGGCTATAGGATAGCGGCCTCGTAGGTTGGGTTCCTGGGTTTTGGAAGCCACTAGAAATGGACTGACTTTAAATGGCAGGGGTTATACACTGTAAATAGGTCTGATCATACTGGCTTGCTGGTCTTTGCCGGGATTGCTATAAGTGATAAAAACAATGTTTTTTATAAAAAAAAAAAAAAAAATACGGAGGTCTAGACATTTCTGCTTTTTAACTTGGATATATCTACCCTGCCTCCTCCATAGCAGCTTGCGACAATACTAGACAGCCGTCAAACCTTCGCCTTGTCAAGTTGTATAATAAGGGAAGTGACGCTTAAACTTGAAGGGGTTTTTATCCAAGAGAAGACGAAATGGATGGAGATTATCAAGGTGAAATCCACTTGAATCCTGATCATCAGAATATAAGTAGCCTTCATCTTGGTTATCATCATCTAAGTGGCTTTGAACTTGACCATCAGCATTCAAGTAGCTTTCACCTTGATGTCTGATCTTCCTTCTAACGATGAAGCTGAGTTGCACATTTTTATTAAATCTAGTTACTGATAAAATAAATTGAGTAGAGTGGGCCATCTATAAATAATTGTTTTGTCTTCCGAATCAACTTTACACATCCTATAGTCTAAAGTATCGAAGGATGGGTTCAACATTATCATTTATGCAGGCCAAATTGAACCCATAGTTCACTATCAGATTATCAAATGCCGTAAATCTGTCCAATACCCTACAAAAAAAAAAGGTTCTACATCGCTGTCAGTTGTACGTGGCACACTGTACACACATATTGGCTTCAAGAGAGGATCCGATCCACTCGTACATTTAGATGCAGCCTTTATCGAAGTCATCACCCACCATTTGTAATGTATTTTCAACTATATCATCCTGTCTGTGCGACACACTTTTTTGCATGGTAAGAGTGGATTTATTCTCAGGTATTTTAAATGCTTAATTATCGCTTTTTTTTTTTTTTTTTTTTTTTTTTTTTAGCAGCAGATAAACAAATCCACTTTAAGAAGTTGACCGTTTACAAAAAGACATTGTTTCAAATCGTTTACGCAACCATTTAGAAACACACAACTCTCCCAGAAAGCTTGTGGAATTCATAAAAGATATTCCGAATGTGTGCTGGCTTGGAAAGAGGCACCCGTCTGAGGCATAGCATTGAGCTGTGATATCTTTCAATTCTTTTTTTTTTCAAAATAAAAAGAATCAATAGACTAAATTACTGTACGATGCTTATTGTTTACCTATCACTCAAATAAACATCTTTAATAACTAGATAGTTACTGTTTAACCCAATTATTTTGTAATAGACGCTATAATTTTTATGTTTCTATATATGGAATAGAGGATCGCTTCCATATTTGGACAATTTTTTTTTTGAACTTGAGCGCAAGCAAAAACAAACCTAATTAGGAATCTTTCTTTTTTGCCGGTTGAAATCAGTGCGTTTGATGTACATTGAGAACTACATAGTTCTCTGTTAATAGAAACTTGTTTTGTGTTGTCAAGCTGCAGTGAATTAACTTTTCTTGTTTCAACTTTATTAGTAGTGTTTTGCATTCACATGTTTTTTTAAGGCACCAGATTTACGATTTTTTTTTTTTATTATTAATCCGGGGGAGGCGAGCAAAATGAATTATTTCTACATACAAACACCCCCAAGTTCAGGGAAAAAAAAATAAAAAAAGCATGACACGCAGCTGAGATGTAATATTTGCTTTTTGCAGTTACACATAATCTGCTTCATGACATAACTAATTCTGTTTACAAAACAAAAATTCGTTTTTTCGCTCAATTGATTTTAGAAAGAAAAAATGCAAGGAGGGGTAGAGTTCTATCTTAATCAACATTGAAAAATGGAACAAGGGCTTCGCTCTTTTTTTTTCGATCTGCCTAGATTAGATGGCTTGGGTGGAAAGTGTGTGTGTGATGTTCCGAGAAAAATGAGGTTTTTCCGCTAAAGCTGATCTAGTGAGTTTATCACTGGCTTAATAAATGATTTCTCTTGATGAAGTTTTAAACAGCACCCTGCTGACAATAACTAGGATAATGATTGTCTATATATATATAATGCATAGCTTTTCACTCAGTCCCAAATGTTTATTTGGAGTGGCCCCACATGAAAAAAAAAAAAGCCCATAAAGATCATGTTCGCAGCCGATTGCGTAAAAAAAAAGATATAAAGGGTTCTTTTGCACAACGCTGTCATGATCCTACGAGAGAAAAAAAATGCTATTATTAAACCCAGTGCTACGAAATTATTTCCTTATTTTAAATGTATAAAGTAATTATAGTCCATTGGTGTTAAGAGTTGTACAAATGGACTGATTTATAGGACAATGATAAAATTAGCCACTTTACTTGTATATAGGGGAGGCTGTCATGGATACACTTTTACTCTTTATCTTGACCACTGCCTTTTTTTCTTGATTCAAGGGTTTTTTTTTAATTTGAAAAAAGAGAAATTCAAGGATATACTAGAAAATGTGTTGAATACCGGGGAATTATCCTATTTTTTTTTTTTTTTTATAATCCAGCCAAGAATTATAAGCCCCACCAAAAAAAAAAAAAAAAGGTACAGTTTTTTTGTTGGTAAAGGGTTTCTTTTGAAGGTAACACAACTGGGCTTAATTCTGTATTTAGTTTTATAAGCTATCCTTTTCATAACAGTGTTTGGATATCATGAGGCTTCGCACAATAACACATATAAAGCGTATGTATTTTCTTTTAATATTTTCTTCTTTTTTAATAAAAATCACTTACCCTTTTTTTTTTGATATATCATTGAAAAAATCTTTACTTTTTTTTTCAAACAACTTGCTAAAAATATACAATTATAAAAAAATGGGTCAATATAAATGTTGTTGTTGCATCCCCGTCAGGTACGAGAGATAAAACAAGGTGTCAAATATGGGTCAATTAAAATAAACCTGTTTATTAAAATAGGGCTGGTGTTTTAATCATTGCTTTGCTTTCAGCCGTAAATAATCTCCCTTCTTTTTTTTATGTATATGAAACAATTTTAAAGCTAACGTTATATATATACATATAAAGGCTATTTACATTGCAGCCACTGTAGGACTCTTTTTATCAAAGACAACTGGAGGTAAATTAAAAGAAGGTCTTTCACCATCAAATGTAGATACTTACTTTGTTTCATAGAGGAACATTACTTTCAAAATATCAATTATCATGCGTATAGCAACAAGGCAGCTGATGGTGTTCAATACACAGCAATTGCCGTCTGTATTTTATTCTCGCTTGCCTCTCTCTTTGGTGTTGTTGGTAGCATTACCGTAAATATAGAAATCTGACTCTCTGAGGAGGAGGTCGGGGCTGATTTGTGTGTGTGTATATGTATTTTTAACAATTTTTTTTTTTTTAATTTAGCAACATCGAAAGATGATTGCCTTATTCAAGGTGGTATATTGGTTTGTAGCAATTCTTGAATTCATTGTAGCTGTAGCGGCCATTGTGATTTTTGCTGTCCAACGTAGTGTCTTTATTGAGGCTTGTACTACATATGGCGGTGAAGAAGTGACAGCCGATGATTGTACGGTCGGTTATCGAAATTTCATGATTATTTTCTCCATACTGTTGATGGTGAGCAGTTTTATCCAGGTAAAGCCACACACACACAGCCTATTTTTGGGGAGGGTTTATTAATAGATTTTTTCTTTTTTCTTTAAAAATAGTTTTATTTCGCCACAGCCATTAGCGCATACGCGACTCGTTTGCGTAGAACAAATATGCACGAAAAGCTTCGAAATTTGGAGGATTTCCCTGAGCCACCCAGCAAAACTGAATTCTTTTAAGAATTTCTCTTCTTTTATCTGTTGAAACATAAACGTACATATATATTGTATATTTACATAGCACACACCCTTTCATTTAATACATATTACACAACAGATACACGCTTTACCTCCTTCTCCAAACACACACTCACACACACCTTTTTCTTATACATATATATATATATCTTTTTTTTTTTATCTTTTTTCTTTCTTTCTTACCATTCCACCAAAACCGCCTAAAATGAATCTTTTCTCCTTTTTTTTTTTTGTCCTGTTATTAAAATAATAATAATAAAAAAAATGAGGGATATTTCTTTTGTATATTACATTCACGTTGCCCTTTTATATGTATATATATAGATATTTATGTGCTACTACCAGGAGATAGAGTCATATGATGTAAAGAGAAAGAGAGAGAGAGGGAAAGATAGTAACGTGATTCAGTTACACTGTAAGTTGTAAATACTACAAAAGAACGGGTCAAGAACCGATTGGGTCCTTTATTCTTTGTAGCTCTTGGCTTTTTTTTGTGGGCTATCTCCTTTTTAGATGTAACAAGAATTATTAGGGAGTGATGGAGAGTGTTTTTTTGTTGTTGTTGTTGATGTGATAAAAAAAAGAGTCGAGTAATGAGTTTGATTGAGTTCATATTATGTATTATGCGGGGTAAAATAGATCTTTACATGTGTGCCTTTTTTTTTAATAATTAGGTTTACCATATAAAACAATAAGAAAATAGAATGCAAAAAGGAAAATGTAAACTAAACTTTTTTTTTGCCTGATAAAAAAAAAGGGAGACAATGACAGTTGTTTTGTAAACAAGTCGAGCGTGTAAGCATATAAGAAAAAAAAAGATATTCAGGGAGAAATCATGTTCAACGCGCCTTAAAAGGAGAATAAGCCTTGTTCTACATGTGCATATACCTTCCTTCCTTTTTTTTTTAAATAAAAAAAGAAAGGATGCCTCTGCTTGTGTCAGATAATAAAAAGGAAAATAGCTTTATTGAGATGAGAATTCATATCACAAGCTAAAAAAAAAAAAAAAAAAGTGTAAACAGAGACTAAAATGGGAAAGATGTTATTGTAAGAGGTGACAAGAGTAGTAAAAAGATCAAGGGGCATTTATATCATAGATACCACAAAAACTTATCTCTCCCACATTTTTCGTTGTGTTTCTCTCTTTTGCGCCCCTCCCTTCCCCCACTCGGGTGTATGGACAGGTGTGTGAGAAGTTAAAAAAGATAGACCGTGTAACTCCCCTTTCAATTTTTATTTTGGTATTTAAACAAAGTGTGAAATTCACTCTTCAATTTTAAAGATTAACCTCTCTTCTCCCTCTCTCTCTCTCTCTCTTTTTTTTCTTTTCTTTTATAGTAGTAGTCTTGTTTATCAAAATTAAATCTCTGGTTCGATTTAATTTGATAGATTGCTTTTATTTTAAAATAAAAAAAAAAAAAAAGAGCCAAACTACTCTCTATTCTTTCCTTTTTTCTATTCCCTATTTTTTTTTTGGCACTTTTTAAAAAAAAAAGAGTTTAAATGTATAACGATTACTACCCACAAGAAACAAGAAATGACATGGAGGAGTACTATTATTACGAAGAAGAAGAAGAAGACAGTTATTTTGCAGACTATGACCGCGATGTGGCAAATGCAGTGACTGAAGCCGACTATCAAGATTTCGGAGATGGCAACGCATACGATTATCGAAATGATTGCTTACTGGAACTCGTGGTGGGAGTACAAAGCTATCTGACAGAACAACAAGCTGTTTCTTCTAAAATACCTGATTCTCCTTTATACAATCTTCAGTATAAATTGTATTCTTATATGCGTCAACGAGCTCTTGAACTTGGCGCGCACTTTTAATATCTCTTATCCCCCAATCACACACACTCATCCCCCGTATACATATATTTCCCAAAACAATCTACATATTTTATCCCACACCCCTTCCCTTTTTGAATTTATTAGAGTTTTTTTTTAACCCTTTTCTCGTCTCCCCCATCTCTATATATATATTACCAGAAAAGGACCTAATAAATTGTTAAAATAACAGATCATCTGAACACATTGTTTTCTGCACAGATAAAAGTCCTCTTCAGATTTTTTTTCTCGTGAGAAGGTTACCTCTTTGTAAGTGTGTAACATGTAATACGAATGCTTTGTGTGACTTTTTCCCCAAAAAAATATAATCATTGCTATCGCTCTCTCTCTCTCTTTCTTTCTATCTCTTTCTATCTCTTACAACAACAACAACAACAACAAAAAAAAGATGATGGATGATCATGAATTAGAACGTATCTATTCTCTTCAGATTGGAGAAGAACTACTAAGGCAAAATAAATTAGCCGTGACCCAATGTATCGAGTTATTTCCAAGCATGTTTGGACTCGATGAACTAATTGGGTCTTCATCGCCCATTGACTTGACACAAGGTCATGAAAAGTTGACGGCATTGTATCAACAAGTGTGTGAGATTTTTATTGACCATGGCCTACCCTTTGACCACGTCTGGGTAAACAACCTTTAATGAGTTTAAGAGAGAAAGAGAGAGAGAGAGAGAGATGGTTGTGTTAATCGTTACTTTTTTCGTACCTAGAACTGGATCATGGTGTGGAGACAACAGTTATCGTTCCAGTCATTATCTGAACTATACGGTCAGGATAAAGTGATTCAGTCGTTACATCCGAGAGCACGTAAAGCGGTGCGGCAAATCTACTTGGAACAACTGGATAAATACATGCAGTGGTTTCCTTGGTCGTGGTTTTCTGATATGCAGTTTATTGGTGCTGGTGGATTTTCTGCCGTCTATGCCGTTCATATGACACCAGCCTATGACCCACAACCACTACGTATGGCACTTAAAATAGTCGACGACAAGCTCCTCAACGAGGTAAATGGGATAACTTTTTAAAAAAAGAGAAAAAAAAAAAAAGAAACTAACTTAAGCGGATTAGATCTCGGTGCAGTCAAAAGCTTTTTTACCACTGCTATTTCAGGGATTGACAGTGTGTGAGAGTACAGGCGATTTAATGATGGTAATGAAGTTTAGTAATGATGGCAATTTAGAAGATCACATGCAACAGCTCCCACTTGGGGATCTTGATCTAAAGACGATTACAGGCACGATATTACGATTAGCAGCGAATTTAGCGGATTTACACAAGGTGGGGATGTGTCATCGTAATGTACACCCACGTAATATTGTGTGTACAGATTCTGATTATTTCTTGGTGGATTATCGATTTGCGACACCAACGGAGGAATCGACGTCTGTGACGGGACTGACGAAAGCGGTGTATGGACGATTACCGTATATTGCACCTGAACTACGACAGGGTATCTATACAGAGAAATCGGATATCTATAGCTTGGGAGTGATTATATGGCAACTTGTGAGTAAAGTAATATTTCCTTCACCGGATGTGCTATTGGATGGACAAAAACGAGGAGAGGAACATGTGTATCGTATTGAACGTGTACCTGGGTTACCAGATTGGTATGAACGGTTGTATGTGGCATGTTTAGAGCCTAAACCAGAGAACCGACCTGATGCAGGTGAGATCTCACGAGCCTTACAAAAGATTCATCAAGGGCTCCAATTTTCGGTGCCTCTGGAAGGAAGTGTGACAGAATATATTGTGGCAAGAAGAGCGGAAGCAGCGGATCATTTACGTACGTTTGCAAAAGTCAAAGGTATTGTGTCGGCATCTACGACGCGATTATATACACTTAGTAACTTGCCATGTACACAATTTTTTATTTCTTTACGGTTTAAAAATGATGTATTTCAGAATGTGTTTTAATAATAATAATAATAATAAAAGAAAAAGAATATAAAAACTTTTTTTTTTTTTTTAGGTACAGGTGAGGTGTGCATTTTCCCAAAAGGCTTGCATTTTTTTGAGCTTCTTTGTGGATTCAGTGTCAAGATCGTCCATACCCCACATGATTTCTTTAATACGTTCAGCGGCTTCACCTTTTTCAAGTACGATGGGGTCTTCATCGTCCTTTTCTTCTATAAATTTATTTATCCTTCTCATGTCCTTTCTGACTTCATGCACGGTTTTTGCAATGGATCTGAGTCTTGAATTTAATTCTTGGACTTGACGTTTATTGACATACATGATTTCTTTTAATTCCTCCAAGGACTCTGTGGCAGCACTTGTTTCGATGGTTAAAGTACGAATAGCAGGTAAAGGGTTTTCATAGGAAAAGGATGGGTCATTCAGGGTATGTTTGATGCCAGTGAGTAAACTCTCGATCTCTTTCAAAGCCTCTGCTGACATCCAGCTACTTTCCTTTCGCAGTGCACTATCGAGGTTGCGTAAATAGCTGGTCTGTCTTTCACGGTCGCGGGATTTACTGACAATCAGATTGATGACGGACTGAATTACATATTCAAAGGGTGGAGCATAGGTCACGAGATCTTTGAGTGTTTCATCCAACGACAGTGTGTTTAATAACCGCTTATGAAGTGTCTTTGTCTCCCACACAGCTGTATTTAAATCTTCCAATTGTCGTTTTAATACTTCAAAAGGGTCATCTTCTTCCTGATCGTTTAAAGAGGACCAGGAACTACTGAAGGAAGAACGTCGACTACGAAGTCCTGTAGAGGCAGACCATTGTAAGGGTGATAAAAGTGGGCTGGTTACCTCTAAACTTAACGAACGTCGGTCCATGGCCATGGAGGCTAATTTAGACACAGGTGCTGTGGTTGTAAGCACTTCATCACTGTCATCTTCAATAGTCGCTGATTGTAATTCGGCTGCTAAAGAGGAACCTAAAGGCACTCCGTTTAAATAGCCTTTACCGAGAAGTTCTTCTTCTAAAGAGTGTCCTCCCATATAATCTTGTTCATCATCATATGAGTTTTCTGTCATCATTGTACAAAGTAAAAAAAAAGAATGAGAGATGAAAGAGAAGAAGAAAAAGAAAAAAAAAAGGGGGGGAGGGGGAAAATAAAAAAAAATTATTTATTTATACACACACACACACACACACACACACACATAAAAAAAAAAAAAAGACCTTGTGACAAATTTTAATCACCACGATTGTCGACTACTCATCGTGGTATTCTCCAGTCTATATGCTCGGAGTTCCTTTGTGTAATCATGCATTCTTTTACCCCAGTCCTTCAACCTGACAACCTATCATAAAAGAGTATGTTATACTACAATGGTGCTTTACACCCCCCCCCCCCTTTTTCCCCTTCCTACACCCCTTACTTACCACTGCTGTGACATTATCGTCGCTATGCAACCCATCTGCTGCATCGGCCAGCTTCTTGGCAGACAACGAAGGGCTGTTACACTGCTTCACCTGGCAGTATAAAAAAGTACGGGTCAAAAAAAAAAAGCCTCCCCCATACACATATATAAAAAAGAAAAAAGAAAAGGACACTTACAAAGTCAACGATTTCTTGGTCTGACATGACAGAGGTGATGCCATCCGTCACCAATACCAGAAAGGCAGCGGGATTCTTTGCGTGAACTCTATATCGGACAATATCGGGTTCAGCCGAGACACCATACCTCTTTAATTTAGCATCGCCAAAAGCACGGCTGGTGGCCAACATGCCCATGATGCGTTCATCCCCCCATGAGTCCGTGGTGACAAATCCTGCGTATTTTCGTAATCGGTCGGTTTCAATGGGATTGCCCGGGTGATGATCGCCTGTGGTTAAAGGAATGGCATGTCCCGTATGAGAATCACATAATAAAATACGAGTATCTCCTACATGACCAATGACCAAGTCATAATCCTGACTGTTCCAAAAGGATTGGGCATCGCGTGGTTCAATAATCACAATGCTTCCTGTGGAGCCCTCATCGTCTGCATGAGCATCGTCCATGACAGCACCGGATTGTTTAAGACAGAGCATATCGGCATAGAGGAAAGCGATCGTCAGTCGTTGTTCTAAAGATAAATCGTGAATGTCGATACCGGCTTTCGGTTTCCCACTTTCGTCCACCAGTGATTTGATGATGGTAGGTATGGGGAAACGACGAAAGTAACCTCGATAGGTGCGTAAGAAGGCCAATGTTTCATAAAAATCTGCTAATGTTACTGTCTCTATCGTTTCATGTAACTTTTTCGCAAGCCAATCCGAAACCACAGGGCCACCGTGTCTATGATGGGGGGGTGTTAGTTTTTTTTTTTAAAAAAAAGAAAAAGAGCCCAACTCACCCGTCAAAGATACCAATGTAGGCACGTTGTGCGTCCTTATTGAGCTTGGGCATTTGGGGAGAGTCGGGTAATTCTAGAGAGACAGCGCTGTATTGATCCTCGTTGGATTCACGGGTGCCTCTGGATGAACAGACACCGATAAGTTGGTTGGCTCGACTGAGGTTGATTCGAAGCAAACTGTCTGTTTTAAGAAAAAATAAATCAATTACGTATTTCTATATGTACTTGTGTGTGTATGATAGACTACCTTGTACGCCTTTGGTGAGATAGTAGTCCTTGTAATATCTTTGCGGGGTTACTGAGAACTGTCTTCTGAAACAGGCATTACGACACAATCTCAACATGATCTGAATGATGTTTGAAAAAGAGAAAGAAAGAGAAAGAAAAAGAGAGAGAGAGAAAAAGAACTAAAATAACCCGCCGCCCGCCGCCTCACACAGACACACACACACACATATTTTTTTTTTTATACATGCATGTACTGTTTTTTGAATATGAGTTTGCGTTGAGATAAAAATTAATTTGCGCTGACATTAAAAGAATATTTACGTCAAGGTAAAAATAGTTTTGCGTTGCTTAGTAATAAATTTTGCGCCAAGAGATTAGAAAAAAAAATATAAAATAACCTAAAATATCGCAAAGGTTTCGACTCCTTTTTTCTTTTATTTAGTTTAAATATTAGAAAAAACATGCAAAGCGTTAGTGAATTTATCACTAATAGTGAAATTATTTCAGATAACGATATGGACACTTCATCTGACGATCATATGGAAGATGACGAGCAGGAAGAAATGGAAATTGAGCATTTCAGTTTGAGCGAAGAATGGATGGAGAAAATAAGACGAATTGGGAATGATTCTCTATCATATGTACGTGAATATATGGAAGTAGATTCAATAGAGGAAGAGAATGAAGATTTTTTTGAAGATGCTTTTCTCTTCGCAGAGTCAATGCCATTGAGAAAAAGACATACAGCTTTGAATGTTAAAACAAGAGGTTCTTACAGAAAATATACTCCTAAACAAGTTGAAAAACTCTTCGACTTAATAATCGAAGAAGGATTCACGACAAAAGCTGCAGCTTTAGCCACTGGGATTAATGTACGCACTGCCCAGAATTACGTTAAAACTTATAACAATGATCCTGAGAGACGACTTCCAGGATCTTATTCTAAACCTCGTGGAAGACCTCGTAATAAGTTGACTGAGGAGCATTCTAAATTTCTAGTTGACTATATCGAAAAGAATACCACTGCTATATTAGATGAGTTAAAGTTAAAACTTTGTGAGAAATTTGAGGGTTTGAAAATCTCTATTTCTGCCATCCACAAACATTTAGTACATAAGCATAACATTACGTTAAAGAAACTTGAAAAAATACCAGCAGCAAGAAATTCTGACAGAGTAATAGCATTACGAAAAGCGATTGTTGAACAATATAAGAGTGATGCAGATATGGATTTTTCTAAGAATTGTGTTTTTATCGATGAAGCAGGTTTCAATTTGCATACGCAAAGAAACCACGGCCGTTCATTAAAAGGCACACCTGCAAAGGGCACTGTACCAACTGGAAAAGGTGTGACATTTACAATTTTAGGTGCAATTTCTCAAGCAGGTATCATAAATATTGGAGTTAAAAAACCAGAATCAGCTTCTTCTAAAAAAAGAAGGGCAGATGGTAAGGAAGTAAAAATCAATGGCAAAGTTGGGACAAGAAGTGAGCACTTTTTGGCTTATCTAAACAACGTAATGGATACACTAGATAAAAATAATATAAAGGGGCAGTATATTGTTATGGATAATGCACCTATTCATAAGCCAAAAGTAATCAAAGCATTGATCGAAGAACGAGGACATAAGTGCATATATTTGCCACCATATTCTCCTTTCTTGAATCCAATCGAGGAATTTTGGTCAAAAGTAAAAGCTGGTGTTAGAAGAACACCATTGACGACAGATGATCGTCTCACAGATCGTATATGTGAATCGGCTGGAAAAGTAACAAAAAAAGATTGTGAAGGATGGATTAAGCATTCAATGTCATTTTTCCAGAAGTGTTTGAATGAGGAAAGAAATCTTTAAAATAGTCAGTAGGAGTGCAGCTTTCAACAGACGCACTCTGAATGCTGTGGTGAGCGGTCATAGAAAGATATTTAGTAAACAAAATGATACAAGCGGTCACAAGCTGTAGTGGGGTGTGAGAAGGGTATGATCCTATCTTTCTCTAATGGTCGAGGAACTACTGTAGTACTTGGTACTACAGATCCTTATTCATAAATTCACATTTTTATTATTAAATAAAGTTTTCTTTGGTTCGTTTTCTATATATAAATTCGAGACTATATCTTTTTACATATCATTGCAATTTGGTGTAGTTAAAAACAACGTTTAATTAGAAACAGTTAGCTAGTCACAAGGTAGATATAAACCCCTCGCAACATTTGGTGGAGTAGCTGGGCGTGCTGCTATTTTGGAATATAATTAAACTAAAGGTTCACAAGGTTATAGAACAATACAAAAAAAATGGCTACGGAAGGAAATTCAGTTTTGGTGTTGGGCGAAACTAGCGCAAAGAGTGCGCCTACATTTGCTAGTGGTGATAGACAGGATCCTGTTCAGTTTTTGGAGGACTTTAATGAAGCGGCTTCTTGGAATAACTGGGTGTCCACGGACAGAAGAAAGGAATTATTCTTCAGGTGTCTTACCCACTATGCCAGAGAATGGTTCTTGAACACTTTCGAAAGGGGATCGGAAGAATACAAGAAGATGAAATTCGACGATGGTACTAGTGCTTGTCTGGTCAAGCAATTTTCGGCAAAGTTCATTACTGCAGAATGGTTCGAGAAATACGAAGAAGCGTACGAAGACCGTGTTCAACTTAAGTCCGAATCTCCTTGGGAATTCATGAATATCAAGCGTGCGTTACTCAGAAAGTTGGATCCAGTGGAACTCGCTAGTCGTACTGAAAAGCAAACGGTGAAGGAGATCAGAAAGGGTCTATTGCCTGAAGTTAAGAAGTTCTGTGACTATATGGAGAAGAATCCCTACAACAATCTGGACAAGACCAAGGTTAATACCTTCGAAGGGTTGGAATCTCTATTGCGTTGGGCAGAACAATGTCACAACAACACGGGCATGGTTACAGGTCTCACCAAGGAGGTTAATAAGGTACAAGAGCCTCAACAGGTGAATGCTATTTTGAAACGTAACAATGGTGATTATGGTGGGTCAAGAGCTCCTCGTGGTTACACGGAAAAGGTGGATAACTCTAATCAATGGGAAATCATACTCAAGAAATTAGAGAAGCTTGACAAGTTGGACGTGATTGAAAACAATCTTGCATTAACCATGGACCGAGTGGACAACATGGAAAGGAGATTGGATGGTGGATCCAACAACCAAGCTGATGGAAGAAAGGTAGAAGAACGACCCTCGGACAAGTGTTACAATTGCAAAGGACCTGGTCACATCTCAAAAGAGTGTAAGGAACCCTGCAGGGTGTGTCACTCACCTGATCACACAAGTGTTACTTGCAAGGACAAGGGCAATCAGGATTTTCGCTCAAACTCCCCACGAGATTAGGTGTGGTGGAGTTAAAGAAAATTCCTAATTCAAATCCAAAAGGAGAAGGGTCCTTACCGGTGGCGGTTATCACGTTGGAAGAACCTAGGTCGATCAAGGAGGTCAATGCGTTAGGCGAGTCGGGGTCCAAAGGCAAGAAATCTCAGGCGGAAATTAAGGCCGCGCTGCTGGAGAATCTGAAGAAGGCAAGGGAGGCTAAGGCAAGGTACAAACAAGAGGATCAGGAAGCAATTCGTCGAGGTGAGGTTCCGCCTTCAGTGTTGAGGAAGGTAACAACTGGTATGCCTATTATGATGGAGGAGGGCGGTAAGCAGGTCAATCAGTTTGATATTCGAGAAGGGTTATGGAAAAGCCAGGTCAGTATTTCACTACCCCAACTCTTATACCATTCCCCAGAACTGTACCATCAAGCTTTAGGTCTCTTAGGTGCACAACCTATTACCATGAAGAAGTCTCATGCGTCCCATGTGGAAGATAAAATGGATATTGACTCAAAACGGGAAAATTTGGTGATGGTGAACAATGTGGTGTCAATCGACACAACCACCATGGATCTCGAGCCAACATTACAAGCATTGCTGTGTATAGTAGGGAATCAACAATTGGAGTTTCTGATTGATGGTGGTGCGGTAGTGTCAGTGATCAACATGGAGGTGGTTGAGAAGCTAGGTCTGAAGTCACAGGTGAAACCGACCAACAGGACATTGCGCTTTGGTGATGGTGAGGTGGAGGCTGCTGTGGGTATGGTCGCACTGACTCTCATTCTGTCGGAGGAGGTGGAGGTTACTCATGCTTTTTGTGTTACTAAGAATGTGAAGACACCTCTCTTGGTGGGCAATGATTTTATCCAAGGTACCAACGGGTTGGCTGACTCCAACAACAACATGTTCTCGGTGAGGGTTGGTGAGAAAGTATATAAGGTGCCAACACATGAAGGGAGTGGTGAATCAAGTGGAATCCTATTTCCTACTGGTGGTGGGGTAGAGGAGGATGAGCGATTAATTATTCCAGTGACGGTTACGAATAGTGATCATAAGAGGTTGAAAAATGTCAAGATCCAGTACGACTATACAATGCAGCCTGGTGAGGCCCATTTGTTGTGGTTATCAATGGGGGAGGAAAGTAACAATTGGGCAACTGACATGGTATTACAACCTGAAGAGACGCTTTACACTCAATTGAAATTATACATGGTTCCAAGTCTAATGGAAAAGGGAGGTAAAGGTCCGTATTGTATGGTGGTTATGAATTACGGTCTGAGGAAAACGGTGTTGAAGAAAGGTACCCTTATTGGTAAACTTTACAGTAAAGAGTCAATTCCAAAGGAAGTAGAGGTGGTATCAGATGTGGAAGAGGTAACTTCAATGATCCAAGATTTTTACATTAATCAGGAAGAAGGAGTGCAGGTGTTGGCTCCGTCATTGATTGTTGGACCCATCTTCAAGCCGGATTACCGAAAGTTGGAGGAAGCAGGCGTGAAAATTTCTAGGACTAGGGGGTACAGCAAGAAGGATACGGGAAGGGTATACTCTGTATACATGGTGACTGAGGTGGTGGAAGGTGCGAATTATGATATCAATCCAGAACTGTCGGCTTCACAACAACAATCAATTCTGACAATTCTCAAGAAGCATGAAAAAGTATTTGCTACGTCTTTGAAGGAAGTGGAGGAGTTGAAAGCAGATCCTTACGTGATTAAACTGAAGGATGGAGCTGTACCGGTCAGGGTAACACCAAGGATGGTACCATATGAAGCTAATCAGTGGTTTAAAGAGTATGTGGACCAGTTGTTGGATCTGGGGCTTCTGGAGAGGTGTGATGGTCCTTGGGCTGCCGGGGTAGTTCTGGTACCAGCAGATGCTGAGAAAAGGGTGCCAAGGAAGAGAAAGGTGATGAAGTTGAGAAAAAAACCAAAGGTGCAGCTTAACAAGAAAGCAACATGGACCACTTATCAAGTATGTGTGATCGAAGAAGAGGAGGAGGAGGTAAGCCAACCAGAGGTGGTAGAAGAGTTGAGCACGTACGAGGACATGGAGCAAGCCTTCGGTGTTCCCACTGGGGAAATCACTAGTTTAATACCGAAGTCAGCCGCAGGAAAGAAGGACCCGTATAGGCTCACCATTAACTATAAAGGGATCAATAAGCTCATGGTGGATACTGGGTACCCAATACCTAACATCAATTTTCTTTTTACCTTGCTGGCTAAGGCCAAGTATTTCTCAGTTTTTGACTGCCTCAAGGGTTTCTGGCAATTGAAGTTGGCGGAAGAATCCAAGGATTTGACAGGGTTTGCGACCACGTTTGGTCAATTTAGGTGGACTAGGCTACCAATGGGGTTAAAGGGTTCTCCCTCTGCATGGCAATCAACTATGGATTCAATATTTTTTTCTGAAATAAATCAATTTTTGCTCATTTATATTGATGATGGGTTGGTCTTTTCTGAGAGTTTTGATGATCATCTTATTCACTTGGATCGGGTTTTGGAAAAAGCCGGCAGAGCATGCTTATCGTTGTCCACGTCAAAGTGTCGTTTTGGATATACGGAGACCAAGCTACTGGGACATATAGTTGGAAGAAATGGATATCGAATGGATATGGCGAAGGTGGAAAGAATATGCAAGTGGCCACAACCGAAAACGTTGACTGAGGTGAACCAATTTGTGGGGATGGTACAATATTACAGGCGGTATATTCCAAACATGTCTGCTGTGTTATCTCCATTGAATCACTTGAAGAAAAAGAACGTCGTTTTTAAGTGGGGATCGGAACAAGAAAGAAGTTTTCAAGAATGCAAGGAGTGGTTGATGGGGGATGCTGTTTTAGCACATCCGGATTTCTCAAGGCCTTTTGTACTCTATACTGATGCATCTAATGTGGGGATTGGAGGAGTGCTATCACAAGAAGTTCCGGGAAACAAGGATTTACTCAGGCCAATTTATTTCGGTAGTAAGGCGTTGTCACAACAAGAACAAAGGATATCAACATATGAAAAAGAATTCTTTGCTATTGTGTATTTTATTCATTTCTTCAAAATATATCTTATGGGGCACAAGTTTACGGTTTACACTGATCAAAAGAGCTTACAATACCTGATAAGATTTAACGAAGAAGCGTCTGCAAAGGTTGTTAGGTGGCAAGGTTCCTTACTGGCGTACGATTTTGATATTGTCTATCGAGCCGGTAAACTCAATTCGAATGCTGATGCTTTATCTAGGTTAGGAGGTAACAGTGATGAGGATGTAACTCTTGAATCGATCATTCCGGACTATCACTTACCCTTGAATGTAATTCGGGATCGAGAGGATGATATGGTGTCTACTGGTAAAAGGGCTAACACACATGAGTTCGCGTTAAATGGACAAGGAGGGATGTCATTGGAGTTGTACTCTGCACTAACCCAATATATACTAACATGGGCTTACCCCGACCAAGCTTCCATCAAACAACGAAAGGGGATTAGGCATCAAGCTCGGCAGTATGAGGTTATTGGTGGATTGCTGTATCGAAGGCCCAACAAAGACTTCTTAAGGAGGAAGGTGATCAAGGTTACTGAAGTAATGCAGGTGTTGAAAGAGAATCATGATCATGTTATGGCTGGTCACCAGGGGGTTGCTCGAACTTTCGATCGTATCAAGCATCGGTATTACTGGCCTGGATATTATGATTCGGTAAGAGATTATGTTCTTTCGTGTTTAGTATGTCAAAAATTCGGACCGCGTAATCCAGTAGTTCCATTACATCCAGCTGGCCAACAAAAAGAAGGATTATTTAGTGTAATATCAATGGATTATATCTATTTACCTCTCACTAGTATGGGTCACGTGGGAGCTTTGGTGATTGTGGATCAACTATCAGGATGGATGGAGGCATATCCATGTACTTCTCAGAGTGCTGGTTTTACTTGTTATTGTCTCTTTCAATGGTTCTCCAGGTATGGCGTGTGTGCTAAGGTGGTATGTGATAATGGATCACATTTCAATGCTGATGAAGTTAAATCATTGATGATTCGGTCTTATGGTATTGAGATAAGATTTGGAGTGCCGTTCTATCCCCAAGGCCAAGGTAAAGTGGAGCGCACGAATGGGATCTTAAAGGAAATTATCAAGAAATATCTGTTGATCTATAATCAGGAATGGGATACGTGGTTGCCAGCGATATTGTATGTACTGAGAACGTCATTAAGAAGGGACTATGACTACTCCCCTTTCTATCTGGTGTATGGAAGGCAACCCCGGTCATATACGGACGATGGAAGGGCCGAATTCGAGGCAAGCTGGAACGATGAGGAGTTGGTGTCTTACCGTATTAACGAAGTGGTACGATTGAATCAAGAGGTTATCCCACAGGCATTACGACGAGTAGAGGTGTATCGGAAGAAGATGCAAGAGCAGTTCAACAAAAGGGCCAAAGCCAAGAAGTTTGCTGTTGGAGATCAAGTCATGGTCGAAAGTCGTGATGTGAAGAACAAAGAAACCTTTTTGTTAAGTCGTTGGGTTGGGCCCTACCATGTCGAGGAGAAAGTGGGGAATAACGTGTATAAGGTGCGAGATGAGCAATTGGTGTTTCCGGGACTGTATCATGCTAATCAAATGAAGTTGTATAAGGCTAGGCCAAGGTTGTCGGTACCGCTATTGTTTTACTCTGGTGTTTCTGCTGTTACAGAGTAAAAAGGGGGTAATGTGGTGAGCGGTCATAGAAAGATATTTAGTAAACAAAATGATACAAGCGGTCACAAGCTGTAGTGGGGTGTGAGAAGGGTATGATCCTATCTTTCTCTAATGGTCGAGGAACTACTGTAGTACTTGGTACTACAGATCCTTATTCATAAATTCACATTTTTATTATTAAATAAAGTTTTCTTTGGTTCGTTTTCTATATATAAATTCGAGACTATATCTTTTTACATATCATTGCAATTTGGTGTAGTTAAAAACAACGTTTAATTAGAAACAGTTAGCTAGTCACAAGGTAGATATAAACCCCTCGCAACAATGCTCACTGAGATTTTAACATCATGAAACAAGTACAGCGACTCCGCCCCCAAAGTTCGTTTTCCAATTTTATAAATTCGCTTTTTTCGCAGCCCAAAGTTCGCTTTTTGATTGGTCAAGGTTCGTTTTTGTAAATCATCGTCGCCTAAAGTGTTACGTCATAAATTTAAAAAGTCACAAGTTTCCACCAAAAAAAAAACCCAGGGTGTTTCGGTTTCGTTCAGGTTTCGCTCAGGTTTCGGTTTCGCTCAGGTTTCGCTCAGGTTTCGATTTAAAATGAGTTTATTCGTTCTTCCCAAGTTGTTGCGTCCTGGAAGTGATTTAATGTCAAAAGCCATCATCCACGATCCTAAAATCACCAACATTATTACAACTACTCTGTCAAATACACAAAATGATTACCTAGTAGGGAATCCTGAGTGGAATAACGGCACTCGCTCAGATGTTGTCCTAGAAGCAAAGTCATCAGTATTGAACCTTCCCCCAATAATCATAGAAATTCAACATACCGTTAACAGATTGTTTATGAAGAGAGTCATAAATTACAGTCTTGAAGCTTTTAATAGACATAAATTGGACCCTATTGTTCTAATCATATGTACTGATACCTTATCTGATTCTGTTGCCAAAGAAGTAAAGACCAGCGATATTCCTGCTTGCTATGACTTCCCTTCTACAGGTTGGGCTTGTAATTGCCTGATTGTATGTAAAAGACGCGTCCTAGAGTATACTGATACCATGCCTTTGAATCCATTCATTGCTCTTACTTTATTTCTGACCAGCCGGGAACTTACAAAAAATTGTTCACTTTACCAAGATGATCCAACTATGCAATATTTGTACACTTTGGTGTCACATTTTCATCAAAATCGTCTTGGAGATCAGCATATTACCGATATTTTGGCACAAGTACTGGATACCCAAGATCACGAACATACCAAAATATTGGAACTTATTGACCAAAATTCATCATCCAAAACAGTTGCCAAAGCCATCAAGAATTTACAATCACAAAACTACGCAATGAAAAGGAAATACACTGATGTGAATCTCGAGCCCTCCTCTATCCCTACTAATATCTCAACAGCAATAGCAACAGCAACAACAACAGCAGCAGCAGACCCTACAATTAGTGAAAATATTGACTTTACGCTAGAATCGGTCACTCCATATGAACGAGGTATGATATTTGTTGAAAATTATAAGCATACTAGGATGCAAAAAGGGTTTAAAAGAATGGATTGGTCAGCATGTTATTCTAAAGGAATTGAATTAAAATTATTTAAATACAAAAGTGCGAATGTTCTTCGTAATCAATTCAATAAGTACATAAACCAACAAAAAAAAAAATGTCAGTAAATACAGGATGCTTATATAGTATATGGAATAAATAAAGTATTTGTTAAATATCAGATCATAGGGGCACAGTGTCATATCAGATACGATGTGCACATGCATTCGCTTTGTGTGTAATTCCAATTAGGTACTTGCTTGACACCTTACAGCTCTATGTAGTAATGCATAGCATTTGTAACTGTATATAGTGATGTCCGTAAACACAAATACAACTTAAAATAAAGGAGGCTAGAAAAGTACCAGACACTTAAGTGTCTTTTTTATTAACAATTATAATTGTGGCTTTGTATAAGGGTAGATAGAGTAGTTATTAGGATAAACCGATATCAACTGAGTTATATATCTGATAAGGTGATGGTCCAATGGAAGTATGTAACTGTTATTCAAGTATAATTCAGTTACAGTGAGATAAGATCGATCAAATAAAGTTCTGTTAAAATAATAATGTAGTGACGAATCGGCTAAACGATGGTTAAATAATAAATGATTGGTTTGTATGTTATAGTATAACATGTTCAATCGAGAGTATCCTATAATTAAACGAATGTATGATGTATTACTAATAAAGACACTGCATCTTTGTCTTATCCACAGTTTTAATCTTATTTATCTCTTGTTTTTTTTTATACATATTTTTTTCAGTGCAAAAGTACCCAATTTTTGCCACAATATCTTCTAAGCAACAAGTTTTATTTTCTCAACTGAATAATACGGAACATTCATGATTGAAGATCACCAAATGATATAATTACCAGAGCAGTTTATGTAGTGTTATATTCTTGTTCAAATCAAATAATAATAATAAAGACTATAATTTATCAGATTCAAACAAAAAAGAGATTGTTCTTTATTATACTTAATATGTCCATTGTTTATAAATATGATTGAGTTTAAATATGTATAATCAGGTTATACAACCTATGATCCTTAGTGTACAATATGTCTATCTTTGTGATCCAACAGTTATACTAATAACACAGCCTTGAGAATATGCAGTGTCTTAATTAAAAGATGTATTGCATTACCATTATATAGTAAGCTACTATGATAATACTGGTATGAATACAACATGTAGTAAATAAAGGATTATCTTATATTTGATTGAAAAAAAATGTCAACCGCAGATTTTAATTACTTTCTGCCTATTATTTTGAACATGGTTTGCTGCTGTGCTCTTTTTTTTCTTTCGTGAACTATGATATTCGGTGAGAATTAAATCGCTGATTACAAAAACATTTCACATGTGGTTCGGTATGGACAATGAAAACAAGCATTTAAGAATTATTAAAATAGATATCACTTTATTGAATGCTATGCATAAATTGCATAGTGGTGTTGCCAACATTTAGCAACTTCTCTATTTGATTTTCATCACCAGAAAAATATATTGCAAGTACCACAAGAGGATCAAGGTGCTTGCAAGCTTCGGCATCTTGGAGAAAAGTAGCATCATTGGAGATAATTACAAACTTTTCTGCCCACATAGTACACTTTGTTATCTGCCAATGAGAATTCTGTGAAGTGGAAGATAATAATGGCTGTAGTGACGGAAAAATAGTATTGGTACAAAGAATAAATACAGAGGGTTGAATTTTATATTGCTCAAACACTCTCAAGGATTTCCCAATTGCTTGTTTCAACGACATTCTTGTAACATTTGGCTGAATTCCCAAAAGAATTGCGTGCGATTCAGATAAATAAAGAATCAAATGAAAATCATCAGCTAATAATTCCGCTGATGTAAGTACGAGATTGCGGTCATCTTCATTCAAAACTGATTGGGTAATAAGATTGATAAAATCCAAATTTTGAATAATATTTAAAACTAAAAAATGGTGTAAATAAGCAATTTTTTGAAGTGATAGCCTACTTACCTCTGCAATCCATGATTCACAAAATCAATGAAGCAAAAAAAAAAAAAAAAAAAAAAAATGGGGCTCCCCTTCGGATCGCTGATCCCATTTTTTTAAAGGCTTATTAGACTCGTCCTCCGACCACATATTTTTTGACCTCCGCTACGCTACGGTAAAAATACGTGGTTCCCGGAGGACCCATCAGTGGTATAAATTCATAATTTCATAATTTTATTTTCCTTATTTATGTTAATAACCATAATGGCTCATGATGACTAGTGAAAGATATATATCTTCCAGAATCAATTATTTCTTGGTTTGTAAATATATTGTCTATAAATGTGTGTTGTTTTGTTGTTGATCTTACAGATTCTGGAAGAGAGCTTTTGATGCCGAGTTGGTTCAAGAAAGATGTAACTGTTGTTGATTTAGGCGAATCTTAGTAGAAGTTCAGATTGAAGTCGCCAGCAATGACAATGTAAATATAATCATGCTCAGTAATAAATGACAATGCTTCTAAAAACATGTCTGGACTTTGGTTAGAATCTGGCGAGGCATATATGCTACAGTATAAAGTGAGATTTACTATAACAATTGACACGCTGATGGTGGAGGTGTTGTAATTGTTGGTAAAGAGACGAGAGGAAGAGCTGAAATCACCTACTAGAGAATCCGAGACATAACAGCAACTACCGATGGGTTTACGTGTATTACCTGAACAGTTTAAAGATGACTTAAGTTGAAAACCAGGAATTTGAAAGTTATCAGTTGATAAAGTCCATGTTTCGTTTAACAGTATAATATCAGAGGACAAATATACCGGATCGTTGATGATTTGATTCAAGTGAGCATTTAGACTCTGGACATTGTGTGATATAACTTGAAAATGAGATTTTGTGGTTAAGACAGTGAATGTGGGAGAAAGAGTGATGGAAGGCTGTCGTTGGATTTCTTTGTAAAGATCGCTATTTTTTTCTGATGAAAGTGCTTTGGGTGGGATAAACTTATTGTTTTTGCAAATAAGTGTAAGTCCTGCAGCGGTAGTTGCCCGTGAGCATGCGACATAAATGAGTGACCTCTTCATTCTATGTTTTGCAGTATCATAAACTACAACATCTTTATAAGTTCCACCTTGAGACTTGTGGGTCGTCAAGGCTTCTGCCGGTACCAAAGGAAATTGCTTTCTGTTGACTTGTAGCTTGGTTGTATGGTCAGATGTAATTATGAGAGAAGAAGGTTCAATCATAGTCCATGTATCGTCCAAAATGCCATTTACTTGTCTTAATACCACCTGGCTTTTGCGCAGGATAGCGCCACTTTTGTCATCACTGAATTTCAGCCAAATGCGTAACGGTTTTTTTTCACTTGCCGGATTATTTTTCAAGGTCCCAAAATCAATTTTCACCAAATACCCAGTGCTGCCATTTACCAATCCATCGGAAGTGTCGATATTGACTACAATCATGTATCTTGCTCCGATTTTAAGGATTAATTTTTTTAGCAATCCCAGAGTTTTCAAACGATGAGTGGAATCGTCAGACACCGAGGCAAGAATACGGTCCACATCAAATTTTTTTGGTTTATTACCAATGATACGATCAAAACCAACAGATACACCACCCTCTGTGTCCATTTTATCCAAAATAGCGTTGTTCATGAGACTTACTTCAGCATTGGTATGAAACAGGCATATCGGTCTTTCAACATTGCTTTGATCAAAATTCCGTACGACATTGAGGTGGGGGAAAATTGGTTGACCATTGTTCAGTGAGATTTTTTCTTCTTCTGTCATACGGAGAACTCGGCTTTGGAACAACTGTATGTCATTTGGAGTCATCTCACCAATAGCCATGTTGTTCAATGCAATTGCAAAGCGCAAGTCGTCCCTTTGCCTCATAATCTGGGTCAGCTTGTGAATTTTGAAATCCTTCCATAAGTTACTACCAAATGCTGCCAGATAAGGGTCTTTAGGTAAATTTGTCGAAAAGAGAGGCGAGGACATAACCGGCGGGAGCTGGAAAAAGTCACCAAGAACAATAACAGATTTTCCACCAAATGGGAGGGATCCATCAAAAATGTCTCGAAGTCTTTTATCAATCCAAGAAAACATGATATTTCCGACCATGCTAATTTCATCAATAATTAATACCTTTAAATCTTTTAATGCAACTGCCATAGAGTGGCTGACGTCTGCAGAAAGATTATTGACACCACCACTACCATACTGGTTTACTGGAAGCTGAAATGCGCCATGTAGGGTTTGACCATTGATATTGAAAGCAGCTTTACCGGTGGGTGCTGTAAGCAAAACAATTGGTGTGTTTATTTCTGTATCCCTTTCACCGTCGAATTCCACATTTATACTTTCGTACAATGCTTTAATTAGCATGCTTTTTCCTACACCGGCACCACCAGTAACAAAATGACGAAACGGTTCAAAGGTACGTACAGACTCGTTGTCACTACTAAACATGCGGATTGTCACTCTATCACGATTGTATCTTATATGATTTATGATGTGGGTGAGATATTCGCGTTGTTTTGTGTTCAACTTGGATACCAGCTCGTAAAATTCAGCCTTAGATAACCGGTCAGGTAACTTCAATTTTTCCAAGTACGTTTTTTGGCTGTTGTCTCTCGAGTTATTGTTTAAAAGATCATCAGCAAGATCGTTGCTTCGATGATAGTTACCCTCACTTGAGTCATCAATGTCCAAAGTATATCGACCAAAATCATTAATGATGTCGCCTGGTACTTCAGTATTTTCTTCATCTTCAGAACCACCATTAATATTATCGGCCGTCTCTTGATTCAATTGTTCCATGTACATGTCCAACGTAGCATCGTCAATAGCACAAAATTCTTTTTTCCGTTCCATAATCAAATTTATGTTAGCATTGAATACATCTTCATGTATTATGTCTAACAATTCTTTTTCTTCGTCTCTCCAAGGTTTATACAACATGATCAAGGTTCTAAAAAATTCGGAAGGCTCTTTTTCAAGGTTGAATTTGTAGTAACGGATAACTTTTGACTTGGCTCTACGAGTTAAAATCCAGAATCATTTTTAAGGGCAAAGACTTTTCCTGCAGGACCGCCAAGTAATGTATCGAGCGAAGGGCCGTCATCACCAGATCCATCAGGTAAGTTGATATCAGAAAAGTTACTATCATTATTATCATCACCATCATTTTCTTCTTGACTGGTGTTGCGTTTCTTCTTTGGTGATTTTCGACTAATTTCATAATAGGCAGCAAACTGAGCCAAATTAATGTCTTCTAGGCAATCAGGTCTATTCGTATAATGATCAATTAAACCAGGCACAAAACAGTTAGTTGAATCAGGGTTCAATTTAGCTAGTTCCTCTTGACTTTTAAGAATGTGCGTTCGATTTGTTGGTCTTGAAGTAGGAACAAAAATTGTCACTGTACTCGATTCCACCATTCTAATACCAAGAAGATTATAAGCGGCTTCTTGTGCAGATATTTCACTGGAGTTATAGTACTGTGCAGCCAAAGATCGCAGCATATCAGTGGAATTAGTATCAGGATTATTTTTATGATTAACATATATTTCTTCCATTGCTTTGCTCATGCCTCTATCAGATTTGTTGATATAATCCATAACGTATGCACAGCAAGCGTAAGGATCCAGAATAAATTGAATATCCATATTTGATCGAAACAAACTGATTATTTTTGGGCTGTAATTATTTATCATGATAGCATTTGGCTCCCTTTTAATATAAAGCTTGTTCATTTTGAGATTTACTCTCAATGCAAGAACATAATCGTTATAAGATCGAGCATCAACAAGATCCAGGAATTCTTCGAATGATGTATTGGAATCAGACAGCTCTTTATAATTGGTATCGAGATAATCCATGATTCGTTTGTTCAATTCCTTAAAATCTTTTATATTTTCAGCTGAATATTTCGTTAAATCCAACGGTTCCATAATTGTTGTGCAGCTGATAGGTGGAAAAGGGATATTGAATCTACATACAACTTTGTCGCCGCCTCGTTTTCTTCTACATGTGCTTGTATGCCGATGCGTCTGTCTTGTTCGTAGTAAGTCTTTCCAAGTTTCCGCATTGCTTTTTGAAGCTGCATCATGATGTGGACTACCATCCCATTTTTTACTGCAAGTGATAATTTTGTCAACAAAGCTGCAAATGTTTGCTTTTATGTCGTCTGCTTCAGTTTCGTTCTCACATATTTTGTCCTCTAATACCGGTGCATCTTTCAACCACAATAGCATGTGTACATGAGGAGATCCTATTGTTACATATATAAATTAAGTTCTTAATTTTCACAGAGACAAAGTTCATACCTCTATGTTGGAATTCAACCCTGAAAAAGTACTCTGAAATTTCATGCCCAAAAAAAGGACCATCTTTTTCAGCCCAAGTCTTCTTCAACTCACGAAATCTATGATCAAAGTATCTAGCAGCAGTAACAGGATCACTTTGTAATAATCTTGCTTTCTCGGCAAAAGACAATGTATCTGCTTGTTCCTCAGTCATTACGTCGTCGTCAATAATTTTTTTTAGCACGCAAAGTAGTTCGTTCCATTTACTTTCGGCTGCAGAAACAGTTACAAATACAGTTGGCACACCATATTGTCGAATCATAGCCATTGAATTCTTTTTTTGGTTTTTCCAATATTCGGAGGAAGAACGCACACCAGATAACGTCTTGAATGCTTGGTCTTTGCTCAAAAGCCGGTTTACATTATCCGTGTTACCAACATCCTTAGCTGTAAAAGGCATGTTACCATTATCAGTGTTCTTTCGCTTTCTTAAAATTGTGTTAATGTTAGAACTCATTTTCAATAATTGGGTCTTGCGGTCCATAAACAACAGATAATCTGCTCTTTCTACTGCTCTTCTATCGAATCTTCTGGCCATAGATTTTGTCACGGATGAATAAGAAATGGAATTTAACCCCTCTATCTTGGTACCAAAAAAAATTTTAGGAAAAGACAAAAAATCACTATCCTTATCTTTTAAAATTGATAATGGGACTCTGCCTTCACCAGGTGCAAGTCTAATATTAAAGTCGTTGTCACTTGATAAAATAGAGTCTGTTGCTCCAGGATTCAAAGGCTCATCCTCAATATCATTATTTTCCCCGGTATTTTCATTTGGCTCATCTCCCTCATCATTATCTTCATTTTCTTCGACAACTAAATTCGTTGAATCCCATTCGGTTTGGTCTGCTAATTGAACTTCGTATTCGGTATACAATGGAGTAGTTTGCAAATACCTTGCAGCATTCCATACTTTATGTGGGCTGACATTTCCTCTGATATAATCTTTTTTAAAAATAAGTTTTCTAGCAAGACTCAAGTGAACTACACCGGATGCATCGTAATTACGAGGTAAACAACTGACAGTAGTATCTACGTTTACAGGTACATTTACAATTCCTCCCTTACTCTTGAACTGTCCATGTTCACCTTTGTGAGTCCAAATAGACTGAAAGACATGCCTTGGGGCCACAAGTCTCTCCTCTAATCTGGTTAATTCCAAAACACAAGGTACTTTCGCAGGAAAGTTTAAACCATTACTCAATGCAATTGTTGGTATCTTATTATTTTTGATCGAAGTTTTGCAATTTGCGCAAAAATAATGTTTGCCAGTTCCAGTTTTTGTGATTGTAATGTTGGTATGATTGCTGTACACACCATTATCAAGTGGCCAATACACTGCATCCACAACATAGCCATCTGTTTTCCATTTCTCAAGCATCGTATCTTTGTTTAGCAAGGATACATTTTTGAGAAAAAATAACCCACCACAACAAATACAAACAGTAGTCGGTCCTTCTTTGATAGCTTTTTCATACTTTTTTCTACTTTTTTCCCAAGGTGTTTCCTAATTGATTTTAAGAGAATTAGTCAAAATTTCAGAATGGTGAATGAAATGTATTACTTCGTGGATCTCATCTTCACTATCATTTTGACTGCCATCGCTTTCGTCTTCATTGTTACCAACGTCAAATTCTTCGTTATCTTCTCTTTCTACCCTTTCTTGATCGACAATTACTTCTTCGATAATAGGTTCAGACTGATCCTCCATTTGTGGGTCGGGTTGCTCATCAGACTCTTCTACATCCTCCACTCTGGTGCGATGCTTACGTTTGTACTTACGCTGATATTTTTGCATGTGCTTTTTATTAATTGCATTTTGACGGAACTGCTGCTGATATTCCTTATATGTATCACTAGATGCCTGCTGTTGTCTCTTTTTTTGAGTTCTTTTTTTTTTGTTATTGTAAGAGTCCATTCTAAATTTGGAGGTAGAGCTCGCTTCAACCATAGCATTATCTGTCGCACTCTTAGGTGTATTTTCTTCATCTGATGATTCACTAAAATTTCGGCGGCGTTTGGCTCTATTAATTTGAGCAATTCTTTCGAAAACGTCCTTGGGCTGTGGCAGCGGCAATCTTAAAAAAATTTTGCCCTGCAGATTACTTGTTTGATCTTGGCTGTTTATAACAGCATTGTCAAGATCTTTAACTTGATGTTCATTGACATTAGTAGAGCTTCCAGATGCCTCATAAGTTTTATTGAAAGCGGTGGTCTTTAATCGAAGAAAGATCTTGTTAGATTGGGTTGACTCAACCCCATCATTAGTCATTTCAGTTGTGTCTGTTGTCACCATCCGAGACTTTCCCTTGTCTTTTTTTTTTCCTTTATGTACTTTATTTCGTTTTTCTTTTGACATTTTATTAAAATTACTAAGATTAAAAGCGAAATGAAAAGGTTTTTATTTTTCATATGGCAGACTATGGCTTGCCATATATGGTTATTTTTGGTCATTTTTGTATTTTTTTCTCATTCATTCTCTAAGGCTTACAACTACGTATTTTATACTCCGTCTAATAAGCCAAAAAGTCCAGCAAATTTGAACGAAACCTGAGCGAGCGAAACCTGAACGAAACCGAAACCTGAGCGAAACCTGAACGAAACCGAAACCTGAGCGAAACCTGAACGAAACCGAAACCTGAGCGAAACTGAACGCAACCGAAAAACCTGAGGCGAACCGAAACCTAGCGAAACCTGAGCGAAACCTGAGGCGAAACCTGATCGAACCTTAACGAAACCGAACTGAGCGAAACCGAAACCTGACGAAACCTGAGCGAAACCTGAACGAAACCGAAACCTGAGCGAAACCGAAACCTGAGACGAAACTGAGCGAAACCTGAGCGAAACCTGAACGAAACCGAAACCTGAGCGAACCGAACCTGAGCGAAACCTGAGCGAACCGAAAACTGAGCGAAACCTGAACGAAACCAGAAACCTGACGAAACCGAAACTACGAAACCTGAGCGAAACCCGAAACCTGAGCGAAACTGAACGAAACCGAAACCTGAGCGAAACCTGACGAACCACCTGAGCAAACCGAAACTGAGCGAAACCTGAGCGAAACTGAGCGAAACCTGACGAAACCGGACGAAACCGAAATGAGCGAAACCTGGCGAAACGAAACTGAGCGAAACCGAAACCTGAGCGAAACCTGAGCGAAACCTGAGCGAAACCTGACGAACCGAAACCTGAACGAAACCGAAACCTGAGCGAAACCTGAACGAAACCGAAACCTGAGCGAAACCGAAACCTGAGCGAACCTGAGCGAAACTGAGCGAAACCTGAGCGAAACCTGAACGAACCGAAACCTGAGCGAAACCGAAACCTGAGCGAAACCTGAGCGAAACCTGAGCGAAACCTGAACGAAACCGAAACCTGAGCGAAACTGAGCGAAACCTGAGGACCCTGAAACCGAAACCTGAGCGAAACCTGAACGAAACCGAAACCTGAGCGAAACCGAAACCTGAGCGAAACCTGAGCGAAACCTGAACGAAACCGAAACCTGAGCGAAACCGAACCTGAGCGAAACCTGAGCGAAACCTGAGCGAAACCTGAACGAAACCCGAAACCTGAGCGAAACCGAACCTGAGCGAACCTGAGCGAAACCGAGCGAAACCTGAGCGAAACCTGAACGAAACCTGAACGAACCGAACCTGAGCGAAACCGAAACCTGAGCGAAACCTGAGCGAAACCTGAGCGAAACCTGAGCGAAACCTGAACGAAACCGAAACCTGAGCGAAACCTGAACGAAACCGAAACCTGAGCGAAACCGAAACCTGAGCGAACCTGAGCGAAACCTGAACGAAACCGAAACCTGAGCGAAACGAAACCTGAGCGAAACCTGAGCGAAACATGAACGAAACCGAAACCTGAGCGAAACCGAAACCTGAGCGAACTGAGCGAAACCTGAACGAAACCGAAACCTGAGCGAAACCGAAACCTGAGCGAAACCTGAGCGAAACCTGAGCGAAACCTGAGCGAAACCTGAGCGAAACCGAAACCTGAGCGAAAACCGAAACCTGGCGAAACCTGAGCGAAACCTGAACGAAACCGAAACCTGAGCGAAACCGAAACCGAGCGAAACTGAGCGAAAACTGACGAAACGAAAACCTAGCGAAACCGAACGAAACCGAACCTGAGGAAAACCGAAACCTGAGCGAAACCTGAGCGAAACCTGAACGAAACCGAAACCTGAGCGAAACCGAAACCTGAGCGAAACCTGAGCGAAACCTGAGCGAAACCTGAGCGAAACCTGAGCGAAACCGAACCTGAGCGAAACCGAAACCTGAGCGAAACCTGAGCGAAACCTGAACGAAACCGAAACCTGAGCGAAACCGAAACCTGAGCGAAACCTGAGCGAAACCTGAACGAAACCGAAACCTGAGCGAAACCTGAACGAAACCGAAACCTGAGCGAAACCGAAACCTGAGCGAAACCTGAGCGAAACCTGAACGAAACCGAAACCTGAGCGAAACCGAAACCTGAGCGAAACCTGAGCGAAACCTGAACGAAACCGAAACCTGAGCGAAACCGAAACTGAGCGAAACCTGAGCGAAACCTGAGCGAAACCTGAACGAAACCGAAACCTGAGCGAAACCGAAACCTGAGCGAAACCTGAGCGAAACCTGAGCGAAACTGAGCGAAACCTGAACGAAACCTGAACGAAACCGAAACCTGAGCGAAACCGAAACCTGAGCGAAACCTGAGCGAAACCTGAGCGAAACCTGAGCGAAACCTGAACGAAACCGAAACCTGAGCGAAACCTGAACGAAACCGAACCTGAGCGAAACCGAAACCTGAGCGAAACCTGAGCGAAACCTGAACGAAACCGAAACCTGAGCGAAACCGAAACCTGAGCGAAACCTGAGCGAAACCTGAACGAAACCGAAACCTGAGCGAAACCGAAACCTGAGCGAAACCTGAGCGAAACCTGAACGAAACCGAAACCTGAGCGAAACCGAAACCTGAGCGAAACCTGAGCGAAACCTGAGCGAAACCTGAGCGAAACCTGAGCGAAACCGAAACCTGAGCGAAACCGAAACCTGAGCGAAACCTGAGCGAAACCTGAACGAAACCGAAACCTGAGCGAAACCGAAACCTGAGCGAAACCTGAGCGAAACCTGAACGAAACCGAACCTGAGCGAAACCGAAACCTGAGCGAAACCTGAGCGAAACCTGAGCGAAACCTGAGCGAAACCTGAGCGAAACCTGAACGAAACCGAAACCTGAGCGAAACCGAAACCTGAGCGAAACCTGAGCGAAACCTGAGCGAAACCTGAGCGAAACCTGAGCGAAACCTGAACGAAACCGAAACCTGAGCGAAACCTGAGCGAAACCTGAACGAAACCGAAACCTGAGCGAAACCTGAACGAAACCGAAACCTGAGCGAAACCGAAACCTGAGCGAAACCTGAGCGAAACCTGAACGAAACCGAAACCTGAGCGAAACCTGAACGAAACCGAAACCTGAGCGAAACCGAAACCTGAGCGAAACCTGAGCGAAACCTGAACGAAACCGAAACACCCTGGGTTTTTTTTTTGGTGGAAACTTGTGACTTTTTAAATTTATGACGTAACACTTTAGGCGCGATTTACTTATATACCCGAATTTTTGAGCGGTTTTTAAAAGTATAGGACTGCTTTACTTTTGATTTTTAGACAGAGCGTTTATTATTAACTTTTTTTTTTGTTATCTTTGTATAGTAAAATTAGAATTGGAAGGAATGTTTGCAGAATTTATACGAGAGAGAAACCAGTGATTGAAGCCGTTAATTCTTCGAGCTCAGTTTCGGTCAAAGTATATTGCTGGCGTTTAATTTTATGAATGTTAGAAAGTAGAGTGTCAAAATCTATTGAAGAATTGCTTGGAGCGGTGAGAGGAGCTTGTTCAGTTGGAGTAAGAAGAGCTGAGCTATCAGGCGAGCTTTGGGGAATGGTTGAGAAAGTGAGATTGAAAGAAACTATTTAATTTAAGGTTGGTAAAGAAATGAAGCCGTAAAGAATTCAATAATATTTATCTTTACCTTCAAATACAGACAACCAAGACATATCACACTTCAACAAATACATGTGTTTGCATGCGATATTGTTAAGGCGGAAGTCAGGGCAGCTGCAAGTGATCATTTGTAGATCGTCCACCACAACATCATAATTTACACAAGAAGTTGAGAAAGAATAAATAACATAACCACTTCTACCAGCAGAATCAGTTCTCGCAGTTTCGATGCCACACAGTGTTCTTTACTACATTTCAAGAGTATTTACTTTGGCTTAAGATATCGGGTTCCTTTTTTTTTCAATATAGAATATCTCTTTATATATCCATAAAAATAAGACACTTCAAAAATAAAAAAACAAGAGGGGAACAGGCTACAGATTTTTGATGGGGAAAGCAACCATGGAGCTTCTAAACCGATTTTTGAAGCTGATGACTACATTTATTCTCGCGTTAGAACAAACGCCATCTAATTTTTAGGTCTTTTGGTTGAGCCTTAGTCCCTAAATAATGAGGACTTATTGTGGATTATGACCGTGTAACCTAATTCGACTACGGTAAATATGGCTAAATACCACAAACATGTTGAAATGTTGTCTTTTTTTTATTAATATAATCCATATGTAGTTCATTGATATGTACATATTATAGATGGATAAAAGTATTTATACGTATTGTAAACAGGATTTTCTTATTGGAGCACATGTCAGATTTATACATACTAATGATCTTCTTCTACCGTCACCAGATGCTATACCTTATGTCGATACAACGGTTGCATTATTATTGGATAATAAATGCTATATAGTACGTATTTATTCAGAAATATATTTGATTCGAGTATATAAGTATATGTGTATGTACAAGGAATAGTGCCTACGTAATTATAATTTATTGGTCATCTTGTCTTGTTCTTGTCAACTGTGGCTGCCTGGAATTTAAATCAAAATCTGATCTTATGTATCTCGTCAATACCGTTCTGATATTGCAGGAAGCATTTATGTCTCTGTTCCATATCTGTAGGAAACGTATTAATCGAATGTCGTTGCGGATAAAAATTTGAACAAAAAGACTTACACAGGGCGACCCTTCTCGTTGGCAATTTTGACACAATTTCAGAGGGTAAACATTTTGGAAGGCTCCTATAATAAATATAAACAAATTTTCAGTATCAGTCACCATGCAATAAGCGCAAGATTTCCTACTTTCTTCTCGTTCATAACAATCCGTGGTGTTCCATAAAATGTTGTCTTCATCGTCAACACATTTGAGATGCTTTCTTCTTTCATCACGGTACTTGTAATTGATTTTTCTAAATAACGTGAGAGCATCACGCATGTTTAGTTATTATATATTATTGCCTTGCATGATGTTACAGGTACCTATGTTTGCATTCAAGTCTTGGTTGTTGCATGTACGAAATTTCAGAATAATTTATATTTCTTGTTTGTTGAAGACAGTGACAGCATTTCTGGGATGTATTGTACTCATCAACTGGTATAACAAGAGCTCTTTGCGCGATTGCTCTTTGAATTTTCTATGAAAGTATAAATATTTAATGAGTATACAGACCCCTCCTCTCCCCCAATTATATCAAAATAGACATCATTATACACACCTTTACTGGTATAGGGGTATGATTCTTAAAGGTCCCACTTAGGGAAGCGTCACCATACGCTACAACGGTTCGGTGCTGATCGTATGGGTTATTTCGGTCCCGCAAATGTTGTTCATTTGTTCCTTTAAATATTCTTCTCTTCTTCTTTCTAGAGCGAGAACTAGAATCCATGGAAAGCTTGTATGGTTCATTCACGTTTGTGTACCCCAAAACCACTGAAGCAGCATGATCGTTAGCCATTTGACGGTTTGAAAACATATACCCCTTTATTTCTCGATGCCTGTACGACTTCATGAATTCATGAATTCTATTTTTGCAGTCACACAATCAGTGATCAAGGTATCGATTTATGACTGTATTTGTTTTACCTTTGGTTTTCAAGAGACCGAGAATTAAAATACGTTTCAAATCCTCCAACGGTGCACACATCTCTTGTTTGAAGCCTTGTATAACTATCTTGAATGTTTGTGGTTGCGCGGCTTCGAAGTTCGTATCTTCTTTGCCATTCCATGCCGGAGCGGTCCCTGTCGTCATTAAAATAAAACATCACTGGATGAATCATATGCTTTATTTCATGCTCTATACTTACTTGTAAGATGGGTTGGTTATTTTGAATGAATGTTGTTTAATGAGCTGCTTATTTTGTAAAAGCTCTTCTTCGCAATCAACCGCACATATGATATCACGAACACCTATAAAAATAATCACGTATATGAATTCGTTAAAATATTACCATATCGGGATAGACATTTTACATTGCAGATATACCTGGATCAATTCCAATGATGCGATCTTCCATTGTGATACCTGTGGGATTTTTGGATAACGGGTACAGGCCTTTGTCTTTTCCTGCGAGGTTCATGTTTCTTTTTTGGAAATTGACACTTTGTTTGTCCGTTGGAACCCAGTCTGTTTTGATTTTTTCGAAAAGCACGGAAACCATATGTCCATCCGTATTTATACTGAAAGCAAACCTCGTTTGGGCAGGATTGTCCACCTCAAGTGTAGTAGAATCACTATGCCCCAAGACTCTTTGTCTTTGAACTTTACTTAAATCGAACATATTTTCCCACAGTCCTTCACGGAAATGAAAATCACGATAATATTCAATAAATTGATGCTTGAAAATAAGATGATCGTTGAAAATCAACGCAGGAGGTATAAAATAATTTGTTCCATCTTCGTCTTCATTTTGTTGATTTTTATCAAATGCGACTTCAAATAGTCCGTACATAACCTGGGGGCCGGTGTAGCGTGTATGCACGATAGAATCGGACGCGGCAGGAAGAAGACTCCACGTTTTGGGCATCCAGTTCTCATCACTGAGACACTTCTGCAAGAGACGGAAGCTAAATCTTAAATATGAATAAGGCGTCTGTATGACTTTTTTGTAATCATTAATATCGTCGTAATTTTGCCCTGCGAATTCATCCTCGTAAATTATCAAAATTGCATTGTACAGTTCTTCAAATCCAGGTATGATAGTAGTAATGTTCACATTTTCAAAAGACCGATGCTGGACAACTCCCGTAGCGGCTATTTTAGCTATAACGTATAGGTTCATTAAAAACTAACAAGAATACACAAAACTTTTTATATAAATATTAGAAACTACTTACCTATCGTCTTCACTGCAACTCTTTGGTTAACGCGAGCTTGATGATGATTTAGAAAGGCCGCAAAAACACGAATTATCCATAATTTAAAATTCAGCAAATGCATCCCAACATCTACATTTTCGAAAGTAATGAGTCTTAGCTTTCCAAAGTTTAGGTACACATACTTACTTAGGACAGTAGTTGCTGTAAATGTTCTTGAAAGGCCATATTGAACATTATCTAGTTCTGGAAGCTCGTCCAGATTCTCATTTGCATCATCTTGTCTCTGTTGGATTTGGTTAAATCTTTCGACGTTATCTAGAATGCACTGTTCGTAGTTCTATGAAAAAAAATTTGAATTTTCTTGAACTATGTAGTCTTATCAATTTTTACAAAGAGTTGTACTTACCACCCTTGCGCTTAAGTTTTGAGGATCTCGACAAACTCTTATGAACAAATGAGACCAAAAAGTTTCCGATGTAATCTGAGGAGCATTTGTGCTGAAAGTTAGTAATTGAAGACTTCTGTTGAGAAGCTCGCGTACGTTTTTGAATTGACGATCAAATGATCTAGTAATATCCGCACAGGTTTGAATCATACGCGACATCATATCCATTATTAGCCAAGCCTGGACATTATCTTCTTGAATAACTGCAGCATTTTCTGCGATGTAGGCTTCGTGTATTTGATTCGTCGCTCCTATTGTGCGCTCAAGCAATGTACGTGACTGTAAAAGCTCTTGGTTGTTGGGTTCAAATGTTAACGCTTCATTTGATCTTCGTTCCAAAGAGTGTAACGATTGACTTGTATTTCTGTGTTCGACTATTGTATCGATGGTAAGTCTTGCAACATGTTCAAATTGTGGAAGCAAAAGATTTAATCTTTGCGTCAGATTTGGGAGATACATTTCGTAGACACCCTCAAATGTGCCTACAGTTGTACTGGTGCGTACAACAGCGTCATCAATACGATTTAATTCTTGCTTTAATATGAGTATAATCTGTAAAAGATTTGTATTCGCTGTGTCAATGGTGGTATCAATTTCCAGTACTTCATTAATAATGGCATTTATGTTGTCCAGCTGAAGAGTTTGATTTTGAAGTGACGCAGCCTCTCTCATAAAGATTTGTCTTGCAATTTCATCCATTTGTTGAGTATTTTCAGTAGGAAAAACGGCAAGAAGATCGCGAAGTCCATTAGAAAGATTACCCAGATGTAAGTTGTACACAATCATAGCAGTTGATATTTCTCTCAATCTTACAGAGCTGTTCATGGTAGATTCTTGCATACGTAATTGCTCATTTGTGAGATAATTCAAGCACAAAAATAACGCAAAATCAAAGGAGTCCTTACGGATTCGAGAATGCTTTTCAGCAATTTCACGAAAGAGTTGCTACACATATATGATTAATTAAATAAGAACCACACAATTTCTATTAATCCCAAGCTCAATATATACCTTGTAACTTCTAAAGTTATTCCTCAATAATGTAGAAATTTTACATTTTCTATTAAAATAACCATGTTGAGGATTCCCGTTTGTAGGGACAGTCTCACCACCAGGTGGAGGAGGCGGAGGAGGATCCAAAGTGTCAGTAGACATGGTATCAGTACGTTTTTGCTTTTTAAATCGGGAGCCTTCAAGAATAATTCAATCGAGAATATGATTTAGATTAAAGTCAATAAAAGTAGATTGTGTATTTTATGAAGTTGCATACCTGACATTTGATCAGAATAGACTATATAAGGAAAAAGTTTCGTAAAGAAGATAAAGAAACTGACAACAGTATTATTATTTTTCAAGTTATAAAGGGGTTTTTTCGACTTTTGTTGAAAAGAGTTTAAAGGGGAAGGAGTGATGGTAGAATTGTCATAACAAGTTGCATACCTGACATTTGATCAGAATAGACTATATAAGGAAAAAGTTTCGTAAAGAAGATAAAGAAACTGACAACAGTATTATTATTTTTCAAGTTATAAAGGGGTTTTTTCGACTTTTGTTGAAAAGAGTTTAAAGGGGAAGGAGTGATGGTAGAATTGTCATAACAAGTTGCATACCTGACATTTGACCAGAATAGAAAAAGTTTCGTAAAGAAGATAAAGAAACTGACAACAGTATTATTATTTTTCAAGTTATAAAGGGGTTTTTTCGACTTTTGTTGAAAAGAGTTTAAAGGGGAAGGAGTGATGGTAGAATTGTCATAACAAGTTGCATACCTGACATTTGATCAGAATAGACTATATAAGGAAAAAGTTTCGTAAAGAAGATAAAGAAAATGACAACAGTATTATTATTTTTCAAGTTATAAAAGGGCTTTTTCGACTTTTTCTTTCTTTATTCCTTTGTTCACCAAAAGAAAGGAAAAAAAAAGACGGAAGTATCGTAAAAATAAGCAAGTATAAATGATACTTAATCTATTTTATTTAATTTTGTAGACAAAGGATCTATTCAAATATCAAAAATGTGGTTGTTTACTTTTAAGCTGATCGTGCTGACCTTTGGTTATCTTTTCCTTTTGTACTGCCCAATTTTTTCCTCATGAAAGGTTTTTTTTAATGGAGGCAAAAGGTTTTTACTGATGCCGGGGTTGGTACCAATACAAGATTTATCTATCGGAGGAAGAAGGCAGTCTAGAATTTGGTTTCCGTTACAAACAGTGTCTTACACTGCCACAGGTATGATAATTTTTATATATTTTCTATGCAAAAAGTCAGTCTTACAATTTATTTTATCATTTTAAAGCATTACTTCATGATGTATAGCCTATTGGAGCTGTTCCCCCAGTGTCCAGTGGGTGTTATCTGATTAATTGGTAAGTGATATAACTTTTTTCTCTATCACATCTGTTTATGTTCATACTAACGCGAAATTTGTATTACAGCTAGCTCAAGACGATGCAAATTACAAGGAAACTTAGAAATGTTTCTATAGCCGCGGTTTCAACACTGTTCGGTCTTTTGTATCTCTACCAAGTAAGGTCATTCCGCATGTAAAAGCCAAAGGAAAACTCTGACGTCATTCTTTTTTTATTCGGGTATATAAGGAGATGCTTTTAGGCGACGCCAGCGAGTTTGGATGATTGATTTGTGGTGACTTCTTTTTTGGCATTTTGTCTTGTTTGTTGTCTTCTCTCATGTACTTTCTTGTACCACTTGCCATGCCAGAAATATATATAAATCGTTACTTATCCCCTTTTATTTTGCCCATCATTATTCTCTTTTTTCTTATTATTTTACTTTTCAACTTAACTCAAGACAAGAAGCTATTATTATTTTATCCCATTTTTACCAACATACATTTTGGTTAGTTCAATTATTAGATATTCTATTATCTTTACTTCATTGCTAGTTCATTATCTAACATTTCCTCAGTTGGTATTAATAAAATATAGTTTAAAACACAGTCCACACATTATGATTTACAAAAACGAACCTTGACCAATCAAAAAGCGAACTTTGGGCTGCGAAAAAAGCGAATTTATAAAATTGGAAAACGAACTTTGGGGGCGGAGTCGCTGTACTTGTTTCATGATGTTAAAATCTCAGTGAGCATTCAGAGTGCGTCTGTTGAAAGCTGCACTCCTACTGACTATTTTAAAGATTTCTTTCCTCATTCAAACACTTCTGGAAAAATGACATTGAATGCTTAATCCATCCTTCACAATCTTTTTTTGTTACTTTTCCAGCCGATTCACATATACGATCTGTGAGACGATCATCTGTCGTCAATGGTGTTCTTCTAACACCAGCTTTTACTTTTGACCAAAATTCCTCGATTGGATTCAAGAAAGGAGAATATGGTGGCAAATATATGCACTTATGTCCTCGTTCTTCGATCAATGCTTTGATTACTTTTGGCTTATGAATAGGTGCATTATCCATAACAATATACTGCCCCTTTATATTATTTTTATCTAGTGTATCCATTACGTTGTTTAGATAAGCCAAAAAGTGCTCACTTCTTGTCCCAACTTTGCCATTGATTTTTACTTCCTTACCATCTGCCCTTCTTTTTTTAGAAGAAGCTGATTCTGGTTTTTTAACTCCAATATTTATGATACCTGCTTGAGAAATTGCACCTAAAATTGTAAATGTCACACCTTTTCCAGTTGGTACAGTGCCCTTTGCAGGTGTGCCTTTTAATGAACGGCCGTGGTTTCTTTGCGTATGCAAATTGAAACCTGCTTCATCGATAAAAACACAATTCTTAGAAAAATCCATATCTGCATCACTCTTATATTGTTCAACAATCGCTTTTCGTAATGCTATTACTCTGTCAGAATTTCTTGCTGCTGGTATTTTTTCAAGTTTCTTTAACGTAATGTTATGCTTATGTACTAAATGTTTGTGGATGGCAGAAATAGAGATTTTCAAACCCTCAAATTTCTCACAAAGTTTTAACTTTAACTCATCTAATATAGCAGTGGTATTCTTTTCGATATAGTCAACTAGAAATTTAGAATGCTCCTCAGTCAACTTATTACGAGGTCTTCCACGAGGTTTAGAATAAGATCCTGGAAGTCGTCTCTCAGGATCATTGTTATAAGTTTTAACGTAATTCTGGGCAGTGCGTACATTAATCCCAGTGGCTAAAGCTGCAGCTTTTGTCGTGAATCCTTCTTCGATTATTAAGTCGAAGAGTTTTTCAACTTGTTTAGGAGTATATTTTCTGTAAGAACCTCTTGTTTTAACATTCAAAGCTGTATGTCTTTTTCTCAATGGCATTGACTCTGCGAAGAGAAAAGCATCTTCAAAAAAATCTTCATTCTCTTCCTCTATTGAATCTACTTCCATATATTCACGTACATATGATAGAGAATCATTCCCAATTCGTCTTATTTTCTCCATCCATTCTTCGCTCAAACTGAAATGCTCAATTTCCATTTCTTCCTGCTCGTCATCTTCCATATGATCGTCAGATGAAGTGTCCATATCGTTATCTGAAATAATTTCACTATTAGTGATAAATTCACTAACGCTTTGCATGTTTTTTCTAATATTTAAACTAAATAAAAGAAAAAAGGAGTCGAAACCTTTGCGATATTTTAGGTTATTTTATATTTTTTTTTCTAATCTCTTGGCGCAAAATTTATTACTAAGCAACGCAAAACTATTTTTACCTTGACGTAAATATTCTTTTAATGTCAGCGCAAATTAATTTTTATCTCAACGCAAACTCATATTCAAAAAACAGTATATATTTTCCCACCCATAAATGCGCTGTCCCAATATAAATATATATATATACATTGTGTGTATTATTTTTTTTTTTTTTTTTTTATATAATTTGTTTTTAAATCTTTCTATTATGATACAGGGCGAGTGGGGGTGATTTGTGTTGATGTAGTTGTGTAGGTTGGAGGAGCGTACGTATATGGATTGCTTGGAGAGAAGGAAAAGAGTCTTTCCATGTTCCTTAATGAATGACTTGAATGCCAACACTCTTTGCAACACCAATGATACTACTAGAGATACTTTCCAATGAGAGATGCTTCAAGTTTTCATCGCCTTGCTTAATCTTTGCAATTTCATACACGTGTTTTAAACTAATGTTGCCGACGACTTCTGTACCGGGAGTTTGAGCGCCCTTTTGAATACCAGCAGCCTTCTTGAGAAAGTAAGTGGTAGGTGGTGACTTGACGACAAATGTGAAGGTACGATCGGGTTTGATGGTAATGACGGTGGGTAAAGGTGTATCGACCATAATATGCTTTGTCTTGTCATTAAACTGTTTACAAAAATCCATCGACTTTACACCACGAGCACCTAAAGCAGGTCCAACGGGGGGACTAGGTGAAGCTTTACCAGCTCCAACTAAAAGCTTCACAATAACTTCAGCTGCTTGTGTCTTCTTGGACATGTTATAATGTATTAAAAAAGAAAGATAAGAGCTGGGCTCACACTTTTTTTTTTCTTTTTTTCTTACCCCTTGCACATCTGTGGCTTGTTTTGGGGGTAGGGTTTAAGGTGACCCTATGTGCACACCTTATATTTGAATCCCCGAACGTCAAGGATGTTACATTTTTCTAATTGAACATATCAGGCTAGTTAAAGCATGTGGTGTATGTGATGTGTCTAAGTGAACACATGCATCATTAGATTGAATAGATATTCTGTAGTTTGTAAGAGAGAGAAAAAAGATTACTTTAGTAGACAGTTAAATATAAAGTTATAGTAGACAGATCACTTATTAACAGACAATGTTGCAACGGGATAAAACCACAAAATGAATGAGGCCACTCATGTATTGTGTAAATAGAAGGACCCACGTGTGCATGAAATAGAAAAGAAACAAAGCAGAGATATACCACACCATCTTTTTTTGAATTATTTTAGACAATTCATTTTATTAATCAAATACGAGATATGATTAATGAGAACTACTCTTTTGTTGGATCCACTCTTTTTTGGATCGGGCTCTCTTTATTTTATTTTTTTTGCGCGTGATAGTTTCATACAGACACACACAAAAGAAGAAGCAGAGGGATCTATGCTGACGTGTGTCATTTTTTATAAGTTGATGACACATTTTTCCTGAATTCAGGTACGTATTTTATAAGTGTACTGATAATCCCTTTTAGTAGTCATCATAAATAATTATCACAAGAAGTTGCACTTGTCACGATCTTTTCCGCACCAAATGACTTTTTTTGACGAGGGGGGCATTAATTAGGATGATTGAATGTGAATTACTTAGCTGTAGGATACTTTATAACTTGTAAATTGCATGCATTATAAAATAAGCTAAAACAACATATTCTATGGCATGGATAATGATGAAAAAATATAAAAAAGCATTTTGATAATTATGCAAATAACCTTTTTTCATCACCCCACATTTTACTGAGATTTAAAAAGAGAGAGGCAGACAGAGCCATTTTAAATTATTGCCTGATTTAAACCCATTGGGATCCCTCACCCCCACACCTTTTTTTTTTGTTTTTTTTGTTTTTTTTGTTTTGTTTATTACATACTACTATAATGACACACTTGGGCTCACCACATGATGCATATGACTTTATTGAACAAATTGGAGATGGTTCTTTTGGAACAGTACATAAAGCAAAGAACAAGATTAGCCACAAGCTTGTAAGGCGACTTTTTATATATAAAATAAACTTGTGTTTAACAATAGTTAAATGTAGGTTGCAGTCAAAGTCATGAAGAAGAAATATAGCTGCATTGAAGAATGCCAAGGGCAATTTGAACCCAAGTTGCTTGTATTACTTCCATCTCATTTAAACATTGTTCAACTCTACGATAGTTTTCTCTCGCCCAATTGCGATTTATCTTTTATTATGGAATATATGGATGGTGGCAACCTCTACCAGTTAATGAGAGAGCGTCGACATCATTCACTTCCCTTTAACCACTGTGAATTAAGAAACATACTGTAAGCGTATATAATATATATTCTCCTTTTTTTTTTTTCTTTATATATACACACCAAATGGACCCCCTTATACCACCTCCCTTTTTAAAAATAACAAATAGGCATCAGATATTATCAGCTGTATCTCATATTCATCATCATCAAGTATTTCATCGAGACATGAAACCTGAGAATTTATTATTGGATTATAAAACGGGACGACCCATTATCAAGTTAGCAGACTTTGGATTAGCTCGAGAGTTAAAAAGTCGACCACCTTACACAGAATATGTGAGCACACGATGGTACGTTTATTATAATGGTGGTGGTCTCTCCCATTATTATTATATAAGGTATGGAGGATTGACTTTTTTTTATGTGTAGGTACCGAGCGCCCGAGGTCTTGCTTCGATCTACGGAATATTCAGCACCTGTGGATTTATGGGCAATTGGAGCCATTTTTGCCGAATTGATTACATTAGAGCCTTTATTTCCGGGTGAATCTGAAATTGATCAGATTTATCGTATTTGTGAAATCCTGGGAAGTCCCGGGAATAAACTTGGAATTGATGTGGGTCAAAAGCAAAAGTTGTCCCGGCAAGGAGAAAAACGGGCCAGTCCCGGTTTTGCTAGAAAGAAAGTCAAGGAGGTTCCCACCGTCACTACTGCCTCTACACTTTCTCTTGAAGACGGTGGTGGTGAATGGAAAGAAGGTGTACGTTTAGCCTATAAGATTGGCTTCAAGTTCCCTCAGGTACACACACACAAATGACACACTTATTTTAATTTTTTTATTTTTTTAACTCGTATGTTACACATAGCTGGAGCCAAAACCGTTAGAGTCGGTGGTACCTAATGCAACCGAGTCCATGTTGGATCTGATTCGACACTTTTTATTCTTTAACCCAAGCCAAAGATGGTCTGCAGATCATGCACTGGGACATGCCTTCTTTTCTGAAGTAGATGAGCCTGTTCACCTTCCTACCTTTATGGAACCCATTACCCCACCTGATAAATATGCTCATTCGGTCAGTACCACACCTAACTGTAAGCCGCCCATTACACCTTTGGACCTACTTACGACACCTCAATCACCTTATCAAGTCTGTCCCGACTGGAACACGGATCGACCCGTATCACGTTATGGACGTCTCTGTTCTGCCATCAAGGACGCACCCGAGACGACCACCGAAACAGGATGGCATGCCCAACAATCAAGGCCGATTTATAGCTCACATCAAAAGATTCATCCTGTCACGGATCGTCCTAATTCAAGTCATTTATGGAACAAGTATAATAATGCGGCTAGACCTAGTACACCTGTGGTGGATCATTCGGTGGTCGTTGGACATGGACATCATCATCATGGTGTACATAATAACGGACCGTCTTCTTCTACAGTAACAGCCACCGTCGCACCCAAACGTTACTCGGATGAATTTATGGGACATACCCATCGACACCTTCATCATCATCATGATCATTTACTTCATAATCCAACAACACCGTTTATGGAGCGTATACCCCATTATGGTAGTCAATTGGTGAAGTGGGCTCCACCCCGGTATACCGCAAAACCACCTGTAGTAGCACCAACAGCAGCAGCAGCAGCAGCAGTGACACCCGCTCCCGCACCAACACCAGCAGCATCCAGTGTGACGACGGTTAGTTTACATTATCATCAGCCTTCCATTGTGGTAGATCCCGAACTATCACGACCCGAAAGTCGACGATGCCGTAGTCCCGCACCTTTTTCATCTCAACTGATGAAGCATAAATATACGACGACGACGCATACAGGTAGTGGACTGAGTACGGCACCCAATGGTGGTACGATTAAGAGTTGGACAGCACCTACCGTAACGACGACAACGCATGTTGAAAAAGAAGTGGGATGGCGTAAATCGGATAAAGCACAATCCACCTATCGTAATTCGACCTCGCATCGATTTAATTTGTGGGTACCTGAAACTGAGGAAGAGGAAGAGGAAGAAGAAGTTGCCGAACCATTTGATAGGTCTGTTTTCTTACCCATGGCACTACAATAAGTCCTTTTTTTTTTTTTTCATTCTCTTTTTTTTTTATATTCTATATTTTATATACCCTTTGTTTTTTTAATACTTTTCTTTTTTTTTTTTTTTTTTTTTTGGCTTTTTTTGGATAATTTTTTTTTTTTTTTAAATATATAGTAGTTGGGTTCAAGTGCTGTAAAAACAAAAGGCGGAAATTTATACATAGTAAACAAATAAGCTATTAAATATATATAACCATGAATACGGGTTCTTTTTTTTTTATCATTATTATTCCTTCTTCTTGTAATGGATACATCAGTGTTACATGGACATTATCTCCAACTGCGAAAGATGCGATCGGAGAGACTGGATAAATTACAGGAGCATCAAAAACGAGTACGACAGCATGAAAATAGTTTATTCAAGGTCAAGACCCATTTAGCCCAAGTCAAGGTAGAAGTGAGTAAAGTCAAAGAAAAACTGACGGTGTTGGAAAAGAGTAATGTATGGGTGACAGCCAAGGAACACCAAACCATTCATCGCGTATGTGAAATGGTGACAAAAGAATATGACGATTGGACAGAGTTGAAAGGGGAAAAGTATCGATTGATACGACAGGAAGCGCAAGATGCTAAATTACATGCTTCTCATATCATTGGAATTGAACGGGCCTTGATCTGCCTTAGAAACCACATGGTGGGTAAACATCAGCAGAGTTTAAAGAAGAAAGGAGGACAGGATGGTTCGAGTTACTTGTTCTTGAGGCCTTGTCAGTCACAATCTTCTTTTAGCTCCATTCTTTCTGCAAACTCTAAAAATTCCACTAGTCTCGCGGGTGCCTTATTAAAAAAATGGTTTAAGCCTCGCATCATGCATACATCACATTTAGAAGCAGCAACAGCAACGGGGAAGGAAACAAACCCCATCGGACATTTAAAATAGACGGGCCTTATAAATAAAAAAAATACCTCCCCCTCTCCTCTCTCTCTCTCTCTCTCTCTCTCTCTCTCTCTTTCTTTTTTTCTTCTTTTTACTAAAATTATGATTGGACGTGTTGCAAATGATACGGATGCGGATTGTACAGAAGTATTGGAAGATAACAGTCGTAGTATCTTGATGGGTATTATTAATCAACTACGAAAAGATATGGATTTACAACGAGTGACGTTACCTACCTTTGTACTTGAGCCTAGATCCATGTTGGAAAGAGTCAGTGATTTCTTCAGTCATCCAGACCTATTGATAGAGTAAAAAGAAAAGATTACAGGTTAAGACTATGGTTCTAAATAGGTATACTACTTCTTTTTTTGTATAAAAATAGGGCGAGTACAAAGACAGATCCCGTCGCTAGATTTTTGGACGTGGTCCGTTATTTCTTATCTGGTTGGCATATCAAGCCCAAGGTAAAAAAAAAATAAAAGAGAATACACGTGAATATAAAAGGGGTAGGGGAAAAAAAAAACTCGAACAACAAATAACACATATAAAATTTAGGGGGTCAAAAAGCCGTACAATCCCGTTTTGGGAGAAATCTTTCGATGTAAATACAAATACAAGAATGGTACAGAAGCAGTGTATGTGGCAGAACAAGTCTCACATCATCCACCTATCTCTGCCTATTACTATGGTAGTCCTGATCATGGTGTGTATATCCAAGGAGACCTAAGACCGAAATCACGGTTCTTGGGGAACAGTGCAGCTACCCTGATGGAAGGTGAAAATCATATCATTTTCACTCATTTGTTTAATGAACGATATGATATTACCATGCCTAATGTCTATGCCAGAGGTATCCTATGTAAGTGTCTCTTTCCCTCTTTGTCTTTTTCTTTTTTTCCTTCTCACACCGTCTCATCCCATTAGTTGGTAAAATGGTTTTGGAATTGGGTGATAGTTGTGTGGTTCGTTGCCGTACAAGCGATTTGATATGTGAACTGGACTTTAAAACAAAGGTAACACTCTCTCTCTTTTTTTTTTTTTTTTTTTTTGGTTTGGTTTTATTTGGTTTAGTGAAAGACGGCTTTCTAAGCAATGCTTGTGTTTGTGTATTTTTTTTTAAGGGATTCTTTTCCGGTCAGAATAATTCCGTCACGGGTAAGGTTAAAAGGGAATCTACGGGTGAGGTACTCTATGAGATATCAGGACAGTGGTCCAACGAGATATACATCAAAATGGCCAAGGTATAAAAACGTCTGTAAGTCACAGAGAGAATCCCTTCCTTTTTTGTTAATCCCATCCATTCTTAGGGATCGCAAAAGAACCTATTTTTTGATGTCAAGAGTTCTGTCATTCATCCCATGATTGTCCAAGACATAGCAGACCAACATGAAATGGAATCCAGAAGGTACTTTTTATGAGTGTGTGTGTGTATATGAATAACATGACTAAAGAAGAAATTCTAAGACTGTGGTCCAAAGTGTCTGCTGCACTTGTACAGGATGATATGGATACAGCGACTCTAGAAAAGACATGTATAGAAGATAAACAACGTGAAGACACGAAAAAACGCGAGGCGTCTGGTCAAGAATTTCAATCAAAGTATTTCAATTTAACACATGGCGATTATGAATTTAAAGCCATATCCCAGTAAGTCAAACCTTAAATGTGTGTGTGTTTATATTTTAACTTTTTTTGTATAGAATTGATTTCAAGAATAAGGAAAGAGCCAAGAAAGAATTGTTAGAGATGGCCTTTCCCTCCAATGAATAATAAAAACCCTTTTTTTTTTATATATTTATATAAAAAAAACATGTGTGTAACCAGGCTGTCGTTAAATAAATAACGTGCTCTTTTTTTTTTCTGTCTGTTATCCAGGTCTTGGTAGAAAAAGGCACGAGGTTTGCTTGGCAAATGACTTGAATGTTTTTAACTTGGAGTCATATATGTGAAGGGGGGTGGGGCGGCATATCACTTTAAAAAAATTCATCCCGTTTTAGTTTTTTATATGATATCCCGCGTATAAATTCAAATGCAATTGAACCAAGGTTAACAGGACATCACTCTAAAATAATTTGGAAACGTTTGCGTGAAAAATGTCTCACCCATGTTCCCATGGCTATGATGTTTGTTGAAGAATATCATGGAAACTACCCATTCATGCTCGGGGTTTTAAAAAATAAAGGGGGTGTGTGGGCGGGGGAGGAAAAAAACGTGTGTGAGCGCCACTTACACCACCATTTATAAATTGTTGTATAAAGAAGTAAAATGATCACTTTTATTTATCAATTACAAAGGTATATTTTATAATTTTTAGAAGCTGACACGCCATCTGTCATTCTCATCGGGTCCATCACCGAAGCAAGTGACTTCGTTATGGTCTTCGTTAAGAAGTTCATCATGACTATGCCTACATAATTTTTAAAGAAGGATGTAAGTTTTAAGAAGTATTGATATAAAGTGAAGGACTCTTACAAGGTTAAACCGGTGGTAGCGTGACGGAGGAAGAAGGAACGGTCAGTGTACCAGGTAGCATCCTCAACGTCAAACTGGTCGTTTTCCTCCTCATCAAAGGTCCATTGTTCAACGATCCATTCGTCGTTTTCGTCATTGGTATAGTCATCACCGTAACAAGTAACTTCTTGTTGACCGGTAATGGGACTTGCGAAACCAGGATGAGAATGAAGGTTCAATCTTGTATTCAAGTGCTTGAGACGAATGACATCACCAAAGTTGACGTCGACACCGGCTTCAATGTCTTCACCGATACGAGGGATGACAATAAAAGTAGTATCGGAAGAAGGTTCCCAACCAGCGGCATAAGCCTTTTGTTGACCACTGCCTTCTTCATAGATGTTACCATCCTCGGCAGCCAAGTAACGACCGGTCATGTTGTGTTTCAAAGAGATATGGTTACTAATGGGGGTTGATGGGTTTTAGTTACTTAATTTTTGGCATATGTATCTAATTTTTTTTTTTTTCTTACCCGAATTGAATAGGTCCGTCAGCACGGGTACCATAGTTGTTTCCTTCATCGTCTAATAAAATAATCCCGTGTGTGTCAGGAACACTTTTATGTTACAGTGTATAAAAAACTAGGATGAAAAAAAAAAACTTACCAGACATGTTTTATAAAGTTATGTATATATAAAGAAGAAGAATAGAAATGATCAAAAAAAAAAGGCATCAATTTATATAATTAGCTCAAATGAGGGTCGGTGTTTCTCATTTTAAAGTTTATGAATTAAGTTATTCCTTGTTTTCTATAAAATATAACCCTTCCCTCTGTGCGCGCAATCCTATCAGCCGATAAGCAATAAACTCCCAACACGAGGGATTTTTGAAAGCCGGGAAAAATTTAAACAGTTTATTTTATTTTTTTATCAAATGAGGTATCTTGGTCCGTGTGAGAGGGAGGGTGTACCCTTTATTTTCTACGTGGCTGAATTGTTGTCCTTTTATTTTAAAAGTAAAAAGAATCCACTAGTTTCTCCTGTGAGGGGCGCGGCGGCATATTTATCCTACACGAATGGCGGTGGCTGGCCTATGTGTAACACAATGACAAAATTGAGGCGCGTGGACAAAGTACATAAGAGAAAAAAGAAGGAGTTTTATTTTTTACTAAATATTATTATTTTTTTGGGTAAAAAAAAAAAAAAAAAAAAAAAAAAAAAGAGGGGTGTGGGGAAAGAGAGAGAGAGAAAATTATTGGTCGATGGAGGGAGCGATTTGAACACTGGGTTCATCATGGTTAAAGACGACATAGTTATTTTTCAAAAAGACGTCACCCAAAATAGCAAGGTCAAGTCCTGAACTGTAAGAGAAGGAAGCGATACAAGAGTCACCGTCTTGTTCAAAGACAAGAGAGTCGGCGGGGACATAAAAGGCGTTACCGTTCAAAGTAAATTGGAGGGGTTCAAAGTTAGAGGTATCACAATCAATGGTGTAAGTACCGTCACCGTTATCAGAGGCACCATAAGTATCAGCAATCTTACCAGCAATGCTTTCGGAAAGGATCAAAAGAGTGGTTCCGGTATCAAGGATACCACTGAAGGAACCACCTACGGTAGAACCACCAATCTTGACACCATCAATATCAACACCCCAGTAACCTTCAGAGCTATCCACAGGGACTGTCTTTAAGGAGCCGGTAAATTTGGAAGAGTCATAACCACCAAAGAGGTACTCGCCACCACCGTTCTTACTAGCCTTGCCGAGGTAAACACCAAAGACGGGAGAGCTGATTAAACCTTGACTGATCAAGTTGTCAACGGGGGTCTTGATACCACTAACGGTCGTAATGGTGTTGAAACCAAGACCGAGAAGACCATCAATGACATCGGAACTGAAAGAGCTGGATTCTCTGCTGGCTAATTCAATTGTCTGTCCCTTGATCTTGAGATCACCTAAAGTGACAGTATCTTTACCCAAGATACCGCTGGCAGTGGATCCATCACCGTAACTGATGGACCAAGAGCGACCATCCTTGGCATAGGTGCTAGACTTGTTGGGGTTGTAACGTGTATGAGAAGTACAGCTGGAACATAAAGTAGAAGCTATTTTTTTGAATGTTATTAGTCACTTGGGTTTCATTTCATATATAGATGTTATTTTTTCTTACCAATCCATAAATCAGAAGAACCGGTATCAAAGTCAATCTTAAAGTTTTGAGCAGGAGTACCAATGGAGACAGTACCATAGTACTCGGTATCACCTTGATAATCAATGACAGGAACAGAACCCGAGTTGGAATCAGTGGAGGCAAGACCACCGGGAGTGTCCTTGAGAGGGTTGATTTTGTTCTTGGTGAACTTGGCAGTGGCCTTAGCAAGAGCATTTTTGGCATTGGGTTTGTAGTCGGCGTTTTTAGACAAAGGAATGGAAAGTTTCTTGCCACCGGGTGCGGCTTCAACAGAGAGTGCCATGACTACAAGGGCAACACAAGATGAGACAAGAGTAAATTTCATTGAAGATAAGTGAGAGAGAGAGAGAGAGAGAGAGAGAGAGGAATTGTTTAATGAAGAGAAGAAAAAAATTGAACTTGATGGGTTTGTATTTATACTAAAAAAAAAAAAAGTGTCAAAAATAAAGCAAGTGAGGTGAGTTTTCTTTATTCATCAAGTATTGCCTTTTTCTGGGAAGAGTTTGTTTTAACTCGATTAAGACTTTATGTCCAAATTCAATATATATAAAAAAAGAGTTGAGTCAATGCAAAAACAAATTGTCAATGCATTATTGTTGTACGACCTAAAGTCGATCTTTTTATAAAGTAAAGTGATCACACGCAACCCAAAAATTACAATTGGAAAATATGCAGTTAATATTACACAAAAAAAAAGGTTTCATTTATTGAAGAAATCATAAATGCCACCCTTTTTTTTTTTATGTGTGTGCTTATTTGTCGTTTTGTATGTGAACAATATTCATTTTGTCTTCTTTTTCTTTGGATATACTATAAAAAATAGAGATATAAAAAAGAAAGGTGGTAAATCTCACTTTCTTCCTCTCTAAAAAGGTGATGTTCAATATCCAATTTTCTAAAGAGCAATCGTAATCGATATGCATACAAATTGTTGTACAAAGTTTTCAAAGTATAATTACTTTTTTGGGATAAAATGTCTATACAAGTATATTTTATTACTCTCTTGTGTACCTTTGATGTCGCCATTCTGTTCTAGCATATGTCTGAAAAAAATGCATCTCTTTTTTAAGGGTTAGTAACACTTTTTTACCTCAAATAGTTGAATATCTTACTACAATGTACGTGTGAAACCAACAATTTTACATGTGCTTATCTCTTTTATAGAATTAGATTATATGTGATAGCGATAATTATAGATTAACCGTTGTCAGTATGACAGACAGTGAATTATATTATTAGCTTGGAGATTGTACTGTAAGAGGGTCAATTTTTTTTTTTAAAAAAAAAGGTACACCCTCCGACCCTCCGATCGCTTTATCGTGTGCTACGATACAATGAGTAGATACGCGGACTCCATGCTGATTATGTGTACATACAACACTCATGTAAATAGTGAAAAAAAAAAGAGAATGAAATATATCCAACATACAAACTATGTTTCACACAAAAAAAAAATTTGCATGCAACGGAATACACATCTTGAATTGTCCCATCAAGGGTTATTCTGGTAATTTATTATTATTTCATTTCAATTTTTTGTCCAGAATATAAAAAATATTATAGAAAAAGTGAGGAACGAGAGTCTAAATTGGTATGATGGAGAGAGAGAGAAAAAGAAAAGAAAGCTCTCTCTCTTAAAATTGGTCGATGGAGGGAGCAATTTGAACACTGGGAACTTCTTGATTAAAGATAACATAGTTATTCTTGAGGAAAACGTCACCCAAAATGGAGAGATTCAAGCCCGAGCTGTAAGCAAAAGCGGCAAAGCAATAATCGCCATCTTTTTGGAAGATGAGTGAATCACGGGGGACATAGAAATCATTACCGTTCATGGTAAAGACCAAAGGTTTGAATTTAGAGGTATCACAAGCAATTCTAAAGGTACCATCTCCGTTCCCTGTAGCACCATATGCTTTGGCAACATTGTTGGCAATTTCCTCTGTAAAGATCAAAAGTGTAGTACCCGTATCAAGAATACCATCAAAACCGCTGGCAACAGAAGTATTGCCGACCTTGACATTGGAAATATCTACACCCCAGTAACCTCGAGAGCTATTGACAGGGACAGTATGTAAAGTACCATTGTATTTACTAGGATTGGAACCACCAAACGTGTATTCACCCCCACCTTTTTTGCTGGCCTTACCAAGATAAACACCAAAGACAGGAGAGTCGACCAAGCCTTGGCTGATCATGTTCTCAAAGGGAGTCTTGATGCCATCTACGGTTGTGATAGAACCAAAACCAAGACCGAGAAGACCATCTGTAACACCATGCGCAAATGAACTGGACTCTTGTTGGGCTAATTCAATGGTTTGGTTGGCAATAGTAATATTACCAATGACCACAGTATCTTGAGCTAAAACACCGGAGGCGTTGGATCCATCACCATAATAGATGCTCCAGGGACGACCGTCTTTAACATAAGTCTTGGATTGAGTAGAGTTATAGAGAGTTTGAGTAGTACATGAAGAGCACATGGTAGAAGCTATATGAGTGGGTTTTATAGCATTAGTAATGTTATTATCACGAAAGTAATGACCTACCAATCCATAAATCTGAAGAACCGGTATCGAAATTGATCTTGAAATCTACAGGAGGATTACCAATGGAAATGATACCGTAGTACATGATATCATGACCATAATCTACTACAGGAACAACACCGATCGACACTGTACCGGATGAATCACCTGCATTGCTGACAGGACGTTCACTGTGTTTGGTGAACTTGGCGACGGCTTTAGCAAGAGATGCTCTGACGTTAGGTGTGTAGTCTGCGTTTGCCTTTAAGGAGACTGAAAGAGTCGGTTGTTTAGTTGGCTTTGTTTGTCTGTTTCTAGGATAAGCATCGACTCCTCCAAAAGTCAAAAGGACAAGGGCAACACAGGATGAGACCAAAGTATATTTCATTTTAACAAACAAACAAAACAATGAATAAGGGGGAGGGAAGGAAGCTTTTTTTTTTTTTTTTTTTGGTGAATGTCCCCTAGTATTTGTACTTTTTTTATTTTGTTTTATAGTTTTTGGGATTTACATATTTGATACCATGAATATTCTTATTATGTTCTTTTAAAATAAATTCGTTAAAAAAGATCAAGGAGATATATATATATATATTGAATGAAAAGTTCAGTATACAACACTGTCTAAATTAGCTTATATGTGTTTCTAATTGTAAATAGCTTCGACAAGCCTAAAACGGTTTTTTTTTACAAAAACACTCCAATGTTTTTGTTTTTACTGAAATTTACATTGTGATTATCTAAGAAGATGAGGTATGTATTAACCCTAATCAGAAGAGCGATCCCCGGACGGTAATTTTATTGCTACAACGTTATATAAGACTTGTTTCGATCATTAATTTAAGACAACGCTGACTACAGTAAGTCAGCGCCTTTACTGGTATGCTAAACTTTTTTTTATTTACGTTAAAAGACAAATTCTTAAATGAATGGATGAACTTTATTTGCTTTTGCTTTACAAACTTTCATATTCTTTGCATATTTTGTAATATTACACTAAAATCACCTTGTGGGTAAAATACAAGTAGTGTAAAAAAAAATTACGATTTCTACATTGTTTTCAAATAGTTCATGTTTTTAACATTACGGTATGCAAAGTGTGACAGTATGTAATTTCACACAGATGGCGAGTGAAGGCAGATTACCTCGGTATTTCAATGTTGGCGCAAAAAGCAGGCAAAATAAAATGGAGTCTAACTTTTTTTAAACTCACTAAAAAAGCAGAGCATGATAACCGTAAATTAATCTGCAAAGAATGTGCTGGAAATTTCATGCTGCCTCCCATAAGCAGGTTTATAATACATGAAAGACATATCTCAATGATGCACTCAAAAATACCACAGTTTCGTAACATTAATAAAGAAAAGGGGGCGGGGGTCAATACTGTTTAGCTATTTGAAAAAAAAATCTTATGTAGTAGATTGTTTGTAATTTAGTTTAAACAAGTTTGAAGGAAGATCTTCATTTCACAAAGTGATATATTAAGTAATATCTACATGGCATAATTATTCCATATGAATGGCGCTCATATACATTTGCTTTTTAAAATGGATGACCCTTATTCTCAGTGGGCTGTAAAGGGTAGTTAGTAGTTTTCGTACTCTAATTATTATATATAGGAATCAATGTATTCTTACATGATTCAATATGTTACCTTTTTCATTGATAAAATAAAATTATTATGACGTGTATAAACAAGGTTTAGTTTTTAGATATTTCAAGAACAGTCTAGAATTGAAAAAAATTTGTGATTAAATAAGCAAACACTACACCTTGATGTAAACAGGTTCTTGTGTTTCAACCTTTTTTCGTATAAATAAAGACTTTTTTTTTTTCCTTTTTTTTTTATAAACGGAATATCGTATTTTTATTATTTTCTTTTGATCATTTAAAAAGCCAAATAGATAAAGGCTGTCTGTAGAATTTTGCAGGCTCATCCACTCAGGTGTGTGGTTGTACTTCTGAAACAAGACGTGCATTTGCCTGCATAGAGAATTTTACAAAATATTCTCTAGTGCCATGCAAGCAGTAAAAAAAGAAAGAAAGCGAGATATGGAAGGAATATATAAGAGGTCCTTATATCCAGTACCTTATAACCGATAAGTCCAAGTGGATGAAGTAAGCATATGAGCTACTGGCCTCATCTTATTTGATACCTCTCATGAGCACTCGGTTTTTTCAGAGTAAGTAGTTAATAACTGTACTTTCTTTTAGATGTTGATTTTTTTTTTCTTACTGACAATTTATTATATTAGGAGGTATAAAATTAAAGGCTCAGTCCAATAGTGGTCGCGAAATTCAGTCTGGACAATACAGACCATTTCTCTCTCCAGCAAGTATTTCAAGGCGTAGAACTGGATCTGGTATTATGACTGGTCAAAAACCTGTACCATTGGTATGCTTCACTTAAGGCTGATTAGCGTTACCATGCTATTAAAGCTCAATGCTTATATAAAGGCTAATAACAAGCAGCCATTTATATTTTCGGTGGCTTTTTTGTTTATATGAACTGGTATCAAAACCATGTCATATTTACATTAAAAAATTTGTGGCCTCCTGTTCAAAGTAAGTAATATTTTTGAGAATGAATTGTATCATTTATTAACTATTGTCATAATTTAGGGCATCAGAGGTCAGAACGTAGGTTTCAGATGCCTTGCCAGCAGAGAAAAGTAGTTGGTGTACGTCTACTTTTGACTTGTAGTTGAATTCATATTTTTGTGAAGGTGTTTTCTTCTAAAACACCACTCAAACTACCCGGCTATTTACAGTATATTCACAGCTATTTACAGTCTGAGCCCAAAACCTCACGGAGCATATAAGGAGTACAGGTTGCCTCCAAGTGTACGAACAGCCCTGGACTTGCCAAATTATCTGTTTGCCGAAAATATGCAAGATTGGGTCAAGATGCCAGATATGCTGAATCCGTATTTTTATACGGAAATTGTTGTATTAAAAGAGGGGGAGGAATTGTACATGGCAATATTAAACTATCTGAGAATTATGTACAGTGGAAACTTATTAGGAAAAACAGTTGGTGGATACTGTCGACGTTTGGAGACCTATCTGGAGATCGGAAATGTCTAGACCCCCATATTTTTTTTTCAAACGTTTACTTTTTAGAATCGCGTGATAGTCTATCAAGTTCTTGCCTTGTTTATGGTATTTGAAAATGTTTCCATTTTAAGTAAAGGCCCAAACATTATGATGAAGAAATAAACAATTAAATCATCCTGACATAAGCTCTTGTTTATCAGTTTTACAAATTAAATCTCGGTCCTGCACTTTTTTTCCGTTTTTCTTTTCCTTTAACATACTTCTCTTTTTTTTAAAAAAATGAAAGTTAAAAGGTTAGTATATAAAAACTTTTGTTTTTGTTAAGAAACACTAAATTAATGACTCTTTTTTTAAAAACAAAATACTGAAGATGCATTGCTATTCTTGCACTATTACGGCTACGGCTAGTCTATGCTGTAAAGTGGTCCTTTCCTAGACTGGGTCCTTGGGTTTTTGGACCCATTGGAAGGACAGACTGCGAATAGCAGGGTTTGGACTGTAAATGGCTGTGATTATATAGTCTTGTTTATCTTGGCCGGGAATGCTGTAAGTGGTATAAAAAAATACGTTTAAAAAAATATACGGAGGTCTAAATATTTCCCTGAAGAACAGGATAGTAAAACCTGTATTCGTGGTATACTATCAGTCGCAAAAACAGGCTTGGAGAGAAGACAAAAGTAAGGTGTCATTGAATGCTGAAACAATGATCGCCAGCAATTTTGTCACTACAAGAATACGTGAGATCAGTGAAGAAAGCAGTGATGCGAATTCACAGATAATAAAAAGATATAGGCTTAATCAGGTATTCATATATAACTCACAGTTTTCCATTCAACGCGTATTTCTTACAAGCATATATATATATATATATATATATCAAAAGGATCACAAAAATAACGCGTCAAATCCTGAAATCTTGCCTCCACGGGACAATATTGACCCATTTTTAGTCCCGTGCCGGAAAGGGTATGTACATATATTGGCATATATGATAGCTTCACCTCACTAACATTTTTAGTTTAGACAAGTGGCCTTACGGTTGTTAAAGACCAAAACATGTATATTGTTTCAGATACCTTCTGATAACGCGTTCTCCCCGAGCAATCCTATCGTACAAAAAGAAGACCAGGCAAATATCAAAAGGCTATTTTGATATATGCATTGGTTCTTCGTCATCTGAAACACGATCGGAGTTTGATGCATTGATGAAGCGACAAGCTAATCTGGAAAGCCTCAAGGAACTTGACACTGATATCATGGCTTGGGTTAGGGAAGTCATGAATTACCCTGAACAAGACATGTTTAAACTCTTACCAGGCCTCCCCAATTGTCCGTTTCTTAACTTCATCCAATTTACTATGGTTGATTTTTTTTTTTAAATTGGATGCGGACTAAAAAGTATAATGGCGACGACGAAAGGACGCCGTACTGTGAAATATTTGTATCTATTTTCAAAGCTTTTGGAAATACGATACAGAAACTCACGTACGCCTGGTAAGTATTATCTGCTTATAGTAAGTATACATGCTAATTTACATTGTGAATATTAGGTGCGAAAAGAAAGCAAAGGACTCTGACTATATCTGGCTGGCCACGAATAACTTCACCAGAGAAAAGGGGAACGTCAAGCTTCTAGATGGCATTGGAAGTTTAACTATCACAGACTTAAACTACCTCATCATAGAATCCTCCGGGTATGCTCAAATTATTACTATTGCTTATTTTAATAGTATTTATTAATATACTTTACAGTGTTAGCTATAACATCACCACTGGCACATCACACATTCTTAATGATACGCTCAAGAATATCAAAACCGCATTTGACAACCTCAAGGCATTCATTTCTCACTACAAGCAAGCATCATTCAATACTTTAAAACAAGTACGTCTGTATACTTGCCAAATTATTGAGAACAAGATGACCTTGGTTCGCTATAAAATAAAATCGCTATCACAGTGGCAAGTAGTTGAGTGCTGTTCCGCTTCTGTCCCAACTACATTTTCCGAAGCTATCAATTATAATATTTGTTGCGTGATGGGACATGATATTACAGTCGCCAACTTCTATAATTCAGTCCCAATTCTAGATCCTAATTCTTGTAAAGCAGGTTATATGTTGTGGGACACCATTTCTAGACTTCAAGCTGTGAAAAAGGGGAATTACAGTGATAACAAGGAAGGTGATGCGACCAAGTGTGTAGACAAACTATCCTTTAGGAATCTTGCTCCCTGGTTGGAAAACAAGAAGGCAACTATCAATGAGAGATTCAGTCAAACATCCATGTATTTGCATTTAGCCAGTTCAATTATTGCAGTAACGTTTTCAAGACAAGTTGTCTCAGTCTCATTTACGAACTTCGTTCACCAATATGGACTGAGTTCCAGAACTAATTTGGTAGATATTGTTGGAATACCTAAATTATGCTCATATGCAAGCGCAAATTATGTGTATGACGGATCCGATGTTGATGGTCCTCCGTCTGGCTTTGAGATAATTGTCATCCCTCATTTTCATCCTGGTACTGACAAACATACAACAAGAGCGGCAAATGGATCGAGACGTGTTATTGACGTTGTTTGACATTTTTTTTCGTGGTCGTTCAATAGTTAAAGTGAGTATCTTTTATTCTTTTTATTTGCTTTTTTCCTGACTGTATTATGCTATCAGGAGACCAATAATTTCCGGTTGTTAAACCAATACAAGTCCGGCATACTTTATTTGAGAAGAATTTGATTGGCACCATGACTGGTCAGGATATTGCTTAAGTAGGTAATTACAAGTATGTGCTTGCGTAAGAGCACAATTTGGGGTACTCCTACTATATCTACCAAATTAATTCTGGAACTCAGTCCGTCTTGGTGGACAAAGTTTGTAAACAAGACTGGGACAACTTGTCTTGAAAACGTTACTGCAATAATTGAACTGGCTAAATGCAAATACATGGATGTTTGACTGAATCTCTCACTGATAGTTGCCTTCTTGTTTTCCAACCAGGGAGCTAGATTCCTAAAGGATAGTTTGTCTACACACTTGGTCGTATCACCTTCCTTGGTATCACTGCAATTCCCCTTTTTCACAGCTTGAAGTCTAGAAATGGTGTCCCACAACATATAACCTGCTTTACAAGAATTAGGATCTAGAATTGGGACTGAATTATAGAAGTTGGCGACTGTAATATCATGTCCCATCACGCAACAAATATTGTGATTAAAGACTATTCTAGTAGGTACTGTCAATTACCTTATCGTATCGAGATAGACAGAGACAAAGTGATGGAATCCAGTGTTCTGCTCAGCAATAGCTTCAAATCTGCTTTCCTGTGGACGAAAGTAAAGTTGTTTGCATTGAAAGATTTATTGTAAATAAAGTGTTCATTTGTTTTGGCTGCATTTATATATTTTTGCGTTTTGTGTTAAATATTAAGAGGTTATTTTCATGACTTTATTTCTGCTTTGCTTCACTCATACACATAATATTTAATAATAAATAATTAGATAGTACGGATTTGCTCAAAGTAGAGTTATTGGTGGCAAGTGCGTCTTTACAAGTTGTTTTATTAAATTGATAATGGAGCATTTATCATTTACGTAGACCATTATTCAATGTTTATCATAAAAAAAATCAAATACTTGTTTTGGGTAAGCTTTAGTAATTGACAGAGTTTTTTTCTTTTTGCCTTCCTTGGTAAAGCGTGGAGGTCAAATTGTATTATTTCCATAAATCAGCATGCTTAATTAAGTTGTAATCCGCTCTCCCCTTAAAACACACACACATAGTACATAAACACACATTCCTTTTCAAATACATATTCGTTTCATCATAGATATGATATTGTTTATTATTACAGTTAATTTGAGATATCAAATGCTATATTAACATCTGCGTTGCTACTTGTGGCAGTAAGGTCTCCTTTTCCTCTTCTGTATCTTTCACCTCGTTTCAAATAATCCAAATTGTCTTGATATTCAATTCCTGTGTCATCATCGATAGTCACTTGACCATTTGAAGTGCTCGCTACAAAATGACCTTCGAATTCGTTTGTCTAAAAATAAAAACGAGCCTGTAAGCAATTCTGCATAACGTTTATATAGTACTAACCTACCATATGTAAATTTATTTCGCCTTCGCTGGTAAGTACAACCACTTTATTGTTCTTTTCTCCTGCAACATTAAGACTAATGGGTGCATTCGAAGATTTAACTGTTACCTGCGTCTTAGATTCCACACGTTCAATTTGGATCGGCCCGTTTGAACTTTCAACAAAGACATCATCCGAAAATAAACTTTCTAAACGCACGTTATCATTGCTTGTTCGAATGCTGATAGAATTATCTGCAGTAATTGTTCCAAGAGCTTCTATCAATCCATTGGAATTTCGAACATCCAGTGTATCTTTGGCCTCCACAGTGTTAGACATATAAATTGCGCCGTTGCTATTTTCGATATAAACAGAACCACCTGAGAATAAGCTGCCTACTTTGATATCTGCGCTACTTGTGACCAACTTTAAATATTCGCCAGACCAGCTTTCGGATTCAATTTTTCCATTTGAAGTTTTAATGTCTACAGTATCAACGGATTTAACGAAAGGAAGCACCAAGACATCCACGTTACGCATATTGAGACGCACAAGATCAGCGGAATAAGGTAACCGAATTTCCATGTTTAGGTTGATACAATCATCACCTGATATATGTGGCGGCATTGTTAAGAGCAACTTTGTTGTATCATCATCCAATTGGATATCGTACGTCATCTGTTCATCCAAAGAAGAAGGCGTAAACTGGATTTCAGACGAAATAGTACCTCCATGTCGATCTTTTGTAGGAGTAAGTACAACACGTCCACCTGATACCTGACCTACCAGTTCAATTTCTATATTTTTCTCGAAATCAATCGTACGGGGTAATTTTTGCCAAGAAACCGCGTCATTACGACATACAGCTCTAGGTGGTGTGTTACTGGGAGGGAAAAAATCAAACTTGTTGGTATATGTTAACAGCACCAACCAAATTAAAATGGCAGCGAAAAGATATTTGCACCATTTACGACAACAGCCTGGATCACCGTTAGCTCTTCTCCTTCCAGACGGTGGAGAGCGCTCATAAGCAATTGGAACTGCTAGATGCTCCTGATGAGGATTTGATGAAGACTGCTGCTGGTCTAATAGGATTTTAAATAAATAGAGTTTATTTTAAAGCAAACAAACATTCACTTACTTGGCGCTTCTCGGTTTGGTAACTTTTTTTTAGCGGATGGAGAAAATGGCTGAGAATCTTGGCTCAATAACCCTACTTGTTGCTCTGTACTTCCATATGTTGCTGTACTGTCTGAACTTTTACGCGTTGGGTCCGGGGAATAAGGAGGTGGAGGCAGTAAATCGGAAGCTGAAACTTGATCGGGTTTGTGGTTTATGGGTGTACGACTACCACCACCCGTATTATAATCTATGATATTATCATTATTAGTGCATTGAGTAGACATATCATATTACGAGAGCATTTACCAGATTGATTGTAAAATGCCTTTGGGTTATTAGACATGGGAAAGATGAAAAATGAAAGAAAGGAAGGAAGAAAGAAAAAAATAATCAAGTTGCCTTTGTTTTGAAAAAGGGAATAAACACTCCCTAATTTATGCACTAAGACATATCCGGTATAGTTTTATTTTACCCCTATTGTTTTACTGATTGATGTAAATTCATGTCTGAAATTTTTATAAAACCATCAAGGCTTCGGTTTTTTATTATTATAAGAATAATTGATAAATTAATATTAAGTGTTAATCACTTGAATTAATAGAATTATGGATAAGGCAGATTAATGTTCTGGGATAATCGAATTATTGATCAATAGAGGGAGCGATTTGGACGCTGGGGACTTGTTGGTTAAAGATTACGTAATTGTTCTTCAAGAAGACATCACCCAAAATAGAGAGACTCATACCAGAACTGTAAGCAAATGAGGCGAAACAAGTGCTTCCATCTTGTTCAAAAATGATGGAGTCAGCAGGGACATTGAAGGTAGATCCATTCATAGTGAAGACAAGAGGCTTGAAGTTGGAGCTGTCACAGCTAATAATGAAAGTACCATCACCGTTATCGGTGGCACCATAAGCAGCAGCGACCTTCTTGGCAATGGTCTCAGTGAAAATCAAAAGGGTGGTTCCGGTATCGAGGATACCGCTGAAAGAGGTACCAACAGAGGTAGTGCCAACCTTGAGACTACTAACAGTGACACCCCAATAACCTTGAGACTTGTTGACAGGAACAGTCTTCAATGTACCAGTGTACTTGGTGGAATCGGAACCACCAAAGAGATATTCACCGCCACCGTTCTTACTAGCCTTTCCGAGGTAGACACCAAAGACAGGAGAAGTAATCAAACCTTGACTAATTAAGTTATCAACTGGAGTCTTGATACCACTGACAGTGGTAATGGTGTTGAAACCGAGACCAAGAAGACCATCGATAGGGTCGGAAGCAAAACTGCTAGACTCTTTCTTTGCCAATTCAATAGTTTGACTCTTGATAGCAAGACCACCTAAAGTAACAGTGTCTGTAGCCAAGATACCGGAGGCAGTAGAACCATCACCATAAGCGATGGACCAGGTGCGGCCATCGGCAACATAAGTGCTGGATTTGGTGGAATCGTAACGAGTATGGGTAGTACAGGTAGAGCACAAAGTGGAAGCTAATTGAAGTTAAAAGATTAGCTTTGTTCTCGACTGTAAATCATTTGCTATTTTAATTTAAAACTTACCAACCCACAAATCAGAGGATCCGGTATCAAAATCAATCTTGAAATTTTGGGCAGGGGTACCAATAGAGACGGTACCATAGTATTCAATGTCGATTTCGTAATCGATAACAGGAACTGAGCCAGTGCCCTCAGTAGAGGCAAGACCGCCGGGAACGTTCAAGAGAGGATTAATCTTGTGCTTGGAGTACTTGGCAGCGACTTTAGCTAAAGAGGCCTTGATACTGGGCTTGTAGTTACCATTGGTTTGCAAAGGAACGGAAAGGATTTTACCACCGGGTGCAGCTTCGACTGCGAGAGCCGTAACAAGGAGAGCAATAGAAGAAGAGACTAAGGTAAATTTCATTGTATTAAAAGATAGGGAAGTTGTTTGATAAGTAGAAAATAAAAATAAAAATTGTGAATGAACATCTTGCTATATATACAAATTTATTTTCAAACAGCTTGCATTTTTTTGTATGCGATCTACTGAATGTGTTCCAATTATTTTGCAGTTACAATATTCCTTTTTTTGTCTAATTTTTCTTATTCGGCTATCAAATGTCTGAATTAAGTCTTTATGTCCAAATTAACAAATTAATAGACGTATCACTAATGGCGATGTGTAGATAGTGTGGTAATACCGGTAATAAAACATACATATTAAGTGAAATTATGCATATTCTGTCTCACCATATGAAAAGACTATAATTGATCGTTGTGTAAGAGAAATAAATTAGATTAATGACGGAATTTGCCTTGGTTGCGTTACGTTATACAATCGCATAAAAAAAAATAGTAGCCAGCTTTTTTTTTATGTATATATTTAGAATATATACCCAAATATACTTTACCTGGTTCTTACAGTCGTTCCAACGCCAAAGGGCGGTTTTATTTTTCAAAAAAATGCGGTTAATACATTTTTACAAAGGGCGGTTTTGATTCATCCAATAGCCGGTTTGATTTTACCCAAAAGGCGGTTTTTATTTTTTCAAAAGGTGGTTTTTTTTATTCCAAAAAGGTCAATATTAGAAAATATATAGTGTCTTACTTGGTTTTCAGACTTTGTCCATTTTATTTTGGACAAGATCATTTCTATTTTACTTTTTTTTGGCTCCCTATTCATACCTGTAGTAGGACAGAATTTTCACCAATTAATTTAATTTTTTGTGAAATCTTGATACACGGTCGATTTACACGGTCGATTTGAAGTACCGACCCGAAAATACCAAAAAAGCATGACGTAGACATTAAAAAGTTCAAAAAGAGTGACGTTTCATATTTGAGAGACCGTGTACAGAGCGCGTATTTGATAAATGTGGAGCTTTCTCTTTAATGTTCTCTCAAACGAGAATTGTACGTGACAGCATGCATGCTGAATTTAATCGTACATTTGCTGTAGATAAGCACTTTGAGACAAGAGAAGAACTGAAGAATGCGATCAGTACTTTTGGAAAAAAATACAACATGGTCTTTTCCGTTAAAGACTCTCGTCCTGGTAAAGGTCAGTATGCTTATATCTGCAATCACGGTGGCTTTAAGCGAGATCTTGGAAAGAAAGATACGACACTTGTTGATGAGGTTACTGAAGAAATTATTGACCTTTCACAAAACGTTTCTTCCGTGTCTGAAGCAAAAACAATTTATCAAAAAAGTACTCAAAAGTTTATTTGCCCTGCTTCGATTACTTTGTTTGGATTAACTGTCACCAAAAACAATATGATCCACAATCATCCAATTTCGCAGGATGTTACAACATATGCCATTCATCGTAAGCAAAGCCCCGAAATTATGGCCAGAATATATTGTCTTTTGTCCAGTGGACATAAAGACCCTGTCACCAGCGTTATGGATGTAACTATTCTTTTTATTAACACAAAATATCTCATGTGCTCATTACATATACGTTATTAGACATTGAAAGCTTTGAATGTAAAAAACATCATCAAAAAAGGTATCCAGAACATCCAACATTTTTGACAAAAAGACTCCTTTGGGATTTAGCCGATGGTTGAATTTGCAGAATGTTGATTTAGTTTCAACTGAAGACTGAATCACAGCAATTTACGGAAATGTCTAGAACTCCGTATTTTTTTCAAACGTATTTTTTTCAAATAAACGCGATGGTTTACACGTCGATTGACATGCCATATCATCTAAACTTTATGGGATGATCGATTTCTGTTTTCCATAAAATCTACTTCACCGTCAATGCAAGCTACTACTGGAACGCAGATAGACAGCTACCAAGTTCTGACTTGCTTGGGAGGTTTTTGCAAGTGTTTCTATTTTAAGTAAAGGCTCACAAATTAAAAATTGTCTAGTGTGCGACGATCATAAAGAACAAATACGGCAATAGTATTTTAGTTGGTAACACGGGGTATGATATCTATTGATCGCACATGTACCCAAAAGATACTGTTTCCTATTTTAGATTACATTTATTTGGATTTAAAGTGTGCCTTTTTGCTGTCGTACGCATGTTTTATCTTAATAGCGCTTATTAAATCTTACTGAAGTAATGCAAGATAAGGGATAAAGCGAACCTGTTGCATAGGAAACATGAGTTACAGTCCTCATGATTATGCTTCGTTTAAGGATTATTAGTGAGAAATATCTTAATCTTTGATAAAACAACCTACTTCATTGTTACTGGGCACACAGTGAAACCAATACAACCGTGTTTGCACAACCGGGTAATCTCTACGATCAATCCTATGCCACTTGATATTTTTTCGATCATTTTGTACCCAGAAAATTTGTTTGTAACACCGTAAGAAACAGACCTATCTCAGTCGTCGACTGCTGGTAGCATTTTAAAATTCAGTATGTATCACAGCATATATACATGGTTCTGCCCGTAATTTCATTCCCGTTTATCATGTAGTCATACAAGATACGATAAAGTGGTTTAAGGGCAGCATTTCTAAGATATGAAGAACTAATTACTAGATGAAAATTATTTGGTGTAGTTAGACCAAATGTTTATGTATCTGCTCATATTGAAAAAGTACAGTAAGTAACCAGTTCATAATATCTAGGTCATATTTTTCACTTTTTCTTTAAATCCCATAGTGTTAGTTAAAATAATGAGGATTTATGAGTAAACGCTTTGTTGCACCATAACTTTGGTGAAGTTTCTCGTGAACAGCATCATAAGCGAATGCTATGGTATAATTTGTTTGTGTGTATAAACTTTCTGAAAAAAGACATATCAGATATACTACATTAACTGGATTTTTAACCATTAAATATGTTTAGACGGTATGAGCTTGAACTTTTTAAATGTTTTATTCATTTTCGGGATATGTATTTATCCTTACAAGTAGTTGCTTTATTTTGCTGCTTGTTCGAGCCTTGGTACACTGTGTTATTTACCTCTGCATGATAAAGATGTTAATTAAAAATATATTGCCTGTGTTGATTTTAGTTTTTCTTTGACTTCTTATTCTTGAACATGCTTTCTTGGAGCTTCAAGAATTCTTCTTCGCTAGGCATACTATCATCTCTTATCTTCCTCTTTCTGCCTTTTCCTTTATCTTCTGCTGCTTCATCTTTTGCTGCAGACTCGATTGATTCAATAATTCTGTTCATTTTTGCGTGTCTTTCCTTCGATCTTTGTTGGATTAGATCCGTAAGAGAAGATGACCCCGTCTCTTTTTCCTTCTTTCCTTTACAACGCACTTCATAATCTAACGCTCGTTTCTTTTCTGCATCAAGTCTAATTTGATGCGCCTTAGCTGTGGTTGTAGTTTCAAACGACTTAAGTAAAGTCACAGTCTTTTCTTTAATTGCTGCACGAATTATTTTTTCAAATCTTTGGCCATCCGATGCATCTGAACACTCTACTACTTGGAGTATTTTATCCATGCTTCCATTGAATTTTTTGTATGCTTTCATTAAATCCGCTTCCTCCTCTTTAGAACCTGTATTATAGTTTAGTATGTGAGCAGAGAAAAGTACTATCATCCTAACCTTGGTACTTGAGCTTTTGAGCATCGATTGTTTCCGCAGTAACCACACCAGTCCATAACTCTTTAAAATAAGCGCTCCAGTCCTTATCGCCTTCGAATTCACCTTCCTCGATACTTCCTGTTTTATCATATCGTTCTTTACGTTTAGGATCACTTAAAACAGAATAGGCAATGCCCAGGCTTTGAAAGGCTTCGGTAGCTTGTTGCTTTTGTTCCTCGGTTGAGTCAAAGGGTTGTTTGTCTGGATGGTATTGGAGGGCAAGTTTACGGTATGCCTTTTTTACATCGTCAATTGACGCTGTCTCCTTGTCTAGAATTAGTACCTTGTAGCAGTTTATTGATTTTGAAGGTGGCATGTTAAGTTTGTAATAAAAAAAGGACGACACGTTTTTTTTTTAAAAAAAAAATAAATAGACGCGACTGTGCAAACCAAGCAAATCAGCTTTTTATTGTCTCCGATGAGCCAAACAAGTTTTTTCTTTTTTTTTTTTTTTCTTCAGTGAACACTCTTTACTGTCATGTCTTTTAATATTCCAGGCTATTTTCTAGATCAAAAAACAAAAAAGCTATTTAAAATCACCCAACATGGTCCCTTTAGTTTAAAGGAGTTACAAAAGAGAGTTAAAGCAGAGGAAGAGCAAGAGGCTGCCGAAGCTGCCAAAAGCCAAAGCTCGAAGTCTTGCAACACACCTAAGCAGCGTTCACCAGTAAACATTACTCAATTTCTTCGCCAAAGAGCAACCCTCGGCTCGATAAATAACCCGTTATTAAACAATGGCGCGACACATAGCCCATCCGGTATACCCTTTCTCATGACCCAGCTTAAACATCGGACCTCAGTAGAACTGGAAGGACCAAAGCGAATGTATGACAACATGAAGGTCGACCTGACAGCCGATCCCGATTATGGCGAAATGATCATGTCCCATCGATCTGGGAAACTAGTGAGATTTGGATATCAAGTGAACCCTGGATTTCAAATTTGGAATGCAGGTTCCGACTGGAGCACTGGATCGTCGGACGCTTTATCTTTGCAATTTGGAACGTATAACTTTATGCTGAATGGTCAGGAACGTAGAACTATTGTGGGTACGAGTGGAGGTAATCTTTGGAGGCATTCTGTGCCAGTGCTACCACATATACAGCGCGACGATCTTAGTCAGCATTTCCTCACTTCAAATGGATCGATTCGAGATGATACAAATATATTACCAACTCCAACTGTCTCTTATTTGGATTATATATGGCCTTCTGCTGATTCCTTATTCACTAAAAATAAGGATTTGTTTTGGTCTTCTAGTGTCTATGATGAACATGATCATGTGGTGGTTGGAGGGGATCAGGCCTTATATCAATTATCCAGCGCATTTGAACCTATCAGCTCTCGAAAAGTTAAATCGTCCATCTTTACAACTCACCTTCCTAATGATCAACCAAATATATGCTGGATAGGCTCAAGAAATGGTTTAATCCAATCCATCGATTTTAGACAGAAGAATATCAACATCAATACAGAATTTAAGCAATCATCTTCTGTTGTTGAAATTCATACTTTGAATGGATTCGAATTATTGACAATTGGAATGGATGGATCAGTGGATATTTGGGATAAGAGGCAGCCAAAGCAATATAGCAATCAGCATCGCAATAGAGGGAAGGGAGGATACCATCCACAGGCAACTAATTTACCTAGCCCCATTCGAACATTAAAGGGTCACATAAATGAGAGCAGTTCTAATTTAGGTTTCGATATTGACTTGGAGAATAATTTACTTATGCTATCTGGAAGCGATGGGATTGTTCGAATCTGGTCAATGTTTAGCAGTAACACCAACGAGCCTATTTGGTGCTCAGAAAAATTCTCTACTCCTGTCCCGGCTGCGAAATTCATTGTCAACCAAAATCAACGCCCTCGTTTACAAGATGGCTGGGCCTCCTTGATAAAGGAACCTGCGTTATCTAGACATTGCCCTGGTATCATTTTGTTCGGTACTACTCATGAAGATAGTGATGTGAGTTCTGTCCAATGGCTGACTGCATTAAAATAATCAACAAATACATAAATCGCTCATCATGAAAGTCAATTATTATTAAATGAAATGTACATATGTCAATATATATCTGTAAATAAAATTACTAAATTATCAGTTCAAATTCTGACTGTCGTAAGAGTCTTTTTAATACCCAATTTATCTGAACGATGTAAATCGGTACAGAAAAATAATTTTTAAATAGCACGAAAATAAAAAATTTATTAAGTTATAAGAAATTCTTGCTCTCAGACATTGAAACTGCCAGATTGACGAATATCACGACTAGAAGCACCAACATGGATAAAGAATTTACCGGAAGGAATGACCCAGGCATTAGCAACAGTATCCCAAATACTAAGCTCGGTCATAGTAAATTTCAATTCAATCTTTTGCTGTTTACCATGCTTTAAAAAGACCTTTTCAAACCCACGAAGTTGTTGGGGAGGTGAACCAGCTTTCTCAGGGTAAGAAATATAAGCTTGGATGACTTCAGCACCATCGAGTTTACCTGTATTTTTAACTGTTACAGTAGCTTTGACGGTCATATCCTTTGTGCCAGACTTGGAAACCTTGATTTTCAACTTGCTGTAATTGAAGCTAGTATAAGACATACCATGGCCAAATGGAAACAATGGCTCAATTTTGGCATGGTCAAACCATTTGTATCCCATTAATAACTTTTCGGAATATTCAACTTGGAGACTGGGGTCGGGCTTTACATTATAGTCAGATTCTTTCTTGGCAATTGTGTAAGGAAGACGGGCAGATGGATTAACAGCTCCAGTAACAATATCAGCAAGAGAATTGCCAGATTCTTGACCAGAAATTCCGGGCCAAACAACTGCCTTGATATTGGCATGTTCAATCCAGGGCATTAAGACAGCACCGACTGAGTGGATAACAACTACGGTGTTTTTGTTTGCATCAGCAACAGCTTTAATCTATCAAATTATGGTCATTACTTTTGTTTATACAACTATGCAAAATATTAAACTCACCAATTCGTCACCATTGTTCCACAAACTAAGATTGTTACGATCACCAACATTTCCATCGACGGTAATATACTCTTCGCCAGAATTGGCAGTTGCAAATACAAAGGCGACGTCAACTCCTTTTGCAGCCTCGGTGGCAGCTTCAAGGTCCCAATCGCTAATGGATGATTGAATTTTGACATTCTTTCCTAAAGCGTTTGTAAGTCCTGTAAAAGGCTATGTAACAATCAAATTAGTAATTAATGGTGCATTACAATCAGTTATCAAACATAATTCAATCAAATAAGGAAAATCTGCAGTTCCAGATCCCCAGCCTTGGGCAAGATGTCCTGAACTACAACCACGATCAGAACAGGAGTTTATACCGCTACATAATAGTATAAAATGTCAGAACTATATAACTGTTGATAGTATCAGAAATCTTACTCATCATTGGCTTTGATATCGCTACCAATAAGGGCGATACTCTTTATCTTAGTATCGAGAGGAAGGACACCAGAATTTTTGAGGAGAACAGTGGAGGCAGCACCTATTTGACGAACAATTTTCTTGTGATCTCTTTGAACATTAAGGTAGGAGGCTTTATCACGGTCGACTGAGTTGATTGAGACTTTGGGGAAGTTTTTGTCTTGACCAAGTTTATACCAAGTAGCAACAATACGCATAGCCATATCAGTAGTACGAGACTCTTTGATTGATTTAGTATTAACAGCGTCAGTTAAATTTTGACCAAAATAAGAGGTTCCAGATTTGTAAGATATTTCTCCAGGCATATCCATGTCTAAACCATGATTGACAGCATTGACAGTAGAATGAGTAGCTCCCCAATCGGAGTGAACAAAGCCTTTAAAACCAAGCTCTCCTTTCAATACAGTGTTTAATAGATAGTCATCTTCGCAAGCATGTGTGCCATTAGCTAAGTTGTATGCGCACATAACAGATCCTACGCCTGACTCAACAGAACGAGCAAATGGCCAAAGATATATTTCATGTAATGTTCTTGAGTCAACATTAGAAGACTCAGTGTTACGGTTGAGCTCTTGATCATTAAGAATGTAATGTTTAGCAGTAGCAATAACACCTTTACTTTGTATTCCCTTGATGGTTTCAGCAGCGACAACTCCAGTTAAATAGGGATCTTCTCCGCCTGATTCCCAGCCTCTACCACCTTGACTAGATCTCATAAAGTTCATTCCAGGTCCCAGTTGAACATTGATACCCTTATCATAAAACTCTTGACCCATATACGCACCACGGGCAAGAATAGCGGACTTATCAAAAGAAGCGGCAGCATTAACACCAGAGACACCGGCAGTAACATTGTCAGCAAAACGTATACCCATTGGAGCATCTTGTAGACAAAGAGATGGAAAATCGGGGTTGGAAATAGCGTAAGTGTTTCCCACACAGAGGCCACCATCCCATCCAACACCAGTTGTGATGTTTACCTTTTGTTCAAGCGACATTTTATCGACTATAATCTTGGCCTTAGTATAAGCGTCATCCCAGGAAAGAACATTGATTTTGGCTTGGACAGTATTGAAAAGTACCAAAAGGGTCAATGCAGTAGAGGAGAGTGAATTGAAGTGCATAATATAGAGCTTGAGATGATATTAATGTTTTTGGTGTGTTTTTTCTTTTTATCGTTCAATTTTCATTTCCTTTTATATAGAATCAACGCTGTCATACGTACCATTAAATAACGTTTGACTACTGCTACAGATTAATCGTCCCAGGTATAAATTAATTATCCAGAAAATGCAGCTTCGTTTTGATGTCACGCACAGCTGGAAAATACCATATATCCGAAATTTCGGTCAGCTTGCATTTAAGCAGAATTACTTTAAGCACAAAAACGAAATTTGCTTCCCGCTTAAATTCTTCGAATTCTTATTGCTTTGTTTATTGTTTTAGTGGGATCTGTGTTTATGTGTAAACTACTATATAGTATAAGCACAGCGCAATGCCTCAGAATAAAAATAAATAGCAACTCATTGACTTTAGCATGTATATCATTTTGTGTAACTGTATCTTGTGATCGGGCATATTGAACCCTGGATTTATCACCAAATGGCCTTCTGTATGTTTGCTTAATAAAAATTCACTCCAAGCTCCTCTCCTTCTCTTATTTTTAAAGAAGTAGTCTAAAACTCAGAAATAAAGGAGCTGTATTTTCAAAATTGAAAAAAAAAAAATAGATTTTATTGCCATGTTTTGACTGTTCTGATAAAGACATTATACTATTCATCAAACAGATATTTTCCGAATTTCTTCCCAAGAATCCCCAATGCATGGGAATATGTTGTAAGACAACTACAAAAACGGGTCCTGGGGTAATGTGGGATTGATTCAGGGAGGATGACAGCGACATAACAAGATCTATAGATCTAACTTGAAGCTTTAGATCTGACGAAATGGTATTGTTGGGAAAAAACCTTGTCATTTTCTGTGCGCAATTCGCACGCTACATACAGTGCTTTAATTTCAGAATAAAAAAACTTTGTATTATTTGTTTAAAATATATGAGGACAATACAATTTAATGTATTTATATTAAGGGCTCCATTACATTCATACATCGATAAGTTTTAATGTGAAAGAAGCATCTATTAAAAAAGAATAACAAAAAGGTATTTATTGCAGATACCTTTAAAACACTGCAAAAAAACTATTCTCAAAGAGCTTATGTAGACATTTTTAGGTTAGTAATTTTTATTTAGTGTAAAAAACACTACTTTGAGCGTATATTGGAGCACCACAATGTTAACCGGTAAAGATAATCGTTGTATATGTATATGAAATTTGTATTGGCTGACAAATTTTAAACTAATGATTTACTTTTGGGAATTGGTAATGTTTAAACAATAAGTACAATCATACGCACACACTATGGCTCTCTATTAAGAACGTTCACCTTTTTTTTGTACCTTTTGAAGAACGGTATAAGAATCTGTCTGAAGCAGAGGCGCGTTATAAATTGATTGAATGTCGTTTGAGCACATAAAAAAATAAACAGTTATTTAAAAAAAAAGACATTTTATAGATTCAGCTAGCCGGAAAGACAGTTGAACTGGTGCCTCTAATAAAAGAATATGAATTGTATGATTTAAAATGAAAAGAGCCCCACTGCTTAATATAAGCTGTGGTAGAAGGAGAGGACTAGGAATATATGGATACAAATACTATGTTCTTGTATTGGCAATAACGGGAGTTCCTTCTATTACATATTGTCAAGGCAAATTATGACTCATGACGGTTAGCCAGGCAATTGTATGCGTGGACAGACCCCGATGGGTATAATGATTTGTCAAGAACCAGAAATACATAAGAAAGTAAAAATGTAATTCCACATTGATATAATATTGAGCTGTCAAGTACGACAGACAAATATTAGCTGTCCAACAAAGTACTGTACGGCTTTGAGTTGATGTTTGAGATACAAAGCAAGGAACATATAAAGTCGGTAGGCTGTCTTTAACGATGTTTGCTGATTAGAAACCATTGTAAGCATTTACCTCTTGTTTTATATTTCCCACATGAATGCTAATGAATGTCAACCAAACAAAAGTAAAGTACAGTCATTTTAGGGATAGCCTTGTCTTGTCTTGCAGTGTGTTCCACGCTCTTTTTTTAAGCGCTTTCATATAAAGAGTAAAAGACAACAACATGCTTTAATAGATCGTTTCTTTTTTCAAAGAATTATACGCTCTTGTAGTCAAATTTATTCAACTTTTTGGTAATTTGTTTGAGCACTGGACTTTTATCTAGCTTAATTGCCATCATATTTTCAACGATACAGCCGTAAAAGAACAAACAATATACGATGCAATTATTTTCAGCTATGGGTGAATAAAGGCAGGTCTCCTTTCGGTTGATAATTAAATGTTACGATTCTTTTGTTTTTGATTGATAGTGAAATTGGCATGACTGCAATGAAATAAAAAACTAAAGCTTGCATTTTTAAACAAACATAATATTACAGCACATGTAATAATTATGACACAATCTTCTTGACACGAGAAATTATCAAGTATGTGGTATCAATGCATATTCTTGGGGTATATACGAAAATAATTCAACAAAGCCTTCATCTTTTATTTATTCACTCACTACATTCCCAATTTTATGTAATTACAATTAAACGAGGTACTTTGTCTTTTGAATTAAGCCCAACACAAACCAGACATAAAACAGCAGAAAAAAAAAAGAAAAAAAAAGACGTATCTATCGTATAATTATCTCTCCAATCTTTTGACAATGTCACGGATATAATTATAGAGACTAAGCTCGATACAGTTTTGATTCAGACAAATTACCATTTCACAAAAGCATAATACAATAAGTACCATCATTCAATTTCTATAATTAACGTAACATAATTACATCTATTAGAGACATCCTGACAACGTGGACACATCGATCAAGCTCTTCCTGACAGAAATCAAAGCAAAGAAAAACATTTCCAACTCCGCCAGGCATCGACAAAAAAATTAAAAAAGATGATCTCCTCCGGGTTCGAACCGGAGACCTACTCCGTGTAAAGGAGTTGTCATAACCAACTAGACCAGGAAACCATTTGATGACTTTTATAAAGTTAACAAAATGATATACCATTAATTAAAACACAAATCACGTGATATACGCGTGATCACACGTGATACGTATGTTATGATTGGCGTAGAGAAGACCCATATCGAGCACTTTGTGGTACTTTGTGGATGAGCAGAAATGTCAGGGCAGGACAGAAACGAGAATTGCTTTTAGAGTGAGGTTTTTTTTTGTTGGTATATAAGGACCAAAAAAAAAAAAAAAATTAGCTTGTAAATAATAAAACAGACTATTTATACTAAATGCCTGGATCCGAACAGGAGAAAAATAGGAGGGATGTAATAAAAAACGAAATAGGAGAAATGTAGGATAGGAGTATACCCACAAGAGCATGTCTGATTTCTTTGTATGCTGCTGTTCATTGTTATAAAGAAATAGATTTTATTAAGTATGTGTTAGGTTTATGATGAAAAAAAAAAAAGTAAATTGCCATACAGCTTGACAAATAATTGCGTTGCTCTTAAAATATATGTTTTCTTTTGATTTTTAGTACTTCAAGTTCCAAACAAAGAAGCACACCTTTTTTTTCTTTGTTATACATGCGTATAATTTATCATAAAGACGTGCCTTTTTTGCTACAACATCCAAAAATAACAAGTGTGTCGATGCATTATTAGAGTAGTTATCAAATTATAAAATGGTAATAAGCAATGTATATGTGAGCAGAGTAATTCATAATACTTTATTAAAAAAGAACCCTTTTTTTAAGCAAAAGAAGAGACCAAATACGGTAACAGGGTTTTCTTTTGGCGGACGAAAAACAAGTTTTCGTACTTCCCCTCCTGCTGCTCTGTCATTTAACTGCTTCAACTTACTGAGTGTCTCTAAAATATCTTTTCTGACTCGTGATACAGGCTTTTCATATTATTTAACATTTCAACAAAATAATCGTAGTACAGATGTTGGCGGAAGCGAGAATCCAGGTAATTTGCAAATGAAGGCAAGAAAAAATCGACACTGTCTCGGGAAAGTCCAATTTTTTCAATATACCTTGTATCATATTGGTTCTCCTTATAAGCCATGGATACAACAGAAATTCTTCCAGGCAAATTATTCACATATTCATGAAGAATGTATAATGCGTCGCCTTCGTTGATATCCGTGTAAATGTTTTCCTTATATTTTGGTACTGGTCTTCCTTGCATTATTATGTCTGTTTCAATTGTTGGAGTCGGAATATTAGAATATAAAGAACTCGCTTTTTTGATTTAGGGCTCCCAGGTATAGTCCGTCTGGTGTGCCCTTGACAATTTGCCCTTGAATCGCACTTGAGACTCCCAGGTATAATCCGTCTGGTGTTGCCTTGGCAATTTGCCCTTGAATCGCACTTGAGACTCCCAGGTATAATCCGTCTGGTATGTCCTTGATAATTTGCTTTTGAGCCATATTTTTTTCGTATGGATATTTAAGCTTAAGGCGTTTCGAAGCACCTTCATCATCAATCCAGAAAGTGATAAACCCTCTGCTATTAATAGTCACTTTAGATCCATGGATTGTTTCTTTACACTCAATTCCTTATCTTTCCAAAGCAGTCTCAGCCGAACGTTTTCCACGTGCACGTTGGAGCTCGCTACTGTAGTTGCTAGAATTTGGCTGTCGTTTACCAATACAGTATCTTGACCAATTACGAAAGCAAACCAACTGTAATTCTGGGTCTTGTAACACTTCCTCAAGAGAGACATGGCTCGGCTTATATTGATCAAACTTGGAAATTATGTTTGGGCTGAATCCTTGACTTGTGGGTCCTGATATGATATACTGTCAGCCAAAAAATATTATAATAAAAAAGAAAAGAATGATGCTCACTTTGACTAATTACGGAAAGAGATGCCAAATAAAAATTGGTTCCAATGTCTCTTGTTAATGCCCATTCTATCCATTGAGCCTTATCACTTCTGGGATACCCAACATGTAAACTTCTCAAGTTTTTTTTCCACAACATTAGAACCTGGTTTTTTCTTTCCATACTATTAGCTTGACCAAGAGCTTTTTCAGAATTCTCCGTGCGTGTAAGTGCACTTTTCGTTCTATATGCTATCAATGCTTCGGGAAGTAACTCAACCTGAGGATATTCTTCACGGGCCTCCCTTTCTTTTGACTTGTATGTTGCAACCACTGTATTGAGCTCGTTGTATAAATATCGGAGTATTGGCGGTTTATTGGAAGAGTCTTTATTACAATACTCATATACTTGCCAGACAATATTACTTCTCAGGGTATTTGGATTTGCAACTATCAGATCGTGTGCTATCTCGAGAATAGCCAACGTAATTCTCCAGACAATATCAATAATACGCCTTGCTCCGTTTGCTGACCTTGTGGTATGTTTGTCAACACCTGGATGAAAATGAGGAATTACAATAATCTCAAAACCAGGAGGGGGGCCATCAACATCGGTGCCGTCATATATGTACTCTGTACTTGCGTATGAGCATAATTGAGGTATCCCAACGATATCCACCAAATTATCTTTTGAATCTAACCCATACTGATGAACAAAGTTTGACAATGCAACTGATGTGACTTGGCGTGAGAATGTTACTGCAACTATAGGACTGGTTAAGTGCAAGTACAATGATGCTTGGCTAATTCCATTGTTGATGGTTTCCTTTCTGCTCTCCAACCATGGGATCAGATCAATGAATAGAAACTTTCCAAGGTACTGTTTTGCAGCATTTACACTGTAACTATCGTAAATTCCATTTTCCCAAGAACACAGTCGTGATATCATATCGCATAGGATATAGCCAGCTCTTCCGGACTCGGGATCTAGAATCGGAAGTGCGTCATGGAAGTTTGCGACTGTAATATCATGACCAATCATACATAAAAGATTGAATCCAAAGACAGATCCTGTCGGTGTCGCCATTCGTGCTATAGTGGCCAGATAAGCAGGAGTGACTTCATGGCTTCTGTTATATTGATAATTAACTAATTCAAACGATCTTCTTCTAGAAACAATGTCATCAATCCAAGTTTTTACTCCAGCTGCTGAAAGATGGTGAACTATGCCTGAATAGGGTGAAGCCGGAGGAAACTCCGGTGGAGGCTCGTAGCAATTCTGACGTGCAAATCGATCGTCAAATTTGGGTATAAGGGCGAATGACTAATCGAACCATCTAACAACCAGCATTCAGAATCAATATTTATCCTTGATCTGTCAGCTCTTTGAATCCTTTGCCATGATCCACATAAGCTATGACTAAAATTTGTCTTATTTATATGCTGGGATCAAGTGAAGGCGCTATCAAGACATATCTGACCATCGAGTAAGCTTATAATTTCTTGTTTCTACCGTCAATCTAAGGATTGAATGAATCGTAGATTTAATCGAAATTCTCTGGGCTCTGTCATGGTTTCAAATGTTGCTATCAAAAGGACTATCGTTGACAGTTGGATGATACATTTTTTGAATTTAAAGGTAATTATCTCCTTAATCACTATTGACAGATAGGTTGACCGAAGTAACTTGACAGAAGAGTTACTTATGTTGAAAGAGTCATTGAATTTGGAAAAAAAATTTGTCTTGGTGGTGGCACAAAACAAATCAAATTGTTCTCTATCCGGTAGACACTTCGCGTTGAAGCCACCTGGTTGACTGTTTAGCAAATTCTCTAAACCAAAAACAGAAATGAGAATCTTCTCATACAGATCGGCATTGTCATATGATTCAAGACTAATTGCTTCGTAGCTCAAAACAAACAAATTGGCTTTGGGTTTTGAACCATCTACTTTCTTAAACAAATTCGCAAAAAAGCCATTTCTCCTGCTCTTTGCGTCCTCCTCAAATCTTCTATGTGGATCTGATGGCCATTTGCATTGACGGACATATCTAAGGTAATAGTAGTCTTGGTCAAACGCCCCAACCTGGGAGATCTAGTAGAGCAGAATTCATCCATATACACCATCTTGCCTGAAATTGTTTATTTTTGCTTTTAAGGTGCTTCGTACAGCTTTCCAGCTCCTTGTGTAAACAAATAACAATCTCTATAAATTTTCAGATCTTTTCAAATCTTCGGTGTATTGAACAACATCAATTCTAAAAAATGAGCTGCATGTTGTACTAAGTTACGGCCACGCAATATTGAAAACATTGGATTCCTTCTGTTGTAGTTATATTCCAAGAAAGATTGAATTGTTCTCCTTTAGGCAAATACTTTAAATCAAAGCCGCCTGGTTGACAGTTCCATACATGTTCTAAACCAAATACTACGATAAAATTTGCTCTTGAAGATCAGGATTGTCAACTGAAGCACAATAGTTATTGTTTTCCAGAGAGCTGCTTAATTAGTGCATTAAAACATGGGAAATATTCTGAAGGATAACAATACTTAATACATATTCTATATCTGTTACAAAACCATTACTTACTTTGAGCAGGAGGCCGTAGTTTTCTATGTAAATATGACATGTTTTTGGTGCTAGTTTATATAAACACAAAGCCTGTATAGCATGATTAAGCTAGTAATCTTTAAGTAAGGACTTCCAATGAACAGGTTTTTGACCAGTTATTGCATCAGGTCAGCAGCAGTTCTGGGTCTTGCAATACTTGCTGAAGAGATAAACGATCCGTATCGTCCAGAACAAATTTAGAGACCACTTTTGGACTGAGCCTTCAATTGAAGTTCGTCTTAATAATATAAAAATCATCAGTATAAAACAATAAACAGATAGATAAGAAAGCCATTGTCTACTTACTTTAAAAAATTACGTAGGGAGGTATTAAACAAGATAATACTAGTACTTCAATTACTGACCTCATAATTTGGCCTAGTTATTTTTCACGGGATACTGAATATGAGAACTCCTTTATGTGTTTCTCCTCGCTTGGACATGGGGCTTTTTGCAAATTCTTTACACAGGCAAATGCTCAGCTTGTTATATAAGTACAACTACACACCGTTGGATGGTAAGCACTCACTTTTCAAAACTCTACGGCCTATCTATTTGGTTTTTCAGATGAGCAGATGAGTTTGATAAGAATATAGTATGACATTTTAAATAATAAAATAGTAAAATAGTAAAATGAAAAGTAAAATAATAATAAAAAGTCTTTATTTATAACAAAAAAAGAAAAGGATGATAAACAAGAACCTGATTACATCAAGATGTAATCATTGTTTGGTCATTTAATCGCTTTTTTTTAAGAAAAATCTATACTATTCTTAATACATATGAAATAGAAAAAAGAAAAAGCTGATAAACAAGAACCTGATTACATCAAGATGTGATCATTGTTTGCTCATTTAATTGCTTTTTTCTTTAGATCTATACAGTTTTCGCAAACACGAAAGCTCCATCAGCACCGGGAGCTTCGCCAACACCGAGATATTTACCAACACAAAGATCTTCACCATACTATTCTTAAAACATGTGAAATAGAAAAATGAAAAAGCTAATAAACAAGAACCTGATTACATCAGGATGTGATCATTGTTTGCTCATTTAATCGCTTTTTTCTTTGGATCTATACTATTTTTAGAACATTTGAAATAGAAATAGAAAAAGGTATAGCATTCTACATCTAAACAAATTGTGTTGCCCCTGATATACGATACATCTTCAGTAATTTCCAACATCTTATAAAGTCTAAAGCAAAAAGCAGTATTATTGTCACAAAAAGTTACACCAAAAGCGTTGTTTTCTTTATATGTTATTCGTATATTTTATAAAAAAAAGACACGTTTTACTTACAGTAATCACATCATACGCGGGAGGTAACTGTATCTTCACTATGTCAACATACAGACTACATGAGTGAAAACAGTACATTGGTCAATTTTGTCTGACACTTAAAAAAGTGTTCCTTTTTAAAGTATTTATTTATTGTTATCTTAAAAAAAGACCAAATACAGTAACTGGGTTCTCGTTTGGAGGACGAAAAATTAGTTTTCGTACTTCACTCATTGTTGAGCTGTCACTTAATTGCTTTAACTTATTGAGTGTCTCCAAAATATCTTTTCTGACTCGTGAAACAGGCTTTTCCATGTTATTCAACATTTCAGCAAAATAATCGTAGTACGGATGTTGGCGGAAGCGAGAATCCAGGTAAGTTGCAAATGAAGGCAAGAAAAAGTCAACATTATCTCGAAATAGCCCTATTTTTTCAATATATCTATCGCACTGATTCTCCTTATAAGCCATAGATACAACAGAAACTCTTCCAGGCAAATTATTCAAATAGTCACGAAGAATATATAATGCGTCGCCTTCGTTGATATCCGTGTAAATGTTTTCCTTATATTTCGGTACTGGTCTTCCTTGCATTATTATGTCTGTTTCAATTGTTGGAGTCGGAATATTAGGATATAAAGAACTAGCTTCTAATTGCCACATCCGGTACAAAATTTGGCCATTTTCACTAGATTTAATATGGTTCAAACTCAAATATATTGTTGCTTGGTTGTCCGCTTCTAAGTCTAATCCCTCTGTTGTAACCCTGATATTTCGTTCTTGGACCATATTTCTTTCGTATGGATATTTAAGCTTTAGGCGTTTCGAAGCACCTTCATCATCAATCCAGAAAGTGATAAACCCTCTGCTATTAATAGTCACTTTAGATCCATGGATTGTTTTTTTACACTCCATTCCTTTTCTTTCCAAAGCCGTCTCAGCCGAACGTTTTCCACGTGCACGTTGGAGCTCGCTACTGTAGTTGCTAGAATTTGGCTGTCGTTTACCAATACAGTATTTTGACCAGTTACGAAAGCAAACCAATTGTAATTCTGGGTCTTGTAACACTTCCTCAAGAGAGATATGGCTCGGTTTATATTGATTAAACTTGGAAATTATGTTTGGGCTGAATCCTTGACTTGTGGGTCCTGATGATATACTGTCAGCCAAAAAATATAATAATAAAAAAAGAAAAAATGATGCTCACTTTGACTAATTATGGAAAGAGATGCCAAATAAAAATTGATACCAATGTCTCTTGTTAATGCCCATTCTATCCATTGAGCCTTATCACTTCTGGAATGCCCAACATGTAAACTTCTCAAGTTTTTTTTCCACAACATTAGAACCTGGTTTTTTCTTTCCATGCTATTAGCTTGGCCAAGAGCTTTTTCAGAATTCTCCGTGCGTGTAAGTGCACTTTTAGTTCTATATGCTATCAAGGCTTCGGGAAGTAACTCAGCCTGAGGATATTCTTCACGGGCCTCCCTTTCTTTTGACTTGTATGTTGCAACCACTGTATTGAGCTCGTTGTATAAATATTGGAGTATTGGCGGCTTATTGGAAGAGTCTTTATTACAATACTCATATACTTGCCGGACAATATTACTTCTCAGGGTATTTGGATTTGCAACTATCAGATCGTGTGCTATCTCAAGAATAGCCAACGTAATTTTCCAAACAACGTCAATAACACGTCTTGCTCCATTTGCTGCTCTTGTTGTATGTTTGTCAACTCCTGGATCAAAATGAGGAATTACAATAATCTCAAAACCAGGAGGGGGGCCATCAACATCGGAGCCGTCATAAACATAATCACTGCTTGCATAAGAGCATAGTCTAGGTATTCCAACGATATCCACCAAACTAGTTCTGGAACTCAATCCGTCTTGGTGGACGAAGTTTGTAAATGAGGCCGAGACAACTTGTCTTGAAAACGTTATCGCAATAATTGGATTGGTCAAACGCAAATACATAGATGTTTGACTGATTCCCTCACTGATAGTTGCCTTGTTGTTCTCCAACCAGGGAATTAAATTGATAAACGGTATTTTCCCTATATACCGGGTCGCATCCTCTACGTTGTAATCATTGTAATTTCCTATTTCCCAAGCTTGTAGCCTAGAAATCATATCACACAAGAGATAACCTGATCGACTAGAATTAGGGTCAAGAATCGGAGTTGCGTTATAAAAACTTGTAGACGGAATGTCATCACCAATCAAGCATAAAAGATTAAACCCGAAGATTGATCCGGTTGGAGTTGCTGATCGCCTAACTGTTTCAATATAGGCAGGAGTAAAGGTAAGGCCTCGACTTTGATTGTTCTCAAACCCTTTAAAGGAGTTTCTCTTGCAGACGATATAATCAATCCAATTTTGTATGTCAGTCATTGTGACAGAAGGGTTGTTTGTATCGAAGGATCTATTGTACTTTTGAAAAAAATTTGTTTTGGTTGTATTTAAGAAAATGTCAAACTGCTCTCTTTCTGGTAGGTATCTTGCATTGTAACCGCCTGGCTGACTGTTTAGAAGATTTTCCAGACCAAAGACTGCAATAAACATTTGCTCTTGTGTATCAGCATATTCGAAGGAGGCAAGATTACCATCATTGTTCCATAAAGTTGCTTCGCTCTTTAATGAATACAAGTTGAATTCGGGCTTAGGAACATTTGCAAGGTTTTCTATTTTTTTAAGCAGATTGCCAAGAAATCCGTTATATCTCGAGTGTATATCTTCTCTAGATCTCTTTAAAGGATTTGATGGGTATTTGCATTCACCTATGTAACGAAGATAATAATAATCTTGATCGAATAGACCTACTTGAGATATCCAGTTGAGTATAACGGATTCATAAACACCTTCTAGACTGAATTCGTTTATGATTGTTTCTAAGGTGATTCGTGCAACTTTCCAGCTCCTTATGTAAAACGAAAAATAACCTTTATTTTTAGATGTATTCATATCTTCGGTGAATCTGATAACATTAAGTCTATCGCACATAACCTGATCTGTAACGATCATATTATTCTGCATAATACCACGCAAAGTATCTAAATTGTTTTCATCTTCCACCTCGCTAAATAACTTTTGGACTGCATCAAAAGTTATGTCTTTTGGAGACATATTGTATTCGCAAATACGCTCACATATTGTCCTATGAGCATCAGCAAAGAATTGGTATTTACGCATCACGAATCCATTTTCCATACTTGCCACTATATAAGAAATGAGAGGAAATGTTAATAATTAACAATATATGTTTTTAAAAAAGACAGTCATTACTTCGGGTAGAAGGTTGTTACAATTTGAAGAAAAAGTGAAATTTCAATTTGACGTGTATTTATAACAATATAGAACTATGATAGTATATAAAACAAAGAAGATGCAGTGTACCTGTTACTATAAATAAAAGACAATAAGGCAGCGGTAAAGTTTAATGATTGATTATGGGATCTATAAGTATAGTCGGTATCCAGACAATAAAATCTTGAATTACCTGGACAAAAAATATGCTTAAATAATACATAACAATCCTCGTAAGTGAGCACGAATCAATGCTGCTCTACAGCTCATAAGTGACAATAGGTAAATTTTGTCTTTTTAGCAAAAGAGTATATCAATTAATTACTCAGTTTGTACGAATTCATGCTGGAATAAAATTCCTGAATATTCAATTCATCTCACAGCCCGACACTTGAACAAAAAATAAATCATTAAGGCTGCTTTTGCCTGCAAATCTTTTTTAATCTTAATGATTGTTTAGGCCCCCGAGTGTCATAAGTGTCATAAGTGTCGTAAGTCTCTCCAGTTCTGTGATTAAAATGATTTTAATAGACGTGAGAGCATACCATGCGTTAAATAATCATTTAATCAGTTATTTAACATGCATCATTAACTATTATAGCATGTGTTTAATTTTGGAAATGTGACGCCTACAATAAGTACAATACCTACATTATAGTTGTATACTAAGTACACTAACCAACACCCACTTTTTTTAAAGAACGACCATTGATCTTTACTTGCACCTCCCAGCCGGGAAGAAGCCACCCCCTCTCACCTTTACTTAATTTTAAAAAACAACAACAATGGGAAAATCAAGAAGAAGTACACACAAACGTATGGAAGAAATGAAACGACTTGCGCTTTTAGATCCCGATCTTATACTCGATGAAGATGCTATCTTTATGTTGCAACCTACTCGTCGCAAATACACTCGTCGCCCTAAATACGATCTCCCACCTGACGATCGTCATATGACAACAGATATATCTGAAGTTATTGAAATCAAGCAGGGAGCCGGCCCCGGAAGAAAGCGTCAAAAAAAACAAGAGGACATGCTTGATTCTAACGATTGTAATGACTCTAATGAGCCGACCCCCGAGGAAGTCAAGGAGCAAAAGGCTTCTTTTGAAAGAAAGAAAAAGGTCGATTTGGAATTTCGATGGCACAATGTACTCAAAACCTTGTGTACCAGCTACCTGATCTTTGTTGGTCAGCAAGGTGGTCTACCATCCATCGAGACCAAATCTCCTTCTGCTTTTGAGTGCGATTGTGCTAAAAAAGTAATTCTGACAAAGACTGTCAGAATGTACTTTTTGGTCGGTAAAGTGCCAAATACTTGATAAAATATTAGTGGTCACTGACATTTCTCATAATATTACTATAGAGATCAAGGATGCACCAGTAAGTTACTGCAGCTGCAAGCGCTTGCCGGAAGCATTAATGTTGATGGGTATGTTTCCTTCTTCTCCCTCAAACCCCAAAAGTGCTATCCATTTGGGTTTGTTGGGCTACTTCAATGAAGTTCGAAATACCCTGAAGTCTTCTTCTGAGGGTATTGCGAAGTTGTACAATAACTTACGGGGAAACCCCGTCCAGGTAATTATTACCATAAAAATCGTCTTGATAGATCTAACTAATCTGTTTGAGTAGAGCTGTTTGTCAGCCAAGCAGTGCAGAAATGTATTATATATGTACAACCGACTTCTTTTGGCTGTTGATAAAGAGGTCAACCAACGAACATAACCAACGAGCATATTTGAAAGACCAGGCAATGTGATGTCCTGCTTGTCTTAGTGTATGTTTACATAATAAATTAAAATCGAATAAGATCGTAACCTCTTTATTTTTTATGGAGGGACTCCAATTATCCTATAGATCGTATTTTCATCACTACGGATGGGTAAAATAGTAAGAAATGTAAGTCTAAAGCAAGTCTTTTTGATGAACTCTTTATGATTAATACCGTGGAGAACGCATGGGTGAAGCTTGAATCTGTCGAGCTTTACAAAAAGGGTTAGAAATAATTTGGCTTGCTGACAAGACAATACGATCAGTAGGCTCTTATAAACGAAAACTTATTCAGAGCTGCAGGTAATGGCACTTCATATAAATCCAGATTGTATCCCGTAAAAGGACTTTTTGCTGCTTTGTGTGTGCGCCATGGCCTCACCCTAAAGATGGTGGATATGGAGTGGTGAAGGGTATATTGTATACATGGGAGGTTATTTTATACGAATTACAATTTATATATGAAGATTCAAATATCCATTATCTGTTCTCCGCGACCTATTTGAAGAAGACAATGACAGCATCAAGACGCCTGTGAATTTGATGTGCGACATCATTTGTGTCTTGGAGAAGTCGTTGACGGTGACATCTCATTTAATATTGTTGATGTATGGATACTGATACATTCTTGTGATAGACGCACTTCCCGCACTTGATTGCTAATGGCACTTTTGCACTCTGAAATGCAGTCGTCACAATTTTCCTATTCTTTGATTTTACTTGTTACACCCCTTTTTCTTTTAAGCTGTATCCCATATTTTTTCTAATTATTCAGCATCAGCAATTCTGTAGTGACAAGTTAGTTTCCTTCTCGCCTTTGCATACCAATATCTTTTGTATTTAGCTTCAACTACTGCAATACTTATCTTACTTTCTGTATGGCTTCCGCCGCTCTTAATTGTCTTGAAAATACTCGCTTTGATAGTATAAAATAAACAAAGATGTTTGTATTTGTTATAGCAGAAAACCTTTATTTAACTCCGGTATGGAAATAACAAATACCTGTTACATGTAAATCCATTTATTCCTACTTGGTCCACAAGTTAGTATGTATATTTTAATTAAATAACTTTGAAATATTCCAAATATAACACCCTAAAACTTAATCGCGGCAAAGTTTCAATTTAGACCAGAACCGCTGGTTCTGGTCTATTTTCTGTAAATTACCGCGACCACAGGTTCAGGTAAAAATTAGACCTGAACCTGAAAATCAAAAAAACGTAAAAGACATAAAAAGTATAAAAAACTGTTATATAATGATAACAATACATATTTAAAGTAGTTTTGGGATAAGAAAATGGTATTAAGTTTATTATTGATGGCAGAAACAAAAGTTTGAAGTAAATACTAGAATTTTGCGTGACACAAGTACTGTTCGAACTTTTCGAGCTTGCACCGATCTTGCGCCAGTTCGAACGAAGCTCGAACCGAGTTTTTGTACTCGAGCTTGCGCCACTTTTTTTGGGTTCGAGCGAGCTTCGATCGATGCTCGCTCGGCTAAAATGTCGATAGTAGTCACTTTAAAGTTAAGGTCCTTGAAAGACTACAGATGACATTTCCCCTTGATTTTAATCTTTTCTTCCCTTTACCATTTTTTTTTATTTATGCTCTAATAATTCCAATTAAAATGCTTTGGACTTTTATTTAATTTTACAACCAACAAACACATTTACCATAGAAATGAAACAGTGTTGCACACTATACCCAACTAAGCCAATTTTTTACAGCAACCTTTGTAACATGGCGTAGCAGAATTAATTTAAAATTTCATGTTCACAAATCCAAATGTATTATAATTATAGATGCAGTAATAGTTTGATTTAATTATCCAAATTTGGTGTTAAGGCTGGTGAAAAAAAAACTTTTCTTTTTCTTTTTCCAATTTCTATTTCAATAAATAATAATTTTATTATCATAATTTTCTGTAATTAACATCACTTTGACGTGCACTTTGTGTAATAAAAAGGGCGAGCGAGTTCGAGCTATCGTATTCGCAACCGAGCCGAGCTTAAGAAACTTCGAGCGAGCTCGAGCTGCAAGAAAACGCATCCGAGCGAGCTTCGACTGGAACACGATCGAAGCTCGCTCGAGAGTTTCGATCTTCATTCCGAACACTACTTACAGACCGAAAGAGCGACATGCTATCCTTTTTAGAATGGATTATAGATGTATACATAAAAGTTCTGACTATTTCGCTGAACAATAAATTTTATTTCAATAAACGTTATTTATTTATCCCCAAAAATTCTATTATTTCCAAATGTTTTTTTTTTTTTTTTTTTTTTTTTTTTGCAATAGTGCAAAAGGGTATAATGATCCTAGTTTTATAAAAAATTGACCAATACAATCATATAAAATAACAAGGATACCATGATTTTATTCGTCACGTTTCAGAGGTTCAGGTTGGTTTATATAAAAAAATTAGACCAGAACCAGAGGTATTGGTCTACCGTACACCAGAACCTGAGGTTCAGGTTAAAATTAGACCGCGACCTTTGGTCTAACTTTTCCGCGGTCTAACTTTAACCTGAACCCGAAAAAAATTTCTCAGTGTAAAGCACATATAGTAGATTATGTTATTTTTGTTTTGCATGGAGAACAAAATAAAATAAACCAAAAGTAGTACTGTTAGAACTTGGATACCACTTATTTATGGACGAAAAAAATAACTAATTAAAAAACGTATTCAAAATGTATTGATGGTCTATGAGAAAAGCTATGGATTATTTATATACAGAATTGGGATAGTTCTAGGGAGAATATTAAGCGCCTTATTGGATCATGATGTAACAATCTGGTGATAGTAAATAATCAACATGTCTTTAAATTTAGCCCTTCCATACTGAGTATATAAATATTAGTCAGAGGGATCAACAGTTATAACATCAAATGACAAGAGTAATATTTATGCTCAGGATCTTTTAATATTCTATAGTCCAGGCCCATTCGATTGTATTGCTTTTGCAGAATAAATATTTACTCGCCACAGGGATGTGCCCTGTGTACAGACTCCAACGGTAGGATGAGAACAAGCGGGGTAATGTGTGATCCATGATTAACTTTTATATTTATTATCCATCCTTATTGCGATGTGACAATTAACTTTATTATTATATCTATGATATCCTCAACAATGTTGATTATTTACTATCACCAGATTATTACATCATGATCCAATAAGGCGCTTAATATTCTCCCTAGAACTATCCGAGTTCTTTATATAAATATCCATAGTTTTTTCTCATAGACCATCGACGATTTAATACATTTTGGAATACATTTTTTTAATTATATTTTTTCGTCCATAATAAAGTGGTATCCAAGTTCTAACAGTATCACTTTTGGTTTATTTTTTATTTTGTTCTCCATGCAAAACAATCTGTTGTCACTTCGACTGAACCAATACAATTGGTCACATAAAACTTGCTTGCTGGCATAAATGCTCTCCAAATCCTGATTTTTGTTGCTGAAAAACACCATAAAATAAAACGTTAGCGGATATGTCTTTGAAGGAAAGAGAAAATACAAATGTGTCGCCTGAACAAAAAAAGAGCCAATTTTTTTGAAAATTTCAAAATCACCATAATGGAACTTTCGCCCGATGACATGCAGCATGGCGACAAGACCGTATCCAGCCTTGATATAATCTTGAGTTTCCTTTGGGGCATTTTGTTGAAGTAAAGGGCCTGTTGTTTCCAAGATTGCTATCTCGATCTTACTTTCTATATTTGAGACGATACCATCAGCATTATAGAAATGCTGATTGTCATTATGGATCAACTTTAGCTCCTGGGATACAGCTTCTAATCTCTTTTCACCCAATGAAAACTTAGTCTTCTGAATTGATTTTGATAACGAGTTCAGAATTGACCATATAATGTAGTGGTTATAACTTATTTCGTTGTTGTAAACATCACTATCATCAATAAACAATCCACTGACGCTATAATTAGGAAAGTTAAATAGACGCTACAGAACCTGAATGATCGATTAAAGACTTACAATGACTGCAGAACGGTATGAAAAACTTTATGAATGAATTGTTTGACTTAAATACAAGCGAGGCCGTTTCGACCAGTACTTCATTTGAGGAAAACTCATCCGAAAGAGCCTACCAAATACTTGGGGTGTTAATGGTTATCACTATTTTACAATGTTAGTTGATATTTCTACTCACAATAGTATCAAATATGTTATTGTAGAATTCATTATCTTCAACGAATGAGCAAGGTATCTCTTCAAGTGTGAGTCCAGTTTTTTTGATTAAATTTTTGGGGTAGTATTTTTGTGTTATCTTGGAACCAAGCTTGTTTCCAAGTTGAATAATGTTTAAATGCTTCAAGCTATAATAAAACGATATATTCAATATAGATGTCGAGCTAAATTAATTTCATGCATACCTATACTTATCGATATCACCATCTCTCTGCTTAGTGTCAAGGGTTTTCTTCCATATATCCCAGACATTCATCTCGATATCTTCTTCTACTACTATTTCTTCTTCACTCTCCTATTTGTGGTAAAAAAAAAAAAAAAAAAAAATAGAAATTAGATGCGGATTCTTTTCTTTCAAAGCCATTGTATATTTACTGTTTCTTCCCACGAATCATAAAGTGACGGACCGTAATGTTCTGGGATACCAACACCAGCACCAGTACCACCGAGCATTTTCTCATCCAGAAGCATATTCACCAGACTTGCATTACGGAGCATGTTTTTTTTACTGTTGCAAGATAAAGTCTCGAATATAGAGGATACAGCGACAATTGTGAAGATAGACCAGAATGTGTTGGTAGTGATACTTCCGATTGTGCCTCTGTTAAAGATGTTTTTGAATCCTCAGCAATTTTTCTTTTCTTGTTGTTTTGTTCAATTGTTACTGCGCCATGTGCTCCCATTACGGTAGCAGTTCTGTAGTTGACATTATGGAAGTTGTTGACGGTTGTTTTTTATGGGTCTTCAGTGAGCTATTATTGAACAACGTTAGTATCTTGCATATTAGAAAGAAAAGACAATTAACATTACTTTATCATTGATCTCCTCTGATAAATTTTCAACATATCTTTTCACGTCGTTGTCTTGTACATATTGCTTTATGTTGTTGAGACATAGTTTATACTGACTAATTACTTTATCAATTTTAAAGGACATGCGGTTTTAAAGTTGGCAATGTTGCTTAAAATTTTTGAAGTTCCAGTTAAACAAGTTGTTTTGTTTAAAGAATTCGAGCTCTTTATTGTTTGGCAAAACAACTTTATTATTATCAAGTCACAGGTTTTTGGATTTGGATTTTCTAATTTTATAAGGGTGTTTGCTTTAGAAATGTCTAGACCTCCGTATTTTTTTTCAAATGTGTTTTTTTTATACCACTTACAGGAATTCTGGCTAGAAGACCAGCATTCCAGTATGTTTGCACCTATTTAAAATGCGTTCCTGCTATTCACAGTTCGTGAGTTCCAAAAACTCAAAAACTCTGCCTAGGAGGTCGCCCTCCTATAGCAAAGACTAGCCGCAGCCGCAATATCACAATATATATCTTTTCTAATTTAGCTTCTTTTTAAAGAGACAAGAGTCACTACTAAACAAACCTTTTTACGTGATCGGTTACTTTCATACAATAAAAGAAGTATATTAAGGGAAAAGAAAAGGATAAGGATAAAGTGTGTGAACCAGCTTTATTTATAGATAAACAAGTTTATGCCAGGATGATTTCATTTGTCTATTTTATCATCCATAAACAAGCTTATGTCAGGATGATTTCATTTGTCTATTTTATCATCCATAAACAAGCTTATGTCAGGATGATTTCATTTGTCTATTTTATCATCCATAAACAAGCTTATGTCAGGATGATTTCATTTGTCTATTTTATCATCCATAATGTTTGAGCCTTATTACTTAAAATAGAAACACTTGCAAAAACCTCCCAAGCAAGTCAGAGCTTGGTAATTGTCTATCTGCGTTCCAGTAGTAGCTTGTAATGACAGTGAAGCAGATTTTATGGCAAACAGAAATCGATCATCCCATGAAGTTTAGATGATATGGCATGTCAATCGACGTGTAGACCATCGCGTGATTCTAAAAAATACGTTTATTTGAAAAAAAAATACGTTTGAAAAAAATACGGAGTTCTAGATATTTCCGTTTGCTTTGGCTAAATGAGATACTAGTAACAACTAAATTTGAAGATGAGCTAAAGGGAGAGGTGAAATGCCTTAATTATAGAGAGCTTCTTTTAGATATTGTTGTATCAAACGAGTAGCAGAGGCAATAGTAGTAGATGAGATAAAAAGGAGAGAGTCAAAGATATAGGCCCAATGACTACGCCAGGTAGCAAGAGGAGCGGGGCAAATAATGACACTAGCATCAGCAATAGAACAGTTAGGACGAACACCAGGAAAAAGAAGATGGAATAAGGCAATATAAACAGCTTCTATTGAGAAAAGCTCCATGACCAGACAGAAGTCTTTAAAGGGCAGAGAAAAAGAAAATGATTGAGAAAATCATCCTCAGTCGAGCATATATCACATAATGGAGAGGCAAAGTATGCCGGAATTACTTGATTTAACAAAATAGGAGAGGGGATCTTGTGATGTAGTACCCGAAACCATACGTTATGACCAGCATGTGTGAGAAGAAAGCGCCAAAAGGCCGACCAGAGTATTGACGGCAAAGTAATCCTTGGGTTGGGGGACAACAGTGTTTACGATACATCTTGGAGGAGAGCAGAGACTGAGACCGAATTGGAAAGGAAAAGTCTAGAATTTTTCCACATTGACCAGCCTGTAATCAACCTGAGTAAAAGGATTGAGACCTACACTAGCCAGTTCTGAGGGGACAAAAAAAAAGGTTGGAGATGGATGACATTCTGTTGGGCTAATGCTAGGAAACGACGGCTTAAACGAGAAGAGCAGCAAAGTTCAGAGACAAGTTTAGGACGAAGACATAGAGTATCAATAGCAATATCGACTTCTTTGACTGAAACTTTTGATTTAATTGCAACAATGAAAACTTCAAGACGAAGAAAATAAAAATCTTAGTAAAGACAGCAATAGCCAGTAAACACTACTTTCTGACATTATTTATCCCAAGGTTTTCCGCTCGACATACAATATGCACGGAAAGGGTTTTGGAAGACAACCAGTCAATAGTTCACCCGAAAGTAATTAAATCAAGATGTTGCCGAAGCGAAGGCAAAAAATGTGGTTAATGCCCTCCCTCCATCTTGGTTTAAAGTATTCAAAAATCTTTTTTAAGTGTGACTAACTAACCCTTCCCCCCCCCCAAAAAAAAAAATTGAATTATGAAGAAAAGGGGATTGTAATTTATTATTGTAATATCCGATGTCTAAGAGACAACAATTTCAATCAAATATAAGATAATTCTTTATTAAATGCTTAATTTGCTCTTGTATATATATTATATGTTCATGTTTGTTAAGTCGGTGATTCGTATTTGTTGTATCGGTGATTCTTATATGTTCCGTATTTACATTAGAGTAGTTGTTATTATGGTCTGAGATAGTCTTGTGATACACAACCCAGAGTTACAGCTGGCTTGCTACCGCAACTGGTTAAGAAACTGTATTAGTAAACGCCAGCCAAATTCCAGCAACTACAGCAGTGATATACAACTTGCACGTGGAAAGCGATCGGCTGAAGCGGCTTTAGAAAGAAAAGGAATGGAGTGTACAGAAACAATCCTTGGCTCCAATGTTACTATAAATAGCAGAGGGTTTATTGATTCCTGGGTTAATAATGAAGGTACTTCCAAGCACCTCAAGATCAAGTATCTATACAACAAAAATATGATTCAAAAGCAAATTTTTAAGGACATACCAGACGGACTATACCTGGGAGTCTCAAGTGCGATTCAAGGGCAAATTGTCAAGGGCACACCAGACGGACTATACCTGGGAGCCCTAAATCAAAAAAGCGAGTTTTTTATATTCTAATATTCCGACTCCAACAATTGAAACATACATAATAATGCAAGGAAGACCAGTACCGAAATATAAGGAAAAAATTTACACGGATATCAACGAAGGCGACGCATTATACATTCTTCGTGAATATGTGAATAATTTGCCTGGAAGAATTTCTGTTGTATCCATGGCTTATAAGGAGAACCAATATGATAGGTATGTCGAAAAAATTGGACTTTCCCGAGACGGTGTCGATTTTTTCTTGCCTTCATTTGCAAATCACCTGGAATTCACGCTTCCGCCAACATCCATATCACGATTATTTTGTTGAAATGTTGAATAACATGGAAAAGCTTGTATCACGAGTCAAAAAAGATATTTTGGAGACACTCAATAAGTTGAAGCTGTTAAATGACAGAACATCAGCAGGGGAGGTACGGAAACTTGTTTTCCGTCCTCCAAGCGAAAACCCTGTTACAGTATTTGGTCTCTTCTTTTGCTTAAAAAAAGGGTTCTTTTTTAATAAAGTATTATGAATTACTCTGCTCACATACACATTGCTTATTACCATTTTATAATTTGATAACTACTCTAATAATGCATCGACACACTTGTTATTTTTGGATGTTGTAGCAAAAAAGGCACGTCTTTATGATAAATTATACGCATGTATAACAAAGAAAAAAAAGGTGTGCTTCTTTGTTTGGAACTTGAAGTACTAAAAATCAAAAGAAAACATATATTTTAAGAGCAACGCAATTATTTGTCAAGCTGTATGGCAATTTACTTTTTTTTTTTTCATCATAAACCTAACACATACTTAATAAAATCTATTTCTTTATAACAATGAACAGCAGCATACAAAGAAATCAGACATGCTCTTGTGGGTATACTCCTATCCTACATTTCTCCTATTTCGTTTTTTATTACATCCCTCCTATTTTTCTCCTGTTCGGATCCAGGCATTTAGTATAAATAGTCTGTTTTATTATTTACAAGCTAATTTTTTTTTTTTTTTTGGTCCTTATATACCAACAAAAAAAAACCTCACTCTAAAAGCAATTCTCGTTTCTGTCCTGCCCTGACATTTCTGCTCATCCACAAAGTACCACAAAGTGCTCGATATGGGTCTTCTCTACGCCAATCATAACATACGTATCACGTGTGATCACGCGTATATCACGTGATTTGTGTTTTAATTAATGGTATATCATTTTGTTAACTTTATAAAAGTCATCAAATGGTTTCCTGGTCTAGTTGGTTATGACAACTCCTTTACACGGAGTAGGTCTCCGGTTCGAACCCGGAGGAGATCATCTTTTTTAATTTTTTTGTCGATGCCTGGCGGAGTTGGAAATGTTTTTCTTTGCTTTGATTTCTGTCAGGAAGAGCTTGATCGATGTGTCCACGTTGTCAGGATGTCTCTAATAGATGTAATTATGTTACGTTAATTATAGAAATTGAATGATGGTACTTATTGTATTATGCTTTTGTGAAATGGTAATTTGTCTGAATCAAAACTGTATCGAGCTTAGTCTCTATAATTATATCCGTGACATTGTCAAAAGATTGGAGAGATAATTATACGATAGATACGTCTTTTTTTTTCTTTTTTTTTTCTGCTGTTTTATGTCTGGTTTGTGTTGGGCTTAATTCAAAAGACAAAGTACCTCGTTTAATTGTAATTACATAAAATTGGGAATGTAGTGAGTGAATAAATAAAAGATGAAGGCTTTGTTGAATTATTTTCGTATATACCCCAAGAATATGCATTGATACCACATACTTGATAATTTCTCGTGTCAAGAAGATTGTGTCATAATTATTACATGTGCTGTAATATTATGTTTGTTTAAAAATGCAAGCTTTAGTTTTTTATTTCATTGCAGTCATGCCAATTTCACTATCAATCAAAAACAAAAGAATCGTAACATTTAATTATCAACCGAAAGGAGACCTGCCTTTATTCACCCATAGCTGAAAATAATTGCATCGTATATTGTTTGTTCTTTTACGGCTGTATCGTTGAAAATATGATGGCAATTAAGCTAGATAAAAGTCCAGTGCTCAAACAAATTACCAAAAAGTTGAATAAATTTGACTACAAGAGCGTATAATTCTTTGAAAAAAGAAACGATCTATTAAAGCATGTTGTTGTCTTTTACTCTTTATATGAAAGCGCTTAAAAAAAGAGCGTGGAACACACTGCAAGACAAGACAAGGCTATCCCTAAAATGACTGTACTTTACTTTTGTTTGGTTGACATTCATTAGCATTCATGTGGGAAATATAAAACAAGAGGTAAATGCTTACAATGGTTTCTAATCAGCAAACATCGTTAAAGACAGCCTACCGACTTTATATGTTCCTTGCTTTGTATCTCAAACATCAACTCAAAGCCGTACAGTACTTTGTTGGACAGCTAATATTTGTCTGTCGTACTTGACAGCTCAATATTATATCAATGTGGAATTACATTTTTACTTTCTTATGTATTTCTGGTTCTTGACAAATCATTATACCCATCGGGGTCTGTCCACGCATACAATTGCCTGGCTAACCGTCATGAGTCATAATTTGCCTTGACAATATGTAATAGAAGGAACTCCCGTTATTGCCAATACAAGAACATAGTATTTGTATCCATATATTCCTAGTCCTCTCCTTCTACCACAGCTTATATTAAGCAGTGTGGCTCTTTTCATTTAAATCATACAATTCATATTCTTTTATTAGAGGCATTAATAACTGATTGTTCTCCATAACCCAAGTTATTGTGTAAATGTGTAGGCTTCGTAAAAAATACGACATCGCATGAAGTTTGTCCTCTTTGATAAATTCAGCTTGTGTATCTATTACAATAACCGCCTAAAAATTAAGTAGATCGACCACCTTGAGCGCGTCAAAGCAGCTAGCCAGTGGACACACAATTTTGAAAACCGATCTGACTGATAATAATGTAGCATTGAAAACGGCAAATTCAATAGCTAGTAGGTCAAATTAGTAGACTTCACAATCAAAACTTTCTGAAGGTAATTCTATTTGAAACCATGTCTTTTTGACAGATTTTTTCTGTCTAAACAGGGTATTTTTTTTTCTAACGGTTCCTTCATACTATTCTTCTGACAACGTCATCTACTAAATACTAAATATGGGACTAATAGATTACATCGCGGATTTTTTTTAAAGCTGAGTTAGGGCTATTCTCGCATATTCTGCAAAGTTCTAATGGATGATCTCATACGATAATTCTTGAAAAAAATACGCGTTATTCACTCAAAACTTCTTTTTTTTTTCCCAATGACAGAAATTATCCTCGATTAGGATCGAAAATACATACCTAAATTATTCAGTACATTGATCAAACAAGTTTTTACTTTATCACTTTCTTTTGTATGACGAATTGCAGAAATCATTTAGTGCGCCTTACATCATTGATCTACGCGGAAATTCAAATAAAAAGTGGAAAAAGTTGAAAGTGAACGACTTTTATGCACGATGCAATTAGATATAATTGCAACTGATGATGCCATTTACTTGGAACTAAAAAAAAACTTGTTTGTTTCGCGCGTATTTTACACTCGATGGCTATGATTTCATTTGTTTAGACTGACTATACTTTTTTAGTTCGCCGACGGGATTTTAAAAAAGATGACTTCATGAAAACGTCATGAATAGTCTCAAACAAATATTTTCACTATAAATACGAGGAAGTAGAAGGCAAGGAAAAAAAAATTATCTTCTTTTTTACAAACAAGAAAAAAATAATAATTAAATATGTCTGACCAATCTGTTAAAGTCGTTTACAAGGGTGCCGATAACACTGAATTCTTCGTGATTGCCAATGCTGGTATGGTTTCCAAGTACCGTAGTGACAAGACCACTCCCTTGATTGATGTTGTCCAATCATTTGATATCCTTACCACCACCACTGGCGGTAACACCGGTGAAGCTTTGCATCCTCCCAAGGGTATCTTGGAGTCCAACTTTAATACCTCCAACAAGGATGAAATTGTCAAGATCATCATTGAAAAGGGTGAAGAAAAGGGTTTCTAAATCACTTTCCTTTCAAAATATAAACCACTGTAACATAAAATTAGCTTTGTATCATAAATTTTAGCTTCCTATACATAAATAAAAAAACAATTCTTTTTTCCATAAACATTTCTTTTTTCCACGATATTCTAAAGTCCTCTCTAAACGCGAAAATCTTTTTTATTATTTGTCTCTTGTTTTTCCCGCATTTAAAGTGTTTTTTATTTGTATTCCAGCTGAGGCGTTTATGCAAACCCGCGGGAGTATAATACAAAAGATCTAGATCCAGAAAATATTTTTTTATATGGGGAAGAAAAAAAAAAGGTAAACTTTATTTGGAAGCATGAACAGGAAAAAGGGTATAAAAATATAGTACAAAGTGGGGTAAAAAATAGATTCTTTTTTTTTTGGCTGGATAATTGAGAGCGATCTAAATTTCAAGTACGTCATCATGAGTAGGCACGGTGGTAGCGTTATTAGCCCAACCGTAAGAACGTTTTACAGCTTGTTCCCAACCCCCGCACATCTTGTCTCTCTTTTCCTGTGTAATGTTGGATTCAAAGTAAGTTCTTCCTTCACGGTTGATAGACTTGAGTTCGTCAAAAGACTTCCAGATACCCACAGCAAAACCAGCAGCGATGGCGGAACCAAGGGCGGTTGTTTCACGCATTAAGGGACGGTCAACCTGGATACCCAAGACGTCGGATTGAATTTGCATACAAAGGTCAGAGTTGGACATGCCACCATCGACTTTCAAGGACCGAAGAGGAGAGCCAGAATCCTTGTTCATGGCATCTAGAATGGCGCGTGATTGGTAACAGACAGCTTCTAATGTAGCTCTGCAGATATGTTCTAATCTTGTGAAATGTGTGATACCACAGATTGTACCACGAGCATCTGATCTCCAGTAAGGTGCAAACAAACCGGCAAAAGCGGTAACGAAATAGACCCCAGCAGTATTTTTCACAGCCGAAGCTAAGCTATTTAATTCTGCAGTGTCAGCAATGACCCCAAGATTATCACGAAGCCAATTAATAGATGAACCAGCAACTGCAACTGAACCTTCCAGTGCATATGCAGGGGCTGTCTCTCCGAACTTATAAGCGACTGTCGTTAATAAGCCGTTTTTTGATTGAACTGGCTTTGGACCCGTATTAAACAGCATGAAACATCCCGTGCCATATGTGTTTTTGGCATCGCCGATTTCGAAACATTGCTGTCCTACAAGCGCTGCCTGTTGATCACCTAGACAACCGGCAATGGGTATATCCTTCAGTGAGCCTTCAAACATAGTACCGTAGACTTGAGAGGAAGAAACAATTCTTGGCAATAAGACTTGTTGGAAACCAAAGAAGCTATACAGAAATGGGTTAGAAGATGCATACTAAAAGAAGTAGAAGATAATGCTTACTCTATGCACTCTGGACTCCAATTAAGAGTGTTGATATCCATAAGCATTGTTCTGCTTGCATTAGTCACATCAGTAACAATAACACCATTATGATCTAATCCACCGGTAAGGTTCTATTATAGAAAAATGTTAGCTTAATAAATAAGGGGAATGGGAAGAATCGGTATATATTTTTTTTTTTTACTATTTAAAAATAAGTTTTGGATCCTTACTATAATAGTAAAAAAAAAAAAAAAATACCCAAAGAAATGAACCACTTACATAGATCAACCAAGTATCAACAGTACCAACACGTAATCTGTTTTGACTCAAGGCCTGTGACACAACGGGTATATTGTCTAGAAGCCATCTTAATTTAACACCAGTGAAATAGGTGGTTAATGGCAAACCACAGATATCTCTTAAGGCATCTACGCCCTTATCAGACTTTTCAGAAAGGGTCTTTACGGTTTCGATGGTACGAGCGTCGCTCCAGATAATGGCAGGATATAATGGGTGACCTGTCATGCTGTCCCAAGTAATCAAGGTTTCTCTTTGGTTGGTTAATCCAATACATTCTATGTCTGAGGCATCGTAGCCTAATAAGCCTAATTTCATGATGGCATGCTCAATACAGGTGTGAACAGAGTCTAGTAAATCATATGGATCGTGCTCAACCCAACTATAGATTTAAGTGTTAAAAAGGGGGAGAATGGGCACATACAAGTCAACATACCCAGGCTGAGGAAAGTTTTGTTCAAATTCCATTTGATGAAAGGTAACAATGGCCCCACTTTCATTGAAAATTACAAATCTTGTAGAGGTAGTTCCTTGGTCTATAGATCCAATAAATCGAGGCATCTTTTTTTTTGCTGTAAAAAAGTGTGGGGAAAAAGGTAGAAAGATATAAAATTGCAAAATAAAAAAAAAAGGGAATTTCTTTTTCCTATTTATATCTGTGAAAATCTTTTTTTACTAAATCGGAGTAGATTTAAATATTTCTCACATGACAAATGATTTGATTGGTTCTTTCAAAAGGTGGAGGTAACACAGATATTTTAATAAAAAAAAGAAGGTATATAACACATATTTAATCTCTAGGAGTACACATGTCAGGTCTACAATGACTTGTGAAATCGGCTTTATCGGACTCTATTTGTAAGGTGGAGTGATGAACACCATAAATGTCACAGATAATTTGTTGTCCCTTTGCCAAGATATCATCATAGCTAAGGTTCTTGTTCTGTGAGACCGTAATATGAGCTGTCAATGAACTTTTACCTGGTGAAAGAGCCCAGATATGTAAGTCATGGACTGCAACCACACCAGGAATCTGTAAGAGAGATTTCTCAATCGCCTCCGGTTGGATATGGCCAGGTGCTCCCTCCATCAAAACTGCAATTGAATCTTTCACTAAATGGTAGGTTGTGTAAAGTACAATGATGGAGAACACAAATGTGCACAAAGGATCGACAAGTGTGTAATCGGGCTTGAAAATTAATACAATAGATGAAATAAGAACGCCTAATTTTTAGACCGTCTTATTAATCACTTTTTTTTTTACTGCGTTTTCCCTGTTTCTCCTTACCAACGGATGCGAGTAAATCGCCCAAGACGTGGAGTGCAGCTGCTCTGAGATTAATATTGGATTCCTACAATTATATAAAAAAAAATTATAAGAATTCAACTTGAAACTCCTAAGCCTCTCCTTTTTTACTTTGCAAAAAAAAAAAAAAAAAAAAAAAAAAAAAATTACCTTATGATCATGACTATGTGATTCATCGTCTCCATGACTATGGCCATGGTGATGGTTACCACCCAACACAACAGCAAGTCTAATTATAAATTAGAATTCAGATTATAGCGGATCAGAAAAACCATACTTACACTACATTGACCAATACACCAATGGTAGCCGTGATACACATCTATAACAAAATTTTATAAGATGCAAAGTCTAATTAAAAAAAAAACCCATCTCAACTTACAAGTTTGGCATCAATCACTTGAGGCTTTCTGATTCTCTCAATAGCCTCCATAACCAAAAATCCTGTCAATACCCAAATAGTCAAAACTGATACAAGTGCAGCAATCACTTCTGCTCTATGAAATCCAAAAGTGTGCTCTATAAAAAGTTAAAAAAGGGATATATAAGGGTTAATTGTCCGTCGTATTTTTCTTTTTCTTGTCCGGTGTTCCTCTTACTCTTGGTAGGTGGTTTCTCTGCTAAATAAATGGCTGCAAGTGCTACAATGAAACTAGCAACGTCCGATAATAAATGAAAAGCATCAGACATCAAAGCTACACACAGAGAAAAGAAAAAGAGGTGATATTAGTTTCTTTTCGATGATTATCACGCTAGTGCTCATTTTACCAAGAGAGTTGGCAAAATAACCTGCAACTAATTCTGTTGCGAAAAAGGCAAGGGCAATAGTAGAAGCAATGGCAAGTCTTTTTTTGGTGGACTTGGCCGAGGAATCTTCTTTTTGGTTGGAACAATTGTTGATAATAGCGGAACTACCGTGGTTATGTCCATGGTGGGAAATCAAAGGTGAATGCTCTGTAGCATGATCGTGATGGTGTCCCATTTGCTTTATAAAGTAATTATAAAGAAAAAAAAAAAAAAAAGAGAGAGAGAGAGAGAAAGAAAAAAAAAGAGGCTTAAAAAAAAAAAAGGGGGAGCTTTATTATTATTCTATCTCCCACTTTTTTTTCTTGTTATCACGCTATCCCCAATTGGGGAGTAACGGAGTACCGGCTCAGGAAATAAAAAAAGCAGAAAAATAAAAAACAACACAGCGTTTTGACAACTTTGTAAGGGGAGTATTGAGAAACACGTGCTTAATCACACAATTAAAGTGTTACAGGGTGACATCTGGAGCCAATCATTGTGTCAGACCACTCCCAACAGTGAGCCTGACTGTCAAGTGTAAATATGCTTGTATTTATAGATTTTAATAAACCTATTATCCAAAAACCTCTCATGCATTATGGCCATCTCCTAAAATTGTACTAAATTATCTTAGCTTAAGGCAACATGATTATTGTATCTAAGACAATTTTAAGGATCGAGGACGACTTAAGAATACATACAGCTATTTATTCAGAACTTGGCATGCCCGTTATTCTCATCAGTTCATGAATGTATAGGCCGCATGGTTAACAGTCATCTGTTCGAGAGATTTTATACAGGAGCTTGGCGTCAATGAGCACAAATATGTATTAGTGGAAAACAGCCATTCAAATCTCGGGTATCAAATAAAGCTTAAGTTTTGTCAAAGATTGGAGCTTTGAAAGTGCACAGATCGGAAATCATGAGAATTACTTGTACGACCTAGCCTGAGACACAAAAGTTGATGGAGTACCAAACAAAGTCAAGCAACATGCCCTTATTTTACTCGGCGATGAGCTGATAGGAACATCAGCATCCATCCGTTTTAGCCATCTAAAGCAGCCTTAAAGACATTAGTGACATTGAACGCTATCAAAATGATAGCCGCATTCGTTTTTTTTGGGATTATGCGATGGACTTTAGTTTAATACATTCCCCTAAAGGTTTTTTAAATCCACAATATCAAATATTTGTAATCTAATTATGTTGGATGAATAGATACTTACGGCGTCGACAAACTCATCAATAGTCTTGTAACATAGTAATGGCAAAAAATAAGATTTTACTGCATGGCCCTCCATATACTGGTTGTAAAAATATTTCAATCCGGGGGATATCTCCTTTCCAGAGAGATTATATAAAAGTCGCTAATTTGAATTATTCATATCATGATGTTGTAGTTTATAAAAATACCTATAAATGGAGGAGCTTTGCATAATTGTCACTATCTGGTAGGACCCCGACACGTCCACAAATGAAAGACATTCAGGCGATAAATGCCGTTTGCCTAAGTGAACAGTTTTTAATTAAGACTGCATGAGAGAAACTCCAGGGAGAGATACCATCTTTATATGTAATAGAGTCGAAGGCTTATCTCAAAGATATAACGATTGCTGATACATTACACCCCTCGTAAAATGACTAAATTTTTGTTTGTGATAGAATAGCTTGCTATCATACCAATAACCAAGAACACCGCATAAACGGGCCTCTATTCCATAATTCACAAATACATGTAACTTGGTTTAGCTTTCGGTTTTTAACTGAGAATTGATTGTTTCTAATTAAAGCACTCTAATGTAAACATTCACACTTTACATAAGTGACACAATGACACATTACCATATACTTAACCAAAACAATGACGCAATTATTGCCACTGTGCTATTTAACAGAAGTAAAAGAATGCTGCTCAGCCCAAATTAACTATCTAAAACGCACACACCAAATATTTTTTTTGCACAGTTCAGGCGTTTGCTCCCGATTCAAAATAATGTAGAACTGTACCACGTGCAATAAGGGCTTCTTTATTGCGAATAAACCGGGCATTACTAAACAAGAGTTAGTGTGTCTTTTTTCCTCCGCCATTGAGTTCTCTGTAAATGTTTAATCAAAGCATGAATAAGCATATACTTCCTACCACGGCTACACAGAGCCAAGCCGTGGATCTGTCACCTTTCAATATGAAAAAAAGGTTCCTCTGAACCGGCCATTCAAAAATAAAAATAAATATCAATTTAATAAATAACAACGCACGTTCTTTTCTTTCCCTTTTCTTTTTTCTCATCCACGAAAAAAAAAGAAAAACGCGGATGGCCACCATGAAACGAAGACATATTCCCCTGTCTGAAAAGCAAGCGGAATATGTTATGGAAGATCAACAGGACGCATTAAAGCAAAAGACACAAAAATACCAACCAGCCGTCGTCTATTCTTCAAACAAGGTAAGAAACACCTCTTGTTTTGAACTCACCAACTCCTTTTGTTTTTAACCCCCTCTACACTTAGAACATTGCATTTTTACAAAAGAACCAACACACAATCATTACCATCGTCTTGACTCTGATATCCTTTTGGACTCGATTTAGAAAGATTACACTCAGTAATGCTGTGGTCTGGGATGAGGTAAAAATAGAATTCAAATATATATTGTGCCAAGCGAAAATAATTAACGGTTTTTCAAAAAATGAAAGGCACATTTTGGAAAGGTAATAAGTACACTACCTACAAACAAAAAGCCATTGAGTCAACTCACCTTTTTTTCTTAATATAATATTTTAGTTTGGATCTCATTATTTAAATCATGACTTTTATTTTGATGTGCATCCACCTCTTGGTAAAATACTAGTGGGTTTGTCAGGCTGGATCGGTGGTTATAATGGATCTTTCAATTTTGATTCAGGTGCTACTTACCCTGAGGATGTCAATTATGCCTGCATGCGTATCTTTAACGCGTTCTTTGGCGCCATGATGGTTCCCGTTGCCTACCTCACTGCTGTTCAATTGAAAATGTCTTTAAAAGCATCCATTTTGGCTGCCACCATGGTCTTACTCGGTAAAAGGAAGCTAAATTTTATAATATATACACAGGCACTCATCATTACCACTTTTTTTGTTTGTAGATAATGCCTATCTTACCATCAGTAGATTCATCTTGTTAGATTCCATGCTTCTTTTCTTTACCTGTACTTCTCTCTATACTTTGACCACTTTCCACAATTTACGTAACCAGTAAGTTCTCATCAGTAACAACAAAATAACAATCAATAATGTAGTCTCACTCCTATTACAGATCATTTTCTACCGAATGGTGGACTTGGCTTTGTTTGACCGGTGTTTCATTGGGCTGTGTATTAAGTGTGAAATGGGTCGGATTATTTGCTGTGGCTGTTGTAGGTGTATATACGATCGAGGATCTTTGGGAAATGTGGGGTGATTTACAGATCCCCAAGAAGACCTATATTCAACATTGGATTGCGCGTATTATTGGTTTAATCGTTATTCCTGCAGTCATTTACCTTACTAGTTTTGTGTTACATTTTGCGCTCTTGTACAAGAGTGGCCCTGGGGATGCTCAAATGAGTTCGCTTTTCCAAGCTAATTTGGAAGGAAATTCCATGACCGAGAATCCACTTGGTAAGTGTGCTGTTTATTTAGGAACAAAACTTTCTTTTAACCTCGGCTCGTACAGAAATTGCATATGACTCAAAACTTACATTCAAAAATGCTGGTTATGGTGGCGGATTACTTCACTCTCATGTCCAAACTTACCCTGAAGGATCCAAGCAACAACAAGTCACTTGTTATCATCACAAGGATGATAATAACCATTGGACTATTCGTCCTCCTAGAACCTATGATTCCAGCTTATACGAAAACCCTGAGGACGAAAGTTTCATTCGATTCGTCAAGGACGGTGATATAATTCGTCTTCAACATACTTCCACTGGCCGTAATTTGCACAGTCACCCCGTCGCAGCACCTGTCACAACGGGACAATGGGAAGTGAGTTGCTATGGTAATGAAACTGTGGGAGATGTGCAAGATAACTGGAAAGTGGAGATTGTGGATGATTTTGTGTATCACGATAAGGAAAGAGTTCGATCCTTGACCACACGATTCCGTCTTCGTCATGAAAAGATGGGATGTCTTTTAACAGCGGATAATGGTGTATTACCTCAATGGGGTTTTAAACAAACCGAAGTGTATTGCGATAAGAACAATAACACAGATGATCCTCATGCTATGTGGAATGTGGAACAACACTGGAATGAAAAATTACCTGCTGCTCCTGCCAATTCTTACAAGTCTCATTTCCTTCGTGATTTCCTGACGCTTAATATTGCTATGTGGACCTCTAATAATGCATTGACACCGGATCCCGATAAATATGATATTCTTTCCTCTGGCCCCAGTGAATGGCCTTTTGTGTCTGTGGGACTTCGTATGTGTGGATGGGGAGATAACGATGTCAAGTATTATCTTTTGGGCAACCCAATTGTGTGGTGGTTATCCATCACATCTATTTTTGTCTTTGTTGGTGCTACAGCCTTTTATTTAATTCGTATGCAAAGAAAGATTTATGATCTTTCGAACGCTCAATGGGACCATTTCTTTTATGCAGGCAAGACCTTGTTCCTTGGCTGGTTCTTCCATTATATCCCGTTCTTCATTATGGGTCGTGTCACCTACTTGCATCATTACTTCCCAGCACTTTATTTCAGCATCATCATGGTTCCATTTTTAATGGACCATTTCACTCGCAACAGTTCCAAATTAGTACAATACGCTGTATTTGTACCTGTTTATTTGGCTGTCATTGCCACTTTCATTCATTTCGCTCCTGTTTCTTTTGGTTTAGAAGGTCCCATTTCCAACTACTCTTCACTTGTATGGAGAAAGAGTTGGAATCTTATTCAAGAGCATAATACCTAATTAAATAAAGAAAAAAAAAAAAAGAAGATAAAAAAAACGTGTTTTGTTTCTCTCTCTTTCTCTCTTGTGATTTTCAAACTTTGAGCGGACAAAAATTGGTTTTTCCTTTATGTGTTACCTAAACCTTATATAACTGAAAGTGCATTTTCCCCATGAGGTACAAGGACATAAACAATATATTAGCGTTTTTTATAAAACCTTTTTTTTTTTGCGTGACAATATCCAAAGGTGAAATTGTGGAATTTTGTCACACGCATTCTTTTGTATAAAAGTCAAGTGTAAAAAATTAGAGTAAACTTTTTTTTTTCCCTTTTCCCTCTTACTGAATTCACCCAGCAACCAAATACAGATACATAAAAAAAAAAATCTTACAAAAAAAAAAGAAAAAAAAAATGGGAATTATGAAGAGTAGTTTAAAGACTACGAGTACGCCAACAAGTCGCTTGATTGATAAACAACTTAAATTGGATGAAAAGCGAATGAAGAAAGAAGTGAAACTATTACTGCTAGGCAAGTCTAAAAAAAAAAAAAAGGGTTCAAAAAAATTGGTGTTAACCTTAAAAAATAGGTGCAGGAGAGTCAGGGAAATCCACTGTATTGAAGCAAATGCGATTAATTCATGCTTCCGGCTTTAAAGCAAGTGAAAGGGAAGGGTTTCGTGTGGTTGTCTTTTTCAATGTCTTTTCAACAGTACAGACTTTATTAGAAGCATTGGAAGCTGCAAATATACATTTTTCAGACCCTTATATGCTAGTAAGTTTAGTTTTTTTTTGTGTATCTGTTTGAATAAATTAGTTAGCTAAAAAATCTTTTTAAACGTAGGAATATGCCAGCTTATTTATCGAAACCCCTTCATTAGAAGAAAATCAACCTTTTCCCGAAATTTATCGTGAACCATTAAAACAATTATGGAAAAATGAATACATGCAGACAGCACGTAAGACAGGGACCATGCTTGCCTTACACGATAACATAGACTAGTAAGTATAATTTTAAATTAAAAAAAAAAGCCTAATTTTATTTTTTTTCAGCTTTTTTGATAAAATTGATACATTATGGGACCCAAGATACACACCTACAGATCAGGATATCATTCGATGCAGGGCAAAGACAACTGGTATTGTCGAGACAACATTTCATCTGGGTCCATTAACTTACCGTATGTTTGATGTGGGTGGACAACGAAGCGAGCGAAAAAAATGGATCCATTGCTTTGATAGTGTCACATCCGTTTTATTTGTGGTCGCTATAAGTGGATACGACCAATGTTTAGCTGAAGATAGAGACTCAGTAAGTTTTTTTTGTATGACATAATTTTTAAGATTTTTTTCTTTGTATTCATTTTCTTTTTTTAATTATAGAACCAAGTAAGTAAAAAGGAACACGAACGAATACAAGAGAAAAAAAAGGCTTACACTTGTTTTCATTTAGATGCACGAAGCACTTATGCTGTTTGATACAACATGTAATTCACATTGGTTTGTAAAGACTTCCATGATTTTACTTTTAAACAAAATTGATATATTTAAAAAGAAAATCCAATATTCTCCTATTGAAGAGTATTTCCCAGATTACAAAGGTAAGAAAAGAAAAAGACTGGTCATGTACAACCTAATACTTATGCAAACGCTATTTTAATGTAGGTCATGTTCAATCTTATGACGCCGCCAAAGATTATTTTAAGAGGAGATTTCAAAGACTCAATCGTAAACCTGATAAAAGAGTCTATGTTCATTTTACAGATGCAACAGATACAAATTTATTACAGCATGTCATGATGGCAGTATCTGACATTATTTTAAATGAAAACCTAAGTAGTATTATGATGTAACCTTCATAGGCCCAAACGTTAATAAACCCATACCACCGGTAGATACTATATTACTGATCGGATTCTTTCCATACCCATAATACAAATCCAACGTTTTGTTTCCAATTTCGCTTGCTAACAATATGCGAACAGTGCTACCATAGATTGCGGTTTTAAAAATGATTGCTTCTTCAATACCCGTTTCAGTATTATGTAAGCTAAATCCTTGTGGTGCCTCTACCTTCTTAAACGAGGACACATTTCCAAATGTAAGTCTTAAAGCAGGCGGGCGCGAAGTATTTCCCTTCTCATACTCCACAGATTGAATGTAGGGGCTCACCATAGTTCCCTTGTTGTTCATGACTGCATGCGCTGCAATAGCCACACGATCACCCATCATATACTGACCCTTTAGACTGAGATGAATACGATCATCCAATGGACAATCCACACTTGAGACCGTGGCAACATTCTTATCAATCAAGGCAGCTTGAGCAGCCCGCACCAGACTCCAACCAAGGTCATAATTACCATCTGCTAACTCTCTGGCAATTTGGACTTGTACAACATTTAAGTTACTACTATTTAAATCTGTACGTGCATGATCAATCCAGGATTTCATGCGGGTCTTGTAAGTGGATGCAAGTGTGATATTACGTGTGTCTGACTCTCCTTGATACCACAAGATACCGGCAATTTTGTTTGATCCACTAGCCTCAATTCTACCCAACATGGCACCATACAATGTATCATTCTTCCATTGACTTGAGTCTCTTAGTAAAGTCGGACTCCACTGGTCCAGCGTAACACCACCATGAGCACTTGCGATCAAGCCAACAGGCACCTTCTTGCCGACATCCTTTTCGATCAACTCTTGATACTTTTTTGCAAAAGAAAGGGCCAACGATCCCCCACGAATCAAGGGAAGTTCTGGATTGGTGACAGTGCCGTCTTGAATATTATAATTGACATTTCGAATAGATTTGGATAATTCATGGACAGGATCTTTTGCAACCGACCAATTTTCGGTCATGTCAAATAAATGAAAGGTCTTGTCGTGAATCAGTTTTTCAGTGTCCTTGTGGGTCCATGGATCCTTGAAGTAGGCGAAACCTCTCATGTTGCTTTGGCCAGCCAAGACCCAGACATCACCGACCATGATATTCTCGGCACCATCCATTGTGTAAGGACCGCCGACCCCATAAAATAGCGTGGTTCCATTTTTTAATGCAACTTGCACGCCTTGTGCGGAGAAATCACGTTGTATCACTTGATAGGATCGCAGAGACTGACTTGAAATAACAGACATTGGTTTATGGAGAGGAAGAAAAAGGAAACAAACAAACAAAAAAGTGTGTTGTGTTAAATACAAGTTTGAAAAAGAAGAATTGTTTCTGGGGAAATAAGGAGGTAGTTAGGAGTGTAGGAGTGAAACCTATTCACCATGCTCCCTTTTAGTTTGCTAAGCCGTCGAAATTATGGGCGCTTATATTGTTGATATTATAGGTTTCCGGTTTATAATAAAAAAAAAAAAAAAAATGCTCGGGTTCAAAAAACTTTAAATAGGTGCTAAACCTTGTCTACGCTAAATCCGTCAATAATCTATAAACGAGAGAGCTTTTAGTCTCAGATGTTGAAAGTAGATTTTAAAAGGTGTAAATGGCGTGTAAACAGAAATCAAAAAGCGGTAAAGAGCTCGGTTGATCGAATGATTTATGTAGAAACAAAAAAAAACTGGACAGCTTTCCATTGAGTCCATGAAAAAAACGAGGGGTGGGTAAATTTTGACACATTTATTAGCGGAGTCAAATGCCGTAAACGTTGACGAAACCATGATCTTTTATTCTTGTTTGCAATCCAAGAAGAAAACCCCAGGAACGGGCTGTCAAATTGGTTTTCTTTTTTGGGAACACTAAAAATAACCAGTTTTTCCGAGATAAAGAATAGGCCTGGGGAGCTGGATTCAAAACAAACAACTTTCATTCGCTTCTTTGTTCGGGTTGCACCTTTTCACAATTCGTTATGATTTTCGTCATCTTGTACTAGTAAATAGGCAACACGTTTCTTATATATTCATTGTTTTACGTAATGTATTTAAAATAAATATGACAGTAGTCAGCTCAAAATTCCCCTCCCTTTTAAATAAACAATGTAAATGACAGAAACAATAACAATAGAAAATCCAGTTTTTCCCGTTTTTTCCTACATTCCGTTCATGTGAGCAAGTGTTGCACACATAATAAATGCCGCTTTACAGGTGCATGAATGGGGAAATGAAACACGATGATTTCTGGTAACAGTGATCGCCACTGTGTTTATTTAATTAAAAAGTCAGTTGGGAGGAATTCATACCGACTTTTCATTAAAAACCCTATTTGGACACCCAGAAACATGTTCGTTATGCAGAGGTTTGATGCTCAAGTCTTTATGCAAAGCAATAATTCTAGGCTGGCCTCTCATACCGCATTGATTGCAGCCATAGAATGAGTCCCATAAAAGTTGCATGGCTTTAAATATACCCCTCGAAACAAAAAGTGCATACTAAATGTGACTTTGATCCTCTCGGGAGTATTTAATTTGTTTTTTAATACTTTTTTTTGCTTACTCAAATATGCGTGGTTTAGTTTTGTTAACTTTTCTTTGTTTAGCCATATCAATGGGCAGAGCAGCTCCTAGCGGCATAGTTGGTCTAGGAGATACAGGCGCTTCCAATACAGACAGCTCACAAAACCTAAATATAGTTACAACAGGAGATAGTGCCTTTGATGGTCAGCAAAATAAATTTGACCCAGTAAAAGGTGTCAATGGCATAAGAACGTCATATAACCCAGTGAAAGGTGTTGATCCCGTGGGAAAGATATACAACGTTGCTAATAGTTAATCAATATAATCTGTGGCTCCAATATTTATACTTGTATAATATAAAAGTCAATAAATTACGAGATATTCAAAATGTGATATATACATGTATTTCGGCTCTTTCATAACCTTAATTGGATAAAGTACATATCCCTTATTTAATAGTATATGCTTTTACTGTTATAAATGGCTAGTTTACAATTATTTCACTTATAAACTTATAAAAAAACAGAAAATGATCTTCTTGTGGACAATGAGGCGTATTCTTTATTACAGCCAATAGTACCAATTCCTTGTTATTTCTGTAGGTAAAATGTTTGTTACTTCATATTCGAAAAGCCAATGGAATGGTTAATGTCTGCACTTTGCGTGAAACTATAGCTTGTTCAATTGTAAACAGGTGTTGAAGCTTTTATTAATCCTAAAAATAAGGAATCTAATCCTATGCAGGCATAGACATTATTTTTATTATCGATGCCAAATAACCCATCGGTTATTAGATAAGTCTAGATAATTTTTTGGCGATCACTAACGCATTGTTGGGCCTTTTATTTATATGTGCATGATGTAGCATCGTTAGACACAAAACAGTACATATATAGTCATATTAATAGTTTACGATTAAACGTTTCTGTCCCCCCCCCTTTTTTTTTGGAAAGAATAACCCGGTTTCATCGTCTCCATGACACATCGCTGTAAATTATGCGAGTAGTAACTGTACTCGACAGCAATTCCAAGAGACATGTGTGACAAAATTACGAGAGACAATAAAAGACAACGATGCAGAGAAAAGCACAACGTAGGTTCTCAGATCTTTTTACTATTTTCTGGGATATGCATCTTTTATTTTATTTTGTAGCATGCGCTCAACATTTAAAAAACTAAATATAAAAAAGGATGGGTTTATATGCATATGTTGAAATTAATTGATTATAATTTTACAAAATACGTACTACTTATTTTTAATTTTATCAATCGCTGTCATTACGGTATGTTCGTATAAAGAAATGGCCGCTCCAACCGATTAATCGAATATTGCCAAAGTTCGTAGAATAACTATCAATTTAGCAAGCGATAACAACACTAATGCTGGTACTAATGTGAGAGATACAAAAAACAGCAGAAGAGACGGTTATACAGATTATGGCCATTACATTGAGCATGATCATCGAATAGATCCTTTGAAAAAATTATTTGGTGAGGCACCTTATGAAATTTAATGAAGCTTCCTTATCTAACTATTTTATAGTTGCCCTGCCAAAAAAGCACCCGACCAGCGAAACAAGGTTGGCATCAATTAAGTGCAGTGGTTACAGTAAAGTAAACACGATTAAATAATGATCACTGAAATATATGGTTTCAATCAAAGCTCAATATTTCTCTAGTGAATACAATTTTGTTTTCTCATTAGTTTTGTCTACTGCAGAGCCATAAAAAAAATATAAATCAAGTGCCACCAATATTCTTATGAATCAAATATATCCCAATGTTGTTAAACATGGCCATAATTTATCTTCGTATCTGCTTGTGTCATTTATTTAGGTATTATTAGTATTAATATGCAGGGATCTTGACCCTAAATATTGGTAGTACTCCCGAAGGTTCTAAATCGTATTATACAACAAATCGGGAATCTTGCATGTCTTTACATTCAATGCATCATAAATTGTTTTTGATCCAGTTTTTGTTAATAGAAAAGCAAAAGGTAGTGCCACAATAGATATTTTATTTCACGGGACGTCTTCAAAAAATTTAATCATGTTTATTATGGTTGATGTATGTACCTGTTGACACCGCAAACCATACCAGAGCTTCTTGAAAATACGTTTAAACTTTGAATGACAATCTTAAATGCATTGGTATTTAAACGCTAATTATTCGAGAACGAATGAGTTTTACTTTCACTTTCACTTTCTCTTTCGTTTCCAAATAAAATACCATGACAAGAAATATGCGCAGTTTGGTCTTTTTTGCTTTTTTTTGCTCAGCCCTGTTTTTGGTTAAGGCAGCTCCCAGTGGCATTCTTGGATTGGGAGATTCAGGTGGTGAAAACAGAGATAATTCAGTAAACGACGAGTTTGTATTGAAGCAAGATTCATTCATGTCTGGTAAAAATAATGTTTTCATTCCTTCTAATGAAGTAAAAGGAATCAATGGAGTTGGAACTCCAGGCAGCAGGGACAAAAAAGTTTTCAATGGTCGTTTATATAAAAATAAAAAGTGAGCAAATAATATCGGTTTTATTTAACTAAATCCTGCAAATAAATAGAGCCTTGCGTTTGCGTAGCTATTAATCATCAAAATACTTTACGTTTAACATTTTTCTACAACTATAATATTAACGTTTATTTTTCCTTAAATAAACTGCTAAACTAGACATCGGCATTTATTTTTATCATCAATGCCAAGTGATGCATCGGTTATTAGGTAAGTATAGATAATTTTTGGAGAACACTAACCCATTGATGGGCCTTTCCTTTATATGTGCATTATGTAGCATTGTTAGACAAAAAACAGTATATATATAGTCATATTGATTCTCTAAAATTAAATGTTTTCATTACTTTTTCCTTTGAAAGAAATACCCATGTTTACCGTCAATGATACATTGTTGTAAATCATGTGTAGTGACTGTACTTAACAACAAGCAATTCAAAAGACATGTGTTACCAAATTACGAGAGGCAAGAAAAGATAACGATGCAGAGGTGAACATAGGTTAGATAATCAGAGCTTTTTAGTACTTTCTGGGATATGCAACTTTTTTTTTATATTATGCCAAAATACGATAGAATGCACCCAACATAAGAAAGTTAGATATAAAAAGAGACAAGTTTTAACATGTTGAAATTCATTTTAGTCATAAGTTTACAAAATGTGCACTACATATTTTTTGCTTTTGTCCATCGCTGTTATTACCACATGCTCATATGAAGTGATAGCCGCTCCAGTCGATGTGTTGAATTCAGCTTAAGTTCGTAGAGCACCCACCAGTTTAGCCAGCGCTGGCAACACTTATGCTGGTAATAATGCGGAAGCTTCACAAGACAGCAAAAGATCCAACTATGTCGATTATGGCCATTCCGTTGAGCACGATCATGAAATAGATCCTTTGAAAAAACTACTTGGTGAGGGACATTACAATGTTTAATGACGCTTCATCATCTAACTATTATTATATTTCACTTTGTTGTAGTTGCTTTGCCAAAAAAACAGCGGTTCAATAAAGATAATAGCTAAACCAAAAGACTAATCTATTCTAGTGCTGCGGTTGTACGAAAGTACACCCGTTTAAATAATGATCATTAAAATAAATAAAATAAATACTGATTAAGTGTAAATTTAAGTGGACTGTTGCTGATGTCCTTGCAAAATAACCATGAGTACCTAATGTTGTGGAAAATTGGTAATAATTTACCTTCTTATCTGCTGAGGTCTCTTATTTATTTAGGTGTTTAGTATCAATATGCAGGGTTTTTTTCTAACCCTAAGGATAGGTAGATCCGAAGATTCTAAATTCTATTATAAAACAAATCGGTAATCTTATATTTCTTTATATTTAATGGATCATAAATTGTTTATGATCAAATTTTTTGAAGTAGAAAAGCAAAATGTGGTGTCACAATAAATATTTGATTTCATGGGACGTCTTTTTAGAACATTTGATCATGTTTATCGGTTGATGTATGTGCATGTTGACACTGCAAACCATACCAGAGCTTTATGGAAATACGTCCAAGCCCCGAATAATGATCTCAAATGCATTGGCATGTAAACGTTAAGCATTTGAGAACGAATGTGTTTTTCTTTCTCTTTCTCTTTCGTTTCCAAATAAGATAATTTAACAAAAAATATGCGCAGCTTGGTCTTTTTTGCTTTTTTTTGCTCAGCCATGTTTTGGGTCGAGGCAGCTCCTAGTGGCGTTCTCAGCTTTGGGGATTCAGGTGGTGATAACGCAGATAATTCAGTTAATTATTACTTTGTAACTAAGGAGGGTCCATTCACGCCTGGTGGAAATAACGCTATTGTTATTTCTGATGAAGTAGAAGGAACCAATGTAATTGGAACTTCAAGTAGAGTTAACAAATAACTCTTTAATACTTTTTTCTATATAAATGAAAAATACGAGGACACAGAGAATTTATTTTAAAACTTAAATTTAGAAGCAATTACCTCTTCTATAATCATACAAATAAACAAAGACTCGCGTCTGCGTAGCAATAATTGATCAAAAAAAGAGATAAAATACTTCAATTGAAACATTTTGCTACAATTATATTATCATATTGGATGTGATTCTTTCGCATATAAAGATTCACATACAATCTCAAAAACAACATCTACAAAATCCGTTTTGTTTAAGATATGTAAGAAATAGTGAATCTTATAATCTTAGATTGAACATTGATCAAATTAAAGAATTCATCAAACAACGGGGCTGTAATCAAATGGACTGAAATAAAATGGAGCGAGCAGTGTTTTTAATGCCCCTTAAAAAAAGTGGGACAATCAAATACAGTCGTTCCAACGCCAAAGGGCGGGTTTTAAAAAAAAGTGCGGTTAATAACTTTTCGCAAAGGGTGGTTTTAATTTTTCCAAATGGCAGTTTTGATTCATCCAATGGCCGGTTTGATTTTTCCAAAGGGCAGTTTTTGTAATTTGACTGAGGTGCTCTACTTAAAAAACTAATCGTTCCAAAGAAAGAAAAAAAAAGTGCGTTGCCGATTCATTAACATGCTGTATTCCTGTAATTGTCAAATTTCGATAAGATAAAAATAGATGATCATGCTAGTAACCATGTTCAGAAAAAAGTGACCATGCTCTGTTAAAGTGACCATGCTCTGTAAAAAGTGACCATGCTCTGAAAAAAAAAGTGAAAAAAAACGGTTCAAAAAAAAAGTTATTTGTGAGTTTTTTCTGACAATTTTGTTATAGTCATTTGCATTCTATAAGATTTTAATGTTCGTTAGAAATAAACTTTATCTATAGAGATCTTTGTATTGGTGCCTTTCTGCAATCAAAATCCTTCATGAATTTGTGATCAAGTAGTATATCTTCTCTGTTATATGTTGTGACCATGTTGTTTATTGGTAAACGATCCACTGATATTTTTTTTTAACTTCGGGTGAGATCTAAAAGAGTAATTCTGAGTAAATCAATAGATAGTGTCTATTTCTTCATTACCTGACAAAGGATCGTATATCTTCGCTATCTCTTGATAGACCCGCAAAGTCTATCACAATCAAACAAATATTAGTATTGGCTGCTTTGATATGACTCATCATATCTAAAAAGGAAAATGATATAAATTATAATTCTTTTGGCGATAAATGTATACAAATATACCTTGGGCACTTCCAGAAACATTATTCAATCGCTTTACAAGGGATTTATTCTTCTCGCATAAATCTCTTGAGGCGATTTCATCCATGCTGTTAGAGAAGGGGGAAGCATAAAAGGTCTTGACTGAATATCTTTCTGTAAGCCTAATAGCCATAGTTTCTAATAATCGGACTCTGACATCGTCGTTTTCTTTTCCTTTTGATTTTCTTATGTAACCTATTAATTCATAGCCTTCTTCTTCAAGACTCTTCATAAATGCTTTGTAGTATAGAGGTTGATTTGTTATTTCTAGAACAGCATTATCTATAAAAAGAAAATAAATGAATTTAAATGTTACTTTTGTAGTAAAGCTGGTAGCTTAACATTACCAAAAAACCCTTCCTTCATCTGAGGTCAAAAAGGGAAATGTTTAGACCTCCGTATTTTTTTCAAACGTATTTTTTTTTATACCACTTACAGCAAGTCTGGCCAAGACCAGAAGGCCAGTATAAATAAAACTATTTACAGTGCAATCACAGCCATTTACAGCCTCTGAGTTTCCAAAAACTCAAGAACCCTCTTATAGCAAAGACTAGCCGCAGCCGCAATGTCACAATATGTCTTTTTTTTTCATTTTAGCTTCTTTTCAAAGAAACAAGAGTCACTACTAAGCTAACCTTTTTACGAGATCGGTTATTTTTATACGATAAAGAAGTATGTTAAGGGAAAAGAAAAAGGAGAAGAATAAAGTGCGTGAACCAGCTTTATTTGTAGGCTGATAAACAAGCTTATGTCAGGATGATTTAATTACTTGTTTCATCTTTCATAATGTTTAGGCCTTTACTTAAATTAGAAACATTGGCAAAAACCTCCCAAGCAAACCAGAACTTGGTAGTTGTCTATCTGCGCTCCAGTAGTAGCTTGTAATGACAGTGAAGCAGATTTTATGGAAAACAGAAATCGATCATCCCATGAAGTTTAGATGATATGGCATGTCAATCGACGTGTAGACCATCGTGTGATTCTAAAAAATACGTTTATTTGAAAAAAATACGTTTGAAAAAAATACGGAGTTCTAGACATTTCCGTCAAAAAGGACCGACAAAGAAAAAAATGGTGATATAACAATATAAGTGTTAAAACAAAAGTTAAACAAATCGATTTTCTAATATGTAGTTACAACCCAAACTCACTTAATTGTACGCGTTCTTTTTCTTGTGTTTCTTGAGAAGAAATTTTTGAATTTGATTCTTCTTAATTCGATATATAACGATGAAATTTGAACGGTAAAGTGTTGACTTTTATGTCCAACACCAGAACTGGATCAGTAGGATCAACTAAATAGCAAATGTCTACATCACCAATGTCCTCTATTTTTTTGGAGCAAATCGCTACATTTTCTTCAGTAAACTCTTTACAATAAAAAATACAAATAGCTTGTTCACGACAAATGATCATATTATCAAGTGAAAAGAAAATGGTATTTTTCAGAGCATGGTCACTTTTTTCTCAGCATGGTCACTTTTTACAGAGCATGATCACTTTTTTCTGAGCATGGTTACTAGCATGATCATCTATTTTTAGCTTATCGAAATTTGACAATTACAGGAATACAGCATATTAATGAATCGGCAACGCACTTTTTTTTTCTTTCTTTGGAGCGATTAGTTTTTTAAGTAGAGCACCTCAGTCAAATTACAAAAACTGCCCTTTAGAAAAATCAAACCGGCCATTGGATGAATCAAAACTGCCATTTGGAAAAATTAAAACCACCCTTTGCGAAAATTTATTAACCGCACTTTTTTTAAAAACCCGCCCTTTGGCGTTGGAACGACTGTATAATATTTATAGTAGGTAAAAGAAGATGCATGTTATAATACGAGCTGCCGTGGATTCAGATCATGAAAACATACTGTACAATTGATTAAAGAATGTCTCTGAGTTTTTTTTATTTTTTTTTAATTTTCAGACACGAGATTTTAAACACTGTAATGTGGCTGTAAATCATTTATTTCAGGGTGTCTCATGCGATGCATCGAAAATTCTCGATTCAATGCCATTTATGCAGATCAATTTTTTTTAATATTTTCTGTTATCACTCATTGACTCATGTCCCGAAAAGTAAAATAGTGCCGTCAGGAAGGCCCATTGTATATCTTGAAAGATCGCTGTACAGTCGCATATAATCATTTTTCATACTTTTTAATACAATAATTACATACAAATCGTATGAAACAAGATTAAGTATGACTGTAAACCACCAGTGTAATTGACGAAAACAATTTAGTCACTATTGTGAAGTTTTTGATATCATGTCAAAAAATCTAAAATAGACATTTAACATGTTCTCTCCCCCGGAAAGAGCCCCATTAGTATACCCGTAGCATAGTATGCAATGTATAATTTAAATACCCTTCATTTTTGAAAAAGAAACCAAGAATCACTAATAATTTTTTTTATAAGGACTAGAGGAGAAGTTCTAGAATATACAAACATCCTATTAAACTTTGTATCTACGAAGACATTCATGCGCAAAGAACAACTTCCCTCCAATTCCTTTTTTTCTCTTTTTCTTAGGAGGTTCGGTTCTTTAGTCTACCCCAAGTTATAGATTTGAGCATGAAGAGGTGAACACCCTACATGGAATTCATGCAACAATCGAGCCATTTAAACAGATCTCATGTAAACACCCCATTTTCGGAAACAGTAGAAGCGCCATATTTTAATTGATAGATTCATGTCAGTCTCGGAACAAACAATAAATATATTAAATCGCAGTAAGACTATACAAATAATTTATTAAAGGCGATGTTATTTTTTTTATAAAGTACATGACTATTCATGAGAAAAGATACAGATACAGTGTGTAATTTTTTTACAAACCCTCAAACACCAAGTGTTCGAGGGGAGGAAATCTAGTCATCCCTAGAAGAACATTGTCTTTTGCTCGTTTTCCAGATTTAGTTCTGATATTATAGCGAACAAGCATCTCTGCAATTACATATTTGATTTCGTTTGCTGCAAAATATCTACCAGGACAAGCATGAGGTCCAATACCAAATGCAAGATGATCTAATCCAATAGCGGTGGATTTCATTTTTCTATTGAGGAAACGGTACCCATCAAAGACATCCAAAGGAGATGCCCCTACACAAACTTCGCCAGTATCTTCATCAACTGATAATAAACGGTTATCGCGGTGAGCCTGCTCAACAGCGCCAACCACAAGACTACCCTTTGGAATGATGTGGCCTGAAGACATGACGGTGTCCTGTAATGAAAGATGATGCATACCAAGATAGTCCACATTGCATCTTAGCACTTCCCTGAAAAATGAGTCCATCAGGTCAAGTGTGGCAACTGATTCAGGAGTTTTATCATTTCCAAGGGTTGCGATCTCTTTTCTCAAGTCTTCAACAAGTGACGGACGGCATGCCAGCTCATGTAATGCAAACGAAGCGAAATGTGAAGTAGTATGAATACTGGCTAAAGCGATACCATTGAAGTGATATGCAGCATCTTCCACGGTTCTAAGGGCTCCATCTTCTTTGGGTAGATTAAGAGCCATAGTAGCAAAAGTTACTTCATAATTATCACCTACTTCACCACTTCTAATTTTTTGTAATTCAGGAACCAATAGTTTCATGATGAGATCCATTTCATGCTCCACAGATAAAAAATTTCGTACAAAAAAGCTACCGATACCAAAAGGTAAGATGCTTAAGAAGACACCAGCTTTGATGATCTTTCGTGTAAATGTAGCCATACCGGCGATTAATTCTTCATTACTACCGACTTTACTTCCAGCAAAACAGGGGCATGAAATATAGGAAATAATGACGGTCAAAAGATTTAGGATGTTTACGGATTTTTGTTCACCTTGTTGTAACGTGAGCTCCTTATCGAGAGCTTTCTTCAATGAACTCTGAATCCGTTCTGAAAAGACATCGATTTGGTTTTCTCTGAAATTGTGTCGAATAGGGTATATGACTATTAACAAACAAACAATAAGTATTTTTATTTAAACAATAAAGTTTTACTTGTGATAAAAGACTTACTTGGATGTTTTTCTCTTGGCCCGATCTGTTCGACAACGAACTTATGCTGGTAAGATGCTTTTACAACCTTTGCAGACGGTATTAATACTTCAATACCGCGATTGAAATTGAAATTCTTTGATGACTTCATGACTTCTCCAATCAAGGGACCCGTCACCACAACTAAATTGCCTTGGCCAGGAATCTTTAGTCTGAAACAAGGTCCAGCCGAATCTCTAACTTTGTCGAGGTATTGTCCAGGATTTTCTTGAAGAGCTAATAGGTTACCCAAAAAGGGGAACCCACCTTTTATTAAAGGAGGTAAAAGAGACGGATCATATGCGCAAGATTTTCTGTTTGATCGCTTATATAATCGCCATAGAATATATGTAATTGTGGCAGCTGCTGACAATGTGATGCATTCATTTTTCATAAAGTTTGTTATTTTATTACTTGGGTAGCTAATAAACTTTTTTGCTGGTTCAAAAATCATTGTGAAGATAAAGACGGGTATAAACAAAAAGAAGAGAAGAAAAAAGTAAATGTACAGGAATATATATATGTATGTAGGAAATGGGGGGTTAAAGAGTTGGGATCGAAAAAAAAAATTTGTTTTTGTCGTCCGGAAATGTTACTCCGCGGTTTACAAATCGGCTTGTATTCGTTTTGTTGCTGCATTATTAGCGCGCATTATCATTTAAACATTTTCTTGACGTTATTGACACTGACGATCATTTAAGCAGTACAAAAAATTACCCCATATTTATCTATTGTGTCACCATGGTAACAAAATTTGGTTTCGGTTGCCGAAGCTGTGTTTCCAGTCTGCAACTTGAGTGGCTTATAAAGGCATCCAAAAAAATTAATTATTTAATTATCTTTCTTTCCAAAAAATGTCTTCATTAGCAAGCTTGATTAACAGCGTAAAAGCAAATACCGCAAATAATGTCCACCTAAAGAAGGGTTTAAAAAGAAAAACAACTGCAAAGTATGCACACGACTAATGAAGGATAGCCCCGGATAGCTAAACCAATTATGTTAGGTCAGAGCAGCCAAAGAAAGTCATGGCTGTTGAAGTTAAGAAAACTGTCGCTAAGACAGTAACAGAGCCTCGTGTTGTTGTATTCGATGGCTCAGTATTACACAAGAAGGCTTCACTTGAAGACAAAGCATCGAAAAAGAAATTCTTGGTAAATATAGACATTGCAGCTCTGTTCCTTTGTTTTTTAAACGTCATTGTAGGATTCAAGAATTTCCACAGCAGATCCCAGTAGTATCGTGGAACACAAAAATAAGCCTACAGCAAAGGATATGGAAGAGGAAGCGTAAGCTATAGGTCGCCCTTGTAATCAACATGTACTAAGTCATTGTATAGTGAGAACGAAAGACACGATGTGGAATTAAGACAGTTATTAGCAACCTCCGACCTTTTAGAGGAACTGGGTAAATATGGACGATCGGCACCATGAGGAAAAATAAGTCTTAATGTGTTGATTATGTAGAGAGAGATGAAATGACTTCAAAGGAAAAGAGAAAAAGTACCATGAAAAAACTAGAGACTTTAGGAGCCAAGGTATATACCTAGAGAGAAATGTTCTGCAAACATTTTGATTTATGCGGAATTTGCTTTTATTATTTTATATAGGCTGAAGCAGCTCAAAGAATGCCATTGTCACTAAAGTTGAGTTTGGATGAATCAAGAAAACAAAAGGGAATTGCTAGATTACAAGCAGCCAAGGATACAGGTGTTTACGATAAGTCTCTTAAGCATCTTTATGTCAAGAAGGAAGTTAAGCAACGTGATCGTAATCCTGGTATCACTAATGGTCTTGGTCGTATGAAGGGTGCCACCTTGACAATTAAAAAGTCCGACATTGAGAGAATTAAGCGCGAAGGAAGTAAAAAGAAGTCCTCCGGTGGACGAGGTGGCAAAGGCGGTAAAGGTGGTGGAAAGAGAAAGTAAAATATATGTATCATCATCATCATCATCAATATTATAATGATTATTTATACTTTGCTCTAAACACTATGTATGGTAATTCGGACGGTTTTTTTTTTGCACGGCCAATCGAAACGCAGGTCGAAGCAACAGACATGTATCAATATTATAATGATTATTTATACTTTGCCCTAAACACTATATATATCAATAACATAATGATTTATTTATACTTTGTCCCAAACACTATATCAATATTATAATGATTATTTATACTTTGATCTAAACACTATGTATGGTAATTCGGACTGTTCTTATTTTTTGCGCGGCCAAGCGAAACGCAGGTCCAAGACACAGACATATATCAATATTATAATGATTATGTACAGTCGCTCCAAGGCCAAAGGGCGGATTTTTTTTATATATCCAAAGGTGGCCATTCATAATGTACATCTCACAAAATGAAAGTGATAGCTGATTTATACCTATAGTAATAAATATTCAAGAAGTAGTTGATTCTGATTCGATGTCAAGTGCGATTTTTTTTCTACGCTTGTTTATAAAAAATTCAAGATTCTTCCGACAGCTTTGATCATTTCTTCCAAGCCTATCAATAAAGAAGAATTAGATATTAGTGAAGACTCCACTTAAATCTACGTTTTGGGCGTACTAGTGCTTTTTGTTTTTTCCTTCTGGTATCAGTAGCTCAAATGGCAGATTCATACCTACAACGTTAGCTGCACTATGTCAATTTATCTCAAGCCCCAGTAAAACGTTTTCCTTACATGAGGCTCAATCTCATAGTATTTGTTTTGTCTGCGAAGCAAAGAGTTATGATGATAAAGAATAGCTTTTATTTTCGTAATTTTCTTCTTCTTTTGATATGCCAATATGAAGTCTTGAGACTAGTAGATGATGAGTATGATTTGAAAAATCCTACAGATTTTCCTTTGTCGAATAGTGATTTCCAGTTTTTATTTTTGCTAACTATGTTGTTGGATTCATTAAACCCGTTTTCACGCACAGTCAACTTTATGCTGCTTTATATAGGGTTCGCAACCCTGCTAATCTCAAGATAATTTTACTGAAAGAGCCGCCATTATTAACACTCACAGACAACGTTGTTATTTACCGAAGTCTTAACTCGAACAGAAAACTAAATATATATTATTCATTATCAATAAGCTTTATTTTTATCCCATTTTTAAGCATTGAGTGGCATCGGTGGCTCGCTGCAGGTGCTAGATCGCCCCCAGCAGGAACGTAGGTTATTTTTACCGTAGTGAAGCGAAGTGGGCTGGGGCTGCGATCTCGTAGATAATAAAGAAAGAATCGCATTAAAACCGGACTTTTGATTGGCGCAAAAAGCCACCCCTTTCCATCGCCTGTCAAAACAATTTTTTAAATCCCTTGTACATAAACTTTTGCTTTTTTTTCTTCACTTCTCTTTTTTTTAAAAAATTATGAACACTTGTAAGACAGTACTGGCTTCAACGGTATCAAAGCACTTTCGGTAAAATATGTAGAGCATCGCGTTCAATAATCACCGCTGGATCCTAACTTATTTGTGTGTCAGAAATCGTATCAAGCGGGAAATATCCGAAAGGAACATTCGTCCCAAACTGGTGGGTTTCTTAGCTAACGAAGACCCTGCTTCCAAAAAATATGCGGAACAAACCGCGAAAACCTTAAAAGAAACAGGTTTCGACTTTAACCTAATCAAAGTAGACAAAGGTCAATTGGAAAGCAGCATTCAAAGGGCAAATTTAGACTCAGATGTCAATGGCATCATGGTTTATTATCCCGTATTTGGGGACCAGATCGATACCAAGTTGAAAAATACAGTGGATAGTTTTAAAGATATTGAAGGTCTTCGTCATGTATCGGCAAAGAAGGAGCGGAATACAGTACCTTGTACACCTCTTGCAGTAATTAAGGTGAAACAAAAAAAAAAATAAGGTTTAGTTTGGGGAAATTAAATTTGCATACATAAAAAAAAAAGATCCTCGAGTTCATAGGTGCATATAAGTCGGATCTGCTTCACGGTCAACGCTTAAAAGATCATACTGTCACCATAATTAACCGAAGTGAGATTGCAGGCCAGCCATTAGCAGCATTACTTGCTAATGATGGGGCCACAGTATATTCAGTTGACGAGCACAGTGTCCAAGTGCTTACAAAAACGCACAAGCAAGAAGATACAGAGTTGAAAATCTTTCAAGTCTTACCCAAATCTGATATTGTCATTACTGGAGTTCCGGCACCCAAATACAAATTACCTACAGAATTATTAAAGCCAGGCGTAATTGCAATCAATTTCTCAACATTTGCTAATTTTGAACCGGATGTAGTATCAAAGGCGTCCTATTTTGTTCCATCTGTCGGTAAAATGACAGTTGCTATGTTGGAGAAGAATCTCTTGACACTTTATAATCACCAAAACCCTCACCATACCCGCCCATAGATTTTTTTTTGATTTTTTTATGTATATTAAAAAGTTTTAAAAATCGAGAGGTAAATAAAAAAATGGAAACTAAACAAGAATTTATGTAAAAAAGGTGAGGGAGTTGCTGATAATGTTGAAGGGGAGATAGATGGAATTGTGCTTTCTTTTTCTTTGCTGTATAATCTAGAAACGCTCCTTCATACGAGCAGAAATGGTACGGAGAGTAGCATAAACCTTACCAGGAGGACTACCCAAAATAAGACTGACAACGGCATCACGAGCAATCTTGATATTTTGGAAAGAACCGAGAACATGAATCTTACTGTGTTATTTTAAAAAGAGTTTAGTTCACAGCCATCAAATCCATGCAGTAATATGAGCATATAAATCACTTACGTATCAGCTAAAACAATTCTTGTCTTGCTTGCATTTTCAATTGTGAACTTTGTTTTACCATCACGACCAGCGATACGACCAATAGCACGAGCTAAATGATCACCATGCAAAGTCTTAACATCCTTGATTTCAAAAGTATCCAAGAAAATATCGTCTAATCTCAATAAAGCCATAGCATCCTCAACTTCAAAACCTAAAGCGAAAGCTCTAAGGAAATCGGCACCCTTTTGTAATGATCCTTCATCTTCAGTGGAGGGAGAAGTCTACAAGATATAACTGTCAATTGATGCTAATTCTACAGACTGGTAAATTTCACTACATACCTTGAGCTCAACAGTTCTGGTCTTAACATTCATTCTGACTTGAAGCTTCATGTGTTCAACTAAGGGAGAGTAGATTTCTAACCAATGTCTCTTCAAAGGGGACATACGATGAGGGGGAATAGGAATCTTACGAGAACCCTTTACAACTTTCTAAAAATCCCGGGATCGTTAGTTTACTCGGTTTCCAATGGAGCACTGATCCTTTCTTTTTCTTATTTTGCAATACCTTTAATTCAGCAGCGCTGGCAGGAGCAAAATTGGGCTTATCAGAAGATCCTTCCTCCATTGTGACATCGTCTTCAACAGGACGGCTAGGCAAAGCAGTAGCGTCAATAATAACATCGTCCTCATCGGCTTGTACTGTCTTTTGAGTCTTTTTGCTCATCAAAGTTGGTGCTTTCAGTGATTGTAATGAAGCCATTTTTTATGTTGTTTGTATGTAAAAAAAAGGGAAACAAGAAAAGTGATAGGTGCAACAATTGGAAAAATTTGATTTAATCCCTCTTCAGAAATAAAATAAAAAATTCTACAAGCCACAAAATTCCCCCGCTTGTGTTCAAAGCAAAAAGAAAATGAATGCCTTTCCATTTTTGTACACATAAAAAAATGTTGGAAGTCTGTGCATTTCTATATGAATCAGTGTGAAATTTGAGCTGCATCCTCCTCCTAAGAGATTTTTCATCAATTGGAACAAACAGGTTTTCTGAATAGCATAGCTGGAGAGCTAAAGGGAGCCGACATATTTGGATTTGAGGTGCAAATAATTCACAGGTACTCTATTTGTGCTAGACGCCTATTTAAGAATACCAGCATCACCAATTATCTTCCATTCGAATATGACAAGGCATCTTATCCTATCCATAAATACATCGAATTTATTCAAGAAATGAGCGTTTGACAGGTTTAGTACAAAGTTTTAATTCACACCAGAAGCTATAATCGAAAAGTTCATTTTTCAAGAGCCGGGATTATCTGATAATGATTTAATGTAAACATTAGCTGGCGTTAGTTTGATGAATTGTGTGTGGTAAACATGTAGACACACATGTTGAATTTCAAGTCATCTTAGTTTATAGAGTTCTCGTTATAATGATTGGTAATGTTTTAAATTTAAGACTACGATTATGGAATATGCTATATTAGTGTACATGGTGGCTAAAGAGACTGTAAGCAGTCTTTTAAAAGATGCCACCAATCGAGTGGAGCAAAGCTGTCTTTTTTGAAATAAAAATGCCATATTGGTTACAGGAAATACAATGTTAATCGTTGTGATACTTGTAATATTATTTGAGCATCTCATGATAGCAACTCTCATAACAGTTTTTGTGATCGTCATTGTATAAAATACAATCACATGTGCCCAAGTAAAAAGGTACACATTGAATAGGACACTCATTAATTTAAACCCGACTGAATAATAACATTGATCGATCTAATAACGCCATACCATATCACCTTTATCTTTGTTGCCACCGGAATCAATGAGATTTACATCAAACATCTCTTAGTACCAAGTTCCTGTACACTAGTATACCAGCGTTTAATGTACGCTATGGCAAAGAGAAAAATCTTAGAACACAGACAGCAAAGGTAGTTAAGTCTTCACGATTGTATATGTCTCCTCTACGATTGTCTTTTATTGATTTCCGTGGAAAATAACCGACAGGTCGAAATTTCAATATCTAACCATTACTTCATCACATTATGCCCTTATTCAACAGGTCATGTTTATTTAACATATACGGCCACATGTAGAGATTGTTTTTTTCTTTATGTGTATAAGCCTGCAATGAAGTACTGACATTTAAATAGAGAAACACAGACACATTCATGGCTAATGAATAAACGTATTGCTCGGGACAAGTAGTTCTTGAGCAACACAGAACACTATCAGTACATTTTGGTCATGAGTGGGCTGCGCCAAGGCAAGACAGAGTATCTCGGGCTACTCAGAAAAAAAAAAGGTGTGTCAAGTGAATTTTAATTGAGTTTAAGGTACTTCGCGTTATTTTTTTTCAAAGAAAGAGAGAGAGAGAGGCACTTTCTTGGAAATATAAGACAACCGAGATCGTGCGATCTTGATTATGAATTGAAGACGGCCTTTGTTCTTCGTCATAAGTTTAAAGTTGCATTTTAGGTGAGATGTAACTTGAATCTATCATGCAAACAAATAAAAAGCTTAATTCTTATGCTTCGAAAAAAGCCAATCAGGTCATGCGGTGGGCTTGATCGGTCTGTAAGGATTGATATAAAATACAAGGAGGTTATCGCCTGTATGCGTCGATCTTCATCTTGTTTTTTCCCTCTATATTTTTATTTTTTAAAGATTTGATGTATCTTGTGCAAAACTCATTTTTAAAACTACCATTGGAAAACGTTGTATCATTGTATAACAATGCGATCGTGCCCCGAATGATCAAAAGGAACCAGGCTTTATCTATTAGCATTGCTGTTACATTGTATGCTATATATTTTATCCATGATAGATTATTTAAACCTCCCAAAAACCTTCGACATATCCCGTATATTGGTTACTTTAGTATACTCAAATCATTGATTACGAACGAGTCTCATTGGGATCGAGCCTACCGAGTCCACCTTCCGCTCATTGAAAAGGGTACCAGCTTATTTATGGTTCGGATTGCTTATTCTTTGTTGAGTATAAAAAAAAAACGTATAATTTAATTAGACTTAATATAGGAATTAGGGGCGACTGGATGGGAGCTACAAGTAACAGATTCAAAAGAAGCCAAACGTGTATTATTAAAGCACGGTAAGTGAGAACTTAAAAAAAAAAGAGATTGTTTAAGATATTTAAAGGGCTAAACATTGCAAATGATGGCAGACATATTTGTCAAGGCCAACTTTTTGGAAACTGAAGGGACTTTGCAATATAGGTTTTCGAGCGGACCAAATATTCTCATGACAAATGGCTCGCATTGGAAATCGCTTCGAATGATTGCCAACCCTGCCTTCCGTCGTTCTTTACCCGTAAAAATGTTTGGTAATTTAATTCAGGATATGTTTGATGTCATGGATCAAATGGAGGAGACAGTTGACATCACCGATCTATTGGAAAGATGGACTTTAGACGTCATTGGAAAAGCGGGCTTCGGTTAGTACAAAGAAATGAATTGATCGACTCTAGGGGAGGGAGGCGATGTTAACAGCTCTTAAATAGGCTTTGATTTTGATGCCATTACAAATCATGACAATGAGTGGGTGAAAAGATACAATGCTATTCAAGAAGGATTGCGTAATGTTCTATTTTTCATGTACCCAAAACTTGATAATGAACTTATCTGGATGTTCCCTGAACGTCAGAAAGTTCATAAAGAATTAGATGTACTTTTGGATATGATGGACAATGTCATTCGTAACAAAAAGAAATCAAAGATGGAGAGTACAGATGTCATAATAGAAGACAATGAAAGAGACTTGTTAGATGTTATGATGGAAGGTGGTGAAAATGGGGAAGGTGTCATGACTGATGCCGAGTTAAAGGTAAACTTTACTGACAAATTAGCTGTTGTATTATATTAACACATCTATAGAGTAATTTGTGCTTGTTCTTTGCAGCCGGTAAGAAATAACCTAATTATTAGCGTTTGAACGTAACAAAAAATAACTTGTTTCTTTTGCTACATAGGACACGATACCACAGCAAATGCATTAGCATATGCAATACATTATCTAGCCGAAAACCCTGTACGTTTTATTGATTCCATAACATGCAATAATCTCAAATAGACACTGACTATTTACACTCACGTATAATTTAGGAGGTGCAACAAAAGGCAAGGGAAGAAGTTATCGCAATTTTGGGCGACACTCCAGCCAATGTGATACCCACTGTTGAAGATACCAAAAAAATGACCTATGTCAACATGGTGATCAAGGAAACATTACGTATCAATGGACCCGCAGTCCGTGTTATGACTCGCATTGCAAACAAAGACACAGAGATTGCAGGCACGTTTATTCCCAAGGGAACTAAGCTGACTGTCAATATCTTTGATATCCAACATAACGAAGCATACTGGAAAAATGCCAGCGTCTTTGACCCTGAGAGATTTTCTGAAGATGGGGGTAAGACTGGTGAGGGACCGGCTTGGCTCCCTTTTGGAAATGGTACAAGAAAATGTATTGGCATGAATTTTAGTATGTGCCAACAGCGTGTCATGCTCTCTATGTTGCGTAAGATTTTTTTTTTTTTGATGTGCTTTGTTTGTATTTCTGTCCAGTGAAGCTAATAAGATATTAAAATTAATAGTACGTAAATATACTTGGTCTACACCAGAGAGGTCTATTCACAAAAACGGACTGATTACTGGTGGTTACGGTGTAGTTGGGCCTGTTGAGTTGGATATGAAGTTCCAGAGAAGATACTAATGTTTACTTATATGTTTTAATTTTACACACACACTTTTTATGATAAACTTTTTTTACACCGTTTGCATGAGAAACTAGAGCTTTTTTTGTAAAAGAACTCCGTGCCGGAGCAAAGCTTCTAGATGTTATTCTGACCAAAGAAAGCAATTTGGAGGATTCTTTTACACTTTTTTCCAAAGTCACAGTCAAGTTTTAGCTGGGGATGAACTCTAATGGAGCATATTTTGGGAGTGTAATGGGATCCTCCTTTCCGTGCACCAACGTCTTATACAACAATGAAGTTTAGTGCCGGTATGATTTTAAACAAGTAGACAGAAGAAGGAAGAAGAAGGAAAAAAAAAAGTCGAGAAATAGAAAGAAATTTAATGGAATTTAAATGAATAAGAGAGGATATGGATGGACCTGGATGATTACCTAAGAGAGAGAGAAAGAGAGAGAAAGAGAAAGCTGCTCGACAATTCTTTTGCGACTCCCCCCTTATTTCGACATTTCGGACATTCCGACATTTCAACATTTCTTGAACTTTTTTTTTAATGGCTGTCCTTCCCCGTGGACATTGTCAATTAAATTGTTTTAATAGATGTTAGCTCCTCTTGCAGAAAGAGCAGAAAGGCTCACTTCTCTGCCACCTCCGATGTTCGTCGTAAGATCATGAGTGCTCCTTTGTCCAAGGAACTCAAGGAAAAATACAACGTAAGTAACGGATGTGATCGGATTAGAAGGTCGAACGCGAATATTAATATTGTGTGTGTGTTCATAGACCCGTGCTATTCCCGTTCGCAAGGATGACGAAGTCATGGTTGTTCGCGGTACTTACAAGGGCCGTGAAGGTAAGGTTGTCCAAGTTTACCGTAAGAAGTGGGTCATCCACATTGACCGTGTCTCTCGTGAGAAGGTCAATGGTGCCACTGCTCCTAACGGTATCTCTCCCTCCAAGGTTGTCATCACCAACCTCAAGTTGGATAAGAGCCGTGTTGCTATCCTTGACCGTAAGGGTAAGAAGGTTGGCATGAAGCAGGTAACGTCACATGGGTTGATTGTCAACACGATCTGTTATTAACACTGCTTTTTCTCTTTACTAAATTCTACTTGTAATTTCATTCATAATATACTATTTTCTTTGAAATGATTAATTAAATAAAAATCAAAAGAGAATTCCATTGTAAATATATACTTTTTTTTTTCTGTCTTTTAAATTCCGTGTTTAAATTACATTGTGGCCCGAGGACAACCAATTTCTTTCCTTTCTTTCCCACCGTTTATTTTTTTTTTTGGGTTGCGCAAAAAAAAAAAAAAAAAAAAAAAAAAAAAATGTCGTCCAAGACAGAGTTAAAGAAGTACAAGTCATCAAAGTCTTCAAGATACGACAGTAAGATCAAAAGAGTCAAATTGAAAGTTCGTTCAGGTTTGTGTTTATCAAAGAAAACATAATTGGGCTGGATATGAACTTACTTTTTTTTTTTTTTTTGGGACCCTCTGTAGAATTGGATATATTTAAATGGCAAAAGCACAAGTTCCACCAAAACGATTACTGGATTGATCCCTATGTAGACACACTTACCAGAATTGATTATCGTGCAGTGTCAAAGCGAGAGTTCGTAGAGAGATTTGAAGCCAAAAATATACCTGTTGTGATCACCCATGTCACGGATGAGTGGAAAGCCAATAAACATTGGACGGACGAGGTACGGAGAACAAATCCCCATTTCATTTGATCATACGTTAAATTTTTTTTTTTTTTTGTATTTATTTATTTTTCCACAATTTAGTATTTAATTGAGAATTATGGCTCTCATTTATTCAAGGTCGGTGATGATGATAACAACGACAACGTTTATATGAAGATGAAGCATTTCCTGTATTATTCTCAGAATGAAGGTCTAAAGGACGATTCACCACTCTATATTTTTGACAGCGGATTTTATAAAAAGAGAAACAGTAGCAGCAAAAAGAAACAAGGCAGTCTATTGGACGATTACAAGATACCAAAATATTTTAATGAGGATTTATTCAAGTTGACAGGAGCTAGAAGACCACCCTACAGATGGCTCGTACTTGGTGGTGCACGTAGCGGGACGGGGTAAGTTATCATTGGCTCTCATTGAATAAGATTGCAGTATTGATTCTCTCTCTCTCTTCTTTTATTAGTATCCATAAAGATCCCTTAGGTACATCTGCCTGGAATTCACTGATTCGCGGTCATAAGCGTTGGTGTTTATTCCCTCCAGCCACACCCAAAGCACTTTATGACCCACCCATGAAACCTTACGATCATGAAGGTGTATCATGGTTTGATCAAGTCTATCCAAAATTTAAGACGAGAGAAAGCAATGACGATGTGCGTACCTTGGGAGAGAAATTAGGCATGATTGAGGTATTACAAAAGCCAGGCGAAACAATTTTTGTACCGGGAGGATGGGCACACGTGGTGATGAATTTGGATCTGACAGCCGCTGTCACGCAAAATTTCTGTTCATTAACAAATGCCGAATGGGTTTATTTACAAACAAGACATACGCGTCCCAAATTGGGTCAAAAGTTGTACAGAGAAATCCAGAAATTAGGTACGGCTGAACCAAATATTTATCAAAATGTGGCAGAGGCTTTGCGGTCCACGGAGTATATACCACAACTCCCTCCAGGTAGTAGTAGTGATAGTAGTAGTGGGAAGTCATCCACATCCAGTAGTAGTAGTACTAGTAGTAGCGATGCAAAGTCTTCTGTAAAGAAGCCAAGAAAGAGAAAGATTGCAGTCAGTTCCACTGATTCAGAGACCGATCTGAGTAACGGTACCTGCATGTGCAAAAAGTGCAAGATAAAACGCAAATACAAAAGAGCCAACAGACAATAAAAAAGGCTGTGGTTCATATAGAATCAAATAATAATAATAATAACAATAATAATAACAATAATAAAAACAGATGCATACTACTTTATTAATTCGCAGTAGTAGTAAGTTTTCCTGTTTGTTTGTTTTGCTTAACGGTATGCTCTTCTTGACGTCGGAATAAGAAGAAGAGGGTCAATATCAGAAGGATCCTCTTCCAACATGCCTGTATTTCTGTTCGTTCTTGAGGATTGTCCAGGCTGATTATCTCGTACTATTGATGTATAATATTATTAGTCCCCTTTTTTCCTTAAACACATTTAGATTTATATCATATTACTTTGTTCTTGGTGTCGTTGCTCGCTAGTAACCATCGGAACAATTCTCACCATCTCTTCATCATTATTATGTCGTCTCTATTCATATTTTAACAAAAAAAAAAAGTTGTACGGATCATCTAATATTAAATATAAATCATGTAACTTACCTTCTTGAACACTTTATAATTCACACCGCCAGACGTTCCTTGAGGAGAAGGAGGAGTATAAGAAGGTGAATTGACTACAAGCGATGTATAAACAACATTTGAATATCGTATCTTGGACGAAATCTCTTCTTCTGGCTCATGGGTCGTATCATCATCATAACTCATAAAATCACCCAATAGATCTTTTCGCTTTCGCGATTGACCCACCATTTGGGACAACAAGGATTGTTCCCCACGTGCCCTGGTCGGTCTACTGGATAAAGCACTAGCATGATCGGAACTAGACGAGAATTCTGCAAACCTATTCGTCCCGCTTGAACCGCTCAATGTTCTTTCGAGAGGTGCCTTGGCTTTATTAGAAGAGGAACCAGACATGTTGGAGTCAACAGAGAGATCCTTGAACCGATTGGAGACGGTAGAGCTCTCGGGTTGCGGGCTGCTTTCTCTGTTGCGCAAAGACCTAGAAACATTAACATTAGCAGAGAAATCCCTGAACCGATTGGAGGTAATGGGGGTCTCTGGCTGAGGGCTGACTTCTCTGTTGCGCAAAGAACTGGAAACATTAGCATTAGCTGAGAAGTCTCTGAACCGATTCGAGACGGTGGAGGTCTCTGGCTGTGGGCTGACTTCTCTGTTGCGCGAGGAACTGTCAGCATTTTCATTGACCGTCCTATAAAAATCATCTGGTTGATCAACTACTGTAACAGAATCCTGAGAATCGGGAAAGGGAGCTGTATTCACAACGGTAGAATTAGAATCAGATACAGGATCACGGTCACTTGTAGAGCCATGTTCATCAACATTAGTACTGTGATTCATTTCGGAGCTATTCCCAGTCGTTGAATCGTAGTCCGTGGTAGAGCTACGGTCAGCGATAGGGCTACGATCAGCGATAGGGCTACGGTCAGCGATAGGGCTGCGATCAGCAATCGAGCTACGATCAGTCATCGGAGCAGTCGTAGAGCTAGAAGATGTACGAGGTGAAATCGGTTCGGGCGTTTTGGGCGCCGAATCAGTCCTGATTGTATTCTGTGTGGTAGGACCGAGATCCTTGGCGCTGGACGCTTCTGCCGTCTGTTTCTTGGGAGGAGGCCTTGCCTTGAGCGGACCCACGAAATCATCAAATAAATTATGGAGCGAAGGTAAAGGTATATCCTCATCCACTTCGTACATGGGTGACATGGCTTCTATGGGCGACATGTGACCAACGGGAGACATACTGCCGATAGGAGACGTGTGATTTACTGGAGATGCAACAGATGAAGATGCATGATTTGTCGGAGATGGAGGTGTAGAGGTAGATTTTGCTGTCGATGTAGGATTTACCGGAGATATATGATTCGCTTCCGATGAAGGCTTTTTTGAAGTTGTAAACAAGGGAGCCACAGATGATGAGGATGAAACATGAGGTTCTGTAACCCGTGATGTATTTGCTTGTACAGCACATGTTGGATGATCTGCTTTGTTTTTACCTTTTCCGTCCTCCATGTTATTTTCTGATGCTTGATGATGGCGTTCTGGGCTACGATTGTCATCTTGATTAGTATTTGTGGAAGGTGTGGCAGTGTCTACGCTATTGAGATCGAGAGAGTCCAAAGAGGCGTGAGGATTACACATGTAATCTGTTGAACAGTAGAGGATAGCAAACCCTATTTCCACATCTTCGATCGCTCTTATATCACTATATCTATTAAAAAGAGAGAGAGAGAGATAAATACGAATGATGCGATGTATATATATATAAAGAAAGGTGATTTTTACTTTCTGTCAATTCTTTCTTTCAGGATCTCCCATCGTTCTACTTTTCTGCGTTTTTGTTCAGGTGGAGCAATGAAGATATAATTTGGATTAAACTTAAACTCTTGTGAAGATAAATCATGATAGACTACTTTTCCTCCTCCCAAGGATACCAAGGGAGCCAAACGCTTGGCTTGCTGACTATCGAATGCGATAAACCGCATTTTATTAAACAAGGACAAGCGACGATCATCCAAGGTTAATTCCACCCGGCGTTTCAGAGGACCGTAATTTTCCCATACCACGGGTTTGATGGTATCATACACTTCACCTGATAGAAAACGTCGATCTGTGCTTGTCAGGAAGTCTTTTACCAGCCAATCTTTGGTGACGATGTACTTTTGTTCCATCAGGGCTCTGAGTAAATGCGTGCTGATTTCTTCTGTGGGTTCCTCTGATATCCAAACATGAGTGATGTTCTTGTGCCACTCTGTGATGAGATGGAAGCCTACAAATGTGTGTACTGATAAGTTTTTCACCCCTCCCAAAAAAAAAAAATCACTTTTTCTTCTGTATGTGGTATTCCGTACCAAAGACAGCGGCTTCATCGACCATATCCTCAAAATCATCATCGGTCGGACCATCTTTAAAAACCATCATATCTTCCCATCGAACTCTTTATAATAAACATGGTTTAAGAGGGGAGTTGGGTTTTGTGTGCTTCAAAGACTTACCGAAATCGAACTTCTTTGTTAATGATACGAATAACGTCACAGTCATGTAAATAATAGGATCCCTTAAAGGTATTGTCGCTGACGACTGCTTCAAATCGATTTGATTTTGTTTGTGTTAGACGTATTACTGGTTTCGACCGAGGATCCACCTAATGGAGGAAGTCAATGCATTTTTTTTGTGTGTGTCTATATATAAATCGGTATTACAACTTCGGGTAATGGATAAAGATCTGTCTCGATAGTAGCTGTGAAAATTGAATCGTATTTATCTGTATATATATAAAAAAAAAACGTGTGAGCGATCCACTTTTCCTGCTGTGTAAACTGCTGGTACCTTTTCGACAAATGACATAGGACTGATGAGGTCGAAGCCTTGAAACGCACTGTTCGACGAAGCCAATGTCTGGCACTTTCTTTAATGAATATAGTAACCACATTGTTGAGAGTAAAGACGGGAATCTTTTTTTTTTTTCTTGACAGCCTTTTTTTTTTTTTGTTAAGCGCGTTCTCCGCCCTCTCCCTTTCCACTTGGCAGTCTTTTACCACCAGCTGACCAATTAAAAATTCTGGTAAAGGGTTCTTTTCCGCACTGTAAAATATAGAGGCAATCATGAGGCTAAAACACTTACATAAGCCTTCTTTTCATGCAAATAAAAGAGTTATGTACAGTTAAAGTACGTCACGAGTTGATTGGAGGATGGGGGTATAATCCCAAATAAGACGATTTTTTTTTTTTAAATATTTTTTGAAAACCAGTTCTATTACACATCAAAAGCTTTGTAACTCTCTCTCTTTTTCTCTCTTTTTTATATTTAATCTTTATTTTTAATAAAAAATGGATCGCAGAAAGGAAGAATTAGAAAAGAAGCGACAAAAATTAGCAGAGCTTAGACGTGCTCGAGAAGAAAGAAGAGCTTTGCTTGAAAGTCAATCTACTCAATCCTCTTCCGTAAGTCTCCTCTTCTTATTTAGGGTTTCTCTATTTTTACTAAAAAAGGGGGCGGTTTTAAACAGACAACAACAGCAAACTCGAATACAGGAAGAGACAGAAAGGCTATTGACGACCTTGTTGCTTTAGTTTTGGGTGAACGTCCCTCTACTCCCAATACAACTACACAAGCAGGTAGTGATCGTGGTTCAGATGCTGGATCCGATTTTTCTAATTCACGTCCTACTTCTGCTAATTTTGGATACTCATCACCCGGAACACCCATCAGCACGTAAGATGAAGCCATTTTACTTATCCATTGGGAGACCTACCCCCTCCCTTATTTTAATTTTTCTTTCTTTCTGTACATATAACTATAGTAATGAGGCCAGACTCTCTATGCTTTCCATGTCATCTCAACCTACGCAATCAACACCTCACTATGTTGCAGAATTAACTGAATCACAAGCTTTTGTTGCAGATATTCCCCCACTTGTAAGAACAAATTGATTTGAAACTATATGCATTAGAAGCAGCAGCAGCAGCAGCAGCAGCAAAAAGCAACAGGGCATTCAACTGTTTTTTTATAATAGGAACATGTGGTATATAGTAAGGAAATCCAAACTACAGATGGATCTATGGAAGCACCCGAGATTTCGGAAGAAGAGATTAGAAAGCAAATTATGGAAGAATTCGAGTTAAAGGAAAAGATTAAGATGGCACAACTTGAAGAAGAAATTAAGAGAGCTGAACAAGAAAAGCAAGAAGAAATCAGAGGTAAAAAAAATTAAACTTTTTTTGTATTATTCAGGAACCAAAAAAAATTTAGGGACAACAACTAAAAAAAAAAAAAATTATTAGAACTTACGGAAGAGGAAAGTAAAGTCATCCAGAAATCTCAAGAGTTTGCTGAATTCGTTGATAATTCTTCCAAGCTCGTTGAAAGAGCTCTTAATGAAAAGTATGATTTCATGAAAGATTATACGCTTGGCATCGATGTTGAAAGGTAAAAAAAAGTGAAAAAATATTGTACTTGCAATGCATTTTTAAAAGAATAAGAATTTTTGTACCTTTTAAAAAAGTGATGAGAATTCTGGAAAGCACGTCAAATTTGTTTGTGAATTCTGGGACGAAAAGTGGTGTAAAAACAGATCTGTCACTGATGTCAATTGGTCTCTTAAAGTAAAATAAGCTTTTTACCGCTTCCCATGTTCCATAGAAAGGGATTTTAGAACTAAAACTATCTATTTTTTTTTAGTACCCAGAGTTGGTAGTTTCTTCTTACAACAAGAACCCTCTTGCTCCCAATGAACCTGATGGTGTAGCCCTTGTCTGGAACGAGCATTTATTGGATCGTCCTGAATTCGTTTTTCATTCTCAGGTAAATAAAAAGTTTACATTTGTTCATTCTCTTGAGAACTCACATCCTTCCATTGTTTATTATTTATTTTTAGTCTGATGTACTTAGTGTGATGTTTAGTAAATTCCATCCCAACTACATTATCGGTGGTACCTATTCAGGTCAAATTGTTTTGTGGGATACCCGTGCTAAATCATTACCTGTCTTAAAGACACCCTTGTCTGCTGGTGGTCACACCCATCCTGTCTATTCTATTGAAATGGTCGGTACCCAAAATGCCCATAATTTAATCTCGGCCAGTACAGATGGCTTTGTTTGTTCTTGGCAATTGGATATGTTGGCCCAACCTCAAGACTACTTGGAATTACTTCATCCCGCTCATAACAAAACTGATGAAGTGTCTGTCACCTGTATGGGTTTCCCTGACAACGAGACAACCGCCTTTTGGGCAGGCACAGAAGAAGGTAATATTTATCAAGCGAATCGATATGACCGTGCTGGAAGGTAAATTTTTTTTTTTTATTAATTCGTACTACACACACACACACAAAAAACAAATCACCAAAAAACTGAATACTTTTATTTATTATTTTAAACAGTAAAGCAGGTATTAATCAATATGATACGTACCGTGGTCATCATGGTATGGTGACCGGATTAAATTTCCATCCTTTGCATGGACCTGTTGACTTTTCAGATTTATACTTGACTTCTTCGGTTGATTGGACTGTCAAACTCTGGAGAGCAAAGGTAAAAAGTTACAAAGTACATGATTTTATCTGGGGTTTTTTTGTTCATATTCCCCTCTTTATATATGTAGTCTATTTCCAAAACATCCACTCAACCAGCAGCCATGCCTCCTCTTTATTCATTTGAGCATGCTGATGACTATGTCTATGATGTCAAATGGTCTCCCTCGCATCCTGCGTTATTCGGTACAGTGGATGGCACTGGTCAATTTGATTTATGGAACCTGAATGCGGATACGGAAGAGCCATTTGTCAGTACTCAAGTTGGATCCGGCAAGGCCCTTAACAAAATTGCTTGGGATAAAGAAGGTAGAAAAACTGCCATTGGTTCTAGTGATGGTCATGTCTATGTCTATGACATTGGAGAGGTAAAAAAAGAGAGAGAAAGAGTATCTTGATTCTGTGTGACTAAAAACTTCTATTACTTTTAAAAAAAGATGGCTACACCTAAACCCGAGGATTGGAGTCTATTACAAAAGAATATCTCGGAAATGATTTCTAACCAAGAGAATCCTGCCGGAAAATAGTCATGATATACACACACCCACACACACACAGTGAGATGCTGATAATTCAGCGTTTTAAAATAAAGAATTTTTACCCTTTCCAACTATTACATGCAGACTATTTATATTTGTTACAGAACATCTCTTTTATTATACTCCTCTGAATTTGAATGTCTGTCTGGCGCAAAATATTAAATTTCTGGAAATTGATAGTCAATTAAAGCCCGGGTCAATTGTTTCCCGTTAAGACCGATTATCCGCGTCCCTTTCCTCCTTCTTGTAAAAAAGTGTATGGGAATTCGAGTATGATTTTAATTCGATACATAATGATTGTCTTTCAACACACAGTGGGGGGCGGCCTTCAAAGCCGGGTTTTTTTTTTTACAGTTTCATGCCGAGGGTTAAAAAAAAAAAAAAAATCCCACAACCTGGGCTTGAAAAGTCCTCTTTTTTTTCCAGAATATGATTTTTATTTAAACAGTAAAAGGCCCCCCGCCCCCTTCTCTTGCGACTACAGTCTGTATCACTGTACTTTAGAGGGTACATAATATGTAATTGCTGATGTCCAATGGCATCATAATGATGAACTTACTAATTAATAATTAAGCAGTAGAGGGAGGGATCGTCGGGAGCCTGGTTACTGCTTTGTTTGCCCCCCTTAGGACATGTAAAAGCTCCCTTTCTTTATTTTTTTTTAATTAATCAAACTGATTTTTTTTTGTGTACACATGCGTTTGCTCTGTACGACTAATAAAAAGGACCCACAAAAGGAGAGCTTTTATTATAGAATAGGTGGAACATTAGGCATTGTTACCACATTTTTTTTTTTTTTTATAAAAAAGATTTCAAATGCAGACTGTCATCCCAGTAGGGAGTATTTCTTTATTTGGGGTGTTTGTGATTTATTAAAAAAAAAAAAAAAAGTGGCCCTGAATAGAAGTCGGGTTGTCTATATATGCGTGTGATTTTTTTATTACAGAAGGTTTTTTTGTTTTTTTTAATAAGTATAGAATGATGCCAAGGTATAGCCTTGTTCTTTCAGTACCCAAGCCTCGTTCAATTCTCCAATGTATTTGGAAAAGGTGGATCTGGGTGTTGTAAATATTCTTCTTGCATGAGCAACGACCATGGCATCCACCAGTGGAATAAGATAGTTTTTCAATGACTTGGATGGGTTAAACATGCAATGGAGTTCATCCAGCGGATCTAATAATTCTTTTGGTATATCATTGAGGGTCAAGGTGCAGGGGAAATAATCAAACCATTCCAGCAGTCGACTATTTTCTGCGCGAAGATCTCGGTGGTCTGTTGCTATGTAGACAACCGCCCTCCATCCTACGTGTTCCATTGATCTATTGATATGGGGTGACACATTCTCACAGACATTGACCCATGGCGGTAAAGTCAAGTCTGTTTGGGGTTTTAGAGGAATCGTATCCTGAGGTAAAGGAGGGGGTTTCGGTAAGGATGTAAGCACGCCAAATTCATCATACGGCGGTAAAGGTGGTACAGGGGTACCTGTGGCAATCGACATATTACGTTCAAATGCATGAAGATTATCGAGAGCGTATTTTTTAAAAGGGACATCTCGCAGTCGAAAGTGAATCCCATTAAACGTTGCTTTACCACCCAAATGTTCCACAATCCCCGCCACCGTCTCTCCCAGAGGTGTATCCAATCTGTAATGAAGTGTCTCCGATATCATCTTTTGTAACTGAATATGTTTTGGTTTGACCATATTCATTCTTGTAGAGCCAAAAATACCCCCTAAATGAAGTAACCTTTGTTTTTTATTCTGCCAATCTGAGGGTGTGAAAATCTTGTAGAATTTTCTATCGGTAAAGGAGTCAACAAAGTTGGATCCATTGGCTAATATTCTATTCGCCTCCTCAATGTCTTCATAGAGTCTCCAGTCGTATAAATGGTCGTCACGGTGAACATAGGTTTCGTCGTCTGTGACGCCCAAGTCAGCCTGTAATTTTTCAAAGGAGACGGTATCATGAAAACGTATCTTTACATGCGGTTCGAGTGAGGAAAAGTCATGAAGTTGACTCCAAGGTATAGCAGCAAATTGGTTGTATTCAGCACATTTGCTTCTTTGTGTATAACTATGCAAGTCGCCAGGTGTGGGTCGTTGACATAATGAGTCAAAATCTTTGGGTGTTGTCAACCAACTCAGATGATCAAGTAATTGCTCCATGGGCATCCATCCCACCACACTTCCCAGGAATGCAGGTGGGACGATGAGGGTGCGTTTTAGTATGGCTGCTAGTAATAGAGCGTTGGCTAGTTCGATTCTTTGATTTGAAAGTCCAGAATGGGGTAGATATGCTAAATATTGTTCGTCATAATTACGCATCGTATTACTTTGTTTGTCATAGATATAATAGCACGAAATTAGGAGACTTGCTGTAAATATAAACACAAGGCCTAATGACAATTTTCTATGCTTTATCCACATGATTCCATATAATAATTAATAAAAAAAAAATAAAAATATATAGACGAAAAAGGAGGAAAAAATGTATATAAATACTTTTTGACGCTAATCATCATTTTTTGTAGCACAACACAAAAAAAAGGGAGAGGAGTTTTATTTTATTTTTATGACGGCGATTATAAACTCTTGACGACATTCTCGACCAAGCTGACATTAAGACCAGTAGTATCAGGTTCAACAAATAACTTGGTAACCTTGCCATTATCAAGAATAGCAGCGAATCGCTTGAAACGATGGTTACCCAATGCACCTGTAGCGTCAAAATCAAGGTCCATGGCCTTGGCTAATTCACCCTTGGAATCGGCTAATAAAGTGACAGATCCTTCAGCATTATGTGCCTTACCCCATTCAGACATAACAAACGCGTCATTGACAGCCACACACGCAACCAAGTCAACTCCCTTGGACTTTAAATTGGCGGCTTCCTTGACATAACCAGGTAAATGTGTCTTGCTACAACCAGGTGTGAAAGCACCGGGAACACCTACACGAACAAAAAAAAAAGTGTAAGTTATATATAGAATATCACGTATTTTATCTTATCTTACCGAACAAGACAGCCTTTTTGTTCTTGAATAAATCAAGTGTCTTTACAGTCTCTCCGGGAGACTTGAGTTGAACTTCAATGTTGGGGATAGAATCACCCTCAGCAATCATCACACGGCTCGTATTAAAGAAACTACGGCGTTGAACAATATTAAAACTAGTGCGCAACATTTTTATATTTATGAAAAAAAGAAAAAAAGTAAAAAGTAAAAAAAAATAATTGGGGTTGGATTTCTTTTGATTAAATATTCGCAAGTCACAAACCTACGCTAAAAAGGAACACACGTAAAAAAGTGCTGGTGCTGCATGATTCATAAAAACTTTAAACTTGTTGGGGGTCTTTTTTTTTTGTTTATTTCTCTTTTTTTTACTATTTTTATTTTCATTTTTATATGTGTATGAACGAATTCTTAAAAGAACATACCTGTTATGATGTTTTACCGATAAGTTTTCGCCTTGTTGTATTTGATACACAGCTTCGAGTTAAAAAAGCCCTGTCCATGTTAATACAGAATGGTACACTTTTCCCTCCCCTTACTTTTAATATACTACCTTCTCCTCTCTTCTCTTCTGTTTTTTCCTTACTCTTCTTTTAACTAAAAAAAAAAAAGGTATTGTATCTGCACCTCTCTGGTCCAACGAAACATTAGAATATGCCGGTATGTTGACTGTCAGTGATTTCATCAACCTGATTCAATACTATTACTACAGCCATTCGTCCTCCTATCATGAAATCGAGACAATCCAGATATCCGAACTTAAGGACAAGCATCACGAAATATGGGTGAAACAGCAAAAGGGCGCCATCCATCCCATGGCTACCTTATACGACGCTGCCATCGTCATGTCAGAGACCAGAGCACACCGCATCCCTCTCGTCATTGAAAATAGGGAAATCATTAGTGTCATCACTCAGTATCGATTACTAAAATTCGTGGCGAATAACGTAAGCATCTCAAAGAATGTTTTTTTTTTACTTTAAAATCTTCCGTTTTTGTTATCTTATCTTTTTTTTTGTTGTAGTTCAAAAATACTGAGTTGCTTAGAATACCGTTATCTGAACTAAAGATTGGAACCTATGGCACCCAAGTAGCCACGGCAACCATGGAAACACCCGTCATAGAAATCATTACCATGTTTGCTCGTGAGAACATTAGTGCGGTACCTGTCATTGATGAAGACGGGACTGTTCTGAATATTTACGATACAGTGGATGTCATGGTAAGTCTGTAGATGTAATGTTACCTGCGCAAAAAAAAAAAAAAAGATTTTCATATACTTTTGTGTGTGTGTGCGTGCGTGTGTGTAGAGCTTGGTGAGGTCTGAGAAATACAGTAATTTGGATCTACCTGTACGAGAAGCTATTAAATCAAGACCAAAGGTAAAAAAAAAAGAAAAGGAAATGGATTGATAAAGTTGTCCATTTATGTAAGGGAGAAGTTTTTATTGATCTTTTTTTATGGGGATGGGGGATCAGGATTATCCTGGTGTCAGCACGTGTACCATGAACGACACCTTAAACTCTATTTTTAAGGCGATACGCAAAAAGAGAGTGTATAGATTGGTAGTCATTGAACCAGAAACACATCAACTCTTGGGGTTATTGAGTTTATCAGACATTTTGGGTTATATTGTCACTATCTAGTCCACGAAAAATATAAATATTCCCCTTTTCCCATTTTTAGTAACTTTTTTATTTTATCCAATGATGATGCTGGAATTACCTATCAATAAAAATATGTATGGATTGCAGAAAAAACGATTTAGCCAGCAAGATTTTGGGTGAATTACCGGTAATGAAAAGGCGTGCTTAAAAGGAATATATAAACAACATAGTGTCTTTGCGCACGAGAGAGGGACTACTAAATTTGTAGCAATTAAACATCATTCCATCAATAAAGTAGAGTAAATTACACTAGCCAGTCCACAATCTCTACCGCAAGAACGTCAAGTGATGATCAAGGATTATGCATGAAAGGTTGTACTTTTATCAGGGTCCGCTATTTTTTTTTAGGCATAGATTGTCAGTGACCAGTTCAGGAATGATCTTCTTTTTTAAATGATAAAATGTTCGCCTTTTTTTTTTAAGGTTCAATATCCTGTTGCTTATGAGTTTCACGCTTTGTGATTGGCTTGCACTATAGAAAAAATAAAGAGAGAGACAGGTGTTACGTGGAGTTTTTTTTATTTATTTTCCACATATTCCCTTTACTTTTATTTTTTTCCCCCAACCTTTGAATATATATATAAAGACGTAATGAATACCATCAAACCCGACCAAATTATTGAGCTGGAACCTTCTCTCATCAAGGTTAGTTTTATCAAGAAAGTCTTCTACCCCCACACCATGAAGTGGCCCAGATTCATGTATTCACGTTTATTTTTTTATCGGAACAATTCGCCTTATTTTTTTTTTTATGTAGGTTCCTTACGAGCAACTTCGCAAATCATTCCGATCTCAACATCGTTACCTTGAAAAAGAATTAGCTTCCATACATGATAAAATTGAGCGATGTGTCAGAGATACCAATATAACACCCGAGAAAGCATCTCTTAAAGTGGACGAATTACTAAAACAAGTGGAAAAGTTGACAGACAAGGTAAATCCTTTTTTTTTATATATATATTGATGAGATAGGGTTTAACCAAACTATAGTTGCAAAAAACAAGGGAGGAAGAGTTAGGACACTCAGATAGAATCGAAAAACGTATTCAAAACTTGCGTGAGATTGAAAACATCACATCACCCAAGGCGCCAGAGTTTATAGCTTGGAGCAAGACGAGATTGGATAGAGTGATTGTGGATTATTTACTTCGGGAAGGCATGACAGCAACAGCATCTACAGTAGCAGCTGAAGGCGGTATTGAAGTAAAATTAAAAAATGACACTTTATAATGAAAGTAGTGGCAAAATGACGATGACTAAAAATGTTGTTATTATTTTATAAAAAAAAAGGACATGGTAGATATTCAGTTGTTTGCGCAATCTGAGAAAATCGAGGAATCCCTTAGAAATCATAGTTGCAAGGAATGTCTTGCTTGGTGCAGTGAGAATAAGTCAAGTCTTCGAAAAATGAAGGTAAATCTTTTATCAGCCTATAACAACTTGGGTGCTCTGTATTGATGCTCTCTCTCTCTCTCTTATTTAGAGTACGTTGGAATTTAATTTGAGAATACAAGAGCTGATTGAATTGATCAGAGCAAAAAACACGCTGGAAGCAATCCCATATGTTCGAAAATACCTAGCTCCTTTAGAGCCTACGGATGCCAAAAGGTTTAGACAAGTCATGGGTTTATTTGCTTTTGGGAGTGAGACCACATGTCTTCCTTACAAGGTAAGCCTTTTCTCATTTTTTTGTATATACATCTTCATGTGCTGACTTTTTTTTTTAAATGATTTATTACAGGATTTTTATGATCCTAAGCGCTGGTTAGAACTCATTGATCAGTTTAGAGCTGATAACTATTCTCTTTGCTCACTTACGTCACATCCGCTACTATCTATTACACTGCAGGCGGGTTTATCAGCGCTCAAGACACCTCAATGTTATGAACATGAAAACCAAAATGTAAATTGTCCCATTTGCGACAATACCACGTTGGGTAGTTTAGCAGAGAAACTACCACTCAGTCATCATGTGAACTCTACTATTGTGTGTCGTATCAGTGGTAAAATTATGAATGAAGATAATCAGCCAATGCTTTTACCAAATGGAAGAGTTTATAGTCTGAACGTAAGATGCAAAATATATATATTTCACTTGTAACCATGGTATTCACATTCTTTTTTTCTTTTTCTTTTCTATCAGGCTTTACAAGAAATGGCTGCAAAGTCAGGTGGTAAAATTACATGTCCAAGAACTGGCGATGTGTATCAGTTAGATGAAATTAAGAAAGTCTTTATTTCTTAAATTTTTTTTCTTTCTTTCTTTTTTTTTTTTTTTTTTTTTTTTTGCAGGAATAAAAATAATCGCTATTTATAGTTTGTTTGAACATCCGTTACAAGTCAGTTCTTTTTTCTTTTTTTTTTGGGTTTTACCCGCCTTTTTTTAATATTATTATTTTGGTTTTACTCTCCCTCCCCTTTCCAATAAATATTTAAAAAAATAAAATAACAATAATGCCGCCCATTGTGTTAAAGATTGAAGGCAATGAATCCTTGTTTTCTAATTTGAATCAGGATGAACTTGAAAAGACCTGGCGAGTATGTACAAAAGTCAAAGATTCACTTGAAAACGGTTCTAGACTCGAGAATTTATCCTGGAGACTTTGGTTCATACAGAATGTGAGCAATGACGTCAAAAGCACCAACAACAATAACAACAATAACAACAATAACAATAGTGCGGAGGTATCTGTTTTAGATTACAGTCTCGATGAAATTAAACCTGTTGGCACAGAGAATTTTACGCTCAATCAATTTACGTCTGATCAAGAGGGTGATCAAATGATTGAACTAAAAGATCTTTTTCCTATCGAAATGCAAGATTTCATGTTTGCAGTTCCCGGTCAAGATCCGTTGTCGGAAACCCAATTTGATTGTAATATTACTTCGTCATGGCCCACCTACGATTATTATCAGCAGCAACAGCAGCAACATATACAGCAGCAGCCCATACAGCAGCAGCAGCAGCAACAACAACAACAACAACAGCAGCAGCATCAGCAGTATTCTCCATCCCTATTGAGCACCCATCAAGTCCTGGATGGAATCAACATTCCTGCCACTGAAGACCTACTGCAACAACAACCTAACATGGTTGATTATTATTCCACCTATCTCGCTACAGCATTACCCAACGCAACCTTACATAACAAGCTTTTAGCTACTTTACCCCGACAGACGCTACAATCCGCTGAACGTTTATTGTCCTCTAATAATAAAAGACCCCATCAGACGCCGGATCCACTACCTAAACAGAATCGTCATGATCAGCACTATTACAACACCTTTCAGTTAGACCCGACACATTCATCCCCGACAGCATTGGATACCACTTGTGAGGGAACCAATGAAAGGCCGCTTAGTTGCAGTAATTGCGATACAACGACAACACCACTATGGAGACGATCTACGAACGACAAAGTTTTGTGTAATGCTTGTGGGTTATAGTAAGTTTTTAATCTCACTTGTAACTTTAGTCTTCTTTGTTAAACCTTATTTTTTATAGTCTGAAATTACATAATACACCCAGGCCTAAATACCTAAAGCCATCCGGTGGCAAAGGCAAGGATTCTCGTTTACTGGGGAATGAAATGGATGCGGATGATACAAAGTCAGGACAGACAGTGTGTTCAAATTGTAGTACGAGCAAGACACCGTTGTGGCGTCGAGATTTAGAAGGTGCACCTTTATGCAATGCTTGCGGTTTATAGTAAGTTTATATTTCTTGATCTGTCAGACAGATAAAAAAACTCATAATTGTTTGTTTAGTTTAAAGTTGCATCATGAAAATAGGCCCCTATCGATGAAGACCAATGTGATCAAGAAACGTCAGAGAGCAGAAACGTTGGTGGATCCAACGATCAAAAAGCCACGTTATTACGACCAATTATCACAACAAGGTTCAACACTAGGGTATCGAAATGCAAATCTACCCGGTACAGGCATTCTCATGATGACAAGTCCAAATCCTCCTACCTGAAGAAGCTTTTTTAAAATATCACCAAAAAAAAAAAAAAAAAAAATTAGAAGGGATTGTAAAATAAATAAATAAAAAATCAGAATATTTAAAAAAAGAGTTCTTCCGGTTCTATGAGGCTTTTCAATTGAAACTACAAAAAGTCATCATCATAGGCTGCCTTATCAGTTTGAAAAAAAAAAAGACTATCCCTATGATGTGTATAAGATATACATATTATAGCGTAGAAATTTCTTTCAGAGATTTCAACACTTTCGTGGGAAGTGTAGACATAGTTCATTTATCAGCGATATTCCAAGCCTTATGTCAGATTTTTTTAAATAATGTGTATGGTATAACCGGAATGTTACACACAAACAAATAGTGATTAGCAATCAACTTTTTTGCTTTTACTGTCCGGCTGAATCATTTTTCCACCCCGCCACGTTTATAATCAAATTAAAAAAATTAACAAATTTTTCTTTTTACCTTTTTTATTTCAGCTTTCATAACTATAAAAAAAATAAAAATGATGGAAATTGCAACTACACCCATAACACAATTTGATGAAGTGACGAATACTTCTTTTTTGGGAAAAACAGAGAGCGGAACATATATCTTTACAGGTGCAGCAAGCATTGTAAGTGTTTTACATATATATACATGACACTTTACTACTATACTCACATCAATATATATATTTATCTAGAAATGGGCAATCGGCGATGTTCCTAATGTAAGTTTATTTGTCTTTAATTTTTTTTATGTATGAGTCCTAATTTTTTTTTGTGTATGTGTATAGGGCGGTAAACTTTGATTGCATAAATCAGAAAAATAGATCAAATAATTAAATTTGTTTGTGTGTAGGTTATGTGATGTCTGTTATTATCGACAGTGTCATCCAACTCTTTTCAGAAAGACACCAAACCGATCCCGTAGCACTCAACTGTTTCTTTTTCAACAAGACATTGCCCGGTCACCTTATCATCGAAATTGAGGAACTCAAGATGAGCAGAAAGGGTTATTGTATTGTCAGAGCCAGTCTGAAGCAAACATCGGATTTAAGCGCTTTAGACGACTTGACATCCTATGATCCATCTCAATGGTCTGATAAGGTCCAAGGTATTTTCACGATGGGCAATATGGACACCGAACAAGGAGTCACTCATTTTTACAAGAACCCTTCACCACCTCGCTTGGATCATCTTCAACCTTACAAGTATCGATTTATGGGTGACTTTGTCGATGCTTTATTTGATAAGACAATTATCCCTAAAGCAGAAAATGATAGCCATGATCCTGAATTAACACAAGTCATGAATTTTAAGGATGGAAGACCCATTGATTTCAAAAGTATACCTTATTGGTGCGATATGTTGATTACGCCTCCCTCTTTACTCGGTCATGGTGTCTTGGGCGGTCCCGTTTGGTGTCCCACAATGCAACTGGAAGTTCAGTTCAAGCGAAAGCCTTCCGGTCAGAAAATTATTGCTCATTTCCTTACCAAGCACATCATCAATAATAGATTTGATATCGATGGTGAAATTTGGAACGAACAAGGTGAAATCATTGCCATCACTAGGTAAACAGAAGGAATTCTTTTTTTAACATAATCACGTACTAATTCATCCCCCCTTTTTAGACACCAAAACTTAATTGTGCCTTGGAGTCGTAACGTCAAGTCTAAAATTTAGAAATTATACCGAAATAAATAAATAAAAAAAAAATACCTATAGAGAACGTTAGATTTACATGTCATTTTCACATGGATGCTTTTTCCTATTGGTCATTTTTAATGTGGGTCATCTTAAAACGTCCCTAAATCAAAGAGAGAAAAAAAATTTGATCATTTTGAGTGGATTTAAATGGTATGAAGCAGTCTCTGTCATGCATTTTGCTTCATTTTAGGCAATAATATGAAATCATACATACAAATGATTTGACATTTAACGCCTAGGATTATTTATACGCATGTTGCTATAACAATGAAATTGGCAACCTCCCATAGGCTTAGAACCCAATAGTAATTTACTTGTCATGTAAAAATTCAAGAGGCTTTGGGCAGGCTGTACATAGTAGCACTCAATGCATGAATATTAGGACGTTATGTGACACTCTTACATAAATTCGGTGGTAGAAAAGAGTGTAAGTTGATATGGACAATTACTTGTACAGGCTCTTATGACCAGACATAAACCCCCACCCTTCGTCATAGTTCTACTAATAGATATAAACGTGTGTAAAGATGTTTTACATAAAAAAAATAATTTCTGTTTAATAAATAAAGTGTTTAAGGCATAGCACTAGCCTCTTGCATTAAAAAAAAAGAAGAAGAAAGAGTGAATATGAACATGCGTTTTTATTATATTTAAGTGTGTGAGAGTGTGTTTTAAAAAATAAAAAAAAGAGGGAAGATAGTGTGTGTGTGTGTGTGTGTGTGGGGTTATTCTAGGATTTTTTTTTTTGAAAAAAAAAGTTTTTAGGTCCAGAGTCTCATGGAATGGTTAGCATCGACGGATATTAACCAAGGTTGCGTGGGATGGAACTCAATGTTCAAGACACCGAGACCGTCCTTTGTGGAATCACTTCTCAAGATCTTGACGGGGACAATCAAAGGATTTTGTAATAAATCATTGTAGACCATACCGTAAAAGATTTGAATGGTGCCATCATCAGAGGAAGAGGCAAAGAGAGGGTATCGCTTGTGGAAAGTCACTTGACGAACAGCCTTTTCGTGATATCGGAGAGATTTATAGGGCCTTGAGCTAAGATCCAAATCAAACCAACACACCTTCTTATCGTATGAACCAATAATCACGTTATCACCACCGGGATGAATATCGATACTCGAGACCCATTTCACACTGGTTTGTAATGTTTTGATTAATTGTTGTTGCATCAAGTCATAGACACGGACATAAATTTGGGTCTACATGCATAAATAAGGGTTAGTCTTAATAAATAACTCTATGACATATTTTTTTTTTTAAAAACTTACGGCGACAAAGAAAATAGGCTTGATAGGATGGAAAGCAACCTTTTGTACAAGACCCTTGAGACGTTTGAAGGGTGTTTGGGTTTGATGTTTTGTGATTTGATGGATGAGAACCGCAAGATTCTTTGCATCGGGAGAGACAGTAGCGAGGTAATCACCCTTACGATGCCATGTCACTTGCTTCACGGCTTGTGTGTGTTGAATACGGACCTTGTAACCATATTTCTCCTCATCAGCCTCACTTGCTCTAATCCAGGTCACGGCTTGCTTACCGTCTTCCTTTGGCATAGCAAAGCCAGACTTTGTGAATTGATCCGTGTTCATGGCTTGTTCAGCGGAACAGAGCTTGGGGGGAGAGATCAAGTGAACCTCACCATGGCCCACAGAGATGGCAAAGAGCCATACGTCGGGGTTAGGACACCAACCAAGAGCATGAATAATGCCATCGAACTTCCACATGGTAAGACAACGACCGGTCAAGATTTCCCAAAGACGACAGGTGTTATCGTCTGAGCCAGAGATGGCATAGAGACCGTTAGGGTGGATGGAAAGAGCACGAATACGAGCGGTGTGACCTTCGTAGGAGATAGATTGATGTGTAGGGAAAGGACGAAGATCCTTGGGGCTAGGTAACTTAGGAACCAAAGACTCAGGGTCAATATTCAATCTGTTCTTACGAACACGAGGAGCCAAGTAAAGATCAAGACAACGATGGAATCTTTCTTGCATGAATTGATCATAGGCAGGTACGTGACGTAAACTGTTGAATTTCTTGGGGATATAGTTCTTGGGTCTATCCTCTTCATCCATTTCATTCCATTCCTTAATCTCGTCTTCATCAGGAAGATATTCAGCAGGAGGGTTATAACTTTCATCATGTTGAGGTAACTTCATCTTGGGAGCAGCAATGTGCATGATATGTTCATCGCGAGGAGTGTCTTCATCACCCCAGAGGTTGTAGAAACGAGGCTTTTCATCCTTAGGCTTACGAGGAACGATGCGACCTTGACGAATAGCACGCACAATCTTCATAATCTTCTTGGCTTCCCACTTGGAAGGAACAAATCTACTCTTGGGTTCAGGACGAGCGGTCAATGGCATGACTTCAGTCTTTGAGGTGAACCATTCCACCGTAGGCTCATAGGGGTTATAGGTGGAATCAGGAATGATACCCTTTTGAAGACGTTGAATAATATCCAATTCTCTATCATCAAGCACCATATCTTTGCCTTCAACATCACTCTTGACTGTCTTCCAAGAGTTGGGATCTTCCATAGTAGCCAAGAACTTGTCAAGTTCATCACCTGTGGCAGGTTTCAAGATCTTTTTACCGTCAATATCGTAACCAATATGGGGTAAATCGTTGTACCACTCAAGAGGTACATTTCCAATGGTGTTTTCGGTTTCCTCGGTTGAACTATCACTGTCGTAATTACCTTCAATATCGGGTAATCTTTCCTTGGCGTAACGTTCACGGTAAGGAAGAGGCCTAGCAACAATGATTTAAGTCCATATAAGCGCGCGCGCGATTTTTATCAAGTTTCTTTTTTAAACTTACATTTTGAAATCAATGTCCTTGTCTGTTTCCTCTACTTCAAGTTCCTCTCCAGCTTCTTGCTCTTCTTCTTCGTTGTCGTCGTCAGATTCCTCTTCTTCCTCTGCTGCAAGTTCGCGATTGAGTTCTTCGTCGGAATCAACCTCCATTTCGTCGTCGTTGTCGTCTTCCACGTCTTCACTATCAGCTTGGAAGTCTTCCTCGTCATCGTCACTGAGAGTAATTTCGGGGAAAGCTTCTGCTTCGTCCTCGTTGTCACTGGGTACGAAGTCTTCTTCGTCAGACGATCCCATGTCAATGTCAACCTTTCCAAAATCCTCATGGTCGCTCTCTACTTCTTCTTGTTCCACAGCACGACGCTTTAAAGACTTCTTTTGAACGGGTTGTGTCTTTTGTGCTTTGCTTTCCTTTTTAGGAGCGGGTGTCTTCTTTTTGGGAGCCATCGTATTTTATGAAAAAAGTAAGAAAGTTGCCTTCAACTAAAAAAAAAAAAAAATATGCTCTTTTTTTAAAAAAAGGTGGCTTTCAAGAAAAAAAAGAAAAAGGCGTCACGCTTAAGAAAAAAAAACTTGGGGGGAGCAAATGTGTACTTGGGGGGAGAAAGAGAGAGAGGGGAGACTGTTTTTGGGAGCGATGATGATGATGATGATATGGTTTTTATCAAACTCAGTTTTTTTTTTTTTTTTTTTTTTCTTTTCTCATGTATTAAAAAAGATGTATTCTTATCCAGTCCTTGACAATGCTGTTTACCAGCAACAACAACAACAACAGCAACAGCAGCAGCAGCAGCAAGCAGTACCAACATATCAACATAGATTGCAGCCACATCCTGTTGTGCTTGGACAACAACGAAAAGAACCGTTACCCAGTGCGACAGATGGAAAACCCAACATCAACCTGAGCATTACAGAAATAGCAGAGTTTTCGTCCACGATGGTGTACCTGATGTGGCATGCCAGAAGACAATCGGTCATGGACTTACACAGCTGCTCCAAAGTGGAAGGTGTCCTGACCAGAGATAGTAATTTGGAACAGACCAGAGTTACAGCAGATATGGCTAATATGACGAGTGCAGCCTTTAAAAAGTTTTGTCGACAAATACTCAGTGCAACCCAATTATCCGAATCCGTCGTTCTTCTCTCCCTGAAATACATTGCCATGCTATTACAAAATAATCCCAACATACAAGGTGCCGATGGTTCCGAGTACAGATTATTCACAGTGGCACTCATGTTAGGTAAAACATCCACTGGCTAAAAAAAAAAAAAAAAATGTTATATTAAACCCCTCCCACTTTTTCTGTAGCCAACAAGTTTCTGGATGATAATACATTCACCAATAAAACATGGTCGGAAGTGTCTGGCATGAAAGTCATTGATCTGAATATTATGGAACTAGAGTTTCTGGATGTGCTAAGATTTAAGCTATCCATTCAAAAGGAAGAATACGAACGATGGAGAACCGCCTTGTTTGGTTTCAGAAGTCAATTAATGGGTGTGCCTGTCGAAATACAACGACAGAAATTAATGGAGACCATGGCTTTATCCGTCGGTCCCAACACCCAGCAGCAACATCAACAGCAACATCAACAGCAACATTTACATCAACATCAACAGCAACATCAGCATCAACAGTGGTTACAACCTGCTATGCAACAACAACATCAACAACATCAGCAGCAGCATGTTGCATCGCATAACTTTTATCTCTTTTCCAAGGCACAGCAACAGTTTCCTATTCAACCTAATTTTAACGGTCCCTTGACTAGAGTGCCTTTAAGAATCCCTACACATCCAGTCTATCATAATGTTCAGACGACGCCGTCTGCACCTCTCTATGATTCATCTCCTTCTACTCTTCAACAACAGCATCGCTATTCTACCGGTCCAAATCGAAGACCTGCAGTGATTACGGAAACAAATGGATATGCACCTTATCAAAAGCAAGTCCAACCACCTCGTACACAACAAACACCCACACCGTTTTCAACACCTGTGAGTAATGGAGCATTCTCCAGAAATTACTCTCAGCAACAACAACAACAACAACAGCAGCAGCAGCAGCAACAGCAACAGCAACAGCAACAACAGGTAAATGTAGCACCCGTACCCTCTGCAAATACACGAGCCAGTCATCGTACATCGTCTTTACCTCAGACAGGAGGACTTGATTTAGCAGTAAAGAATTCTTCCTATTATTATGCTACACCTTCTACAACGCCTACGACCAACAATGTGTATCAACCTCATGTGCAATTGAATTATCCGACTACCACGAGCTATTATGTGGATCCTAGTAATCCAGGTACCACGGCGACAGCAACAGCAGCAGCAGCGACAACAACAGCAGTATTACCACCCGCTACACCCTCACAACAGCCAACACCGACGACGGATTATAATCCGTACGTTTCTGCAGCTGCAGCTGCTGCTGCGAATGAATATAATCGACCCATCATACCAAGATCTACATCGTACAAGGTAATAAGGTAGAATTTAGGGCGGGAAGGGAAAAATGAAACTAATGTAAAAAGTTTAAATTAGAATGTGCAACCAAGATCTAATTACGCACCAACACCCCATGAAGTGATTTACACGCCTCAACAGCAGAGCTATCATGGTCCAACCATGGAAGATCCACTCACGGCTATTGAATCTTATCGAACAAAAGTACGAAATTAATGCACTCTCTCACTCTTTTTATCAACTACTGTATATATTTTCTTTTACCCCCATCTCTCTCTTTTTTTTTTTCCTCTTTTTTTTTCAAATTTTTTTTTTTTCAACTTTTTTTTTTTTCTATCGCTATTTTACTATTCATCATTATATATATATCCCCCCACCCTTCTCTTTCTCTTTTTTTTCTAAGCTCATTTTAACCAAACTAAAAATCTACAGAGTACAACTCCCACGCAAAAAAAAATGGTGATGTTTTGATTTTTTGATTTTTTTTTGTAGCTGTTGAATCCGCTCTATCATTGTAGTTATCACTATAGGCTTTGGGTACTTCTCGTATCTACTTGTCAGACATTTAGATCACTAAAGGAGTTTTTTATAATCGTAAATCTTGCGGGTAACTGTAATCAGAGCATGTATCAGTCTTAACATCTTTGTTAACCCACTTTTTTCGTGTGATGCACTATTTAATATTTAAAACATATAAAGGATACAATTCTTTTCGTTTACAAGTGAATTCAATTTCAGGCAAAAGTCTATTACATGAAGTAAGTATATGCATAGAGAATGTTTGATTATTTAATATCAGATCTTAAAAAATAATAATGCTAATCTATTTTCTTGCCTTCGTGGTTTTTTTTTAGTTAAGTACATCTTGAAGTGAAAAAAATTCAACATAAAGTAATCAAACCCAGAGAGACAGAGATCATCAAGTAGTTGTTGCTTAAAAGATATAAATGAAGTTAATTAAAGTCCTATTCTGACGCACTATACGGGAATGGTAAGTGGTATATTTGACTTAAAAGCGCAGTGCTTTTTTCGGTAAACCCAAAAACAATTGGTTATTTACCTTGTAAGTGGACCCACAGCTTAATTTCTACCTTGTCACCCACCTTGTAAGTGAGTTTACAGCATAATTTCTATCTTGTCATCTACCCTGTAAGTGAGCTGCCGGACAAATTTCTAACTATCTTGTCATCTACCTTATAAGTGGGCCTACAGCCGAATTTCTACCTTGTCTCTACCTTGTAAAGTTACACTCTGCTTATTTTCTACCTTGTCTCTACCTTGTAGAGGTACACTCTGCTTATTTTCTACCTTGTCTCTACCTTGTAAAGGTACACGCTTCTTATTTTCTACCTTGTCTCTACCTTGTAAAGGTACACTCTGCTTAATTTCTACCTTGTCTCTACCTTGTAAAGGTACATTCTGCTTATTTTCTACCTTGTCTCTACCTTGTAAAGTTACACTCAGCCTAATTTCTATCTTGTAATCTAATTAACTGGTAAATATGAATATATTGAATTCTGTAATACTTTAAAATAATATGCCCATTATATTGAGCGTTTTATACTACAGAGTCCCGTCGCTCCTGGAAACACTGGTAATACGTGTCAACGTTCTATTATCTCACACGATGACTATGCCTTCGTACCAGATCAGTGCCTTACACTGATACGAGTCAATAGATGAAATTTTTACATATGCTATCGAATTGGTATTTTTAGATCTCCCGAATAGCTATGATGTGATTCAGGTTGTGTTCTTGTTTTTCAAGACTCGACCTGCCACATAGAAACGCTTTGCTAGAGACTTTTTTGCTTGAAGAGCGTATTGAACATTGAAAATTGATATGTGATGGTTGAAGTTTGTAGTTTGTTTTCGTTGTATAACTATATGATTCTGGGTCTGTCTGGTTGTTTTTTACATATTCAGTCCTCCAGCCATATGAGTACACTCCATCTATAATCCTTCCCCTTTCTTTCCTCCAAATAGACCACGCCCTCTTAGAAGAGAACCTAGCTTGCGCAAAATATGTTGCATCGCCTATCCGCTGGCCGCAATCTGTCAGTTCTATATGAACTCGATTGTTTAATCCATGATCAGATTACACCTAGAGCTCCTTCTCTTGATTCAACCCTGGCATCTTGGTTATGATTTCCCTCGTCAAACTATACGGATACTTATTTTTTTATCTTCTTAATTTTCAAAAATGTTTTTAACCTCCAAGATCTGACCTGGGTAGTTTAGTATTGAGGACATATTCCTCAATCCATAGCTGCTTATTTAAATAATATGACCATATTTTATATACGTGCTAATAGGCAACAAGTAATAAATAGAAAGCATAAAGATATATAAAAAGGTATATCAAGTATAGTTTTTTGTATTTTTTAAGTCTTAATTTTTAAATCTACCTGGATCAACTAAAAGAAAAAACTATAATTGAAAACATGGTAGTTACAATATCGATACCAAGCTTTGTAGCTTCTTTAATGCTTTAAAAATACAGGTCTTTACTTATTTGTTGCGCTGTTACATTTGTTTTAACTGTATTTCTTTTAGAGTGCAATAGTTGAGTATCTCTCATTTTCCCTTTTTGTTAGACTAAATCTTGACCCTGATTGTCATGTACTTTTTCAAAATACTTTGGTGATACAAAGCCATTCAAACCACTTGATAAAATCACATTATTCTTGGATCGATAAAACACAATCCCATCTAACGCCACAATGATATTAAAAAAGAAGAATCTCAAAACACATATAAAACCGCTTTTTTACCTTTTTGAGCCTCTTGCAGACGGATATAAATAAAGACATCACTTGTCTTTCGTATCCCACTTGAAACGGTGGGATCATCGGGTAACCCAGTGGCGAAATGAATATGGTTTCGTCTCATGGTAGATAATCCTTGCACTTTGATGGAAGCCCATGCCTTCTGCGTCGTGCCATGAATCACTGGTGTCGTCAAGTGCGTGACCTCCTCCAGCAAGTCCTGGTGCGTCACCGTTTTGATCGAATGCCCTTGCGTCGCTCGGATATAGTACACATCGTCCCGTAACGTCAGCTCGTATCGTTTCTTGTTATTCGTCTCCACCACATGCTGAAGGTCTTGCAACGAAAACTCTTGGAATCTCGGACGTGCCAGCTATTCTCCATTTTGACATTGAGTTTTTTTTTTTTTTTTTTTTTTTTTTCTCATGTCAGACATGATTAATTTTTTTATCTTTTTAAATATATACCAAATCGGCAACAGCAACGTAGCCGTCAGGAGAAATGTCAAGTTGCTGGTCTACGGCGCTGTGTCTCAACACTTTAGATAAAGCTTTTGACAATTGGATCGTTTCTTGTGGATTCAACATTTTTTTATTTCAACAAAAAAAGGAAAGGGAATAATAATGATAAAAAAAAAATTTAATCGCGGACGTGGGACAATTCAACAGCAAAACCAATGGCAACCTTGGAGAACTCCTTCATGTGATCAAAGGAGAGCTTATCGATAGTATCACCGGTGGTATGAATGAAATGATTGGAATCATCAAAGGCACTTTCGATGGTGAAGGCGGATGGGAAACCGACTTTACGCCATGAAGCATGATCACTACAGGCATAACCACATTTGGTTAAAGTGTAAGGGATATCCGCATAATTATCCACCAAGTTCTTGAGGAAGTCGGTCAGCTTTTCATCTACATGGTCAGTAACAATGCCAATCACCTCTCCGTTGGCGCCGATATAGCCTGTCATATCGTTTTGTAACATAGCAACCACATGCTTGCCTTCTTCCTTGTAGGCATTGGAAACCGCCTGACTGCCCAATAAACCTGCCTCCTCGCCACTATACCAATGGAATTCGACAGGTCTTTCGGGTTGGAATCCGTTATGAACCAAACTACGGAATGCTTCGAAAATGGTCACGGTGCCACTGCCATCATCCTATCATACATGTACTTGATGAGTTCTTCTACATCTTCCCACTATACATTTGAATTTAACTTACATCGGCACCGGGAGAGCGGCCAAAGCTAGGCAACCACATATTCACAGAATCTTGATGTGCACCGACAATTACCAATTCATTCTTGAGGTCCTTGTTGGAACCTTCGAAGCGAGCGACAATGGAGAATTGATCCCACTACAAGGTTTAAGGTTATAAAACAGAAATGTAGGCAAAAATAAACAAAGCGAACTTACGGAATGCTCGAATTCGGTGACAGACACATGATCAAAGCCGTCAGCGACGTCTCTGATTTGCTGGATCAACCAACGACATGATTTGGCGCCATAAGAAGATTTATAATAACGGTTACGGAAACTTGTTAATTCAGTCAATACCTCCTTCATGGTATCTGTGGTGAGATTACCAATGAAAGGTGTGACCTCATCTTGGAACTCTGCCTTGGTGGGAATATCTAAATGTGTGTGTGTGTGTGTGTGAGAAAATAATTTGGGTTGCTAAATGAAACAAAACTTACATGGAGTCCAGGCAGTGCTGAGGCTAGTGACGGGAGGATGAGGAAAGTCTGTGATATCCATGTATTTAACACCAGCACGGAATAAAGCTTCCTTATCAGATTCCGTCATCCACTTGGGAGGCGTGTCCTCACTAGGAAGATTTTGATAAGTAAAAATGAAAAAATTAATGCATGAAAATAAAGGTTTTACCCGTATTGAATAAGACGAAGTTCAGGTTCAGAAGAAGTGAACATGCGCAGTTGGTCCATGGCAGCTAATGGGCCGGCTTGAACAAAGGCGGAAAGTGCAGACACGGACAATAAAGACAAGGATAAAAATTTCATTTTTGTAAGGAGGAAAAAAGAAATAGTTTAAAAGAAGAAGAAAAGCAAAAAAAAGCTTGAGAAATGCTAGTTTTTATAGAAGGGACGATAAGGAAAATAATATATACACATGAGCTTTTTGTTGTCCGGGATGACGTTTTGGTAATAATTTACTTTAAAAGGAAATTTATTTCTTCAACAATAAAAATCTGCCTGGACTGGTGGTATCTCTAGCCAGCTCAGTTGCTTCCAACCTTCTGGCCATGGTAAAATCAATACAGTCATCTTTGAATTGATTCAGAGTGTCTGTATAGTGGGAATAAAACTAGAAATTGTGTTAGTTACAACATGTTTAAATAGTTTTTTTTTTGTTTACCTTGATGCCTTCCACCAGATTGGTTCTAATTTCTTTGAACTTGGTAAAGGCGCCTTCCAGATTGGTCACGGCCTTTTCTCTCTTGTTTAAAACCGTTTTATTGGACACGACAAAGGAGAATTGGCCAAACAAATCCTGGATATGATGTAATAGATCATCTTGTTTGGAGGTATGCATTCGCATTTCATCCTGAAACTTTTTATATCCGGATAAATGTTCACCAAAGATATCAGAAAACTGCTCAGGCTCCAATTTGATGATGGGCGAACCTCTGGTTAATTCATTGGCCTTTTTCACAAGGGCGGTGGAGATATCATCTTTTTCGGCCATCGCTTTGGCGTCATCCACCAACCGATGGCGTGCCTCCTTTTCCTCATCCAGTAAGGCCAGTTGGGCTCGCAATTTTGTCAGACATTCCTGAATAAATGGCACATGTTCCTCCTCAGGCTGTAAACAAGGCAGATGGTCCAGGATTTCAGACGTGGGCCGCGAAAGCATCGCAATCGCTTTACCGTAATTCGTCACTTTTGATTGCACAATACGATCCGCCTTTTGTGCTGCCTGCACAGTATCATTGTATTGCGTACCCACCGTCAGCAACTGGTGCGTCAACGATCGTGAACTGGGCCGTGTCCAGAGTTTACCAAACTTTCGGCTGAAGAAGACGTCTTGCTCATTCTCTTCTTCCAGCGCGTTGAATCCATCGCTAAGTAAAAGCGTGGATTTGCGTGACATCGTCTGGATCTTTTGAAGCATGTCGTGCAAAGATTGAATACCGCCTTCGTGTTGTACTTCTTCAGCGTATTCAACCAGCTTTTTTGGTAATGTGTCTACAATATCCAGCGCATAAGGCAAACACAAATCATCCAGTACTCTGAATGAGGTATGAAGGGAAAACTGTTAAATTTACATCTCTCTCTCTCTCTCTTTTTCCTTCTCATGCTTACTCTTGACACTCGGAGGTGAGCTCTTGGTGCTTGGCAATAATCTCGACTTTGACAATATAATCTTTTTTATCAGAATAAACACTGGCGGCTTGATGCACAGCAAAGGGCACAAGGGTTTCAAACAACGGTCGTTTAATAAACAATTCATTGTCAGGACGATCGGCCAAGGTCAACCAGTAATTCGGGTTGAGAACAAACTGGGGCAAGATGGGTTTGACCATATCTGAGCGTAAAATAGGAGCCAATTCATCGGGGATGGATTCCATGTACACCACATCGTTATCCTTTTCAGCTCGCAAAAGATCGCGTTCGATGGCATGTTGTAATTGATGCATACCCTCAATAAAAGTCGGGGCAATGAGGTCAGTCTGGGTGGAAGCCTGTAAGGCGAAACAGTTGCTGCTGGTGGCGAGATGTAAACGGGCAATTTCTTCGCCATAGCGGCCGTTGGAGATGGCTTCGTTGGCCTTTTGGTACTGCGCGTAGGCTTTAAAATAGTTCGATTTGGTGTGTCCGTAGCGTTGCCAGGCGTCGGGTATGAGTGTACTGGACAAGAATTGCTCGTAGAAATCAGATACACGGATAGCCAGTCGAGCGACTGTGCCATGTTTCATGTGCTCCATGACTGCTTTCTGCCAGATGCATTCGTGAGCTTGCGCCATCATTAATGCGATCAGAGAATCCAGCATGATGAAATCGGGCGGAGGATTGGCTCGAAATTCAGGTACAAATTCGGTCTTTATGTAATTCAGGCATCCTGCCGCATTCTGTGTGTGTAGGAGAAGAAAAAGTTAAATCATCGTATGTGTGTGAGAGAGAAATAGGCAAGTGTTGTAGGATACCTGAAAGTATTGACAGGCTTTACGGATGCCTTCGGTGGATACCCAATTTTGACTGCATCCAAGGTCACTGTAAAGGCCTGCGATTCTGTACAGCACACATGCCTTCTCGTAGTTTAAATTACGAATTATTTCTATATCAAGAGAAAGAGGAATCCATTTTTTTTTTAATGTTTGTATTTCACGTGCTTGTAATTTGTTTTTGTACCTGGTGGTTGATCTTGCTGTTGAAAGAGAGGAAACCACCCAATATCCAGATTCACCTACAAGTAATAAAAAAAAGTGCGAATATTGTGTTAGTTAGTGGACAGTAGATAGATTAATGATATAAAAAAAAGTAAAGCGTTACGTCAAGAGGAAACCGAGATCCCAGAAATGTCAGTTGATTGAAGTAACTGGACAATGTTTATGATCAGACGACATGGAGAAAAAAAATAAAGTTTTGTTTGCTCAATTGTGTACTCACATGGACATGTCTTCGAGAGCAAACGGACTTGTGGTGGGTTGGTATAAAGAAAGGGTTCTCATTGCATCCAGTGTAGCACAGTCGACATTGTATTTGTTGGCGTCTTCGGCATAACTTTTTGTAATGTAGTCGAGTAAAGAACGAGACCATGTTAACTTGTCAGGTGCTTTTAAAGGAATGTTTAAAAGTAAATTACGAGGTAATTCTTCCATGACTTTTGTTACAGGTTCTTGTTTTTTAAATAAAACGGAATAAAGTATGGGGTACAACTTGGGCAAAGAAGAAAAAGTATGTGTGGGAGAGGGAGGAGGAAAAGGTGGTAAAATTTTATTTTTATAGTTGGGTGAGAATAATTAGATATTACAACAAAAAAAAAAAAAAAAAAAAAAGAATGTAATTAAAAAAAAGTAAAGGGCAGAAAAAAAAAAAAAGACTGGGTGCGGTGTGACAATTACAATCATCATGCAATCATGTATTATTATTTATACCATGTTCACGACATGTTCGTCATCATCCGTTTCTTCCTCTTCAGAGAGTAACTGCTGTAATTGAAGCTGCAATGTTTGTTGTGCATCCATGTCTTGTTGTAACTGTTGTTGTTGCTGTAGTAACAATTGTTCCTTTTGTAACTGTTCTTGATTATTATTGGCCATGTACACTTGCATTTCTCTTGCATAACGAGCCTTGTCCGAATCGGCTTTTTGTATCCATGGCAACCGTTCTTCCACAGTCATGGCATGCCATGTCTTGGAGATCGATTTACTGATGGGACCTACCGTCGAGCCTGGAAACTCGAGCGAGACTTTGGGGTAGACAGAGGCCAAATAGTAGAGGTAAGCAGACATGGGATGTTTGGGAGCAAAAGGGTGCTTATGGCGCTTCTTTTTACGACCGCGAGGGTCTCTTTGACCGCCTGGTGCAATGGCTTTTCTGGGTCTTTTCTTGCTAGATGTTGTTGCTGTCGTAGTGGTGGTGGTCGTTGCGCATAGGATCAGATCAATGGTAGGCTGTATTAATTCATCTTCTTCAGTCGTCATGATTTGCACAATAGGTTTGGATTTTCTACCGAGTTTTGAGGTCTTTTTCGCTTCTGCTAATTCGGCTTTAGACCTCCGGGTATAAATAAAATCTGGATACTTTTTTAAATGTTCTTGCTTTAGTATCGAAGCCTCGCGCACATAATAGTCTCTTTTGTCCTATTTTTTTTTTTTTTTTTTTTTTGAAGGGGATATCGTGTTAGTTGTGTTTTGATTCTATTGTAGATAGTGCGTTTATAATATTTTACGTCGGGCAGGGCTTTCCACCAGTCTCCAACTTCTTTGCTGATTTCGGCCACGGTCATTTTGGGAGAGGCTTTTAGTAATTTACGACGCATATCTCTGTTAAATAACAGGTAGGCATTGGGAGGCCTTTTTAGTTTCTCGCCTGCTAGTAGTTTTTTGCTATCGTCTGCCTGCTGTTGATGGTGATGATGAATTGGAAAGGGAGATTCAGGTTCTTCCTCCTCCTCTTCCTCTTCTTCGTCCTCTTCATCGTGATTGTAATTGGGTACCGGACTGAAAGGGATCGAAAAACTCGGTGGAGAATGGTCCGAAAACCGACGTTGTTTTAATGCATGGAAAGAAGTATATTGAGAGAAAGGTTTTTGACAATGACCGAGGGCTTCTTCTTTTTCTTCTTTTAGCGCTTCTCGAATTGCTTCTGGAGAGACGATATGGGTCGGTGCTTGTTCTTCTGGCTCTTTCATCTATTTTTTCAAAAAAAGTTCATAAATTCCCGTGTATCTTTGTGTAAAGAACGTTTAGTATTTTTTTCGTTACTTGTGAGGCTTCGTTATTCCAGTGTTTCTGTTGGTGCATTAAAGAAGAGAACGTCATGTTCGTATTAGCGGGTGTGATAGGTGGTAAATAATAAGGTGATGTTGTTGCTGTCGTAGTATAAATCGGTTTCGTTGCAACCTATTAACGGGGTTAAAAAAAAAAAAGTTTGTCACCAATGTATCGAAGTTCGTACCTGTCTTTGCGGGGGCGCTGCTGATACAATGGGGAATTCAAACGTGTAGCCATTATTTTTGAACAGGTTGTTGTATAATAAATTTTGTTCAGACATGGCTAATGATGAATCATGAGTAAAAAAAAAGGAAAAGAAAACGGTTCACTATGTCTGTTGTTACCTTTGAAAGAACAAAAGCGTACAAGAACAATTGATAAAAAGTTATAAAAAAAGAAGAAAGAGAGAGAGAGGGTGAGAAAGAAAAAGAAAGAAAAAAAATAAAAAGAGAGAGAGTAATGTGATGCAGAGAAGTATTCTGTATTTGGAAAAGGCGTGCAATTATCCGTTTTCTTTAATGAATACCCGTCCTTTTTTTTTTTTTCTCACATTGCCAAAAGCAGCCAAAAATGCAACCCACTGTTCACCCCCCCATCCATCATATGGACACTCTCTCCGAAAAAAAGTGGCACAAAAAAATAGGTGTGTTGGCACACAAATCCAGTTTGGCATGTTATTCTCCTTTTTAGCTTGCCTACAGTTTTTTAAAAGAAAAAAAAAAACCCTTCATTCAATTCTTCATGTCCAATGAGAGAGAGAAAAAAACTTAACGACCTTTTGCCAAAGAAGGGCTTATGCTTTTATGGTGTATCACATTATTTATCCAGGAACTACAAACGCCCTCCTCCCCCGAATAGTTCATAAAGCCGAACATACTGTTAAGAATAATACCCCCAGTGACTCTGTACAAGGTTGGGATCAATTAACACAAAAAAAGATAACGTTACCATATTCAGTGCGGCTGGTAAATTTCGTCTGTTCGCTGGTTACAATATGATTAATTGATCTTTGACAATTCATAAAAGAACATCCCCTTTAAATTCCATAAGCCGTTACGTTAATACTTTATATACTCGCCTAGATTTTTTCCAGAGCAGCTATCAGGAATACATTCATGCGTTTGAATGATTGTAAAGTGTTCAATTCCCCTCAGTTTTTTTTTGCTTCGACAGACATTTGATAATACTGCAACTGTCACTCTGGTCTTCAGCAATTTGGAACATTCTCTCAACACCCTTTGGAAGTGATTGCTCGTAGATATTGTGGGCTGTAGAGAAATCAATGGAATGAGCAATGTATACAATTGGCGCGTCAGTGGAACTATGTTCATCTTGCTTCACATCGACCTCCTGCATTATTAAATTGATCTCGGGAAGTGAGAAGCGCATGCAGGACAACCATAAATACAATATCGGTTTTTTTTTCTTATACAAACACAACTTACCAATTGTATTGTATACAATGATTGAAAGCTGTGTACAAGGCATGATTAATTGTGACAATGGCAGGACAAAAACAGAAAGCTCTCTGTCAATCATTTTTTTAAGTTTCTATTCTAAAATCGCTCAGGCCCATCCTCGTATACAAACATTTGTAAAACACTAAGGATTATTATTATAGGCGGACTAGAAAAGAAAGACGCACATGCGATACAGACCTGGGTAGCTGATTGCCATTCATCCACCCAAGGTAAAGACCACCTTACCTCTTTTTTGATGTAACAATACGACACCATCTGATTGGCTAGTGACCATCTACATTATCTTTTGTACTACAGAATGGGGGGGGGGTGCACCTCATGACATGCACTTCTTTTAAGGAAACAAAAAAGGCATTCAAATTTCCCAATTCCTCGATTCTGTTTGTAACCTGAACACATTGGTACATTCCTAGTAAAACAAGCCATGGATGAGAATGAAAAAAAAGGGTACTAGCTTCATCCATGATTTCTTTTTTGTATTTAGCAGTGAGTGCCAGACACAGCTATTCTTTTTCTTTGGTGATTTTAGTAACGGGTTTCAATAACATGATCGAAAGATGCTTGCTGTCCATAAAGCAACATCTTTATTAGAGATTACAAATAAACCTCTGCTCCCCCATAGATTCGAAACATCCAATGAAAAATCACTTACCCCAGTTTTTTATTTATTTATTTATTTAGAATGTTGCGCATTGGACACAAGTCATTTAACAAAACACGCGCTCAGCAATAAAAAATAGGCTACTTACGGTCTCGCCTTGGGATGCATACATAAATGCAGCTCTTGTCACTTTTTTTTCTCGTTTGTGATACCCACTCTATATAAATAAAAATGATACATTAAAATTATTACCCACCCTTCAAGAGTCATTTTGCATTGGAAATCACATAATATTACGTTGTAAATAGTCATGCTAAACAAAAAGCCACACCCCCTTAACCTCGTCATTTGCCCCCCTCCCCTTCATCTTTTTCCCCACAGTTTTCTTTTCGAAAGAGATGAACTGTTTCAACTCTGGGCGTTTTCGTGCGACTTTTTTTTGCAAAGGTAGCAGGCAAATCGAACAACAAACAAATGTTAGTGAACCTGACACTTCCTGCCCTCCTATTTCATACACTATGTATATATGATGTTATAGTTTACTATATAGATATAAAAAAAAGGATGACGGAGATAGGTATACAGGACCAGTGTAAACTGGAAATATGATTATATAATCATGAGAGGTGGTAAGAAGTAAGGACAATGCGGGATTTGGTATGGCCTTGTACAACCCTCCTTTTTTAAAGTTTTATTGTTTAACTTTTTAGTCGTTGCAACCCCAAATGGCTCTTTTGCATTTAATCATTCTTTTGTACACAAAAAAAAGAAACTTCTTTTTTCATTTACTATAAAAGATGTGTCGATCTAGTGCCTTTTTTTTTTGGGAGGGGATAGGATGAAAAATAGATTGAGATAAGAAAGAATTTGTCATGGGAACGTTAGAGTGAGACGGAGCACCCCCACTTGTACATCTTTGCGAGGACAGACATTTCCGCTTTTTTTTTGGCGTGTGTATGTAATACGTAGTGCAAAAAAGCTTAATGGGATCCCAAACAAAATTACGGTATTTAGGAAATTTAATAACATATAAAAAATACCATACATATGTAACGTTAAATAAGTTTTTCAACTGCCAAAGAACATTAACTTTAGCTCATTCTGTTCATTCCCCAGAGCACTGATATAAGCTTTTCAGCATAAAATCATATGGTAACGGTATCATAATTTTAGATTACTCAATATATAAATGAAAGCAGTAGATCAAGACTTGTATCACGAGATCTCTAACATGCTTTTTCCGAACAGAGACAACGGCATGTAACACGTTATGGAAAGTTAGAAAAGTATAAAGACAGCAAGTGTACATTCGGCGATGAGTCTTGTCTGCCTAGAACTCCAAATTAACTATTACTAGAAGAAATAAAAAATAGCCTAATTGATTGAGGTATTCAGTGGCAAGGTTAAGATTGAAAATCGCTGGGGGCATTAATACACCACAAATATTACAATGAACGGCGTAAAAGATGCCAATACCAATATACTTACATAAGTCATCCATCTGTGTCTTCTGAGAGTTAACCCCCCCCCCCCAAACACAATAAAAAACTTTTTTTTTCGTCTTTACTCCATTTATCGAATTAGATAAAATAAATGCCGCCTTTTAAAACTACTAAGAAACATGTTGACGATTTCACGCGAGGACTGATTTGTGGCATGGCCATGCATCCTGATTGTACACCAGCCCAGATAGCAAGAGACCTTGGACTTAGTAACACCACCGTCCGTCGCATATTGAAACAATACCAGAAAGAAGGCCAAACAACTCATAAAGCACGCCCAGGACGACCTAAAAAACAATGATTAAAAGAGAAGAACGCGTTCTCGAACTCATTGTCTGGCGGTAGTCATTTAAACCAAAAGCAGAATGTCGTCATGGGGAGGGTTATTAAAGTTGAAAGGAAGGATAATCAGGTAATCATTTACCATAAGAGGTTCAAAGTACTGTGACACCTTTTTAGTCCGCTCGTAATAAAATAAAATGAAAGTAATAGGTAGATGTCGAAATGAAACGGACAAACGAAGTTTGCAAGAAAGCAGTTTGAGTTGGATGAGTTGCGTTATGCAGAGGGATAACGATGGGGAGGCTAAAGAGTTTCTCTGAGAGGCTCGCCAAAAGAAATTGTCTTATGTCTGGGGATGTTAATTATCGGGCTACTTTCTTTTATAATTCAATGCAGGAGCATAGTCATGGTTTCATATTTTAAGAAGACGAGGCTTCCTGTTATACTGGTATATATATATATATATATATGATGTGGTGGAAAGGAATTGCGCGCTGTTCTGCGCAATATCCCGATCTAAATGTGATTGAAAACCTTTGATACTTTATGTGAAAACAGGACATTAAACCCGATGATGAGCCTTTGCAAGTCGGCTTCGTTGAGGTAGGCCTGCACCCAGGCTAGCTCCAAAGATCAATGTGAAGCTCTCTTGGCAGATGAGCTCTTAGTTGATTCTCTTATTAAAGGTGACTTTAAGTACTGTTAGATACTTCTCGACGGCAAGTCTTCGAAAGACATGAGAAGCATTATCTTCTGTTTTTTTACGAAGAATCCAGCCTAAAGGCAATGAGCCCGAATAAAAATTTGCTGAAGAGAGTCTTTCATAAGATACGGATACAAAACTATGGGCATTGATAAAAAAGAACTAAAATTGTCATATTACTAAATGCTCAGCAAAAAATGGTAAGTTATTTCTTATCTAATCTTATAACGATCAATAGTGGTAACTTTATCCTCTCAATGACCTGAATCTTTATTTATATCAGGAATAACATGTCCTTTTAGTGTAAGTGTGGCGTGTGCGTTAGTCTAGAGCTTTATTAAAATCCTTTGTTTCTTTCTTTCTTGAAAGACTATTTACACAAGAATCATTCGTTGTTTTTTTTTAGTGACCTGAATGAATCGGGTTAGTAGATAATAGTGTCAGGCACACCCCCAATTATCTCATATGACACTGGGAAGATTGGCGATCTCCTTTTACCCTTTAAGGAAAATAACAATACTCACAGTCAGCTTTCGCTGCTGTTGGTATACTAGATAACGCTACCCCTATACTTTTTTTATTTTTAGGGTGCCAAAGGGAACACGGTTTTCTATTTTGACGCATCCTTAACACCGAGGCATGTGTAACCAACCGCTTTTTTTGAAGGTGGTATGGGAACTGTCCCTTGTCGTGGGGACCATTTATTAGTGTGGAATGAATAATCTGGGACAGGAAATAATATGTAACACGGGCTTAAAGGTTCTGGAATGTCATGTTATCGAAATAAATATATATATGTATTTCTGTGATATATGCATAGGTCTGTTAAGCTGCAAGTAGCCGTATCTTGTTGTAAAAATGAAACAATCCGCTGATACATCCACTTTTATTGATATATCACTGACAGTTAACTGTGATACATTGCAAGCAAATAGAGGCGTTGTTCGTTTCGATATATTAGAAGGTATATCTAATAAAAAAAAAAAAAAAAAAAAAAAAAAAAAAAAAGATTGGCCATTTGTTGTCTTTCGAATAATCGTTTCTTGGCCAAAATACGACAACTAACGGCCAATGCTGTATTTAGCTAGCGCCATTTATTTTTCTAAAATGGACAAAATCTATCGCCCCTTCTGTATTAAGGATGACATTTCTTGGTGAGGAGTCTTGAGTGCGACATACGTCAAGGAAATTAAATTGGGTGGACTGTGTATATCTAAAATTTAAAACAACAAAAACAACAAAGTTGGCATTCTGCAATAATATATCAGGGTGTCTTTTTAAAAAGAAAAGGGTCATAAGCCTTACAAAATTCATTAAACCTTAAGTATGATTTTAGGATGGCCATTAGGAGAGACATTACTGCTACTATGAACACCTTCATATTTAATAGGAGAGAGGACTTTTAAGGCGTAGCTAAAGGAATAATCATTCAGTGTATACGAATTAATTCAAGTTTCTGCTGCACGAAAGGCGAAGCAATAATAGATCTGCAATGATTTCAATTATTTAAGTGTATATTATGTGAAAATCCAGGTGATCAATAAAGATATATTCACATGTTGCATAAAAAAATGGTTATTGTCACAACCTAAAAGTTGATTATCAATTTGGTTTAACAATGCAATAGATTTTTTCCAAAATCATTCCAACGGCTCCTTGCAGTGATGTCGTTTTTTTTTTTGTTCACAAGATGAGTTGTTAAGAAGTTTTTTTTCTTCTTCATTTGTCACTTCTTTTGTTTGCATACGTTGGAGATCTACATTTTTTTCTAACTTTAACCCTAAACCAGCTTTGCCACATAAAAAACGTATATAAAGAACGTAAATTTTGTTCAGGGAAAGCAGCATTTATAAAAGAAGAAAAAAAGAGTAGTGCATATGTATTCCTATTTCTTTATATCTATCTTATTCTATACTGCAGTAGTTCATGCCAATGTGCTTTCTTGGGATGAAGCTTACATAAAAGCAGCATTACTTGTGGATCAGATGTCACTAGATCAAAAAGTTGCTATCACCACAGGTAGGGGCTGGGCTAATGGTCCATGTGGCGGTAACACATACCCTATTAGTTCTCCTCATTTCCCATCACTCTGCTTACAAGATGGTCCCTTGGGTGTTCGAGGTGCTAATAATGTCACTTCGGGTGTTGCTGGAATCAATGCTGCTGCTTCTTTTGACAAGATGGCAATACGAGCTCGTGCTGATTATCTGGGAAAGGAGTTTCGTGGGAAAGGGATTCATGTCCAACTAGGTCCTGCTGTAAACATGATGCGTAGTCCCAAATCAGGAAGAGCATGGGAAGGGAGTGGTGAAGATCCGTATCTTGCTGGTATTGTAGCTGCTGAATCCATTAAAGGGGTTCAAGCTCACGGTGTTATTGCTAATGTTAAACATTATATCTTGAACGATCAAGAATTAAATCGGATGACGAGCTCATCAGAAATCGATGCTAGAACCTTGCATGAAATTCATCTTTGGCCTTTTGCACGTTCTGTAGAAGCAGGCGTGGGATCTGTTATGTGCTCATTTAACAAAATTAGCGGTATACATGCTTGCGAAAATGATTACCTTTTAAATACGGTGTTAAAAGGAGAGCTTGGGTTTAAAGGATTTGTGGTATCAGATTGGTGGGCAACACATTCTACCGTTCAGGCTGCAAACGGGGGTCTCGATATGACTATGCCTGGTGATATAACATTACCCACCTCTATAGATAAACCTGGATCGAGCGATTCTTATTTTGGAAAAAATTTGACAGATGCTGTCATTCAGAAGGACGTATCTGAATCTCGTGCAACTGATATGGCAATGCGCATTGTAGCATCTTGGTATAAAATGCATCAGGACGAAAATTTTCCTCAAACCCAGCTGTCTTTTGATCAACGCAATTCTCCCTTCGTCAATGTTCAAGAGAACCACAGAATATTGGTTCGTGAAATGGGCGCTGCTTCTAATGTTTTGCTTAAGAATTTAAATTTCACCCTTCCCATTGTTCCAAGTCAAGTGAAGAGTATTGCTGTTATAGGCTCAGATGCTGGACCTCCTCCTAATGGTATCAATACATGTTTTTTAAACTATTGTAGTAACGGTACACTTGCTCAAGGTTGGGGATCTGGAACTGCTGATTTTCCTTACTTGATCGATCCTTTACAAGGCTTAAGAGAAGTTTTTGGGGACGCTAAAATTAAGTCCACATTGAATGATTGGGATCTTCATCAAGCGGCAGAAATAGCCAAAGACGCTGATTTTGCTTTTGTTTTCTCTAATGCAGACTCTGGTGAGGGACTTCTTGGTATATACGGAGACCGCAAAAACCTTTCATTGTGGCAAAACGGTGATAATTTGGTAAGCTTAAATCATTTGTATGACCTTCTATAAAACAATTAACTTTTTTCTTCTTCACTTTTTCAAGATTAAGGCTGTTGCAGATGCAAATAGTAATACAATTGTAGTTATACATTCGGTTGGTCCTGTTCTAATGCCTTGGATTGATCATCCTAACATCAAGGCAGTTTTGTGGCCTGGACTTCCTGGACAAGTGTCTGGTCATTCGCTTGCTGATATTGTCACAGGCAAGGTAAACCCATCCGGTAGACTTCCTTATACTATTGCTAAAAGGGAAGAAGACTACAACGTGGATATTGATTTGGACCAAGTGGTTGAATACAGCGAAAGGTTGCTCATGGGTTACAAGTGGTTTGACCATGCGGGTATTGAACCTTTATTCCCTTTTGGCTATGGACTGTCTTACACCTCTTTTGATTATGATGATTTGAAAGTGAAAACCAGAGTGTTTTACAATGATGATGCCAAAAAAATAGTTTCTGATGCCATTGTGAGAGCATCCATCAATGTCCGCAATTGTGGTACATACGATGGCGCGGAAATTGTACAGGCATATCTTTCTTTCCCCAAGAGCGCTAATTCGCCTCCTCAACAGCTCCGTGGGTTTGAAAAAATATTTTTACAGAAAGGTCAAAACGCAACTGTTGAATTCGACCTTCGAAAAACTGAGCTTAGTATTTGGGATGTCTCTACTAGCACTTGGGTTATTCCGGCTGGTGAATTTGCTATAGGTATTGGTGCTTCCAGTCGTGATATTCGTATGTCTATTGGATTTACCTTTTAGACTTTGCGTAATCTCATTAAGCGGTTTAATGAATACACCCACTTTAGTTTAATAAAATTATTATTGTTTAATCATGCCTGAAATTCAATTTAATTTATTAAGTCGGATAAAGACGCCTAGTTAACTTAATGATAGTACAGCTATCTATAGAATACATTGATGAATGGAATACTTTAATATCAGACGATTGATATTTAGCAGTTAGATACCTAATCTAAGATAGAATTTGTTAGTCAATTAGTTCCGTGGCCATTGGTATAGTATTTGATAGGCCTTACCTTGAAATCGACGCTCAAACAGAACCATAAATAACAATGGGCTCTTTAGGTTATGTTTCAATACGCTGTTTGGGTCCTCTTTATATATAGTCTATTTCAAAGATAGGCTTATAATTTTTTGTAGATACCTATTACTGATGGTAATTTGAATGGGATGCATGTAAAAAGAATCACTGGCATTGATATTGTAAACTAATTAATGATGCTTGTCCTGAACCATTATCTCATCGTACTTTTGTTTTATAGTTGTTTTTCAGGATGCCATTGACTAATACAAAAGATAACTTTATTTACGTACTCCAATTTACCAAAGAAAACATGACTTCATCCCAAAAAATTAGCCAAAATACGACTAAAAATCTTTGGAAAATGCAGTACATAAAAGTATATATTTAAAAAGAAAAGAAAAAAAAAATGGAGTGAAAAAGATGGAAAAGAAAAAGTACATCTTTTTGGTATGTACACATATAAAGAAAGAGTTTTTTTTTTTTTTTTTTTTTTTTTTTTTTTTTGTCTAGTTAGGATTGGTTATGCTCTTGTTGGAATTGTTGTTGTTGTTCTTGTTGAGCCCAGCCGTTCTCGTTCACCTTGTTAAAATTAAGAGGATCGACGGGAGAGTCGGCGGGAGAAGAACCAGGTGTACCATACGAAATATTGTTCATGACAGTACCACGATGAGCCAAGTGGCCGTTGACGTATGTATGGGGTGAGTCGTTACCAAAATTGGGCACACCAGAGTTGATGTTCACCTCATTGTTATTGCTGGTGTCATGAGAGGTTTCACGGGAATGAGGACGACTAGGAGGAGGTGTGTTCTGATGGGTGTCTTCAGTCTTAATTTCCTCGTTATCCTTGGGTGTATCATTACGATCAAGTACAGCGCTACAAAGTTGAGATAAAATGGTCAACTTCGATCCCTCGTCATCATCATCATCCACTTTAGTGGTAGCATCATTAGTGATAGTGGGAACAATCGAAGTAGCGGTAAGAATTGGGGTGGATGTAGTGCTATTATTATTAGTGTTATTATTGGCGGGGTTAGGAGATTGTTGTTGTTGTTGCATTTGTTCCTGAAGTCTATAAGTACCATTAACAGCTTGCTGCTGTTGATGTTGCTGTTGTTGCTGTTGTTGTTGCTGTTGCTGTTGTTGTTGTTGTTGTTGCTGCTGTTGTTGTTGTTGTTGCTGATGCTGCTGTTGTTGTTGTTGTTGTTGCTGCTGCTGCTGCTGTTGTTGTTGTTGTTGCTGCTGATGCTGCTGTTGCTGCTGCTGCTGTTGTTGTTGTTGTTGTTGGGGAGAGATCATGTTCATAGCAGCTTGATAGGACAAAACAGGGTTACCAGTAGGATACATTTGTTGAATCGCAGCAGGAACCATGTAGGATTGAGGCATCATTTGATTGTTGTTGTCATAGGCATAAGGGTTGTGGTAACCTTGGGTAGGGAATGGCTGATAATGAATTGGCAAAGCATTAGCACGAACAGCGGTGTTTTGAGCATATAGGTTGGCATTAATCATGGGAGAGGCCATGTTAGGCGTAGAGGCACCTGAAGAAGTACCGCTATCTCCACCTAAGTTACTGTTAATATGGGACAATCTACCATTTATTTATTTTTTAAAACTTACCAGACTTAATTCTCTTCTTGTAAGGACCACGCTTAACGCCCTTCTTGCGTTCCTTACGAACAGAGTTAACGCAAGTTTCGGTTAATCCATACTTAATACATCTTTGACAGGGTCTACCAATATCACATTTCTTACAGGCCTTTTGACAATTGACTATAGAAAAAAAGTTCATATATCAGAAACATTTATCACTTTTTCTATTTGTTTTCTTTTACTTTACCACATGCATTCTTAACTTGCTTTCTCTTGGGCTTACCGTGAGCACCGATGTCTGTCATGGTAGAAGGAGAAGGCAAAGCGACCTGCTGGTGTTGCTGGTGTTGTTGTTGTTGTTGTTGTTGTTCCTTTCTTTGAGCGGCAGCCAAGACAGACAAAGGTTGCATGGCAGCAGGAGAATAAATGGCAAGGTTAGGACCACTTATGGCCAAAGCCTGTTGTTGCTGATCTTGAGTCTGTTGTTGTTGTTGTTGTTGTTGACTCGAGGTTTCGTAACCGGGAAAGTAAGGTGTGAATTGTTGCATTTTTTTTATTTTATTTTTTTTTACTATTTTAGTTATAGTTTAGTAACAAAGAGTAGGAGTTAAATGTCAAAATACTTACAATGAAGAGAATTTTAATCGTAAGGGTAAAAAATAAAAGATTCAAAAATAAAAAGACAAAGAAAAAAGGAAGGACTTGAAATTGGTGTGTTTGAGACTTTCCTGTGTTTGAAGCTTCCCTTTCCTTATGAGTGTATAGTCGTTATGGTTGTGTATAAAAGTAACCGGAGTCTCTCGTTTACAAAATAAAAAATTCCCAAGAGTTTATCGGAGCACCAAAGAAAACTTTGTTTAATAGCAGCACAACAACCAAAAAAATGTCTTTTGACAAAGAGTGTGCAAAAAAAAATTTTTTTTAATCAAAGCCTTGTGTGACTGTTTATCGTAGACAGTTCATTGGTTAAACTGTGCAATGAAAGCTTGGAATTCCTTACGACTGGCTGGATTGGATGGCAAATAATGTCTAGTATAAAAAATGTTTAGAAAATTCAAATCAAAAGGCTAAGCCAAAAAGAAAAAAAAAAGTATGTCGTACCCTCCTGTATGACGAAATATTTTGGCCTTTTCAAAAGTTTCTGCTAGCGAAATCATGTTCTCTGGCAAAACCAATGTATCCAAATCTCCAATAAAGTGCAAACTAGGTGTTTTGACTTTTTTGTCCTTTCTCAGCATCATATTTGTTGCTTCTTGCATTGAAGGTTTGAATCCCGCCACAATAATCGAGAATTTAAAAGGTGGGTGATCGAGCTCATGATTTTCCAGCATTTCGGTAAGCAGAGCTGCAAAGCAAGCGCCTTGTGAAAACCCAAGAATACCATCAAAGGGTCCCTAGTTGCTTACGTAAGCATTTATCTTAGATACAAATTGGTCTCAATGTTTACCTGTTTCTTTAATACATCCCTAACATATTCAACAGTTTCTTTATAACCAACAAAATAACCATCTGGTCTAACAGGTTTGTATTTGGGTGAGTACCACCAGCCAAAAGGTGCATGTTCTAAACAAAAATATTAATTCGAGGCATCTTCGACAGCTGCAAACTACCTTCTGATACCTCTTCCTTGGCAGCTTCTTCACGTTCAGCGGTTGTGGTTAATGTAGCTGGTGCAATATGATGAGGTGCAGTGATATAAACTAAGTAAACGAAAAAGTTTAATATCCTTCTCCTTACATTCAGTCCAGTAATCTACCGAATTCAGCAATGTCTTCGACACTTTTGCGCATTACTGCTGTCTTTTTACGAAACATGGTTGCATTCTGTGTGTAGCCATGCAAGCACAGAATTCTCAACTTATTTGAACTCATGTTTGAGACAATGAAATGAAAAAGAGAGAAAAAAAAAATTCAATCTCAACTACACTGGCAAAACAAAGCTCAGGGTTACACTTACAAACGCTGCATATTCCTACTACCTTATATTTTTCGGACAGACAAATAACATTGCAATATTTAACTATCAGACCATTTTAATATTAAAGCCCGTTCACTATCAACATCTAATTGATGAATCGGTTTTTTAGAATAATATCCATATAATGAGCCCCTCATCGCCCTGCCGGCTTCCGTATTGAGTGCAATCACAAATGACATACTATCAGTATTTTAACACATCAAAAATTATTAGAAAGGATAAATTTATTGTATTTTCATCTAAATGTTTTTTGATTGCAGTTGGGTACTAGTGTTAATATAATGGGCCTAATTCATGAGAACAACCCGATATTTAGGCTTTCCCTGTCGAACAAATTCAATAGCCTCATTTACTTTAGCCATGGGAAATTCATTCGCCCAAGTGCGAATATCATGCTGAGTAGCAAACGCAAGCGCTTCATCAATGTCCTTTGGAGAGCCGATAAAAGAAGATGCAATAGTTATTTGTTTAGCAGCCATGTTAAATGCGTTAATATCAGCTAAATTATTCTCTGGAATATCACAAAGTATAAATATTCCATTCTTTTTGAGCATTTGAAAATACATGTCCCAGTGTTCATTAAGGATCTTTGTAGCCAAGATATGTGTAAACGTATTAAGATGAGTCTCTGCATTTTCAGAATCATATGCAGTAATATAATCATTACAACCAAGAGATTTTGCGTCTTCGAGTTTTTCACCAGAAGTTCCATAGGCGACCACAGTAGCACCCATCGCTTTTGCCCATTGTACACCAAAATGGCCAAGACCACCGAGACCAAGAACAGCCACTTTGCTGTTAGGACCAACATTATAACGCTTTAACGAAACGTAAGTGGTTATACCCGCGCACAATATGGACGAAGCATCAACAGATGACAACTGTTCAGGAATTTTCACAGCAAATTCTTTTTCACCTCGCCATTTATTAGCAAACCCACCATAAGTACTATCTCCATTTGTCCAGCAATCATTGAACGTCCAAACAACATTATCCTCACACAGATTCTCTTTGCTATCTTGACAATTCGAGCATTTCTTACAAGACGCAGATTGACATCCAACACCAGCACGATCGCCTACTTTAAGATGTGTGACATTTTTACCAATACGGGTGACACGGCCAATGATTTCATGACCTCCAACAAAAGGGTAATCGGAAGGCCTCCATCCTGAGTCAATACAATGTATATCGGTACCGCAAATACCGCAACAAATAATATCCATATCAACGGAGTCATCACCGAACTTTGTTAAGGTAAACTGATTTTGAATTAAAGATTCCCCTTTACCGAAACAACCCCATCCAATCATTGTGTCGAATGTTTCAGGGATTTCATTAATTTGTAGAGAATTTGGAGATGGATCAGTCATTTTATTGTTGCTAATTAATTTAAAAATATTTTTCTTCATATGCCTGCTTTTATATAGTATGCTTCTAGTGACAATATTGATAAGTCACTTGACCCGATGTGACAATATCATAATCATTGAGTGAGGTTTGAAAATAAAACTTTTAAGAGTTACATATACGGTGTTGTATATAGTAAGATCGCACACGCATATCCTCCTCTGCAAGATATAATCTGGTAGTCTATAAAAGGAGCTTTTCAATTTTTAAGTTTTACATCTTGTAATTAAAATTCACAGCAGACACCTTTTTAAACCTATATATGGTTCGTTATCGTTAGCAAAAACAAAGTTACAGGGATTTATATTTGCTTCGTTTGTGACAATATATGCATGAGCTCGCCACTTTCACTATACTCCAGAACTTTGTTCCGCAAATCAACTTCGGACCAAAAACATGGCCAATTTGTATATATAATATATCTGAACGGCTTGTATTATTGCCGGCAGCCATGTATATATGCGACATGTATTTTTATACATACTGTGATTCACAATTTCCTAAATTGTGCAACATTCTTATCCTCCATGTTAATTTTTAATCTTTGCGCCTTAATTATTTGTATTATGAAAAAAGGGATATCAAAACTACGGTCCATATTAGAATCTACATGAACAAACAATAACATCAATTAGGACAGTTTGAGCAATAAATAGATAAATCGATTTTCCAGAAAAAGAAATGTATATTGATAGTCAGCAGATGTATTCGTTTAAACTCAAGCTGCGGCGCGGCCTTGAAAAATCGATAAAAAGAAAGTTCAAATCGGTATGATCAATTGTGTCCAAAAGACTCAAAACCCTTGCCCTCAAATCAAGAATTTGCCTAACCGCAAATAATCGTCTCGGGTTTGATTGGGTGGATGAATCCGCATCCATGGCACTCCCCTTCGTGTAATAAAAATTCAAGTCCCGGATATCTTGGCATTGATCTCTTCCAATATATAATCCCGTTTTTACAATTATCTTCTTTGCTTTTTTCTTTTTCTTCTTTATTATAAAAATGGAAAAATCGAACAAGAAAGAATACGTTGCTGTCCCAACCAGTGACGTCGAAGCAGCAGCACTTCCTGCTTATGAAGAAACTGATCCTACAGCTACAGCCAACGCTAAAAAACGTAACTTCCATTCCCATTCATTTTTTTGTATTGTTACTAATGAGCAAAATATAGGCAAGAATGTTAGATTTTTGTTAATTGGTGGTGCTATTGCTCTTCTGGGTTTGACACATATTTGTACCAGCAATTATATGTCTGAAGTAAGATTTAAAAATTATTGATATACAAGAAACATAAAACTAAAGCTGCGCCTATTTGTTTTCTGAAACAGGATTCTGTCTTCGCCGGTGACGCATTGGCTGTAAATATTCTATAGACGTACATGAAATGTGATGTCATATTAAACCTTCTTTTTTTTTTTTATAATTATAGCAATACGAAGATCGTGAACCATGTGCCTTGAAGCACCTTGAACAATATAATGAATTGAAGGAACATATGGCTGACTTAAAATCAACTTTCGGTGTCCCCCATCACCATCAAGGACGTCCTGATTTTGAACATTTAAACGGTTTAGAAGGACCTCCACCTCATCATATTAAACATAAAGAGCATAAAAACAAGCACCACAAGCATCATAAGGGAAAGAAGAATCATGACGATCCTACTCCTCCTCCTCCTCCCTCAAATATGTGGGTGGATGATTTCGATCCTCACCATGAATCTGCTTCCGTTCCTCCTCATCATGGTGGTCATGTCAAAGATCACCATAAAGAGCATAAGCATAAGCATCATGAAGGAAAGAAGTCCCATGACAAACCTGCCGGGGCCTTGATGGAAAACGAATGGACTGATGAAAACTCTAGTCCTGCTTCTGAAAAAGCTCTTGGTAATTATGACTATTTTATTCAAACACAAAATGAACTAACCAACAAATATAGTTACGGAAGGTCACAAGAAGAAGAAGAACCACAAGAAGCACCCTCATAAGCCTTTCTGTAATGTAAAGAAGCTTGAAGCCACATCCACCGTCTTCAATTTCTCTCCCGAAGAATTCCAACGTACAGGTGTCTTCTTGAATGGCTACTTTTCCCGTGGTGGACATGTTCGTCTTTCCAAGTCAACTGACAAATCTGTCACTGATGTCAAGGTTACTGTTACTCTTTATACTGGTCGCGAAGATCTCAAGAAGGAAGTCAAGTTGTCTGCCTTCGATCATGAAGGTCAGTACGCTGTTCAAATTGAGCGCGGCCACTTCAAGGGAGCCCTTCCTCCTACTGAACCTCCTCATGACGACCCTCCTCAAGATGGTACTGAAGGTGAACATGCTCATATCCACAAAAGTCATAAGGATGGTGATAAGGAAGATCATAAGCAAGAAAACTGTCTTGTCTACAATGTTGATGTTGAATTTCCCTCCAACATTGACTATTTTGAGGATGTCCAACTTCACATCAAGTCTGCTCAACGTATTGAAGGTGGCTCTGGACTCGATGGAATGGAGTTCGGAACTGTTAAGGCCGGCCTCGGTCGTGGTGCCATTATCTTTGATGTAAAGTGAAAATTTCAAACGGGATTAAAACTTGTATTAACAAATATTTATAGGGTTTGAAAGCCAAGAAACTTCTTCTTGGCGTCGTTAACGGCGTCGTTATGGGTACTTACCAACCTAGTGAAACTTTTGCTGCTGGTGTTGTTCGTGGCGCTGCCAAGGTCAATATTGAACCTACTGGAGAGAATGTTAACATTACTGCATCTTCCACTTTCGGTCCTGCCAGTGTTGATATTGTAAGTATTTGAACAGAATATTATGATGCGATTTATTAATCATCCCATATTTAGCCGGCTGATAAATTTAAGGGAGACTTCACTTTGTTTAATCTTTTTGGTGAAACATCATCCGTTTCTGCTCCCAATCCTGAGGATGTACATGTCACTAAGTTCAGACCTACTCTCAAGACTGGTTACTACAAGGAAGAGAACCCTGCTTCTCGCATTGTTGTCTCTGCCAAGATTCACGGCGGTGAATACATTTCTTTCAACTAAGGTTTCTCTTTTCAAACTTTGTACAAGTAAAATAAATTCTATAAGAATAGCCTAATTTCTTATGTCATTCTTCGTATCATTAAGCTTTGTGGCACATTAATCTATTTTAACTATCTGCATTATGATTTTACCAAAGGGTGTTTTTGTACCACTAGCCCGGTATTATTTTCCTACATGATAATTAAACCATCATTGGGGTATTTTGCCAGTTGAATTAACAATTTAGTGGCTGACGGCCGTCTGCATTAAATCCAATTCTTAGTACCTTGTATGGCATAGCCAAAAACTTAAAGCTAAATGCTGTTTAACTTTTGTAAAGGCATGTAAATGACTGATGCGAATAATCGCCTACCCTTTTTTTAATTGATAATATAACATCTGAAGTAAATTATGTTTCAGATTTTTTATTATTAGACCAAGTCCTTGTTAATTATATCTTACAATGTCTGTCATTCTTTTTTTAAGGTCGGTCCTTTCGTTGCTCCTTTGGTTCTATCTTTTACAATGATGTACTTTTATTAGCCATCATGGTATTTCATACCCGCTCATTTAATCGTCAAAAAACGAGACTATCATACTGCTAGCAAATGCTAAACAATGCTAAACAATACTTTTTTTTACATCTAGATATGTCTATATGGAATCATTATACACATAACCGAGTTGGTATATACGATGGATAATTCAAGATCTTGACTTATTTTTAAAAATTAAATAATGAAGGGTGGGCAAAGAAACTTCATGTTTGCCATACAGATAGAAATAAGCAATACAAATAGAAATAAGCAATACAAATAGAAATAAGCAATACAAATAAAGTGCCATTTTTTATTTTTTCTATGTAACATATGCTCGTTTTGTTATCAAATTTTATGTAGGACATCATTGTCAGGTTTCGTAGAATATTCAGTTATTATATGAGACTGCAGATTCACAACCTATAGACTATAAATCTACTGTTTTCTTCTGTAAAAACCTCTTTTCATTGATGAATTACCAAATAATAAGACAAGAAAAAAGACGTAGGTGCAGACATTGTCCAAAAGATGACAGCCAAAGAAGCAAAAATATGACATCATCCCTAAGGACACCCTGAGAGCGGCTCTACTAAATTTGTTGTTGAACCTCCGTACGTTTAATATTCTTTTCTTCACTTTGTCCAAAAAAAAAAAATGCAAGATGATCCCAATAGACCGATCGTGGTAAGCGAAGTTCCACCACGAAGGCAACCAAGCGCAATGTCGTTTTTTAGTCGATTAGATCGAAGTCGTTCAGCTAGTAAACATAAAAAAATAAAGAAGTTACAAAAAATCACTGTTAACGTGTTTTTTTAACCAGTTTCGGAAAGCTCGAGTCATAAGCCAGTAAGGCTTTTATTTGTCAACATAATAGTATGCAGTACTTAACAAGATTTAAAATAGAAAACAAGAGAATCCTCGCCTTCGAAAACTCTCACCCAGACCATGATTGAAAAATGGGTACATATGGCGTCCGGTCAAAGATACGAAAACGTAGTTGATGCTCCAGACGACCTATTACCGCCGTGGGTATCCCCAATTAGACCAGTGCAAAGAAATACCCCACAGGATGTCGAATTATCTACAGTGATTAAAGATGAAGAAAGTTTTGCCGACGATAATTCAGACTGTTCGTTACCTGAAATCATCGACCAAACAGGCCCACAATTAGAAGAGTATTCAATTCAGGCCAATGATGAATATTTATCACTATCATTATCTTCTGAACCAGAAGATGCATCAGAAGCATACCGTACACCGCGCAACGAATCTTCCCCAGCAGATTCATTGTCGTCACCAGGTCCAGACATCTTCTGCTCACCACTAGAGGATTTTTACCCTGAAGCTGCACCTGAGCCGTATAAAACATTCCGCGACAATAACAGTGATACTGATTCACAAGCAACAATTCAATACGATTCACAGTCAGACAATTCGCAATACAATATGCAAGAAAATATGTTACACGAAAACGAGGTCAGAAATCTGTCTAATTCGCGTAAGGTAGCACCATACGCTTATAACAGTGACTTTCAACCATCAACCTCCAACGACTCTCAAGTCGATGTCAATATACCAGAAGCATATAACTCCAATGAGAACCAAGCGAATACAGAAACCTCCAGCCCGACAAATCCTTCTCGTTACGAAGATGCCGAAGAAAATACTTCAAAAACCAGTTCGCCAAATCTTCTTCTCAGTCCTGTTAATGACGCTGAGATCTTTCAACACCACTCTCCACCACACAAGTCTTCCGATTCACAGGACAGATTTTTCGAAAATCTGTTGTTTGATGCAAGTACTGAAACGAAGTCAATAGAATCATATGTTAGTAGTAGTCGCAAGCAGTACCCACAGTGTAACAGTGATACCGAATCCTCTTCTCAGACCAAGCCTGCTACAAAACTACAGAAACTCAATAAAGATGAAAAGAAAGAGAAAGGAAAACACAAAGAATCATCTTCAACTCGTCTAGTTCAATCACAAGAAGCAACTAAGCTTAACCGACTGGAACATAAACCCCTTAAAAGTACACTGAAGACGCCCAAGACAATCGAGACATATTTCTCTAATTCTTTGGGTACGTCCCAAGAAGGTGAATTAGGTAAGGCATTGGAGTTGGCATGTATTTTTAGAAAACTAATTCTGATTTTAATATAAACAGATATCGGTAGAGAATCAGTACCTCCCTCATATGGTTACCTTGATACTGATGTGAAAAAAGAGGGTATAGATAGCAAAAAAGATACATTGGAGGATAGAAGGAGAAGACCAAGAATTGGTCTGTCTAAAAATGCCTTTAAATAAAAAAAATACAAGATCCTGATAAATTATAGGCGAGTTCTTATTTGCGCATTATTATCAAAAGCGTTTTTTTCTTAGCCTAGATCATTTTAATTGATGGGTATTGAGCTTACGTAATGGAATGACTTCCGGTGAAACTCAAATACCTCACATATTTGAGGCTTGTCTTTTATCAATTGAATTTCGAAGGCACTCGTTCCGGGTTTAATCTTACAGATACACTAGTTTGATAATTTTAATGTAAGCAAACTTTGAAACCCGGAAAGTCCATACATTCCCAGAAAAAGAGATATTGAGACCAGAATACATCATATCAAATAATTGAAGAGGCGAGATTTTTTGACATGTATGTAATGATGACCTTTTGTAGAAATTGTATTTAAATTACCGCTTTTTTTTCTCTCGTAAACCGCCATGGGGATTAATCAAGCCATCAAAGGTTACATAAAGTAGAGGCTGATGACTTGAGTAAGATGAACTCCATTGTTTTGTTTAAGAGGTAAAAATTAAATCAGCATTACCATATATGGAAATATGGAGTAGTATTTTTTTTTCCTTTGGGCAACACAACGACGGTAACTGAGTACTACCAGTTACTTGGAAGTAGTAACTTTATTTTCAAAATAAGCGAATCGTATTTGAATTAGATGATGACCTGTTTAATTTCCCAACTGTAAAATGTGAGCATAAAAATAGGAAAGAGGCGGAGTTCTTACTAAGCTGAAATAAGCTGAAATAATAGTGGGGAAACATACTTCCTTTCTTCTTTCACACACACTTTTAATAGTAACAAAAAAAAAAAAATATGAATGGCTCTTCAAGTAAGTTTATCATTTCAAATATAGTCACTTTTAAACGGGTCTAATATTGTTTAACTAGATTTACGCATTGCATGTGTGGTAAGACACAGATCCAGCTTTAAAAGGTTTATATTTAACTCATCACGTTATGTAGATGGTAGGCTTACCAGCAAGAGGAAAGACTTATATCTCATATAAAGGTAATATAAAGAATAAATTAACGTAATAAAATACTCACGCGAGAAAATAGTGAGTCGTTACTTGACATGGTTAGGTATCAAGACACAAATATTTAGTGTTGGTAATTATCGTCGCAAATTGGCGGGATTAAATCTTCCACATACATTCTTTGATGTCAACAATGCAGAAGGCATCAAAAAAAGACACGAAGCAGCATCTTGTGCATTAAGTGATATGATCAATTGGTTTGAAAAAGAGGATGGTACTGTTGCGATCTTTGATGCTACAAATTCATCAAAAAAGGCTAGAGCTTGGATCAACAATGCTTTGACAGCACGTAATATTCAAGTTTTATTCATTGAATCAGTTTGTGAAGATGAGGATATTATCTTATCGAATATTAAAGATGTCAAATTATCCTCGCCTGACTATTGCAATCGCGATCCAAATGCTGCCACCGAAGATTTTATGAAACGGATCAAGCATTACGAAGAAACTTATGAAACTGTTACAGAACAAGAACTGACTTATATCAAATTAATCAATGTTGGAAGTCAATATATTATCAACATGATCCGCGGTTATTTAGAAAGTAGAATCGTTTATTACCTGATGAATTTACACACACGTCCAAAAAGAATTTGGTTTAGTCGAGTAAGTATCATTTTAAAGTCACTGCTATCATTATTTAACCCTCTTAAAGCATGGTGAATCTCTCTTCAACTTAGAGGACAGAATTGGTGGTGATGCTGGGCTATCACCAAGAGGTGAGCAGTATGCATTAAAATTACCGGAATTAGTCAGACAAAATATCGGTGATCGGCCTTTGACTGTTTGGACTTCCTCCATGACTCGTACCATTCAAACTGCGAGACATTTGGATTTCCCAAAGAAACAATGGAAAGCCTTAGATGAACTCGATACTGGGGTTTGTGATGGCATGACTTATGAAGAGATCGCTGTAGGTTTTTGGCCAAATCAAATTACAGCCTTAACTAAAGTTCGTTCTCTAATAGATCAAGTACCCAGACGACTTTGCGCGTAGAGATGAAGATAAATTTAACTACCGCTATCGTGGTGGGGAGGTACGCACAAAAAAAAAAAAAAAAAAAATATGACTCTATTAATTGATACGCTTTGAGTAGAGTTACAGAGATTTAGTATTGAGATTAGAGCCTGTTATAATGGATTTAGAAAGACACGAAAATATTTTGATTATCTCTCATCAAGCTACTATTCGTTGTATGTATGCTTATTTTATGGGACTAAGCCATGAACAGTTACCATATGCCCGTATTCCTCTTCATACTATTATTGAACTCAAACCCAAGGCTTTCTCATGCGAAGAAAAATTATATAAGGGTAAATACAGTTGCTAATGTTATTAAATCAAATATCTAACCATATAATAGTGGACGTTGGCTCAGTTGATACATACAGGCCCAAGGGACAGCTTGCTCGTAAATTGACAAACGATAAATTTGTGAGTTCGATGTCCCCATTATCGGAAGGAGCAAGCGGCGAAATAGCCGATGCTAAAACTCCAATTCTACCAATTAAACCTATGGAGGCTACCTCTACCTGTTAGATGACTTATGAGCTCGGAAAGAACCTGTGTACTATTCTCTTTTTTTAAAAAATTATTATTCCAGAGCTTAGATCATTAGTACATTTATTTTTCTAAAAAAATACTGCAATTTTAATTTAATCTCTTAATCAATGAATTAAGGATATTGTACATCACGCATGAATTAAAGTTTATTTTTTATTTCACTGCAATAAGATTTGTGTGTGATACTTTGTGCTTCAAAGCCCCTTGACAAAGTTTGTCTCAGTTCACTTTCTCGTTTAGAGAACTAGAATTTTTTAAGGATGCTATTTGCAGTTCGGAAACGCATGTATTTGTAATTCGGAAACACGTGCTATGAATAAGTCCTAAAGTGGATAACAACGGTTAAATTATTACCAATAACTTTCAAGTACCTGGATAACATTGCTGCGATATGTAACACAAACTATGTGGGGATACGAAGATCATAGAAAGTTTAAACCTATCATTTCAACCAAAACATTTACCCTTTAAAACTCAAACTTTTGTCATGAATAGAAAATCTATGTGCTACCAGCCTTTTATTTAACTGCAAATTAACGGAACAAAATGCTATAAAGTGCCGACAAAACTGTAATCAAATGATGATCAAACCATGACATATAAAGATATGCATTTAACATTGATATTACCCAGTAACTATGTCTAATTTCAATTTGTAAACTTCATCGATTACCTAATACAGCCATCTGTAGTGCTTTTTCTAATATTTAATCCGCTCAGCAATAGACCCAGTTACACCAACATACAAAATAAGCGTCTTTCAGCTACAAATACTAATATTTGGTATGGCTAAGTTAATAGCACAAGCCGCGCCATTTAATACTACAATCACTAAAGCTGAAGGAACGTTTTGTAGATCCCAGATTTATTTTTGTCATAACTTTCTGTATATTTCACATGATAGATGTTGCGACTACATATAGCGTTGTTAACGTTAATAGGATTGAGTAATGTAGTTACATAATTAATTAAATAGCATTTTTTTTTACAAACGTCCATACTAAATTATGAAGACGAACTGCTTTAAGATACATATTCACGTCTACTATCTTTAACAATTAAAGCATTATTTGACATTGTTGGCGAGAAAATTATTATAAAAAAATAAGTACTATAAATTGCAAACGAAACTACTTCTCAAAGCAAATTTTAACTTGTTTGTGAAGTTTATAGTCGGCATAAACCTAAAAACTTGTTATACATGCTAAAACTTGCTTAAAAATTCTAAGGTTTGTCAAACAACAACTGATGATTACGTCAATCTCCTGGAAGAGTTTGATCATTTTAAATCTAAAATATTTGTTTTATAACGTTGCACAATTATTGTAATTAATAGTGGAGATCTGCCTGTTCTGCATTTAATGCACTTTTACATGTATAGTGTCATTTTTCTTTAACTGATAATTGAAAAAAAATTGAAGAAAGTAAGAATTGCATTCCAATAATATGCTTGCAAACATGTATGATTAATTTTGACAATCCTTTTTTTGGAGGCAGGTGTGATATCTCAAAAACGGAGATGCTTTCCCTCAAAGGTCTCCTCCACCCCCGAGACCTTGTGTAAAGTAAGGTTGTACAATGACTTACCTCCAGATGTTAAGAAATTAATATCAGTTAATTTTCAGTAGAAAGAATCACCTTAAATCTATATCTACAGTGTAGCTTATTTGTCACTAAACATGTGGCTTTCATAAAATTAACGCGTAAAATTTGTATAAACCTACGTTTTTATGTAAAAACAGGAGAAAAATGAGGGGAAGGGAGATTGATTTTTCATCCGTGTAATTGCCATTCGTAGATAAAATGTTTCACTTTAAAGCTATTTTCATACATCACAACGACATGTAACAATTTTAAAAAGAAGGTTTTAGAATAACGAAAATCAATGTTAATACCTTAAGTTTTGAATGGATAATGATAAACGATATAGCTTCTGCCATAACTAACAAATGTGATTAAATATGTTTACATGTTATTTGCTAATCAGAGACAATGGACCTTTTTTTTAAAAAAAAAAGGGAGAGGGGGTTGACTGTTGCAAACACCGTCTATAAATGTAAATATCGATAAGTGTCGAAGTTAAGAGATAAGCATACTCCTCTAAAGTTTATTGGTATTGAGATATCCTTTGAATATCAGCTAGACTTTGAAATGGGTACTAATGTTCAAATCCCGTAATATTTTTCTTTCCATTTAAGTATCCATCGTATAAGGTGTCAATCAGATGACGACCTACAAGTTATTCACACTGTATTTTTATATTAAGATTGCGTATTGTTCTGTTAATCGATATAAAAAATAATATTCTGGTAATATTTTGAGTCATTTTTATATTGATAAGCCCCGAAAGGAACTGCCTCTTGTATATTGTATGTATAAAAACAGCGGTTCCCAAATACACAGATATCGCGTATTGTCACTCTTAGCAAAAATAAATTTCTGGGAGTATTCTGAGAGTCTCGAATCCAATTTTTAATAATTGTAGCCGAGACAAACTTATAACAAATAATTTTAAAATTCCAGGAACAGCTTTAGAATACCCAGCATTTCGATAATGATATCATCGTCATAAGGTTTATTAGGCGACAATACCTAAAGATCTAACTGGACTCTCTATAATTACATTAATCTTCTGTCACACTTTGTGCAAGCGTAGCTTTTTGGTCCTTATTCCCAAATGAAACTTTCATGAATTAATAATAATAAAAAAAAAAAAAAAAAAAAAAAAAAAAAAAGCAAAAAAAAAAAAAAAAAAAGCAAAAACAAACAAAAAAATAATAAGGAAAAAAACGTCTGTCTAACTAAAACAAAATAGAATAAATTTCTTATTAATATAGCGAGTTAAAAACGTTATTACTCTATTAAGCATACTCCAGTGTATTGCGTATTCTGTTGAGCATAGTAAGGATGTTTGGTATCTTTTTTTTTTTTTTGGAACTATCTTTATTTTAATGTTATAAAGCTATCCGTTATTAGTAATATCCGCTCATATCCTTTTTTACAGATGACGAATCAAAAAATACGTGTTCAAAAAAAGGCAAGAAAAAAAGCAATAAGAGCCTAAAGTAGACATGTATAAATGTCATGCAAATTTATTCCTTTTTTTTTCTTCTAAGCACCGTATCCAGGTAGAGCAATCCATATTATTGTCAAAAGAAGCTATTTATCGACCTTACCATTGAAAAGTAACATGAAAGAAAAGTAATATCATCCTATGCACTTATAATTGGGTCTCCGTTGTAAACATCGGTGCGTTTCCTTAAAGTAGATTACACGCGATCGGCCCTGTATACGATTTATGTATAAAAAGAGAAACGTAAAAAAAACATTTTTTTCTTGTTCCTTTTATCCAGTTTATATTTTTTACAAAAAAAAAGGGGGGAGAAAATTTACACACTAGCATGTTTCCTACTCAACAAAACCTAGATGACCATGCAGCGACTGTAAATTATGATCACTTTATACATTCAGATCAGTTCCCATTTACCACTAATGACTTAGTAGAGTCATTGCCAGATACGGAACGATATTACTCTGATAGTGATCCAGCTGGTCAAGCACTATTATACAAGAATAACTTATCCGATGATGCGTCCAACAAAAAGTATGTATTCTTTATTTTCAAAGATATAATGATGTAGATCTAAGTCTTCTTTTCAGATATATGAGTAAATCTGAACGTCGTGCGGAACACAATGCTCTAGAGCGCGCCCGACGTGAGAGTCTCAATACAAAATTCCAATCCTTAGCGCAGTTACTTCCAAATCTACTTAATTATCGTCGTCCTTCAAAAAGCCAAATAGTTGAAAAGACCCTTGAATGGGTAAAGAAAAGTATTGCAAGGGATGAACGACAGCGTTATCAGATTTTGCAACTACAGCTTGAAAATAAAAGATTAATATCACAATGCCTATTTCAGAAAGAGCAGACAAGGTCTTGTAGTTCACACATCCAAAACTCATATCAGCAACAAGAAAATACTCCTATCATGTGTCACAGTGCATCCAATAACAACAACATCACATCTGTTGGTTCTCCCACTACATCCAGCTATCCTCCCCCCTCCCAAAATATATATCCTAACGAGTTTATGAACTTAAATAACTGGATTATCCACCCTCAACTTTTAGACTCTCAATCGCGAGACTCCGTTTGTTCTTCATTTGAGGAGATAGTTCAGCAAAATTATAGCCCTCAGAGTGACGAAGACAGCCTAAATGAGGATGTTATTAATCACCAGTATTCTTTTAATTCTACCAAGAATTCTTACCTTCCAAATCAGCAAAACAAACACCATCGACAGTTTATGGTATCCGAACTATACCGTAAGTACGTTTAAATATCTATCGACTACTTTTTTGACAAGTTTATTTAGCTTCAAGAGTAAATACCACAAATTATCAAAGTAATTTGGCACAAACAATGAATGGGAAAAGAGCAGCTCCTAGGATAAGTGGCGGATCCGCACATTTCTAATTTTAACGTATTGCCTCTTCTAGTATGACAATTGATTTGTGAATGATGATACATACACCGAATTTTTCACTTTTTGATGCTGATTCGTAATATTATCAAAATAAAGCACTTACTATTGTTATGTCCTGTGATGAGTCTGGAAGCAGTGAAACATACAACTCCTAATTTGTAAACTATATTACTATTACGTTTGGTTGATGTTGTTTTGCCATTTTATATGATTCTAACTTCATTAGTAAGTGTAATGGAAATATAAACTAACACACATTGAGGCAAATAAAACACGATAACGCGTTATAACTACCTGACTCCCCCTATACGTTTGTGTTATATGAAAGATTTACAGGTGTGCGCTGAAACATTGTAGATGTTATATCAAATGGGACCAAATTAAATATCAGAGACGACATAAACTTTTAAAATAAAACGTAATCGTATTTATACTTGTACGGAGCTGTGTCTAAAGTAATCATTTAATTATCTATTTCAATTGAATAAATGTTTATCCTTTGTATTTTTTTATTCATTCACAGCAATTCTGTATTGGTTATGATCCATAGTTTATTAACTGAGATCTAATACAATATTACTTTTCTCTTAATTTGATTCGCTAATAGGAACGATACACACCATTACTAACTACAAGATCACGGTAAGTTATAAAGAAATAAAAAACAAGTGTCTTTTTTTATCATATAGGGGTCTATTTCGCCGAATGTTTTGGTTTAGCGACAGATTTATTGTAGATATTTAAGAAAAAAATAAAATAAAAAAAGATTAATAAGCATGTAAAGTTTATTTTAATATAATGTTATGAGACAGTCTATTTTCAAAAATAAAAGGTAACATCAAAAAGGAATAACCATTCATCCTTGTTAAATTAGGTAAATATATAAATATTACATTATTATATTGTCTATTTGAGGTGTTAAACAATACATTTGTAAGTTAGAAAAACACAAAAACTATGTGGCATCAAGTAGTATATATGCCTCTTCACTTTTTCTTCTGTTCTGTTTAATAGACATATGTTAAAGTCTGTATTTAAACAAGCTAAATACCTTGATGGACATAAATTATTGCGCATTTAAATATTAATATTATCGACGGAATACGTTTATGTGAGAAAGTTTAGATTTTTTTTTCAAGTCATATAACTTTATGATTATTCCACATAGTATGTCAGCTATTAGGAAGATTACACATCATACATAATTTTACGAAATAGTGTACTATGGCATAACTACTTAGAGGAACACTTAAAATTGCCATACTTTCAACACTACAAAACGCTGCAATTGACGCACACGTGTCATTTTGGTTAGCATTTCCGCAAGCGAAGAGATACATGCGTACTACAGCATTTCCTTTGTTATAGTAGTTCCACAGTATAAGAAGTATATACAATAAGGAGGTTTTAGCTAACGGTAGATTTTATAAGAGCATCCAGTATGAACATTACTGAAGTGCTATTGGAATAATAATATTCTCGATATAAGAGCGCGTTTTTTCCGTCTTTTTGGTTTTTAGTTACTGTATTTTATCCGACATCCTTGTTCAGCTCTAACTATCTTAACATACCAGGGTACCAATACTGATGTGTTGAGTTTCCATCATATTAATACAAATACATATCACACGATATAAAAATTTAGGAGTTTTGGATTATCGAGTTTTTTCCTAGGTCTATTATTTGAGAGCAAAAGTAAAGTGACATATCATGTTTTGCAAACCAAAACAGCTAATACTATAAACGGGTCTCGTTTCGACTTTACCTTAATATATTTACGTAAGATTAAGATCAAACGAGCTAAAAGGCGAAAGAGTGATGATAAGATTGTCAAAATAAATATAAATTGCTTAATACACATTTATTCGCACTTGTTACATTGTTTTTGATTGTATATTCTTGTTCCCAAGTTTACAGAACATCCAAATCACAGATCTTACGTTGCGACTACGTGCACTTTGGCTGTCCCTTAGGAAAAATTGGCTGTCTTTAAGAAAAGCGTATACTTAAATAAAGCAAACATTCCCTATAAACTAAACACATGCGTTAAATTACCCTCATAAATCGTCCATTTTGTCCTGAACTGACTACGGTCGGGGATTTAAGAGTATTGGATGATGGTTAATGACGTGCCCTATGAAGTAAAACTAGTTGCATGAAGCGGGATTCTAGTTGTTAGCTTCAAAGACAAAGCATTTATGCTGAGTAGTAAGCAAACCACAAAATTACTGATCTTACTATAAGGAAAGTTATTTCAAATCAATTTTATTTTTCAAATAAGAGGTTCAACAAAGTCATGAAAAAAAAACTCAAATGTCACAAAATTTGTAAATGAGAGCAGGAAGCTGATACTAGCCGTTTTCTGTTTAAATTCTAATGCTTATCTTTGACAAGGTTTCCCTTAGAATTCAAAGACTCATCCTAATCTGCGTTGATAGTCCAAATTACTTAACGGATTATAATTAAACTCAGTTTTGTTATCCAAATGAAAGATCAATTAAGTTTAATTGCACGAGCATGACTCATTACAACACATCACGATAACTGTCGTACTGTTGTGGTATATTATGAGCAGCATATAATGAATCAGTGGAGAAGGTTCCTAAACGTTATCTCCGCTCAATGACTCATCCAAGCCACTAAAACCCGAGTATACAAAGGAGTGCACTTTGTTCGTGTTTGCTTTATTTTCTCTTTACTGTAAAACAAAATATTAAAAATGTCAGGTCTTTACATGCTCGATTATGGAGCAGGTAATGTTCGTAGTTTAGTTAATGCTATTAACCATTTGGGTTACGATATTACATTCGTTAAAGACCCTTCTGACATCGCCATTGCGGAGGTAAATTCAAAACAATGTATTACTTATTTTCAAAACTGATCGTGTCTTGTAGAAACTTATTTTCCCTGGTGTTGGTGACTTTGGTTTTGCCATGCGTTCCTTGCGCACCAAGGGATATGCCGATCCTTTAAAAGCATATATTGCCTCTGGTAAACCATTTATGGGTATCTGTGTTGGCATGCAAACACTTTTTGAAGGTTCTGAAGAAAGCGACGAGCCTGGTTTGGGTGTCATTCCTGGAAAAGCAGCTAAGTTCGACAACAGCACTAAGGCCGTTCCTCACATGGGTTGGAACCACGCTCAATTAGCTAAAGAGCTTAAACCTGATCAACAAACTGCTGGCCAAGCTGTCGATTTCAATATTGACGAAGATAAGACTTACTACTTTGTTCATTCTTATGCTGCACGTTACATTGAGGAAAATAAGGATTGGGTCTTAGCAACTGCTCAATATGGCGATGAACTATTCGTTGCTTCTGTTCAAAAGGATAATGTTTTTGCAACTCAATTCCACCCTGAAAAGAGTGGTTATGCAGGTGTTAATATTCTTAAATCTTTCTTGACTGGCACTGGTATTGTCGATCAAAGCACAATTATTATGAAAGAGCCCATCAAGAAGACTAAAGATACATTTACTAAGCGTATCATTGCTTGTTTGGATGTCCGTGCTAATGATAATGGTGATTTGGTTGTCACTAAGGGTGACCAATACGATGTACGTGAAACTGAAGGCAGCAACGATGTTCGTAATTTGGGAAAGCCTGTCGAGTTAGCCAAGCGTTACTTTGAGGAAGGTGCTGATGAGATTACCTTCTTAAATATCACTAGTTTCCGTAACTGTCCTTTAGGTGATCTTCCTATGCTTGAAGTACTGAAACGTACTTCTGAAACCGTCTTTGTTCCCTTAACTATTGGTGGTGGTATTCGTGATGTCACTGACCCTGATGGTACAGTTCATCCTGCATTTGAAGTTGCTGGCGAATATTTCCGTTCAGGTGCGGATAAGGTATCTATTGGCAGCGATGCAGTATATTGTGCAGAAAAGTTCTATGCTGACGGTGGTAAGAAGACCGGAACCACAGCTATTGAGACTATCGCTGAAGCCTATGGATCTCAAGCAGTTGTTATATCTGTCGATCCTCGTCGTGTTTACGTTAAAGATCCCAGTGAAACTACCCACAGCACTGTCAAGAACTCCAAGGTCGGACCTAATGGAGAGCAATACTGTTGGTATCAATGTACTGTCATGGGTGGACGTGAAGGACGTGATATGGATGTTATCCAATTAGTTACTGCATGTGAGAAATTGGGCGCTGGTGAAATTTTATTAAACTGTATGGATCGTGATGGTACTAACTCTGGCTTTGAATTGGAGTTGATTGATTCAGTCCGTAAAGCTGTTTCAATTCCTGTCATTGCATCCAGTGGTGCAGGTAGAGTTGAAGATTTTGTTGAGGTGTTTGAAGAAACAGGTGTTGAAGCCGCTTTAGCAGCTGGTATTTTCCATCGTCATGAAGTACCTATTCAAGCTGTTAAAGAATTTGTTAAAGAATCTGGCGTACCTGTCAGACCTATTGATACAATGATTTTGTAAATAAAACATAACCCCTCCCCTTCTCCCTTTAACCCTTTTTTTTGAAATAAAAGTGTACTCTATATAATTATAATGTAAAAATAAGTTAACATCCCGACAAAGGAGGTGGCATCCATTATAAATTGTTGGTATAAGAAAAAAAAATGTGTAGGAGGGAAGGAGTTGCAGAAACAGCAGGTGATTTTCTATTTCGAGTCACCAACCAAGTGCCTCTTTTTTGTGTGACGTAAAAGTCACCACGTTGTTTAAATCTTTAATGATATTTTTTCTCTTTTTCGCTCTTCTTTTTTTCTCTTTCTATTATTATTTTAAAGAATCATATAATCTATCATTCTTGATATTTATATTATATATTCTTAATTCAATCGAATATTGTATTTGATATACAATAAGAGAAATGTCAACACCAACGTCGAGTTTGTCCGAGAAAGTCTCGAGACAAAAGAGACCCATCTCTTTTTCTGGGATGAATGCTAATCAAGTGAAATCACAACTAGCTGCACAACTTGATGACAAGGAGAAAATACTTGAGAGAATAGGAACAAGTCAAATAAGCCGAAATGCTTTAATAAAACAAAGCGACGATATCAGAAAAGAGATTTTACATTTAAATAAATTTGATCAAGACGAAGAGTTGCCTTTAGAAATTCAATCCAAGCTTGAAGGTTTAGCCAATGAATTCCAGTACCTGAAAAGTTCTAAAGTAAGTTTTTTTTAAACATATTAATTTTTTGTGATTTTAATAAAATAATTCCAAATAGTCCATGTTAGATGATTCTGCTGCCACAAGCTTCTCTCCTTTATTGCCTCCTCCACCAACTAATTCTTCACCATCAAAACAACGATCAAAGCCTTTAAATGGTAATAGACGCAACCCAGATATTGAGTTTGCAACCGAGATTGGTCAGGGCTTACTGATCGAGGTACGTAAGCTTCAATCGGCTCTCCAAGAAAAGGAAGAGATCATCAAGCATTTCGAATTCTCTAAAGCGGACACCGAACGAACTCATGAAACAGCGCAGCGGCATTTAAAACTAAAGGAGGAAATTGAAGGTTTGTATTTCGATAGAGTGAGAGCTTTTTAACATGGCTCTAATCCCCGGTCATTTTTTTTTAGAGAGATTAAAAGAGGAAAACTGGAATCTTGAAGTAGCCAATCAAGAGCTCAGATCCCACTTGTCAGAATCTAACCAATCTGTAGCTAAACATAATGCTGATTATGCAAGATTATCAAAGCAAATGAAGAGCCAAGCGGAACAGATTGACATCATGAAGGCACAAGAGGAAAAATCTGCATCGGTGATCGAAGCTATGAAAGCCCGACATGAGCAGGAAACACATCACCTTAGAAGACACGCAGCAAGTGCACAGCGCGATAATTCTCAAATACAAAAACAAGTGGAAGAACTAAATACAGAACTCAAAATCGTCAAGGCAAAGTTAGCGATCAAATTAGCTACTTCTTCCCGTACGCTCACTGAGGAAATTAGCACAAATGATTCAACTATAGAATTGAATGATGATAATGATTCTGATGATCAAAATAAGACCATAACACCACCCTCAACCCTACCTGGCACCCGTAGCCAACAAGTGATGGAGACTGAAACATTGAAGCAATCGTTGGCTCACGCACATAGAATTATCTCGAATCTCAGAAGCTCCTATCATAAAGAGAAGTTGGAGAAATTTGAAATTAAGAAGATGCTTTCTGATAGTCAAGAAAATATTGAACAGATGCGTAAGGAAATGTCTAGTTGGAATTCTAACAATGCTATCCCTCTTGGAAATAATGGTCGCGGTGCAAAATCAAGTGGTAAAAAGAAGACTGCTGCGAAAAAGAAGAGAGGTGGCGTAGCAAGACAACCAAGGGGTCTTTGCCCTAACGAATCGGACACTGAGTCTAAATTAGATCAAGATGATGATGACGAAGAGGAAGTAGACACTGAAGAATATGATAGCATGGATGAAGATGCATTAGATCAAAACTTTACAAATTATGGAAATTCTTTCGATGGTATTTTAGATTTCAATAACGGTACCTCATTCTCTTCAATTCCTATGAAGCCATTGTCTTCTGAATTGGAATCCAAGGTTCAAGTTGTTGATGCAGGTATCAATACTGACCCAATCGATTTCAATGACTTGGCACAAAAAGAAGAAGAAGAGGAGGACACTCCAGTATCACCTTCAACTTTATTAGTCGGCTCTCTTGCTGCAGCTGCAGCTGCTGTCATTCCAGATAGTAACACACGTTCTGACTCCTGTGTGGCACAAAATGTTCCTCAAAATCAGGAGGTGATTTCTGGTAACACGAATACACAAGATACACGTAACAAACAAGAAAACGACACCAGCGTTCTACCGATTATTACTGATGCAGTGAGTCAGCAATATGTTCATGAACAGGTCACTAAGGCATTGTCTAAAGAGAGAAAAGATATTGCCGAACGTGCAGGTGCTATTCTTTCTCCCGAACAAGTAGAGGCATTGATAGCACCCTCTATGGGTTCATCAAACACCCCATCTGTTGATCAATCAGACGAAGAGATTATGGTTCCTAAAAACCAGGTCGATCAATTAATTCAGAGTGCATTAGAAAAGGAGATTGCTGAAATGATTCCCAAGGCTGATTTAGAGAAATTAATCCAAGAAGCTGTTGTAGTAGAGCAAGAGAAAATTGTTGCATTAAATTTGATCCCCAAGGCGGACGTTGATAAGCTAATTCAAGAGGCCGTAGAGTCTGAGCAAGAAAAGGTTGTTTCAATGAATTTGATTCCAAAGGTAGAGGTGGATAAATTGATTGAAGAGGCACTTGTTGTCGAACAAGAAAAAATCGTCTCCATGAATTTGGTACCAAAGGCTGAAGTGGATAAATTAATCGAGGAAGCTGTCATTGTTGAACAAGAAAAGATCGTTTCCATGAACTTAATCCCCAAGGCCGATGTAGATAAATTAATTGAAGAAGCTGTTGTTGTTGAACAAGAAAAAATGGTTTCTTTAATTCCTAAAGCAGAAGTGGATAAGTTAATTCAAGAGGCCGTTGAATCTGAGCAAGAAAAGACAATCTCCTTAAACTTAATACCTAAAGCCGAGGCTGATAAATTGGTTCAAAAGGCTGTTGAATCCGAACAAGAAAAGATTATTTCCTTGAACTTGATACCCAAAGCTGAAGCAGATAAGATGGTGGAAGAAACCGTTGAACAAGTCACGAAGCAACTGAAATTAGAATCCGATGTTTTAGTTCAAGAAACTCGTCAAGAGCTGGATGCCCAATACAAATCCAATGAGCAAGAACTCTTGCGCGATATGATACCCAAAGCAGAGGCTGAAGCTTTATCCTTAGCCGCTGTTGCTCTCGCAAGTGAAAAGGTGAAACAGGAAGTCGAAACTACCTCTCTTAAGAGCATTTCTCCTCCTTCTGAAGAAATGATCACTAAAAAGGAAGCGGATCAGTTAGTTCAACTTGCTACAACTAATGAACAAGTCAAGGTTCAAAAAGCATTAGAAAAGCAAAAGGTCGACATCGAAGCTGCAACACTTGAAGTACATAAAAAGGAATTAGAAAAACAAAAGTTGGAGCTGGATGCGATCAAGAAGGACAAGTTGGAGAAGCACATTGCCGAGTTAGAACTTGTGAAGCAGGCAGAATTAGAAAAGCAAAAGCAGGAAATAGAGGCTGCTAAACAAGCCGAATTAGAAAAGCAAAAACAAGAAATTGAAGCTCTTACTCAAGCTGAATTAGAGAAGCAAAAACAAGATATCGAACTGATCAAGCAAGCTGAATTAGAAAAACAGAAACACGAAATCGAACTAATCAAGCAGGCAGAACTTGAAGAACAGAAGAAACAAATCGAGTTAATTAAACAAGCTGAGCTTGAAGAGCAAAAGAAACAAATAGAGCTTATCAAACAAGCTGAGCTGGAGGAGCAGAGAAAGGAATTCGAGTTAATTAAGCAAGCCGAATTGGAAAAGCAAAAGACTGAAATCGAATTGATCAAGCAAGCAGAGTTAGAGAAGCAAAAGTCCGAGATTGAGTTGATCAAACAAGCCGAATTGGAGGCTCAAAAGAAGGAATTGGAACAACAGAAGTTGGAAATCGAAGCTGCTACAAAGGCAGAATACGAAAAACAAATAGCTGAACTCCAATCTATTAAGCAATCCGAATTGGAACAACAAAAGAGTGAGGCACATGTTGCGAAATTGGCCGAGCTGGCTATTTTAGCAAAGACCATCGAAGCTTACAAGAAGGAATCCGAAGAGACTAATCAAAGAATGGTAACAATGCTCACAAAAGATAGTGCTGATGTGCTTGTAAAAAGAGCAATCGCTGATGCATTGGAAAAGGCTGAAAAGAGTCAAGCTGAAACCATGGCCGGTATGATGTCTAGAGAATATGCACTTGTTATGGTTAAAGACGAAGTAGCTAAAGCCCTGGATTTGGAAAGAAAGGAGGTTGCTCAACGTGAAGAAGAGGAATCTATTGAAATGATTTCCAAGGCTGAGGCCGAAGCTTTGGCAAAAGTTGCCGCTGCCGATGCTATTGTTAAGGAACGTCAAGCAATGGCTGCTCGTGAAAAGGAATTGGTTACTAAGGAAGAAGCTGAGATTTTGGCTGCTGCTGCTGCTCGTGAAGCTGTTGATAAAGAAAGAAATGAATCATTACTTGTATTAGCCAGAGAGAGAAAGATGTTACGTGAAAAAGAAGAACGTTTGATCTCCAGGGAAGAAGCAGAACAAAACGTCAAGGAGGCTGTTCGAATTGCGTTGGTTGAAAGCGAAAATAAAACTGTTCCTGAATTAACCACAACTACTCAGCTTAACATTGCATCTAATGGATCTTCAAGATTTTTGGAAAGCTCTAGTGAGAAACAAGACGAGTTGCCATCTCCTACTCTCGAAAGATCTGTCTCAACATCAAGATTGGCGCCACCTTCTCTCAATATATCCCCTGCTCCATCTATTTCTACACCTGCTTCCTCATCTAGCCGTAAGCTTCGATTATCAAACTCTGTTTCTTCTCTTCGCCTTGGGTCTGGAAAGAAAGAAAATACAGTCCAAAAGAATCAGCGACCTAGCACCGATAGTGCTACGCCTTCTAGTTTGTCATTTGGTAGCTTCCGTATCTTGGAAAACAGCAAGTATGGTTCTCGACTTCAATCCAAATCATCAATTAGTCTGAGAGATCTTTCCAACCGACAAGAATCAGTAGCCTCTATCTCAACACTATCTTCTGATGATGGTCACCAAAATCAAAACCGTACTCCTCTGCCTATGAACTCGGACGATAGTTTCCCTGGTTTCTCCAATGGTGGTACTGACATGTATGTTATATCGTCTATTACTCAAACTATGATCGGTGAGTGGATGTCCAAACATACTCGTCGTTATGTTGGTGGTGGTATCTCTGAAAACAAGCATCAAAGGTTCTTTTGGGTACATCCTTACACAAAAATTTTGTACTGGAGCTCTATTCGCCCTGGTGCAGAAGGAAATGAAGCTAAAACAAAGAGTGGTAAGTTCGGGAGATAACGTGAATTTTAAAGCAACATTTAGCTGATATTTATCTATTTTTTTGCTAGCTTTTATTGAATCTGTGTCAGCAGTTCCTAGTCATGATCATAGTGGTGCTTCGCCAATGAGTCTATTGATTCGCACTCCCAAAAGAGATCTTAAATTAACAGCACCTTCTCTTGAAAGACATGAGTTGTGGTTTAAGGTAATTTAACTTGAACGAAAGCAACATGTAACATACTAACACGTACCTCTCTTCTTTTATATACATGTATTAGTCCTTGTCATATTTACTAGGCAGACCTAATGAGGCTAACAACCAGTTAATTGAAGAACCAAGACTCACAACCGAAAGCAGTGCAGTTGAAAATGCCGGTCATCAACAAACAACACTTAGCTCAAAAGCATCAGAAAGAAGTATACCTCAAGCTCGCGACGTTGTCAATTATGATTCTGATGACTCTGACGATCTCGTCAATATCAGACAATGTTGTGATGGAAAACACGACTTATCCACTTTATCTAAAGGAAGTCATCATCATCATCATTCGTAAATATTTACCAATTCTCCTCGTAAAGAAAAACACCCCAAAACAAAATATATATTATTATAATTATTATATCCTTTACATTCTACAGTCTATTAAATTAAAATTGAGACAATTTTCAAAAAGTGAAGTAAAAATAAATCGAGTAGAAACAATATCAATTTCTAGACATATTAAATTACACGTCCAAATAGGGACCTTACTAGCATTTATCTCGCAACCTTAAAAGCAATTGAACCGAAGACCCTAGATTTTTTATTTTCAGTTAACGAAAGAGCTTCAAAAAGTTATTGCCTGAAGCAACATGCTTATCGTAATCGTGAGACGATGAAAATAATGTTTAACAACTCTATTAATAATCAATCAATATAAAGATAATATTGCTTATCTTTGTGATGTATTTATGCGGGAGCACGATATTCCTGCACTGGTGCATTCACTGCTAGACTCCGGCATTAGTAGGATATTTTGTTTCCTCGAAAAAAAAACCTCTTACAGGAGATAAAAATGGGTAGAGTAAAAAAAGAAAGATTGTAGAAGAATAGCTTCAGTTCAGCATTTCTGCCTTATCGTCCATAGAAAGAAACATCAGAGGAGAAAAGACATCCCATAGGTATGTTTAATATAGGTCAATATCAAATTCATTACAACATCGATGCCACCAAATAACTTTTTATTTACATAAAAGGAAAAAAAATGAATTTTTTCCCAAAAGGATTATTCAAAAAAGAACGAATGATTTTCTTTATTATGTAAATTTTTAAATAAAAGTCAAGCATAGGAATAGATCAACTATCCTTCTCTCTTGATCGTATTTACAGAAAAGATAAAAACTTATAATTGTGTTATCTTTTTAACGCTGGTTGGTTTGATAATTTGCATCTTGCTGATAGTTTTTAGCTCTTCCTTGGCCCGTATACGCATTAACTGGGTTACGAATGTACTGGTTATAGTTATCTAATACGGTGTGATTTGGTGCGGATTGATAGGGTTGTTGTTGAGCTTTATAAATATTTGCCATTTCAATCGCACTTGAGCTATTTAGATTTTGTGGATTGTGAGTACGATATGCTTGACCAGCAACGAAGTATTCCATATCTTGTGTCATTTTTGGTTCATGGGTTTGTTGATAATAGGAGGACGAAAAGTCTTCTTCGGTTTGCATTCTGACTGACGTTGAATCAACAAGTGGTCTTTTTGCAGAATACAAATCATTGTGATTTGGAGTGGATTTGAAGGACAGTCGATTGCTCAACCGTTTTAAAGGATTGATACTATTATTGGGTCCCGCCGCAAAATTATTTGCATAATAATTGGTTTTGGTTGGCTCCACGACATTCAAGCTTTCTTCATCTTCGTTAAACTTATACATTCCCTTGACACCCTCTGTGGAATCATCCAGCTCAAGGTCCTTTTCGCCAACACTTTGGAACTGTAATTCACCTCCTGTTGCATTTTTTAACTGAATCACTGATACATGACGTACACTTTTTTGCCGTGTCATGCGACTCATAAATGGTTTCTTTTCTGTCTTTCCACCACCGTAAAGTTTGGGGAGTAAATGGCGCACACTTTCATGAACCATGGGTATAGGCAATTCCGCGAAAAAGGCTGGATCACCAAACCGAAAGCCGATCGAGTTCTTGGTGTTCTTTTTATCATGATTGCCAGCCTTATGGTCACTTCCGCCATGATAAGCATCGATTTTAGGTTGATAGTAGTAGACGCGATGATCGAACCTGCGGCTGCAAATAATTTTAAAAAGAATGGTAACAATGGGTAAAGGTGCAACTGCAAAGGAGGCAATACGGGCACTCTTCAAGCTCAGCACACCAAACATAACAACTTGAAATAACACAGCAGACACAAGTAGACGGTTAAATAACAGACGCCAAATCTGGCCTCCTGTTTCAACATTAGTCACATAGACATACCTAGACGTATTTTAAAAAAAAGTATTGTTTAGTATTTCCTAACAGTAGACTACTTTAATTTTCTGCTAATTACATGAGGAGGTATTTAAAGACCATGGTGGCCAATAAAAAGTACATCATTGTAAAAGGAAGAACCAAAGGAGCAATAACAGAATAAACAAGGCCGACTGTAAAAAAGAACAACAAAACATTGTAAAACAATGGGAAGTCAAAAGCAGTAGGACGAGTGAATTCTAAGAAGATGATAATATTAACTCAACATAAGAAAAACCAAAAAAAATTGCTTATTTTACCTTGTAATTGACGAGGACTCGGTCTAGTAAATAACTTTCTGTTTTTTATGAAATAATGTGTTAGTTATTACAAAATTGAGGGCAAATTATTGTTAAACTATATATACCTCAAAGTGACAGTCAAAAGTACGGCCACCTGGGCTAAATCAACAATGACACCAAGACCTTTTAATGAAACATAGTTTACCCAATAGGTCGAAACATCTGCAACAAAAGAAAAAGGTTATTTTCGTCATCTATTCATGTTTCTTTGATATTTACCACTAAGATTTTTTGCAACTTGAGTTAAATTACCGCTCATTGTTGTAAAAAACTGATGAGCCGTCAAGGTGGTTCCACTCTGAACTGCTTCATTAATTTCTGAATACACGGCAATCAAAGTTGAGGATACGGTAAAGACCAATAAATTGTTGATGATGAAAAAGACAAACAATTTCGCCAACACTTGTCGATCTAAACTTGTACCTGTCATATAGCCTTGTTGTTGCGACATAAATCTAAGAATTTTGGGTAAAATAAAAAAAAAGATTGCCATAACAATAGGAGTAAACCAAGAGCTCACTAAAGACACAAATGTGGGATGATTTTTCATGAAAATTTTGGAATTGGGAAAAAGTCTGAAAAGCTCCTTGACGTTGGAAGAAGCTGAGAGAAAACTGGATGGGATAAACCAAAAGAAGACAAATCCATAGAAAATAAAAGAAGCAATCAGTCTTTTTGATCTTCGAAGATGTTCATTCATGGCCAGGTTAGACCAGATGATATCTTTTGGTTGTGGTGAAAGCTCGATGGTAGGTTTCGGTCCTTCGCTTAGAATTTTTGGTAAGTTCAATAATGGTGAAGAGGAAGAAGCAAGATGTTTTGCATTTGCATGAGCCCAAGCTACTTTATCATAAGATATCCAGCCGTAATTAGTTTTTTTGCTAGACGAGATATGTGAGCGAGCAACGGTGATTTTCTCTTGTAATTCTTGAACGCGTTCTGAGTAGTAACTAATGGCGTCCACCTTTTGTCCACCACAGCAACCAAAGAAACTCGATCCGACTCTCATCAATGGCCTTTTACCTTGTACAACCTTGCCATCTGAGTGTTTTTGTGTAAGCAAGAAAAATAAAAATGACATTTATAAATAGGTATAAAAGTTTACCTTTTAGATGATTTGACAAAATAATTTCTAATTTCCGCACAGCTTCTTCATGTTCTTCTACATAACCGGCAAGCTCGGTGTTTTGTGTACCTATACAAATTTGCTGCGCAGGATACTTTAATCCCATACGATTGACCCAATCCGCCAACGCTTTATCGGATCTCATAGACACAGGCACATTGAAAATCATCAAGGTACGAGCATGCATAGAATTTTGATAATCTTCGCTTTCGAAATACTCTTGACGAAATTTGACATAATCAACATAAAAACGCCAGAGAAAGACATACATAACAATTGAAAAAATCCATGTACCACCGGCATGACACCAATACCACATCAAGTCACCATTGGAATAATGAAATTTACCGTCGTAATAATTAATGGTGGAAATCGACAGAAATTCTACACCAGGAGAAGGTGGCCATTCACTGTATACATAAAAAATAAGCTATCGATGAACCTGATTTAAAAATAGATATTTTTCTACCCTGTTTTTGATGTGGCCACAATATTAATTGGGATAATAATGCAAACACCTACAAAGGTCATTACGTAAAGCATACGTCGAATCATTCGAATAAATTTGATAAAAAATGTGGCATCGAATCCAATTTTCTCAATCAAGACAGAGTCTGGTGTGTGCATTACTGGTTTAAACCAATCAAAAAATCCTACAATTACAAACTGTTACCTTCTGCAAAAGAGTGTGGCTAATATTGCTAGTACTGTAACACATACCATGTCCTAATGTCGGTGGCTGCTTACTATATTATGATTGATGCTTAGTTTAGTAATTAAGGGAAACAATAAAAAAAAAGGCTAAACATACGTTTTCGTTGCATATTTATATTTAGGTGCGTATACAACTAGTAAGGGTCGATTATGTGAGTGAGTATAATGCATGTAAATTGTATTAGAAAAAATCATCATACGAGAGTTGTTTGGTCTTAAGATATTGAATAGACAGAGCACACCCACTGCAATTGCAGCATTGATCCCCAACTGTGTCCCCATGCCAGTCAAAGATAACTGTGAGTCTTCTATATTATTACTCGTTGTTGTGCTACTCATTTAAAATATAAAGAGAAAAAATTGAAGGAAAGAAGAAAAAAAAAGTCAAGGGAGTTGTTTTTTATAAACTAATAATTGGGGAGATAGAAGGGGTACAAAGGAAAATTATCGTTATTGTAATTATTTAAGGTGAAAGAAAAAAAAAACGTTGATTCAAATAGTGCCAGTGTAACGTTTTTAAAGACACAATAGTTTTTCTATGTCGTGCAAATTAAATGTATCTGGAAAGGGTACATACAGTAATTTGTGTTTAAAATTCGAGATTTTCAAAAATAGAAATCAAACCTTTTTTTGCTACCAAAAATGATTTTTATTTATTGGCGCAGCAGTGACTTTGAATCTTGAGCTGTTTTGCATATTTTGGAAACAGAACTAAAACAGCATCTCTTTCATTTAAATGTCTAATATATATTGTGATTCTCTTGGAGACAGAAAGGCCTCACAGCAGCTGCTTTATGATTATAAGGTCTTCGCCAATGAGTCTATAACCAGTGGCATTCCTTTATTGGAAAAGCCTTGTGCTATCAACAAGAGTTCTTGCTGACGCTGTTGGGGACTCAGAGTGTCGGTTTATCCCCTCCAAAATTTCTAGAAGAAGGGGATACAAAACCCAGGCCGAAGGCAAACTCCAAAGACCATGGTTAAAATTAAAGTACGCGTTATATTTATTTGAATCTTCAATTTTTAAATTATCATCCAGAGAACATGGTGAAACTGGAGTCGGCACGCGTTAGTTCCAAGTCCAGTTCTAAAAAAGAAATCGATATTACAATTATAAGGATGATTATAAGTCTAATTTGTGTAATAGTATCCAGCAAGTATATCTTCGTCCGTGTGGAAGTACAAGACGCTCATTGGGGTTAAAATAGCCACCGATACGTTGACTAGTATGACCATAGTTCTCAAAGTTTTAAACAGATTATCTGACTCTGTTTTGTAGCGAAAAGTCCTGTAAGAAGAAAGTGGCCAGGGTTTATGACATACTACGGTTGATAAAGGAGCCGACCTCATAGTTGTCAATAACTGGACAATTAACAACTTTGAACATTCAGAGAAAGATTGGCAACTTTGTAAACAGAATTCCCGGTCTTTACTTCCTCTTCTTATTTATCATTGTTTTTGTACAAAAAGGTCTCTCTCCTTTATTTTTTCCGTCATTAAAGTAGATACCAATTTGGGGGTCACAACAAACGTGAATAATACCAAAGATGAGCTATATGCATATCCATATGCATACAAGGACGATATGCATACGCATATAAGGACCATAAATACACAAAAGTATAAAAAAAAAAACATTATCTACTACGAAAACCTATCAAAACCATATTAAGCAGCAATTCACTTTGAAAGGATTTAGTTACAAGAGTCTCTTCATGAAGTTCGAGTACACAGACTGAAAGAGCGATTAAACACTATTTCGAGACATTGAGGACTTTGGTAAATTTGGCCCAGTTGTACTATGCCTAGATCAGACGTGGGGAATTACGAGATCTGTTCTCAGATTTAACACCTCTACTATGCCATTTATTATAGTAGAAAAGGTGTGTTAAAAGTGATTTTATACTCCTGTATCTTTAAACCAGTCTCACTTTGAAAAGCTAAAAGTATTTAAAATAGTGTTTCTCCTTATCGTATCAATTGGTCTACTGATACTAGTTTTCTTTAGTGACATTCCATCTCAAATGTGTACCGATACCGACAAGTATTTGTTTTCTCCCATTCGAGTTGATTACACTGTTTGCTTGAGAAACATCGAAGCCGTCGTCATTAAATTTAAGTCATTTGATGCAAATGACAGGTTAGTAGAACTTGATGAGGCTAAATTGGGGGAATTCTCGAAGAGGCTGGTTCATAAAGAATAGCCACAGCAAAGAGCGAGAAATAGTTCTATACTTTCATCATGTACATTAATGGTATGTGATACATACAATGGTAGGCTACTCTTCTACTTTGACTAACAATGTAGATGTGTACTAGATAAAGTAAGGTGACAGACAATATAGTTAGAACCAGATCGGTACCATCATGTTATTTACATTTGTGAATATGCAGTTCTTTCCGGAAAAAGTTACATCTTTCAAAGTAAAATAGACTCTTCAAATAAATTAGCAACCGGTATTTTTCTCTTTACTCTTGGGTTTTAGTTCCAGCGTTGGGGAGGATGGATGACAAAAACAATAAGACTAAGCGTATAAGATGTTAATCATAAAGGGCGTTATAATATTGATAGGATATGTCACACGTTTTAAGCTGACGGGTGTCCATGTAGCAGACACATGAGTCTGGGGAAAGCGTCAATAGAAATAACAACCATCCTTCTTATGATCATTAAACTTTCAAATGATGATGCCAAATTATTAGCACCCAATTAGCTTCTTATGAGACATACATATAATTACAGACATTCTTTTTCTGAAAATAATCTTTGATTAATCTGGAAAACCAATGTTTTATCTAAAGTTCATTTTCGCTCCGCAATTATGGTGTTAAAACTGTGATTGTGTTCCTGAATTTTTGCAATAAAAAGCAGTAACAATTAACAATAAGTGTTCAAAATTTATCCAAAAAGGTTATTAGTTGGTCCGAGTTGTCGGTGGATAGCTGGTGATGTAACATTAAAATTGGATTCCGTTTATTGGCTCCGAATCATGAAGACCGATACAGCATTAAAAAAAAAAAAAAAAGATTTATATTTCTTCTCCTTTTTTTTTAAAAAAAAAAAATTATCCCCGGCACACCCCAAAAAAAAGGAGCCTCGCTTAGATGACTCACGAAGCTTCACCATTGTTGAGAGACGAGGGACCAGCCTATCAATCCAGTAACTCTAATGCACCCAGTTTAAGTTCAGTCGTATCGACAAGTGGCGAAATTGACACCACCAAAGCAAACGATGCATTATTAAAAAAGAGATTGAATGGTGCTTCAATTTACGCTGTCTTTTCTGGGTATGTATTGTCTCCCCATTAAAATTTCTTTATTTAATCTAACCTGATGATTTTATTTTCAAGTATCTGGATTGCTGTTATTTTATCCTCTTTAGATTCTTCAATTGTTGCCACTATTTATCCTCAAATTGGTACGGAGTTCAAAAGGTAACAGAAAAGAAGATATAAAAAATAAAGCTTAATTCCTTAACGTTTTTCCCGATAAACATAAAAAAAAAGATCAAATGAAATTGTTTGGATTGCAACATCGTACATGTTAAGTTTCACAGCATTACAGCCATTATGTAAGCCGATACAAAAATATGAGCAGATAAGAGTATTCTAATGCGTGTTTTGTTTTGAAAAAAATTAGATGGCCGTATCTCGGACGTATTTGGTCGCAAGTCCTCTATGCTTTTCGCTAGTTCAGTTTTCTTTATTGGCTCATTACTTTGCGGTGCTGCCACTAATTTATGGGCTTTAGTAATAGCTCGTGCTATTGCAGGTATAGGCGGCGGAGGTATTAATTGGTATGTAATTGTTCTTAAAAAAAAGGAATGACTCATGATGAAACTAACCTATAATAACAACTAGTTTAACAACTGTCATTACTGCGGATCTTGTACCATTGAGAGAAAGAGGCAAATTTCAAGGTTATGGCAATATTGCCTATGCTGTAAAGATTTTTCCATTGCTAAAACATTATTCTGTCGTACAACGTGATACTAAAACATTTCTTTAATAGGTTGGTTCTGTGTTGGGCGCTCCCTTGGGCGGATTTATCACTGACAGTTTGGGATGGCGCTTCTGTTTCTTTATCAATTTACCCCTCCTTGTTGTTACCATTTATGTAGCCACCAAACTCTTAACCAACTATAACTTGGAAGAAAATACCAGTGGGGAGACGTTATCGGAGCGTTTGAAAAAGATTGATTATGCTGGTGCCATTACCATTGTTTTAGCTGTCATTTGCTTCTTGATGGCTACTTCTTTGGGTGGTAACATCATGCCTTGGTCTGCACCTATTGTCCTTGGATGCTTTTCCAGCGCAGTTGTGCTCGCCATTGCTTTCTGTATCATTGAGGCTAAATATGCTATCCATCCATTGATGCCCTGGGACATTATCTCGAGTCGTACTCCCTTGGCTTGCTCATCTGCTAATTTATGGTGTGTCATGGCTACCACTTCTCTGATTTACATTACTCCCTTATTTTATCAAGTATGTTATTGTTTTTGTTTATCTTTTTTTTATTGACAGGTGAATATAGGCTTTATTAGGTTATAGTCCATCTACCGCTGGTGTTTATATCATGCCCAAGGTAGCTTCTGTCTCTTTCGGATCTGTCATGTCTGGTATTTACATGTCAAAAACCGGTGAATATCGCAAAATTACTATTGTGGGTTCTTTGATGGCTTTTATTTCGATGGCTGGTTACAGTATGTGGACACCTAGCACACCTTATTATTTCCAATTCTTTTGTTTATTAATTGACGGATTGTCACTTGGTGTTGTTATCACTACCACACTTATTGCAATGCATTCCTGTGTGGACCCATCTGGTAAGAGGAGGAGAGAGATAAAATAAGTTTTTTTTTTTTTTTTTTAGTATACTGATTGTTATGAAAATATAAATAGAAATTGCGACGATTACATCCATGTCGTACTTGTTCCGGTCCATCGGTGGCGTTGTTGGTATTTCATTAACGTCGGCTATTTTCCAAGGCGTGGTGAAACAAATTTTACAAGAAAAGATTACGGGACCTGATGCAGCTCTGTATATTGAGATTGCGCGTAAATCGATGACAGAAGTACGCGAACTTTTACCAGATGATGTGCTGACCATTGTGTTGGATGCCTATCAAAAGGGATTACGATATACCTTTACGGCCTGTGCGGGACTTGCTGGTCTTTCCTTCTTCAGTACCTTCTTTATTGAAAGCTTTGATCTTTCACGCAGAGTCCCCATTCAAAAGAAGAAGTAACAAACAAATAGAATATTCTACTTGTTTTACTTTTATGCCGTTTTTTCTTTTTAAATACAAATAAAAAAATTTGCCCCATTGTTTCTTATTGTTGTTATCATAAATTAAATGTTTTATTTTTATTTTATATTAAAATAGAGAGTAATTTTTTCTTTCTTTGCATCTATCAGTGTTAATTATCTATAAAACCACCCACATACTGTAGCATGGTTTGGGCTACTGAGTCTGTATGGGCCATGTTGCAGTGTGAATTTTTAAAGTCCTCTTCTTGTAGTGTTGGTGGTGGTGCATGATAATGCTGCTGCTGTTGTGGAACTACGAACGATTGGCACTTTAGGATACGATGGCGTAACTCCCGCAGTGAAATACGTTTAACTGGATTCAGACAAAAGATCCGTAACAGGATCCGTTCCAATTCGTCTGAAATGCAAGGCAAGATGGTACGAAAGAAATGTCGTGGATTGCGTACATAGTTGGCAAACGCTGCATTGCGTGTGTGGGCCTGCTTCCATGGGTTTCTGCCTGCTGTCAAGTTGATCAGAATAATTCCTAAGCTCCATATATCATTTTTCTGTGTATTGTAACCCTTGATTCTAGTTGAACCTCCTTGACATTCTAAATTAAAATTTTAGCACAGAAAGGTACATTTTTGGTTAAAGTATATAATTTACCTGGAGAAAAATAAAAGGTAGATCCGCATCCGAATTCGTTAGAAACGTGATCCAAAGTGGCCAAACCAAAATCTGCTAATTTGACTTGCAATTTGGATCCAAGCATGATATTTTCAGGCTTTAGGTCACGATGTGAGATATGATGCTCATGGCAATAATGAACTGCATCCAGTATTTGTAGAAATATGTGACGAATGGCCTGGTTATTACCCACAATGTTATTATGAGGCCGAGTGATGGCAGAGAATAAATCACCCTCTGGTGTGTATTCAATCACCATAAATGTTTTTTCAGCTTCAAATACAACCTTTTCGAATTTGAGAATGTTGGGATGTCCTGAGAGATAGGCATGGACATCGACTTCTTTATAGCTGATATGAAGATGTGTGAGCAGTTTGACTGCATAATGCTTTCGACTGTAGACATGACGACCTAGATAAACAACACCGTAAGCACCAACACCAAGAATTGAGACCAATTGAATGGTTTGCATATCAATCATGGTGTATAGTAAGCTTTTAGCATCAAATGAATGATTTGACATTTTTGTCATGTTTGTAAAATAAAAAACAAAAGGAATAATAATAAAAGAACAGCCCTTCATTTTTCTTTTTAGTCTTTTTAGAAATTTATTCCTATTTTCTTAATTAGGATTGATGAATCTATAATTGGATAAGTTTATGTTGGATAACCGTCGTAAACTGATGCCATCATGATGATTAAGCTTTGTGTTTTTGAAAACATTACGCCCCCTTTATTATACAACTTTTTTTATAATTTGCATGGCAACTTTTTTTTTTTTTTTGTACTCAAGACCCAAAACCTTAAACGCTTCTCCCCTTTATCTTTTGCCGTTTTTGTCTCGTGGACTCACAAACAGTTTAATATACCTTAGACACGTCTTTTTGAAAGATCATAAAAAAAAGGGGGGGTGTGGATGGGTTGCAGTTGTTTAAAAACTGCTGATCATTATATCTCTTTGTTATTTCGGGCCATGAAAATGGGTCAATAAACAAAAAACAACAACAACAAAATTGCATTGACAAAGCAGACATTCCATAAAGATATATATATAAAAAAAATAGGAGGATTTTGTTTATTTCTCTAAACCAAGGAGACGAGATCTTTTTGAGGAGACATAACTCAAGTTTTTCTTTTTTTTTTTTTTTTATTATTATTAATTTTTTTTATTTTTTTATATATAAATCACTCTGCAATTTCACCATCTTCTAAGGCGTCTTCAACCGGTTGAGGTCTCTCAAGATGATCGGTTACAATGGTAGTTTCTTGTACAACTTGTTCAACCAACTCTTTCGGTGATTCTGGAGGAGGAGGAGGGGATTGTGACTTTATTGATTTCACCTCTCCTTCTTCCTCACTATCAACACCTAATCTCGACGACATGGTATCGTTTTCTAATTCAGCATGCACTTTTGGCGCGGTTTCCGGTACAACGGCTGTTTCTGCTACTGCTGTCACTGTTGTTGGTGGTGGAGGTGGAGGGGCTGCGGTTGTTATTGTTGGTACTGCATCCGATGTATCAACTGCAGCCACAGGAGTTTCTTCATGTTTAATGACGGCTATTTCGGGGGTTTGGAGAACAGGTTCATGGCTGCTATTACTATTGTTGTTGATGTTGTTGCTAGTGGTGCTGGTAGTAGTGTAATTAGTAGGTTCAGGAGAAGGTGATCTCTCTTTATCTATAAAAGGTCATGATCAATGTTCTCTCCCTCTTTCTCCCCCTGTGTATGATTACAATAAATATTTACCTGCCATGACGATATCCTCATCTTGTTCCAACTTGATAGGTTCATCATTCAGTGCATCAGCAATTTCATCTTCTTCCTCTTGTGACATTTTTATATCCATGGGTGATCCTTCTTTTGAATCGGTATCTTCATCCTCGTTGTAGTTTCTTTCGTGCCCACTTACCACATTGCCTCCTGCTCCTTGTGCCTCGCCTTCATCTGAGTCGTAATATTCATTATCAGGCACAATACGACGATCCCAGCAGTTTTCTAGAAGGCCCGGTTAGCTATAAATTAACAAAGTACATATGAGATACATACGTGTGAATCTGTCATCAGGGTCTTGCTCATCTTCATCTTCAGACATATCATGATCGCGTGGAACCTCTAATACAAATAAATTTAAGTGGCTATCTAGTGATTTTTTAAAAGCCAAGAATAATTTACCTTGCATTTGAACACTGGGAGCAAACAATGTTCTTGAAAGATTCTCAAAAACTTGGGTTCTGTATAGAATCGTTAAAGAGAGACCCTTATCACTAAAAATAATGAAAGAACTCCACTTACTTTATCTTTTCCAGATAATCGGGTGTATTTAAATTTTCCATGTTACTAGGGCGAACATCCAGTTTGTAATCAGGACCAAAATATTCATAGTAATCGTTATAAGGCATATCTACAAAACAGAGTTAAAACCATTCACTTTTGTGTGTCAACATTTTTCCTTACCAGGCCCAATATCTTCGCCTACAACCACACCGGTTTCGTAAGCCCATGTTCTAGCCACGTTTCTCATGGTATATCCACCGCCACCCAAAACCAAGGTGGGCAAGTTGAACTTCTTGACAAACTTTACACAATTTGCATGTCCCTTCATGGACAGATTGAAGCAACCCAATTTATCACCACTCAGTGAATCACCACCACATTGTAGCACAACAGCAGCTGGTCTATACCATTCCATGACTTTTTCAATCACAGGCTCAAAAGTAGATTGATAACTGTCATCATCGATACCGTCTCTCAGAGGCACATTGACACTATAATATTTTCCTTTTTGCACACCCACGTCCTACGAGTGAAGTTTAATACAGATTTGGGAGTTGCGGAAAGAAGGGGATGTTTTGCATTACCTTTAATTCACCGGTGCCTGGAAAGAATTCACCGTATTTATGGAAACTGACGGTCATGACACGATCTGTGGTATAAAAGGCTTCTTCCACACCATCACCATGATGCACATCAATATCGATATATAACACACGGGCGTAATAACGCAAGAGTTCGAGGATACCCAAGACAATATCATTGACGTAACAAAAGCCAGATGCTTCGGATTTTTTGGCGTGATGGAGTCCACCAGCCCAATTGATAGCAATATCACACAAGCCGCGATTTAATCTGGCAGCACCCTCTACATATTTGTTGTTAGTTACATGGTGATGTCTCTCTTCATTGTTATTTACCCATGGATCCACCCGCACTCAGACCACAGTATTCAAACAATCCTTCGAAAACAGGAGAATCATCACCCACATTGACTAATTAGAAAAATAAGTATGTGTGTCAATCGTGAGAGTGTAGAGGGGGGAATATGCGTGTTGCGTAAGATAAAAGAATTACATTTAGCTTGTTCTTTTTGAAACTGTTCCATGTTCTCAGGAGTAACGCGAGATAAGAAATCAATGTAATCGTCTGTATGAAATTGGGTCATCTCCCATTTGTTTGCAGGTTTGGCTCTCTACGTGACATAAATTTTAGAAAACAGACGTATACAATTTTGGGAAGAAAGAAAAACCGACAGAGACTTACGTAGATTTCCATTTTCTTATAAAGACCGTAATTCATGACCAAACCATGACACATTCTAATACGATGAGGACGCATGGGATGTCCAGGTCCGTAATGATAATTGCCCACATTGGCTACAAGAGGAAATACAAGAGTTATTGATAAGAATTCTGTTCTATTTGCTGCAAAAAGAAAGAGGGTGATTGTTGCTTACCATCATAGAAATAACAAACACGCTTCTTGCTTTCCGAAGGCATCTTTTTTTTTTTTCAACAATTGATTTCTTGTAAAAAAAAAAAAAAAGAAATGAGGAGAGAAAGAGAGAGAGGGGGACTGAAATCAAAAACCCACAAGCCGGACCGGCAATTGCGACGACTTACAAAATCTGAGTTTGACATTCTGTTCAAACCTAATAATCTGGTAATTCTATGTACCGGAAAGCGCTGCATATGTTGATGAATGTTTTACCTATGTGTATCATTAATCAGGACATCAGTAAATGAAGGTTGAATTCAAATGTGATGAATTGGAAAAAATAAGTTAGAGCCTTTATTATACAGATAGAATGGAACCTCTAAGTTTCCTCTTCAAAGAAAGGGAGCTCCTCATGATTCTTAATACTACATCCAACCATCAGAACCTACACTATCAGCGTTAAATATTTTTCTAATTGACTTGATTAAATTAATAAATGACATGTTCAGGAAAAATGCCTTACTGAAAGTTGCTAGATTTTTTAAAAACAAAAGATTCACTGTAATATTTACTTGCATTGAAGCATGATCGCATAGAATATTAAATTTATTAAAACAAAGTAATTATTGTTCCTGGTGCCTCACTTCCTATACACTTACATAGAAAGGGCATGATGGAGATCCGGTAGAGACATGTGCTCTTTCTTTGCTATAGACTCCTTCTCCCGTGCATTTTATACACATCTTGGGATCATCACCGGCGACAACCTCTGGTTTATTGTGAGTCGCTTGCTTTTTCGTTTTCTGTTTGAAAAGCTCTTGATATAATCTGTTTCTGCTTGGCTTTCTTTTTCTAACCCGTGTAATATGACCAGTTTCTTGACCAGATTCTAAAAGAAAGAAAAAAGGTGGTAAGCACTGTTACCAAAAGATTTATATACTGAACCACGTAGTACCTTTTTCCTTGTCTTCGTCTTTCTCCCTTGCCTGGATCCGTTTCTTCATCATTCGACTCAATCTGTTTTTGCGAGTTTTTTTAGGGCTCATATTTTAAAAAAGCTTTCACACGTTTAACTTTAAAATGAAAAAAAAAACCTATGAAAATATTGGTTTATCACGTTTTTTTTATTTTTCTGTAAAGCTGATGTATTCCTTTGAATCTTTACAAACGGATCAATTTTCAAAAATAATTTATATTACCACAATTTTATGTCTTGGCTAGTCATCCGCAAAGATGCAACTCAAGTTACTTAAGATGAAAATTCATATAGCGTGTTATAACCTGCTTAAAATGATAAGTTCATTTGTTATTGCTTCTATTTTTGATGATCAAATCAATAATTTTATTATCAAAAAGATACGAAGTGATATAAAATATATAAATCAAGTGTTTCAATGAGGAAGTTTATCTATATATAAGGGGCATGGAATTAATTGAGACAATCCAGATTTTACAGGACACTTTTTTAATCCATGCACACACCAAACAAGTAAAAACTCCGCCTTCATGCTAAATAAATAAAAGACCAACTTATCTCCCCTTATTTTTTTTTTACCTTCATTCAAAAATATTCTCACACAAAGAAAAAAAAAAGCAATGGAATTAAACGGACGTTGGTTTACAGACACAAAGACAAAGCAAACGCTACTTTTTAAAGGCGTGAATGTAGGAGGAGGAACCAAGTTACCAGTAGGCATATCTTCTCATGACCGACAAGGTTATTGGGTTGATTACGATCGACACATTTCGTTTGTAGGAAGACCCTTTCCTCTCGAAGAAGCCGATGAGCATTTACAAAGACTGGTTAACTTGGGTTTTGACTTGCTTCGATTTATCATTACTTGGGAAGCGGTGGAACACGAGGGACCGTAAAGTATAATAGCTTATTTCAACAATCAAGTTTATTCTTGCTAATTTTTTTTTTTTTATATATCATCATTTGCCAAAGTGGTATCTATGATGAAGCTTATCTTGATTATGTTGTTCAGATTTTAAAGAAATGTCAGGAGTATCAATTACGTGTGTATATTGATCCACATCAAGATAGCGTAAGACCATACTATATTGGATATAATAATTTAAATAAAAAACTTAACCCTGCCTCCTCCGTTAGTGGTCTCGTCATTGTGGTGGAAGTGGTCATCCGGGATGGACCCTCACTTTAGCTGGATTAAACCCACTTGCGTTCCCAGACACCAACGCTGCCATTGTTCACAATCTGTACCCTGAACCATCCGATTTCCCCAAAATGATTTGGAACACCAATTATCAAAAGCTCGCAGCTTCCACACTATTCACATTATTTTTTGCAGGAAAGACATTTGCACCTCAATGCAAGGTCAATGGGATACATGTACAAGACTATTTACAGCAACATTATTATGATTGTTTTAAAAGAGTGGCAACAAAGATTCATGAACAGGGATTGGAAAATACGGTGGTCATCGGGTATGACACCATGAACGAACCAGGTCATGGTTACCTAGGCAACCCAGATATCACGCATCTTTCCACCAACGACACGGATTTTAAAATGGGGTTAATGCCTACCGCTTTTCAAGGCATGTTATTGGGTTCGGGGATACCTACCACGGTGGAAAACTGGGAGTTCAAATGGAACGGACCTAAAAAAACCGGTAAAATCTTGGTAGATCCACAAGGTACTGTTGCTTGGTTGGATCAGACCCAATTAGATGCAGCCTGTCTTACGTTTGGTTGGAAACGAGAGTGGCCTGCAGGCTGTATTTGGGCTTTACATGGTGTTTGGGATAAATCCACCCACAAGGTTTTATTGCCTCATTATTTCGCTACAGAGCCAAAGTTGGGGACCCCCACGGAATATATGCCGTATTGGATCGATTATTTGATGACATATGCTGAGTGTATTCGAAGTGTACATTGGGATGCCATTATGTTTGTACAATCGCCCATCTTGGCTATTCCGCCCAAATTACCTGCTTCTCTTAAACGATTAGTGTATGCACCTCATTGGTATGATGGTTTGACATTGGTGAAAAAGAAGTGGTGTAACTACAATGTAGATTTCATTAATTTACAACGAGGCAAATATGGTACTGGCCCACTTCGCTTTGTGCGTGCTTTAAGACTCGGGGAGAAATCGATTCGACAATGTTTCGTGGACCAATTAAAGACGATGAAGGGGGAGGGGCTAGAGCAAATTGGTGAATATCCTTGTATCCTGGGAGAAATTGGAATACCTTATGATATGGAGGTCAGCACGTCTAGTATTTGGAATTGGTGTGCCTCATTTTTCACAAGTAGCGAAAATATATCCATTGGAGATCCTAATTCTTCTCAAACCAGAGCCATGGATGCCAGTATCAATGCACTGGAACAAAACTTGCTAAATTACTCATTATGGACGTATATGCCTGATAATAGTGCGCAGTGGGGCGATGAATGGAACGGTGAAGATCTTAGTATTTGGCAATATTCATTTGACAGGCTGTCGAATGTTCGTGATATCCCTAGTTTGCATCGTCCTCATCCTCGCATTACATCTGGTATTCCCTCCAAAATCGACTTTGTGTCACCTTCCACTAGTACACCCGCCTCATTCCAATACACCATGCAGCACGATATCCATGCCGAGGGACCCACTGAAATCTATGTTCCCTCTTGCCATTTCCCTCCTTCCTCTGTCGACGTCACTGTTACAGATGGAACTTGGGAAATGGAGCTAATTAATGAGGCTTATTGGGTACTGCGTTGGTCTATGGAGATGCATGGTGAAGCAACCTTAATTTTAAAGGGTATTACTTTTGTCCAACAATAAAAAACGCACATTTTTTTATTTTTAGCTTGTCTCCATGGCAACTCGATTGAAAGTCCGAAATGAGAGTATAAATAGTAAAAAAGAAAAAAAAAAGAAAAGAAAAAATCATCCCTTTTTTTCTACTTATTTTTTTTTTTCTCCAAATTTTTTTTTTCTGAAGATTTTTCTCAGATAAAAAAAAGGACCCAATATATATCTATAACCAAGTTTTTCTTTTTTATTTTTAAAAAAGAAAAAGCTTAAAAAGAAAGAAAGCCAACTTACTTTAGAGTTGACCCTTTTTATTCAAGAGAAAAAAAGGGCTATTCTAACAAAAAGAACATTTCATCTAAACAAGTGTTAAAAGTACCAACTCAAACTCTTCAGAATGAACACTACTACTCCAACCAACCAACGCAACGGCATCAGCCAACTCATGCAACATATGGGCTTGCCGACACTTCGTCTCCACGGGTTTCCCAGAGAAAGTTAATTTCTCGTCGCACTACGAAACCTCTTACTGGACCTTATCATAAGCCTTTATTTACCCCTCTTCTCCTTCCCACCACCACCAATAGCAGCTTTGACTCTACTTCCATGGCAATCACTTCTTCTCCTCCCCCACCACCTCCCCCACCTCCACCCGTATCCACTCCCTCTCTTATTATGGAAGATGACGAAATCTTTGCCGAATTCGATCTCTTTACCCAATCCCCTCAATTCTTATCCTCCCCTCCTCCTTCTCCCTCACCAGACAATGATGATCATGATTTTGACTTTGGTGATTTCCCTTTATTTTAATTCAATTTTTTTTTTTTTTTTTTTTTATATAGCTTAATAAAAAAATATGTTTTTTTTTTAATTCTTTGATTCTGCTGCTGTATTATTTTTTGCGGCAAGGGGCGAAATATATAAAGAAACTGACATGAAAAAAAGATGTGACTCTAAAATGACGAAGATATGTATGACGTACGTTTTTTTTTAGACATTATAAAAATAACACTAGTAGAGAAAATATATAAATAAATCTTTACACTTCTTTTTTCTTCACAAAAATATATAAAAAAAAAAAATGTCATTTCGCCCGCCTCGTTCTTTGCCTATTCTTACGCTTTTCCACAATGTAAAGTCCGATAGGTCAAAGGCAGCATTAACGATGCTCCAAAACAAACAAAAGAACGTGCAAGGAGAAGAAAAGTACCGTATTGATGTCATGAATGCAGAATCACCTACGGACACGCAGTTGAAGCAAATCGCGGGGTTTCTGAAATCACCTACGCCATGGAAAGAGATGCTTGTGGTGGAGGACGTGGGGAATGCACAGGATGCCCTTCACCTATTGAAGGAAAAACCGGATGTATTACGCTGTCCCATTTTGGTGGATTGGGAAAAAGGAACAGCCGCTGTGGGTGCTAGTACTTTGGAAGCTTTAGAAAAGATCATTGATGCGCGCAAATAAATAAATAAAATAAAAAAAAGAAGAAGATTTATTATGATATATATATAAAATTATGTACATTTAAGATAGATGGTTGGTTTGTTGATTGGGGGATATACAATTGAAAAGAGAGGAAAAGGGAATATAATTTTTTTTTTTTTTACTTCTTGTGTGATTTCAAAAGATGACGCTTCTTTTTAGGCTCAGGGACAGTAATGGTAGCAGCATCAGAGGCATCTTCAGAAAGAGAAGGAGGAGCAATATCCAGCACAATAATATTACAGGCTTCTTTGACCTCAGGTCTTGGTTCAACCATGAGATGATGTGCGTGAGATAATTCGGGGGAATCGTGTGTACAGAACGGAATATTCTTTACCCAATCATCATTAAGCACATCAGACAAGGAACATCGCTCAGCAGGGTTAGGGTTCAAAATACGACTGATGATCGGTCTGGATTCACGAGGCAACATCTTGAATAATTTCTCGGCGCCCAGTGAAGAAGGCGTCACAAAGTTCTTATAAGATTGATCCTTTTCGGGTCGAGGTAAACGCCAAGGGAATCTTCGAATTGACATACAGATAAAGACAATAGCACAAGACCAAAGATCGGTTAAACGTGCATCATAATCTGGCTCTGTGAATTGTTCAGGTGCAATATAAGGATCAGAACCACAAATGCCTTTACTCTTATGAACTCGCGTTTCATGAGGGTACTTGTTCACTACTGCACAACCAAAATCAATAATCTTGACAATTCCACGTTCATCCAACACCATATTATCCAGCTTAAGATCACGATGTGCTAAACCCATTTGTTGCATATACTCTACACCGTTTAATAACTGACGCCAGCAACAAGCAACCTCTTCACGTGACATTTGACCACTCATCACAATATTGAATAAATCATTGGGTGCGAATTCCATAATCTCATAAAAATTATGACCTTCTTGAATAATGTCTAGTGTCTCAATGACGTTGACATGATGTAAAGTAGACCCAATACAGAATTCGGCCGTCACTTTCTTTACGTACTCCTTCTCGGGTTCATTGGGGGATCGCTTTCGGAACTGTTTGACGGCAAATGTCTTGCTGTCGTTACTTCTTCTGATCAATCTAACTGAACCACCTGCTCCTTTACCCACAAATCGGCCTTTTAAAAAGTTGTTAGTAAGCAAATCATCATAAATTATATATATATTTTTTTTTTTAACTCACCCCATTTGCCGTATTTGCCTTCTAAATCTCGGTTAAATTCATTGGCAAAGGAAATTTCACTAGAACTCTTGGTCAATGTAGGCTTCTTCTTTTCCTTCTTCTTATCTGATTTGAAAAACTTTTTGAGGTCATGAAGGATAGTGTCCTTCTTTTCTAAATGATGGAAATGGGTATGATGGTATTCCTTATTGTATTGAGGACGCTTAAAGACGAATTGAGAAGGTGTAGTGGGTCTAGCATGCAAGGAAGACTGTGATGCAGATGCGGATGTTGATAAGAAACTGGCGGAAGGGGCACTACCAGACGAAAGGGTATCTTCGTTATCGTCCGAATGAGAGTGAGTGCCGGTCTCGGCCTGGGCATTAGTATTGGTGGCGGTGGCAGTGGTACTACCAGTAGCAGTAGCACTGTGTTGGGGTGATAATGAAGGCGGTGTGTGAACTGCTGTGGGAGGTAATGAAGGAGAAGGAAATCCAACGGAGGATGTATCGGATCCATATTCATACTTGGGATAGTGAGGTGTTAATAAAGGTGTACCAGGCCTTGAAACATCGGGAGTCACGTTTTCAAATTGATGAATAGCATGCTTGTTTTGAAATATTTTGGCTGGTGCATGGAAATCAACATTATAAAGTTTATCCTGGAATTCTTTTTGGTTCTTATTTGTTGTCAACTGAGAAGTGTCCATCATTTTGTTACTATGGGGAATGTGGTATTAAAAAAAAAAGTGTATGTAAAAGAAGAAGAAAAGGATAAATGATTTGTAAATAAAAAAAAAAAAAATCCCTTTTTATAATTTGGGGCCCACGCAGGTCAACCTCTTTTAGGAAATAGTATCAAAGCCGACTTTTGGTACACCGCGTTTTTCGTTTTTATTATTTATCCTCACCAGAATGTGATATTCCATCATTGGAGCGTCTTGACGTAAACGTACCTGTTCTCTATTAAAAAAGAAAAAAAAATGGCATCAGCTTTTTTCTTTTTCTTCTTATTGTAGTTGGTTCTAAAACAATAAAAAAAAAAAAGAAGCTGCTGCGGACTATTCGGATAATTAAGGAAACGTCATGGTGGTAAAGATAGATCCGAAAGAAAAAAAAAAAAAAAAAAATAGAATATTTAAAGTGTGAGTGTGTGTGCACCCAAATGGAAATAAGCACCCGAAGAGGACCGAGAGTAAACCCGCATTTCTACATTGACAGAAACTTTTAGGGTTCTCCTTAATGTTTATTATTTATACACATATATTTACAATCTCGACCTTCCTTTTGTTACTATATTTATACATCTAGTCAAATTATAAGGGTCTGGGCACAAGCATTTTTTATACTTTCTCTCTCTCACTCGCTGTGGAATTATTAATCAATGCAGATCAGATGCTGGTATCATTATAATAAAAGCGCGTGTAACAAGACTCCATTTTGATTCATAATCAAATCGGGTATTGGAATTTTGGTTTATTTTATCGCTACTTTCTACTATTACACCTCCTTTTTTTTTTATCCACACACACGCACACACATAGCATTACACCTCCTTTATATTTGTTATCTTTTCATAGTAAGTCGCCACTGAGGGGTGATGGCCCTTTTTTTTTTTTTAATCCCTACAGCGCATGGAAACTTATTGGCAACCGCTCTTTAATTGAGACCCAGAATAAGCAGAGCTGTACAACCGGGATCTACATGCATTGATTGACATTTTGGGAGGGAAACATATAAAAAGCTATGTATTTTCCCCCAACTTACCATTTAAAATCGACGGGGGTTGCATTAAACACAATATGAACAAGAATTTTTTTTTTAAATCATAATTTATTTATGCAGCCTTCTGATACCCATGGGACCCAATTTCATTATAAATCAGATGGAGCAGAATTTTATTTTTTCTGAAAACTAGTTTATTTATGAATTTATTAATCCAAAATGCCCAAGAAACACAATAGTAACAAGGACGTCACTCAAAAGGTGGATAAGAATCGTCCCAAGTCTAAATCTGAAAAGAAGGAAGAACAAAAGAAGCATAAACTTGCCGTAAGTTAAAACTGTTTAGTTTAGATCATTTTTTTCTCTCTCACTCATGACCAAAAAATATAGAAAAATGAGAAAGTCGCCATGGCCAAAAAAGGTTTTCAAACCAGTGGAAACTAAATTTTTTGTACATATTGTAAATAATAATAAAATTTTCATTATTTTTGAATGAGCTCATCTGTATGCATGATTCATTATTTCACTATCAACTGCCTACAGCCAAAAAAAAAAAAAAAAGAGAAGCATGAATTCATATGGGAAAAAGTCATGTATTTTCGGCACCTCCCCTTTTTTTCATGGATCATTGTTCCCCCGAACTTTTTCCTTGTAACACCCTTCTACTTTAGCTTATTAATAAGAAGGGTTCATTTCACAGAAAAACGTGGGCAAAAAGAATGGTCGGTCAGACATAATCACATATATTCACGCTAGATTTTTCTCGGATGACATGTTCTTTTCGGCCCACCATTCATCCGGACGGCAACCAACACCTATTGATAGGCCCCTTATGTAAGGGCCAAGTGACACTCGGCACCTATTGGCGAAAAAAAAAAAAATTATTCTGGACAAACATCATTTTTAGTCAACGTGGCAATCCTGATAGATTCTTTGTTTTTTTTTCAGGAACATGTACTCGTTTCAAGAACTATAAAGTGTCAGAGAATCAGCATAAAAAACAAAAAAGAAGCTGCCGCAGTAGTTGGCAGACATACAAGGGGAATCTAGATCCAATCCCTTGCTGACTTTATTATTATCGCGATTTGGGAGAAATCGTTTTTTTTTTATAAAAATAACTCTTGTTTGGGGGCTTGGCTTATATAAGCTTGGCAACGTTTCTTTTCCTAAAAAAAAAAAACAAGATCAGATAAAAATTGTCAAGTTCATTTTTTGTCTTGGGTACATGCTTGCTTCATTTCGATATGTATACCTAACTGACACTGCACATTGTTTGACCCTCTTTCATGCAAAACCCCTCCCTCCAAAGAGATGACTCATTGGAACAGCATTTTTCTCACAGTGATTGTGACACACGTCCCCCCTTTTCCCATTGTTTCAAATGAATATCCGCTTATGCAAAACATCTGTTCTGAGGCGGGGGTTTATTTTTTAAAAGAGTCATTTTTTTATAAGACAACTTTGAGATTGACTGCAGATGGTAGATCAGTCAAATGTGTATATAGATAAAAGAACCAATTGGATCTAACAACAATCTAGAAATCACCAGGTTCCATTGTAAATTCAGATCACACACACACACACACACACAAAAACTGCAATCTGCATGCTTGATAGTTTATCTTTCTACTTACGGGGCATGTGAAATCGAAAAAAAAAAGGATAAACATTCCTTGTGTTTAAAAGAGATACGCAAAATGGTTATCAGATGAGAAGAAGAAGATAGTGAGGAATGCAGGTTGCTTTGGTTCCGCAAAGCGTATATAAATTAGACGGCAGGTCAATTTATCCGTCCCCCCCCCCTTTCCCAGTTGCTAAAATGGTGCCATGACCAATAAAAATCGTCACTGTACAACGTTGGATTGTTTCCAACGTTAAAACTGTGATGGTGACTCTTCTTATCATTAAAGAGATTTTTGTAAATTGATCATTCATCTGTTACTTTACTATCTATCAATTGAATTCTCATTCCCACTTCTTTTTGATATATAGACAAGAGGAACATGCCTTTTTTTTTATTGTCTAAAACCCGTAACACGAACTAAAACGCAAAACGCAAAAAAATCATCATGATGATTGAATTTAATATAATAAATCCATCACCTATTTTTTTTTTTTTACCAGGAAAACTTATCTCACTGACTATTTGTATTACCATCTGTTGCACCAAGAATAAATTAACACTTATGAGTTAAACAGACCCCATTTCTTTCTATTTTTTCCATTCTTTCCTCTCTCTTTATATTTTTATTAATATTTATTTTTATATTTTATCGCAGTAGATTTATGATGTCCATACCATTTAGCGATCCTTCTTCTACATTTTACAGTAGCTTTTGCAATAGAAAGAAACCGATACTTGATCCTTTACCAACGCTATACCAATCGAGCAGTACCGTCACTTCCTCCACTCATACTACTAGCAGCAGTAATAACACAGCTGTGACAACGCCTGATCAATATGATCTTTCCTATTATTTTGACCCTTGTGCCACCACAGAATCAAACGAGGACAATGTAGTCTTTCGTGGTCGATCCTTATCCATCGGTAGCACGCTTTCCTCTCACTTTATCAATACACCACCTTCTTCATCGACATCAACAGCATCAACATCAGCATCAACAGAATATAAAGTGACCCATAAACAACATGGAAAGAATAATAATAAAAAGGCGTTGCAGCATTTTTTCGGAGAACATATCGAGGTTACAGCCAAGGAAGTACGAAAAGAGGGTTTGAAAGCCCTTTTGGATTCATCCGCACCACTAGGCTATTTCTTATATCACCTCTTGAACGAATACAGTAGCGAGAATCTGGTAGGATCCTAAACAAGTAAAAAAAAAAAAAAGCTGAAGCTATTTTACCTAACAAAGGGAATGCGTAGTTCTTTTATTTAGCGGTGGAGAATTACCAAAGTTACAATTTCACAAGCGACATGGAGCGACAACAAGTAGCCAATAAAATTGCTAAAGCTTATTTGACCACGCATTCGGATTTAGAAGTGAACCTCGAAGACAAAATTTCTAGAACAGTGAGAAAAGCCTTATTAGAGCAACAACGTCAACCCTCCGCATCCACCGGACTAGAATTCGAAGCGGCAAAACGACATGTGTTTTCTTTGCTAAATGTCAGCTATCACCGCTTTCGGTCTAGTTCTATTTGGGACATTATGGAATCAAAGTGTGGTAAAGGTTTTTTTTTTCTGTGTGTGTAATAGGCATGTATATTCATTATTATCTCTCTCTTATGTATCAGCGGAATTAGATGCGAGTAATATAAATAGACAACAGGCCCTGGTGGTCAATGTGTTACTTTCGTATAATAAGCGACAGAAGGGTACTTCATTGTATAAGCTTGTCCAATCATTTTGTCGAATCTATTTACCACATGGTTATGAGCACAAGGCTTTGAATCGAGAAGAAATCGTAATTAAAGAGAGTACAAGCCGACGACCTCGAAGTAAAAGTCTAGGCGGTGATAAGAAGGGAGGTGTGAATTTTATTAGTGGGAAAATTGACACATTTTTTTTTAAGAATAATAATAATAAAACACGGACAAAATAGTATTATGAAAAGAGAAAATTGAATTATAGTAAATTATGTAAGAGAGAAAGAGAGAGAGAAAGGTGATTATAAGGGATTTAGGGGGGATTTTAAAAAGCAGATACAAAGACAAGTTCTTGATAACATTTACCAGGACAAGAATATTTTTCGTCACCAATGGTGATTTCGGCGGTTGCATCATCAAGCCATTGGTAAACATAGGGTTTGACAACAAAGGTTTGAACGATTTTCTTGAGGAACCAAGGGATTTCAGCCAAGATGTCAATCTTATCAATCAAGTTCTTAAGAGGAACAACCATCACAACTGAGACGTCTTTGACTTGATCATTGGGATTTTCCTTTAATGTCTTACCCTTCCAAGATAATTGAACGCTTTGAGGGATATCATAATCAGTTTCGGGATCCTTTTTGAGATTGAGCATCTCCACGTTATTTTCGACACAAACACTTATTAATTTATCATTAAGCACAATGGAACCTTGATTGACCTCAACACCACCGTATTGCTTTGTTGTTGTGAATTGCATCATGGAAAGAGCAGCATTTTCAGCTTGGAAATCGATAAAGTTCCACTTGCTTGCGATCAATTGAGGTTGCATACCTTGAATGGCATGAATAAACATACCATGAGCATCAATTTCGTAATATTGCTTTTCAATAATGACAGTGCCTTTAGCAGCACAACGAGGCCAGAATTTATGTGAAACAATACCGGCGGCCGAATTCTGATCTTTACCACCCAAAAAGGTCTTACCCTCACCCACTTTAAATCCTTTATCAATACGAACATAATCTAAATCAACAATCAACTCAGGATGTGTGATCGAAAGCTTGTATTTGCTCAGAGTTTCATCCAGTGTCACATTGAAGAATTCGGTCTTGACAGAACGACGATCTTTGGAAAGTGTGAATTCAGATGCTTGGTTAAAGTTCTTGAACTTGTTCTTGTTGGACAAGGGATCGTAAAAACGGCAAGTGAAGGAGACGGTGGGCTTCCAAAGACTATGGACATATACATTTTTTTTTTAGTTTATATTGATAAACACCACATAAAAAAATTAAGCTTTTCTTACCCAATACCAGAGTAGATCAATTGGACAAAAATAAATCCGCCCGTCTTGGTAGTCATATAAAAGATTTGATTTTCGGTAGCAGAACCAGAAGCCAAAGTCCATTCATAATCCTTTGCAACTAACTCACTGTAATATTGTCCATCAATAGCTGAATCACCCGGTGTCTTTACCGATCCTTCTTCTGCAATACCCGCAATATTGGTAACTGTACTGGTGATTTGTGAAACTACAATAAAAAGAACTCTATTTCAGTCTTCTTTTTTTTTCTTTCTTCTTTTGCATTCATCATGTTCATTACTTACGCCAAGATGACATTTTGGAGTTTTTTTTTTGTGATAATAAAGAGAAAAAAAACGGATCACATTCTTTTTTTTTTCTTTTTTTTATTTTCTTTTTCTTTTTTTTTCATTCTCCTCTCCAATAAAAAAATTTAAACACTTTTGGAGTCACAAGCATGATCTTATGTCACACGACTCATTTCGATCCTTTCTTTTCTGTGATCCAAGAGAGCTCATTGTCATAATGTGGCCAATTTCAGCGTTACGATGGCAACATCCATTTGCATTGAAATTTCATTCCTGTATTGAAGGAACTAAAAAAATTTAAAAATAAGCAGAGTTGTTTATTCCACAATCAAGAATAAAGAAAAAAGATATCACCCCTCATCCCATTGATCTCCTGACACTCTATCTCTTTGGAACCAATCCCAATGGTTTTTTGTTTGTTTGTTTGGTTGCCCTGTGATTTCTTTTAACCAGACAAAAAAAATAAGGCATTATAATTTTTATTCCCAAATAAAGTGTGTAGCACACAAAAACCCAGAAAAACGAGTAAGGTGTCATCCTCAGGGCGCCGGTTTGTCTATCTTTGTCTGGGTAGATTCAATCGCTATCCAAACATATTCTGTTGCAAAGGAAACACTGTCAGGTATTGTGCATTGTCAAGGATCGTTTGCAATGAAGTAATGACAGTTAAAAATGTTGACTTTTGAGAAAATAGATCTTGTCATTTAAAAAATAAAATGTTCATCTGCCTCGATGCTTCCCTTTTTCTTGTCGAATCGTCTTGTATAGCGAAACAGAATTGAAGCCAGAGTGACAGATAGCTTCCATTCACATATCTTTTTTTTTAAAATGTGAACAACGGATAGTTTAATCCCGCTTTTAAGCATTTTTTTTTTTTTTTTTTTTTTTTTTACGGAAAATCTAATCCAGCCCAATGAAATTAAAGAGCTTTGGGTCTTTCTTACATGTATTTTATCTTACTTAGACCTCACGGAAGGTTTATCTTGCCATTGAAACCTTATTATGGGTTAAGCTTCATTATAATAATATAAAAAAAAGAACCTCACAATTTCTTTAAAAAATTTATCCATTCATTTCCAGCCACGTCTGTTTATATGAAGTGATCAGTTAATTTATGACCCGTAGAGTTTCCTTACTGGACATCTGAACTGTAGCACAGATCATACAACCTTATGCCCTTAAATATCCGAATATTTTTACCGAACCTGAATGCGGTTACATCTGCAGCACAATCGAGCTTCCATTAGACAACTCTTTTAAAATAGGCAATAAAGTTCAAGAAATAAAATACACTTTATCTGATATGATCATTCGCTTTGAGGTCCGTCCACTAACAACTTAAGTTTTTTTTTTTTTTTTTTTTTTTTTTTTTTTTGCGCTGAAAAAAGTTTTCAATCAATAACGCTTCTTCCCCAGTATATTCATATGAGTAGTTAGACCATCTTTATCAATTACAATAATGTACATTGTATATCCAGAAATTTAGCTGCAATCTATATATGTAAACCTTAATTCTCGTGTGTCAGAAGACAATTTTGACATAATGCATTTTTTTTTTGTCACCCACTGCTTGTTAACAATGGTAACGTCAATGACCCTACAAAGCCATACTCCTGATACTATAACATGTTGAACTGATACAAACAAGACTACCACCCATAGATCCATTTCCAATGATAACGCAAACTAAATTTACAGCAAATGCGTACATGTTCTTGTAAACAAATCGTAATGTAAAGTAATTCAAAAAGGCTATGGAAAGAATGAAATATCTTACAACTTCACAAAATATTAGGCACTTTCAATAATCATGGTATGGGAGCGTGATAGAACTATCTTTAATGAGAAAAATGACAGAGTTCGTAGCCTAAAGGCGTCGGCAACTCTTGCGTCTCTCCAATATTAGGCTTTTTTATTTTAAGAAAAATGCTTATTGTTCATACTCAACATTAATCTATCAAGAAATTATATCGTGATAAAGAAAACACGTAAAGGCTGATAATTTGGTGTCTGTTAAATGGTCAAAAGTGTTTTACCCAGATTCACTACCGACATGGACGGTATCGGCAAGAAAATTGGAAAAATGTATACAAAAGAAAAGCGACAGCTTAAAAGACCTTCAGTGGTAAATAATGAAGTAGCATGAATTGAAAGGGTATCAACAGACAACGACGTTAAATTTGTAAGTCATTTCTTTTTCTTTTCTTTTTTAGGCCAAGCTTAAACTAAACGATAATTGTATAATTTTTTTAGGATGATCACATAAAGCAACACTATACTATGGCGGAAAATTTGTTGACGATTCCAACAACTTTGTTGGTGTTTCAAACCAATGTTGTTGCGCTTTTTCATATTTTCATTCGTAAAACGGTATAAAACAACCAATGGTTTTTGATTTCATTATCATTCAGTCATCATTTTATATAAAACACATGATAGATTATTAAACAGATCTTATTATAGTATATACAATGGCTATTGAGAAGCAGAAATATCTTTAATGATGATAAGGAAAAGAGTCTTTTTCAACATTCGTTCTTATAGACGGCATAACCATAAGTAGGGGACTAATACACATTTAATAAAGTTTACAGTCTTTCGCACCAGACATCAAACGAAACATAAAACCAAGAAAGAGTGCTTCGTATGAATTTATTGATCCTCTAAAAAACAAAATTGGAAACACAAAGAAGCCATTTAGAGTAATCTCAACCTTACTTTGACCGTACATCATAAAACAGGCGTACCGTTAGTCCTAAAAAATGATAAACAGTTATGTGAGCGATTATTAAAAAGATATGTAACTTCAAAAGACATACCATAACACCTTTAAACAAAGAGTGTTCTAATTTAGAAAAATAATTGAGGTGGTCCACATTAGTCTTTTGATTTAGGAAGTATATAAGAAAACTTACAGCTTTATCTGAAGTACCACTTCCTTTTTTTGAAAGAAGTAAAGGAGTATAGTAGCAGCCTACATAAAGAGCAAAAACTACTCCTAGACTACCTGAATGAGAAGCATTGTTAGTTATGTAGATAACAAAAACATAAAACAGCACGCTTCAAATTGGAAGTTGAGTACCTTACATATAAGCAAAGAGCGTTAGAAACACGTTCGGGTTATTAATAGAAGGTCCTCTTGAAGCTAAAAACAAAGCCTACATCGTTAATAGACACACATATTACATTGGGAAATAAAGTTACCATATATTCTTAGTATTTTTTTTTAAGTGAGTTTAAGAAGAAAGAAAGGAAGAAAATGTAAAAAATAAATATTGGGCTTACGCCAGTTTTATTTGGTTTTGTGACCTAAAATTCGAATTCTATCTAGTGTATCAGATAGACAACTTATCTCTGCTTTACAACGGTACTACCGCAGAACATATTCCAGTTTTCACGAGCTTGTCAACACAAGTAATGGTGTAGTCAATGGCGCTGTCGGACCTGGTTTGATGATATTGTGTATATCTCCTCTTTTTCAAAGATCATATCAACGAGCCCAGAAGAGCCAATAACTATGTTTTGTTTGCTGCATCCCACCTAAAGTAAGATTGGTTGTTTATCGTCATTATTTAGTTGTACAGACAATTTTTTTCAAACCTTTATAGCCACTACAACAATTTAACGAGTCTACTTTATGTCGGTTCCAACACCTTCTTTTTTGAGACGACATTTGATGACGTGAATGATTTTCTTGTCTTAATTGATGTGGCTGACTTACATGGCGTGGTAAATTACGACAGGCTCATGCCAAAGGTGGTCTTACGTCGCCCTGGTCAACATAAAGATGTTGTGTGTCGCTTCAAAGATATCGTTTGTAACGTAGGCCTTGTCCGATACATCATGGTTGAAAATTATTACACAGTCATATAGCATCACATTTTCAGGGCATTGCTATACTCGAAGATGGGGGAATGCGAGTAACCTTAAAGAAATATAGAAATATAGAAATAAAAATAAAAATAAAAATAAAAATAAAAATGAAAATAAACATGGACAAAATGACGCGAATGAATCTAAAACGTCTGGTTGAGAATAGAAAAATCGTGACACCAGAATCGATAAACAAATATGCAATCAACACGTGCTGAATAATTCACCAAAGTTGTTGGCCAGCAACAATTCTTTTTTATAAAAAAAAAAAATGGTCAACCACTTTGTTGACAAAATCAACAACAGTTGTTGATTCTGTCAACAAAGTTGTTTACAACAAACAACAAATCCGCCATAGTGATGAATCATTTATATTGATAGCTGTTCTAGTCTGATAATTCATGATCTGATCTGAGAAGATTCTCTTCTCGATCGTTAATATCGTAACTCAGCGGTATAGCATTCTGTATCCAACTGTCATTCGTATATCACATTTAGGCCAATCATGCAATCTTTAATATAGAAGTATATACTCGCAGTAAGAGTCGTTGTATAGCAGTATTTAAGCGTATGCTGATATGCAACATCAAAGGTTGTTTTAATTTCATAGTCTATTTATTTAAACAATTTGCTTAATTATTCTTAAGTGAATCGTACCCAAATACGACACAAGGTCCCCAACGCCAGTATGAAATTGATGTCTATCGGTAATCCTCTTTCCAATATGTTGGCTGATCCTCACACTAGCGACCTTCTAACTTATAGAGCCAGCAGGGAATCAAGTAACATGCAAATGAGTGATATATGTGCCGAACCTCATAGCTTATACGTAATAAAAGTAGATGTAAAAAATTGACATAAATGGAAATAGTCTGTATCACAGATCTGTGATAGTCGAGGATAGAGATAGATAAAGAAAAACAATAAAATACTTTGAGACTGCTTATAAGTTTTATTAAGAGTGAAAGTAGATTGAAAGATTGAGAGGGTTCTATTCTAACTATCAGTTTGCATATTTATATATGTTAAGAGAAATCGGATTATGAATTTAGCTTGATGGATAAGTTACACAGCACTAAAATAGTGCTTGTAGTTGGATATGATATAATGTATAAGAAAATAGTTCGTGTTGTGATGTAATAATGTATGGGGTGATGAAGTGAAGTTTAATTTTAATATTGTTTTATGGTGTGGTTAGTAACAACAGTAGGTGGATCACCACAAGATCTATTGGTAAATAAAGTAACAAGATCCAGTAACATTGAAAGGATCTAAGTATATCCATTCCGACGTAAGAACAAACTTGACTTGTGTATTCGACAGTCAAAGAAGAAATTTATTGATGACTAATTACTGTCAAATATGAAATTAGTTTCCAGCTGTCATTTAGTATAAATAGACCCCAAATTATCATTTTTACATCTTGGTCAATAAATTTATAAAGGAATTCTAAACGTACTTATGTACTTTGTTTTAATTTTTATTTTATTTTTTATTTTTTATTTTTTATTTTATTAAATCATACTACCGATTTATTACAATATATTCGATGGGCAAATTTACAAGGATCTGGTAAGAAAGAGATTGTTCTCCAATCCTGACGATATCGCCATTGGTCTTTATACGGATGGGTTTGTGAACCAAAAGAAGGGCAAGAATTCTTTTACAATCATCCACGTTGTGATTTTCAATCTTGATCCCTCCATCAGGTAACAACTTATACTGGTCCTAAAAGTTACAACTTTCTAAACACTAGACATTAGATACACAAACGAGCATATGTTACAGCTAGCAATTTTACCTGGTCCTAAAAAACCTACTCATCTGGATTCATTCTTGCGACCCATCATCGACGAATTAAAGGATTTGGAAACCCATGGGCTTGTTGTTAAACGTGGTGATATGGAAATCTGTCGCCCCAAAGTATATTTGTTGCTGGCTTCTGGTGATATTCCAGCTGTGGCGGATATGGCTCACATCGGTTCTCATACCATTACATACAGTTGTCGTTTTTGTGAATCGAAAGGGAAAAGTCCAGACAATAAGTCTTAAGGAAAGTATTTTGACTATAGTTCTGCCTCATTGAGACCACTGCAAGACTACATGACTGGAAATCCTGTAAGTATAATGACTTGACCTTTCATTTTCTCGAGACTAATGAAGTGTACCTACTATAGATAAAAAACATTTACCAACCTAGGGGAAATAACGCAAAGCATCTACCTAGGTGCAGAATTACAGTAGGTACAGCAGAGACCGGAGTGGTACCGTCTTAATTACCGTATACATTCGATAATCTGACAATAATAGCGTGAGTTAATTTGATCTGCCATAATTACAAAATCAAAATATGCGTAGAAAAAACTTGTTTTGTTTGTAAAATGGCGTGACCCAATCTCGTAATGTTTTAAAAATTGTACAAGTTTATTTAAGCGAATCGTTCCCGGAGGAACAAATTCAATGACAAAGGCTTAATCTCAGTACATCGTAGCAACAAAGACTACTCTAGTACTTACAATACCCCGTCCATGTCGTGTCGTCTGCACGCGATTTAACGTCTTGAAGTATTATCATTATCATTTGCAAGTACAACCAAGCAGCCTTTCCGCTGCAAGGCGTATCTCACAATTAAAGGTTTTCAGGCAACAGGCCTTATGTGTACACTTCTGTTACAATTCAAAACACATAATAGCATTGTTTCCAGTATGGATTCTGGCTTAGAGGCGTTCAGCTATTATCCAGCAGATGTAGCTTCGCGGCGAAGGCCGTTCGACCAGACGCAAATACCAATTATCTGAATGAAGGGTTCCTCTCGTACTAGCTTCAATTACTGTTACAATACCCATACCATCAGTAGGATAAATATAACCTGTCTCGCGACGGTCTAAACCCAGCTCACGTTCCCTGTTAGTAGGTGAACAATCCAACGCTTACAGATTCCTGCTTCTGTATGATAGGATAAGCCGACATCAAAAATCAAAAAGCAACGTCTCTAAAAACGTTTCGTTGCCACAAGCCAAATACCCTGTCGTAACCTTTTTTGGATTCTTTACCCTCAAATGTATGAGACTCCAAAGGATCCAAGGCCCTACTTTCATAGATAATAGGGGGACTTTTACCCAATGATTCTACACGAGATTTATGTTCTCGTTGAGTCCCCCGTAGCATACCTGCGTTAACAGATGTACTACCCAGTTAACTCCCCACTTGACTACTCAAGTGAAATTGGTATGGGTAGTGGTTTTTCATTGGCGCCAAAGCTCCCACTTATGCTACACCCCATACTTCCTTCCACACTGTCAAACTAGAGTCAGGCTCAACAGGGTTTTTCTTTCCACACTGATTCTGCCAAGCCCGTTCCTTGGCTGTGGTTTCGCTAGATAGTAGATAGGGACAGTGGGAATCTCGTTTAATCTAGAGCATTACATACTCCCGCCATTGACCCGCACGCGTTAAACCTCTTCACTTTGAAGTTAAGAGCACTGGGCAGAAATCACATTGCGTCAACACCACTAACTGGCCATCGCAATGCTGTGCCTTTATTAGACAGTTGGATTCCCTTTGTCCGTAACAGTTCTAATGTGGTTGTTAGTGATAGACTGGGTTCGCTTGGCTGCCCGAAAGAAGCCAAGGTCCATATCTACCCAACCATTAGAGCCAATCCTAATCCCGAATTATGGATAATTTGCCAACTTCCCTTATCTACATTGTTCTATCAACTAGAGGCTTTTCGCCTTGGAGACCTGCTGCGGTTATGAGTACGACTAGTCGAGAAAATTATTTTTTCCCTTGGATTTTCAAGGATCATCGTGAATGCACCGGACACAGCAAACGCACTGTGCTTTACCAACCGATAAACCTTTTCTCTTGCTAAACAAATTCCAAGGTCTATCTTAGTTGTTAAAAAGAAAAGATAACTCTTCCCGGAACCCACGCTGATGTCTCCAAGGTCATTTGCGTTACCGCAGAAAATCCTCGTCCTAGTACCGGAATTTTAACCGGTTTCCCTTTCGATAGGCGGGCCCAATAATTGAACACGTATCTATCTCTTAGGATCGACTAACCCTGGACCAAACGATGTTGTCCAGGAACCTTTCCCCTCTTCAGTCTTCAAAGTTCTCATTTGAATATTTGCTACTACCACCAAGATCTGCACTAGAGGCTGTTTCACTCCGGTTTACACCAAGAGCTTCGTAACAGTTTAAATAAACCTCCACGCCTGCCTACTCGTTATTGCTTCGCTTTTACAATAACGGGAAAGTCTCGGTAACACGCTTAAGCGCCATCCATTTTCAGGGCTACTTCACTCGGCAGGTGAGTTTTTACACACTCCTTAGCGGATTCCAACTTCAATGGCTACCGTCCTACTGTCTGCATAAAATAACACCTTTATGATATCTGATAAGCGTGTATTTAGGCACCTTAACTTTCCGATCGGTTCATCCCGCATCGCCAGTTCTGTTTACCAAAAATGGCCCACTAGAAACTTTACATTCAAGATCAATGCTTCATTTAAGAAAACATGTCATCTTACAAATATAACTTCATAAAAATGTGTATAAGCTTCTGCTATCCTGAGGGAAACTTCGGCAGGAACCAGCTTTAAGATGGTTCGATTAGCCTTTCGCCCCTATACCCAAATTTGACGATTGATTTTCACGTCAGAATCGCTGCGAGCCTCCACCGGAGTGTCCCCCGGCTTCACTCTATTCAGGCATAGTTCACCATCTTTCGGGTCTCATCATTAATGCTTTTGCACCGTATGCTTTAATACGAAACTTGTACGAGCTCGGGAGATGACCTACACATCTAAAAGATCTCGTGTCAATCTTGTTAACATCGCATATGAGTTTGTCACCCAAATACTTGCATTAATGCTGAACTCCTTGGTCCGTGTTTCTAGACGGTACGTTTAGAGCCATTAAGCCAACAACCTAAGCGAATAAAAAATATACTAGGCGAGTTTCTCCTTTACAAACTAACACCACCCGAAGCAGAAA